CCCCCTCTCATATACTCACATCAATCTCGTCGCACACTCCAGGAACAAAAATGGGCTACAAACCTCCTTCCTCCCTTGGGGCACAGCTGGTGCCAAGCTAGGTTTTGCAGCAGCATTCTTCCCCAGGAGACGCCGAAGACTGGCGCGATCCACCACCTCTGACGAAGGTGGTGGAGCGCCGACGCCGGAGCCGCCGTTGGATTCCGTATCAGCGGCGGGAGGAGGAGCGGAAGCGGAAGCCGCATCAGCGATAGCTTGAGCTCGAGCCTGGGCTTGTAGAGCAGCTTGATCCAAAGCCTTCTCAGCTGCTTCTTGCCCTCCCTCAATCACCTCGCCTTCCCCTCCTGCTCCCGCTCCAGCAGCCTTCTCCCTCTTTCCTCCCTGCTCCGTATCCTCCTCTCCAGTAGGTGTTCTAATCTGGGGAGGTGTCGGGTCCAGCCTGACATAATTGACGTTTCTGAAATCCACGAGATAGTTTGCCGAATCGACCGAGTAGAGTTGAAGGTCCATGCGGACAATAATTTCCCCAACGCGCCAGCGCGTTTCGATGAAAAAGAGCTGCTCGGCTTGCCCGTCTATACCGCCTGGTGGGGAGGAGGAAGAGTCTTCCCCTTCTTCAGCGCCTGTAGCAGCACTACTGCCGTCATCGCCATCGCCAGCGCCACTCTGGGTGGCTGTCTTCTTCTTTGGCTTCATACGCCACTCCATCCCTAGAGCCTCCAAGGTACGGTAGAGCTCCACGACAATCTCCATTGGCGGTGAGCGTGAGCGAATTCCAAAGTGCCAACGAGGCCTTGGACGCTTCTGAGGCGCAGGTGCGGCTGCCGACAGAGGTGGAAAATTGGAGAAGCCAGCTCCAGAAGAGCCTCCTGCTGATGATGTCGATGCTTCGCTCCATGGCCGGCGCGAAGGGAGGCTAGTCTCTAGGATGGCAATACCGCTAGGAGCTCCAGCAGAGGCAGGTTGATCAAGCTCCTCGTCCGAGAAGAGGAGATCGTCCTCCCCTGCTCCTAGACCGTCGTCGTCGGAGAATTCAGTATCGAGACCGTTGCCATCGTCTTCTCCATAGCCGTCCATCATTTCGGAATCGTAGGTGTCAGAGGCGAAGGTCTCGTTGCCATCTTCCGTATATTGCGTCGAGGTCTCATCTTGATCTTGTGCAGGTGCCTGCATCTGTGAGCTCGAGAGACTGCCAGAAGCTTGACCAGAAGTCTCGCGGGTTCTTCTCCTACTAGGACGTTTGAGACTAGTCTGACGAGATACACCCTTTGCAGCTCCTTCTTTTCGCTCCTCCAATCCTTCTCGCCATGCTGGAGGGCTACCCTGAAGCCACACTTTCATGTCTTCCTTCAATTGCTCGTCGCCGTCCTGCTCAGAGTTCTGCAGGATCCTCCTCTGATCCCTAACGAGCTGATAGGCTACTTTCAGCTGGTTGTCTCCGGGCTGCTGAAGCAGATCCAGAATCTCGTCTTCGTTGAAGGTGACCATCTTTGCATTGAGCTCGTCTACAATTGAGCGCGAGAGGAAGCCCAGATCAGGTGAATAGATGCGACGCACACGCTCCCCCTGTGCATCCCCCTCTTGCGGATTGGACGCTCCTGAGCCCCTGCGTCCTTCCACGGGCGTCATGCCAAATTCGAATTCCTGGCTGCTGCCATCCTCGATTGCTGCTGGGGTAGATGGCAAAGGGAGGAGATACCGCGGAAGATCCTTTTGGAACCAGGGCAATTGGCGGATTTCTGCGATTGTGATACGTTTCACTGGATCGACGACGAGCATTGCAGAGAGGAGAGAGGCAGCTTCTTGGGGGAGATAGGATGGCAGAGTGTAGATACCGCTGTTGATCTTCTTGAAGAGGGTGGGAATGTACTCGTCGTCAAAGGGGAGCCTGCCACAAAGCATGACGTACAGGATCACACCACAGCTCCAGATGTCAATTTCTGGGCCAGCATAAAGTCTGGGAGAGAAGAGAGAGGGGCCAGGGTCAGTTATCAACTTTTTGCGGCGTTGATTGGTTGTTCTCTTTCCGACTCACTTTCCACTGATGACCTCGGGAGCAGCGTAATTGGGACTACCACAGGACGTCTTGAGGAAATCACCATCGGTCATGATATTGGACAGACCAAAGTCTCCGATCTTGACATTGTTATGCTCGTCGAGCAGCAGGCTGTAAACGGAGAGGGTTAGAAGGGTCAGCACGAGCCGCTCCTATGGACCTCACAGTTTGCGTGTACTCACTTCTCTGGCTTGAGATCTCGGTGAACAATCTTGTGTCGATGGCAGTACTCAATGGCACAGATAATCTGCTGAAACAAGCTCCTTGCCTCTGCTTCTGGCATCTTGCCCCTATCCACAATGTACTGGAAAAGTTCCCGTGGTGCATACTGCCGAGTTGTCAAAGTAGAGGAAGAGAAGGTCAGCATGTCGTTTCACTGATGCTACCATGGATCGGGTCTTGTCATCTCACCTCGATGACCATGATGATATCCCCCGGTGTGGTGATGACTTCGTATAGCTTGATGATATGGGGATGCCGTAGTAATTTGAGATATTGAATCTCCCTCTTGACTCTGGCGCCCATGTCTAGCGAAGAGATCTTCCTGCGATTGATAATCTTCATGGCTACTCGGTGTCCGGTGAGGGAATGTGTAGCCACTGTGAGGGTTTAGGTGTGTAAGGTGTGAGCGAGGTGACAGACACGAGAACTTCATCTGCTCTGCTACTCACGCTTGACCTTTCCAAAGCTTCCACTGCCTAATGTGCGTATGAGAGTGTATTGCCCAATCTTGACTGGAGGCTTAGAAGCCCTACCCGAGCCCGAGGAGGGTGGTGCGGGGCCTGGAGCAGAGGGGGCACTGGCATTGCGACTGCTTCCAGCGCTTGGCTGTTGGCGATGGTCTTGCTGTGGAGCTGCCATGGTGCACCAGGCAATGGCAGGTAGGAGGAGGAGGAGGAGATGTGGCTCGAGTAGCTAGCTACCTGCTCAGCGGCTGGAGCCCGGCGCGCGCTCGAGCAGTGGGATGGTGAGTGAGATTGCGTATATATATGCTTGATGTAGGGTGGGGTGAGGGTATCTATGTACGATGATGGTGGTGGTGATGGTGGGCGAGTGCGATGGGCAAGAGGGGGGATCAGGCTGGTCTTTGGTGGGTCAGGGTCTGCCTGTCTGTCCGGGAGTGAGTGGGCCCTGGGTGAGAGAGTGAGTGATCGATGACCACCAGTTGCTGATAGCGGCGGCTTCCTGCAGCCACAGGCGAATTGAGCGGAGTTAAGGCCCTCGCACGCGGTTCCGAGGGTGGCCAAGGCGTGGGTGCGTGGGTGGGGTGGGGGTGAGTGAGTGAGAGCGTGCGTGTGCGTGAGTGTGTGAGTGTGTGTGAGTGTGTGTGCTGGGACTCTGGCCTGGCTACTGATCCCTCTGCCTACGTTGTGCGATGTGAGTGCTACTCTTGGGCTCATCTTCTCTCTCTCTCTCTCTCCCCCGCCCTGGCTGATCTTGGCCCTGTGAATCAGACCCTTTTTTCCGTGCCTTTTTCACGCTGGGCTGCCACACTGTCCTGGTGCGCCTGTCTCTCCGCGTCTGCCCCGCCTCGCTTCCGTGCTGCTGCTGCTCCTCCTCCGCCCCGATGCGATGCCGACGTTGCACCCGGCCCTCGTCGTCGTCGTCACTGGCTACCCCGCACCACCGACTTCCCCACCTTCTACCCTTGCACTCTCCACTGTCTACATACCCTCGCCCACCTTCTCTTTCCCACTCCCACTCCTTGCACGCATCTCCTTGCCATCACCACCAACCACGATCTTTCCTCCATCCCCCCCACACACCCTCCACTTGTCCATCTGCCGCATCTGGCCCTCTGTCCGTCAATCAGTCCTTCGCGGCCGTCATTCCATCGACGATCCTTCGCCTCAGAGCTCTCTCTCTAGCTTACAACTGGCGCTTACCTTACCTTCCAAGACGAGTGGTGTAGTATCTCAGCGAAGCTCACCATGACTTCAAAACCTGTGAGTACAAAGTGCGAGCAATGCAATTCTCCCCCTCGATTGCCTTTGCGGGTGTAGAGTGGTGCATCCCCTCTGCCTCTGCCTGTAGCTTCTGCAGGCGCTCACCACCTCTTCGTTCTCTCTTTCCTTTCCCTGGCCCTATACCACATACTCTCCCCTGTCCCCATCTCATCGACGCAATCGTACACTCTCAATGCGAAATCGCTCTCAATCCGTCACTGCCATTGCCCGGACCAATGCTCGCAATCGCTCTAATGCATCCTTGCCTCAAACCAATGCATTCGACGATCCTTCCACCGAAACTCCTCCGCTTCCAACGCAACCTCAAAACCCTCTAACCCGCACTCAAACCGGCTTATCCGACCTCACCGTCCACACTCGTCCTCCATCCCAATTACGATCGCGCTCTCGTCTACGAAATATGGCTTCCTTCTCCGCCATCAAGGACAAGGCCGACCTCTATGCCAAGGAAGTGGATAGAGCTAGGCTCAGAGGTGACTGGACTGGAGACACAGTTGGGCAAGAGGCGAAAGGTAAAGGGGTAGGCTGGTCGGAACTGCTGAGGAAGTATGGAAAGCATAATAATACCAAGCAGGGTGAGTTGCTCGAAGGCTAGGCAGGGCGAAGCTGCTTCGAGTGAACAGGGATGGCGTTAAGGTCAACATAAGTCGTCTTGCCTTCCAGAGTACTGATCAGAATCACTCCCTTCCTTTCACCAGGAGCCCTCGCTATCATCACTACCGAGCAAAGCCTACGGAGCTCACTCGTCGCCTTTTACCGAGAGAAGGAATACAGCGACATTTCTCACGAAGCAGACGATGCCTCGCCCAAGGAGGGCAAGACTCTCTTCCCGCCCAACGTACCAGCAGATGGCACAGGCCATGGCTGGTCCGGTTCAGACTATGAAAAGACGGCCGCCCAGCTGGAGACCTACGCCTCGGACACACGTCATGACGATGGCAAGCAACAAGGTGTGGTGGCCATGTATGCCCACGCTCTCTTCACACTCGGCAGAGATGAAGAAGCCGTGGGGCTTCTGCATGACTCGCGCTTCTTAGAGACTGTCAATACCGATCAGGTCAGGCCTGAGGAGCAGAGTGATGAGTATCAGACAGCCCTGTTCATGATGGGCTTTGTCACCTACGGTGAGTAGCCGTGAGCGGCCTCGCCTTCCTTCGATCCGGCCTTTGAGCGCTGACAGGTTCTCTTCACTATCCACTAGGAATGGCAAATGAGCGTCTGCACACGCTGCGCCCAAATGCTGGCTACCACCCATTCGCTTTTGCTGGCTATGCACGAGCCATCGAGCTGCACGAAGAACTCCGTGGAGGCAGGAGAGCCAAAGCCTTGCCAGGTTTGCCAGAGGACGAAATCGAACGGTGGGCTGAGACTGCCCTCTACCGTAATGCCCTGTTCAGTGTCCGAGAGGGCGACGTATCCCTCGGCCTCAATGCTCTCAGAGCGTACCAAGCGCATGTCACTCGCTGGCCAAAGGACTTCAGGCTACCTCAGCGCAATGTCATCAACCGAACCTACCTACGTGAGCTCAACACCGGTCTCGAGCTAGGCCACTATGCGCCTCCTCCTGCTGCGCCAGGCAAGAGTCACGACGACTGGCGGAGTCAAGCATATCAGCGAGCTGTCGTGGCAGGTGTGGCGTCTCGTGTGTACATTCGAGACTTTGTGTCTGAGCGAAGCTCCAAGTCAAACATGGGCAAGCGACACGAATCCTATGGATATGGAACAAAGTCGTTGGCATCTCGAACGGTCTCGAAGCGGAGACCTTTCCCCTTCAGGAACCTGGGCGCGCCTTCGGATCTCTGGGCAAATGAGATGCAGACAGTGTCCAAGATGGCCGCTGCCAATGTTTTGCGCTCCTCTGACTTTCCCAGGGCTGGCAAAGTCAACTTGTCTGCGCTTCTGCTAGCCGATGAGCTCTTCAAAGGATGGCAGTTCAACGGAGAGCTAGGAGGAGTGCACGCTGATGATCTCGTAGAGAGCATGTATACCCTCAGCCGGCTCACTTTCCACTCTCAGCGCATCAGCCGACACCTCTTCACTCTACTTACGGCCTCTCAAGCTTATGCAGAAGCACGATGCGCTCTAGAGCTTTACATCTCCATTGTAGACAAGGCTCGTGAGGGAGATGCGGCGGGCTCGGCTGCTCTGGTTGAAGAGAATGCCCTGCGGGAAAAGAAGCAAAAGGAGGAAGGCTACGATCTAGACGAGGTCGTCAAGAAGGAGAAGGAAGAGGAGGACAAGGACCCAGAAGAGCAAGAGAATGGTGACCAGAAGAAGAAGGAGCATGGAGGTGGAGTGAGCGAGAAAGCAAAGAAGGCAGCGAGCCAAGTCTCGGTGGATTCAGACAATGACGCTACCTTCGTTGCTACGCTCCTCGCCGGAGCTCACGTCCTCGCCAAGTACCTCAATGATGCTACCGCCGCCGACTCGATGGCAAAGAAGGCTTTGGCCATCATCACAAAGGAAGAGAAGAAGGAGAAGGAGAAGGAGAAGGGAAAGGAGGAGGAAGAGGAGGAGGAGAAGGAGCAGGCCACCCCGGACTTCAGCCCTGAACACGTAGCTCGCGCATACAGGATTGCGGGAGAGGCTCGAGCCAACTGGGGCCTCAAGACTGTTGCGCCCGAGAAGCTGGCCGCCATTCAGGCCGAAGCTCTAACCTTGCTTGAAGAGTCCCTCCGTCTGGACGCGCAATCAAGCGAAGGATGGTTCGCCCTGGCCTATCTGCAGGCGCAGATGGGTGAGACCAAGGTAGCTATTGGCTCGGTCAGAAAGGCAATTGAGCTGGAGCCTGCAAATGTCAAGAGCTGGCACTTGCTGGTCCTCCTCGTCTCTTCCACAAAGGACTTCAAGGCTGCTTTTGAACTTGCTGAGGTCGCCCTCGATGAAGCGGAAGCCGACGATGAGGCGGATAGTGCTCAGCAAGTGAATCAAGCTGCCACTATGAATGGCAATGGTCACACCAACGGGGAAGTCTCACAGCCCTCGCGGACACAGCTATTGAGCGTCGATTTCCCTCCTACGACCTTGGAGCGAGCCGAGTCTACTCTCCAGCTCATGATGACGCAGAATGCCCTCGAAGAGCTCATCTCCGGGGCCGACGTGGCCATTGCATCTCAAAAGGATCTCTTCCTCTTCTTCCACGATCGAATCGCCTTCCACCTCGAAGCGGGTGCGAGCAACCGTGGTGGATTGCCAGCAGCAGCAGCAGCAGCAGCGCAGAATGGGTCTGCTGCTGAAGCGTCACACGCGTATGGTCTGTCGAGACTGCTGAGTCGTAGTGGTCAGGGAAAGAAGGGAGATGCTGGTCAATCTGGCCTGGGCCAGAGTGGGGCTGCCACCAACGGCACTAGTGGTAGCTTGCGTGGAATGTCACGAAGCGGATCACAGGCACAGCAAGGTGGTCCAGAGGGGGAAGGGGCGATCCCTCTCGACGGTCCTACCGGCCCCAGCATCAGCGCCGGCAACGGCAGCAGTAGTGCTGCCACTGTCTCGCCGCAGAACCCACTAGGCACCTCTGCCACCCCAGGCGATGCCCGCAAGCTGTACCAGCTTCACCGCGAAACTTCTCTGCTGAGCGACCTCTGGCTCCTCTCCTCTGCCTCTTTCCGTCGAGTGGGTCAGCTGGCCCAATCGCGCACTGCAATTCAAGAGGCAGAACGTCTGGACGCCGGCCGGCCACACCTCTGGACTCAACTTGCTCTCCTGAGTGAAAAAGTCGGAGAGGTAGCCCTAGCGGTAGAGGCATTACACAAGGCTCTGGCGTGTGATAGAGACTATGTACCGGCGAATGTACACCTCGCTCGTCTCTTCCTCACGAGGGGGGATGAAGTCCTTCCTGCTACAAGGCCCAATACCTCTCTTCACCAAGGAACAGAAGAATCCCCTTCCCACGCAAAAGACTCGACGCGTAGTAGATGTATCGCAGGCGATCTTTCTGACCCCGAAGGGACTACCGGGAGTGCCGGAGCTGGGGCTGGAGCCAACCCGAAGTCCTCTTCGGTAGATTCAGCCCGTACAGCCCTCGCGGCGGCCTCTGCCTCTGCTTCCGCTACCGCACCCGCAGACGCTTCGAGCGTAGGGGACGTCCTGGATTCTGCTGGTGCAAAGAGTATCGCCACACTCTGTCTTGCCGAAGGACTACTCTTGACCACCACTTCTACCCCTGCAGCGAGCGCAAGCGGAGCCAGCGGAGCGAGCGCAGCGAGCGCAAGCGGAGCAGGAAGTAGTGGAGTAGGAGGAGCACAAAGTCCTGAAGCTTGGTTATTCTTGGGACAAGTCTATGGACGTACAGGTAGGAGGGAGAGGGCTCGAGAATGCCTCAGGTATGCTTTGAGATTGGAAGAGAGGAGAATGGTTAGAGATTTGAGCGTGCTGGGACTTTAGAGGAAGAGGAAGAGGAAGAGGGCAAGGGGATTGAAGGATGGATGGATGGAGGAGACGAGGGATGGGGAGGGAGAGGGAGAGGGAAAGGGGTTGCGGCTATGCTATGCTTTTATTTTGCTCCTGGTTCTGATTCTGATTCTGATTCTGATTTGGACGAGGCGAGGAATTTCCTTCGATACCAGCAGTACACTCGAGAAACTTGTCTTGTCTTGTATCTTTTTCCATCTCGATTCTATATCTCTCTTCTATTGAACAAAAAGGGGGGCGTTCTTTGAAAAAAGTCGTATCAGTCGTGTCCAGCACTCGTCGTCTCTGCAGCTTCTGCTCTCTGCTCTCTGCTCTCTTGTCTGTCTACAATCCCTCACTCCAGCATCTTCCTTCCTTCGCACTCACTCACTACTCTCCCCTCAGCCTGATATACTCCTCAAGAAAAGCCCCGTAAACGGCCCACACGTCCAGATCCGCCACGGGACCACGCTGGAGGTCCAGGAGTCTCTCAGACTCGCGACGTTGAGCGTCGAGCTCGCGCTGGTGGGTTGCCCAGAGGTGATGACGACGACGACGCTGCGTCTCCTGCTCGTGGTGTTGCGTCTGCGTCTGCGTCTGCGAATGAGAGGACACCGGGAGATCGGTGTCGTTCTTGCACAAGGGATCAAAGTAGGCGAGGGAGAGATCGTCGAGAGGTCCAGAGGAGGCGACTCCCAAGGCAGCTCTGCCAAGCTCTGTACTATGCTTGTTTGTCTGGATCTGGCCGTGTAGCTGCATTGGCTGCGTGTAAGCTGCACCATCCTGTATATGCTGTGCAGAGCTCTGTGATGTAGTGTGAGCAGTGTCGGATAGGATTGGCGGGGAGAGAGATTGGCCCTGTAGCCAGGCTCGCATGGCCTTCTCCTGCTTGGACTCGGTGGGCGTCTCGCGACTGCCCTTGCTACGCTCCTGGGCGTTGCCTTCTGCCTTATTGTTGCCCATCATCATGCGCAGAGCTAGATCTTCTTCGATTCCTTCTTGAATGGGAGCACCTCCCATGCCGCGCAATTGACCGGCCTCGTAGTCGTGGGCGACCACATACGACGAACCGGAGCCGGACCTCTGACGTACATCCGACGTCGACAAGCTCGACGACGAAGAGCGGAGCATACTCGTCGCATTTGCAGCTGGGTTGATCTGCGTCCAGGGCCATCGACTAGTGGTACCAATGGTGTGCAGCGTCGTTGACCTTGGTCGACCGGTCATCGACGTCCCGCTGTTCGAGCCAGCCATTTCGCTGACGGTAGCCTCGCTGACGAAGGGTTTGGCGTCCGGGGAGAAGGCAGAGGAGAAGGAGTTGCTCCTGCTTGGGGCCACAGAGCTCGACCATTGAACCTTTGGACCGGTCAAAGCGGTCCCAGTACCGTCCCCACCGTCTCGACGAGGAGCATCGCCCCACGACGATGCAGAGCTAGAGGAAGCACGGCTTCGGCCAGCTGCAGCTGTCCCTACCGGTTGGAAGGCATTGGTCATGGCAAGGGAGGAGCTGAAGTTGGGTGCTGATGTCATACGACCGAGCACAGAGATTGGACGGTCGAGCTCGTCTACAACCAGTGTCTTACGGACATCAGTGGGCGTCTGTTGTGTTGATAGGTCCTGAACATTGCGCGGCGTCGTCATATCTTCCTCACCCTCATCGAGAACAGTCAGCAAGGTTGGATGGAGAGGCGCAGGCAGATTCGATGAGGTGCGTGGTCGCGAACCAGCTACCATCTGATGCTTGCCAGTAGTGTCATGCGACGTTGCCGCGGCCGCCCAGGCATTGGCTGACCTCAGTCCAGTGTTGAGAGGTGACGAGAAGTAGGAGCTTGAAGATGGTGAGAGGATCAGACTGACAGTGTCCATTGCAAAGGGCGAGGAGGAGCCGGAAGAGAGTGTCGATGCTCGACTTGAAGTCGACGAGCCGCCAAATGCAGTAATCGGGGAAGAGCTGGATCTGGCGCGACCACCCACTGGTAGCTTGGAAGGGTTGGTCGAAACCGAAGATGGTGTAGCGTTGGCCATCTTGCCCGACGTATCGACGGGGTGCGAGGCTTTGCGACTGAGCGCGTCTGTCATTGCGTCGGAAGGGGGAGGAGTCACAAGTGTGTCCCGTCCGCTGAGCTTGTCGAGCAAGACATTATGGAAGCCGGCGAACGTGTCGCTCTTCTGCTCGGCTGACTGCGCCTCTAGGGCAGCGAAGGCAAGGTATGCAGCACCAAGCGCAGCTCGCGAATGAGAGACTCTGCTGCTAGTGTGTGCAGCTCTGCCATGGCGACGATCCTCTTGTGCCTCTTGCTCCCGGTGCGTAGTCCAGGTACCTCCGAGGATATTTGCATAGCACTCCGCCATACCACGATTGTGAGCTGCTTTGCCCCAAGCAAGCACTCTTACAGGGCACAAGGTGACATCGTAAGGGTCGAATCTGAGAGCACCTCCTACGCCGTGATAGCCACAGGCGAAGTCTACGTTGCTGGGGACGGGCTCCAACGCAAAATATCCAAAATCGTCAAAGAAGGAGGAGCTCTCTCGGTCGCCAGTCCAGATACGACCGATGCTGGAACGGACGGAGAGAGCCTGACCTTCGATGAGACAGCGAGCATTGGCTCTGAGGTCGCTGAACTCTTCGACGCGGATGCCCATTTCGTATCGATTGAGGTCTTGTCTCGTCTCAAAGTTCTTGCAGACAGAGTAGAACTGCAGGGACACAGGGGCAGGTCAGCTCATAAACTGTATGCATCCAGAGTCTCGGTAATTTTCCCTTCCACTTACCTTGTTGTCCATGCCTATGGATCCGCCTGCACAGACTGCGCTCATGAGCTTCTGGTATGCATCCCAGTTGGCGTTGGTGTAGACGTCTCTGATCGTCTTGCGAGCACGTCCGGCTCCAGTTGCCTTGGTGACCACCAGATGAGTACGAGTAGACGGCTGGAATGAGCTTGACACATGGTGTGCATTTGAAGATGACTGGCTTGCAAGTGGATGTGGGACAATTCTAGCTCCGGGGATAAAGACTGGCGTAGTGGTCGGGACGATGAGGTAGTCGTCGTTGCCAAGTTCGAGCCCAACATCTCCATGTTGAGGGAGATGCGAGAGGTAGCTAGCCATATGAGATGGTATAGGAGACATCACGACGCAAGATGGGTCGAAGTGAAAGCGCTTTGTAAGCCAAGGCGAGGCTCGCCCAATGGAAGCTGTACCTTGTCGAGCTGTACCAAGAGCTGCTTTGAGGCCGTCTGCAGAGAAGACGTCTTGACGAGTGTTGCTGGAATCGGCGACAACAGCGATGAGCTCCTCGTCCCATTGCTGGCTGTTGACATTGAGGAAACCAGTCATGCTGGCTTCGATGGCCGAAGGTCTGTCGATACGGGCGTCAGCCTGGATGTTCGCAGTACCTCTTACCACTTTCTTCAGACTCACCCAATGATCTTACCCGTGAGGACACAGGCGAAGAGCGTGCCCAAGTCAGCAATCCTCTCCGTGTGAGCGAGAGCCACTGCAGCATCCAGCTGGCTCCGGCCAGTCTGTGTCGCACCGCTTCTAGCTGAGGACAAGGCAGCTGCGAGCTGGACTGGCAGGCTGTCAATGGTCAGTGGTCCTCCCAATCGTCGAGCTAGGGTGTTCCGAAAGCTCTCCCTTGACACGAGCCTCTCCACGGGCATGTTAGGGTCCCGTCTGATCCGTTCGCTTCCACAATCGATGAGGTGCAGACCGACGCGCTCGGCGAGACGGTTCTCAAGGTGCACAAGGTCGCCGAGCTGAGGAGTGACGAAGTTGTGCAGTAGGAGAGGGTGAGCCAAGAAATCCGAGTGATCGAGCTGGATATGTAGAGGCTTGTCGGGAGAGAGATTGTGTAGGACAGAGCCTCCTGAAGTGGAAGTCAGGACGCGCAGGTCCGGCTGGGCAGAGGAAAGGTAAGGACATGGATCCAGGAGATCAGCGATGGAGGCTCCAGTATCTGCGCATTGGAGAATACTCACAGCTGAAGCGATGGAGATAGCGACTATGCTAGAGGCTAGGGGGAGGCTTCCCTCCACGTGACCACCCGGTAAGGCAGTCGATGAGGGCTTGCTCAGCCATTCTAAGCCTTGGTCGAGAGCTTCCAGGTAGTCTCGAACGGCAAATGGCGCCGCATGAGAGCCAGAGATGGCCTTGCGCGGCTGGCTCGGGTCATACGCTGCGCTACTGAGGGATGCAGAGGACGACAAGGTTGAGTAGGCGCATAGATAGCAAGAGCATTCATCTAACTATACGTACTCGTATGTCGCGTCGCGTCGAGGCTCTTGCATGTTTACACATCGCAGGGGTATGGTAGTGGAGTTGATGACGGCGAGTCGGTCCTGCGAATCGACGAGTGTCACGTTGATTCTGTCTGGACAGATTTCGAGGGACAGGATGAGATGGAGGTGTGGCGCCGCCATGGCGTTGAAGAGGACGGATGGTCCTTGTCGATGCTGATGAGCCTACAGTGGGGCCACAAGGAGTATGGGCTATGCGAGGAGGCGAGGAGGATGATGTGTGGTGGAAGGGAGGTGGAGGGGTCTCATACAGCGAAGGACAGATGGCGTCTGAACGTCGACCTTGATAAACACCGGACGCCAAGAGAGATTGAGGCACGGAGAGATCCGCAGGAGGGTCATTGACTCCAACCCTCGTCGTCTGCCGTGCGCCCGCTTCACCCCCTCGGGTTTAGGTTTCTTCCTGTTCCAGCAGCGAAGAAGGGGGGTAAAAGGGGAGAAGTGGCAACCAGGGACACCAGGCAGGCCTCGACGTCGTTGCTGCAGGGAATACAGTGCTTTGCTGCAAGGCACCGGTCTTCGTTCGTCGTCGTCCTCCGAGGCTTAGCCAATCAATGTATCTCTTCTCCAGCTTTGCTCTCTCGACGCTCCACTCGCTCGCAGCGCAGCGCGTCGACATGGCAGCAAAGAGGCAAGCGGGTCCTCCTGCGAGCTGGACAACGAACTCTTGTGCCATGGCCTCCTCATCCCTTCAGCCGATGTACGAGAAGCCCCGAGCGAAGTCACGCTAGCCAACCTTACCCAGCAGCAAAGTCAGAGCCGATTGAGGGCAGATTGCTCACCTGCAGAGTCACAAGAGTGCAGCCGAGACAGAGCGGGTGAGAGCGGTCAGTCTTGCGCGAGCTCAGCAGGTGCTGATTGATCGATGCAGAGGCAGTCACGAGGGAAATCATGCTGTAAGGGAATTTGACGAAGAGGGCTCGACAACGAGATACAAGGATGCTGGACGAGGGCGTAATACAGTTGTCTTTGGCCCTCCTAGAGAGTGGCCGAGCGTAGCAGCCACTGGTGACTGGGCTCGAGAGCTGACGAGCATCGGTCTGATAGCTCATCAAAGGGAAGCATGAGAAGGGCTGGCCGTCGTCCTCGAAACATCATGAGGATCTCGTCGTGGGAGCGAATATTCCCCGTCTATTCCCATCGATTATCTTGTTCAAAGGGAGCCTCCCTGGGGTGGTGGAACAGGACGCGAGGTTGAAGGATTTAGTGATGCGCTCGCTCAGATGGTACTGCACAGACGTCTTCATGATTGCTGCTCCTGGTCTACTGTGTGACTCACCAGCTGCTCAACCATGGCATCAATCTCATCTCCATCCTCCATGCCCATCGTGTCCGCCGTATCATCATCATTGATTCTGGTACCATCAAAGAGGAATCGAATCGATGTGGCTGGCTTTCCCATCCTCTCTGCATAGGCACGCTGGAGCTTTGAGAGCTTAGTGTGCTTTTTGACCTTGAAGAAGACCTCGTTTCCATCGGCGTCCTTGACCTTGATGTTGAGCTGCTCGGGCTCAGCCTTTGGGACCTGCTCTTCTGCGTCCGACATGGTGGTGGTGAAGTGTGTGAAGGTGGTGAGGTTGGCTGTTACTCTGTGTGTTCGTGTCAAGAAGCTGTATGCTTGGTCTGCTTGGCTTGCTTGCTTGCTTGCTCAGGTGCGGGTGGCGATGTTGATGGGTGAGTTGGGTGAGGGCCAAGGTGAAAGTGGGGAAAGTGGCCAAGCGGAAAGGGCGGCGGGATGGGCTTTGGCTGATCGGAAGGCGGGTCGCGGGTGAGGGGGAGCGTGTGGGCGTGGCTTCATCGTCAATGCGCGCGGCGTCTGGCAGTTGCTCCACCCTGAAGCAGACGAAGAAAGACGTGGGCCGTGGAAGGCGGGCGAGGCAACGACGACCAATGGCGACTCAAGTCTAGCCATCCCACTCCTTTGTAAGCTCGTGGCCAGCATACATTCACACCATCGCACACCCATACACTCACCTCCGCATATACCATCATCACCCCTCATGGCTCCGGTAGCAGCATCCCACGCTGCTGACAAGGCCACCCACGCCGCCAATGCAGCCTCGTCGCAGGCCCACACCGCTGCATCGCGCCTCTCACGGTGGGTGGAGGACAACAAGAATCTCGCCGTCGCCCTAGGAATCGGTACAGTGGTGGCTGCAGGAGGAGGTGCCTACTACTACTTTGGAACACAGAGCAGCAAGTCTAGCAGGAGACCAAAGTCTCCGCCTTCTTCGAGGGTCGGCGACGATGGAGAGAAGAAGTCTGCCGCGGAGGACACAAAGGAGGCAGAGTCGGGGACTTCGGCCGCTGCCGCTAGTGCTGCGAAGAGCAAGAAGAAGAAGAAGGGCAAAAAGACGACCGGTGGAGGACCTTCCATAGATGAAGGCTTGAAGAGCAGAGATGGTCCTCTGTTGGAAGAGGCATCGGACGAGTCTCTCTTCGCTCTCTCTCCGGAAGAGATTGCAAAGCTACCACAGGAGGTGAGTGGGATGGGCTAGTGCAAGAGCTGATCAAGGTGAACAGAAGAACTGATCCCTCGGTCTGCTTTTCATGCCTAACAGCGCCGTGTGCCGCTTGCTCAAGCTCTCAAAGCCCAGGGTAACAAAGCATACTCCTCCCGCAACTTCCAAGAAGCCATTACCCTCTACACCAAGGCCATTGCCGCTCAGCCGCTAGCTGTCTTCTTCTCAAATCGCGCCGCTTGCTACTCCAATCTCGGCAAGCATCGCGACGTCATCTCCGACTGCAACTCTGCCCTTGAGACAGATCCAGCATACGTCAAGGCATTGAACCGTAGGGCGAATGCACAGGAGCAGATTGGTCAGGATGCCGATGGCGACAAACCAGGCAAGGAACTCGAAGAGAAGAAGGACCTTCTGTATCAAAGTCTGTGTGACTTCACCGCTGTAGCTATCCTGGGCGGCTTCTCAGACACAGGAGCCACAGAGAGCGTGGAAAGGGTGTTGAAGAAGCTGGCTGCTGTCAAGGCACGAGAAGTGCTGAGGACAAGAGAGCCAAAGCTGCCATCGCCTACCTTTGTGACCGCTTACCTGGAGGCCTTCCGCAAGAAGCCGATGCCCACTTTGCCAGAGAATGCTTCGCAGGCAGACCAGACCCTCCTGCTTGCCTTCGAGGCTCTGGAAGCTCGCAACTACCCCCACGCCTCGTCTTTGTTCAACGAGGCAGTAGAGCAGGGACCTAGCACTGACGAGCTCAAGTCGCTCGCATACAACATGCGTGGTACCTTCCGCTTTATCATCGGTCAGGCTACCGAGGCCCTCGAGGATTTGAACAACGCCACCGATCTGCAGCCCAGCTACGTACAGAGCTGGGTGAAGAAGGCTTCAGTCCACATGGAGCTTGGAGACAAGGATGAAGCCTTTGCAGACTTCGACAAGGCTGTCAAGGCCAACTCGGAAGACCCTGACATCTTCTATCACCGAGGTCAGGTTCACTTCATCCTCGGTCAATACACTGACGCAATGGCCGACTATGACAAGTCGACGAGTCTGGACAGCAGCTTTATCTTCTCTCAAGTACAGCACGCCGTTGCACAGTACAAGCTGGGCAACATCACCCAGTCCACCAGCGCTTTCAGAAGTCTCCTGCAGCGCTTCGGCGACTCTTCGGAGGCCTTCAACTACTATGGTGAGCTGCTGCTGGACCAGCAAAAGTTCGAGGACGCAATGCGGAACTTTGACCGAGCCATTGAGATTGAGGCGGCCAAGGATCGCTCGCGCAACGTCTTGCCAATGATCAACAAGGCTCTTGCCCTCTTCCAGTGGAAGCAAGACATGGCAGCTGCCGAGAGACTCTGCCGGGAAGCTCTCAACACCGATGAGGACTGCGATGTTGCTGTAGCTACGCTGGCTCAGCTGAGCTTGCAGCAGGGTAAGCTGCCAGAGGCAATTGAGTGGTTTAGGAGGAGCGCACAGATCGCTAGGACGGAGCCGGAGTTGAACAACGCGATTACCTACGAGAATGCTTCGTTGGCGCAGCTGCAATTCATCAAGAGTGAGTAGTCATGGCAGACTAGCAGCAGCATTTGCAGGCCACCGCGCCGGGTCGACGAAAGCTTCGACTGACAATGCCTTCTTCTTCTTCTTCTTCTTCTTCTTCCGCCTCCTACTCTCTGCAGACTTCCCCGAGCAAGGTGCTGCCCTCTCGGCCATGGCAGGTGGCGGTCTAGCATGATACAGACCCTGCCTCCTCAATCAAGTCCTCTATCCCTGCCTTGCCATGCCCTGTCTCCTTTGCAATCCACGCCTCATCTAGCTTCACCACTCGTGCCTGTTCTGACGGAACTAGTCGCGTCCAGCGCTCCTATCCAACCTCGTACTCCTACCCGCACTCGCACTCTTATCATGTAGTCTTGTACGCCCTGTCCCTCCTCATTCATCTCTGCTCTTCCTCCTTCTCCTCCTCCTCCTCCTTCTTCTAGTCGCAATCGCGATCGAGGTCGCGTTCATCTCTGCAATGAAAAGAAACGAAGTAAAGCAAAGGCAAAGTGCTCTGGTGTGATGCCGTCTGGACAGCATCTGCTTCGCAAGAGCAAGATGGGGAAGGAAAAGGGGGGAAGCTCAGAGTGACTTGGGTGATCAGCTGGTGAATCAGAGAGGCAGGTCGGCAGAAAGGTGAGCATGCAGGTTGGTGAGCAGGTAGGTATCTGATAGTAGCAGCGATCGTCACAGCGAAGGAAAGAGAAGGGTATCAAGGTGTGAATTGCAATTGTGAGCCGATTGCGAAGGATGGGGGAGGACATGGAAAAGTAAAGAGCATGAGTAGCTTGAGTGGATGGAATGGACGTGGTAGGTCCGAGGGTACTCCGCTAGGGCCGAGGTGTGGAAGTGTTGTTGGATGTGTGTAGCATATGTTGATGGGCCAGCCTGCCTGTCCGCCTCTGATGGTTGCTAACTGTTATTGGTGTCGACTGTCGATGTCCGTCCATGGATCAAGCCCCACCCATCCAGGCCTCCCATTCTACATCTCTTCCGGTCTTCTATCCTACTCTACTCTTTGGCTATATCCGCCCCGCTCTAGTACCACCACCCCTCCTGCCACCACCACATCCCTGGCAAGTGATGCAGGAGATGGTAGCATTGCAGATGGATGCGATACCACCAATGATGGCGCTGAATACGCTAGCAATGGCGTTTACGATGCTGTGAAGGCAGGAAGCGACGACTGTCAAGACGGAAAAGCGCAGGGAACAGAGGGGGTGGGGAGTCAGGAGTCTGCTACTACGAGGTTGTTCCAGGCAGAGTGGTTACTCACCACCCATTTTCGAAGATTGAAAGTTGGGAGAGGTGTAGTCGGTAGAATGATTGTTTGTGAATAAAGGGGGGGGACTGAAGCGGATAAACGACAAAGCAACAAGCTCTTATGTAGGGGGGGGGGGGGAATTTTTATCCACTCTACCCTTGGGCCCCTGGCCTCTGCCCCAATGTTGACTCGGTAGGGTTTTCTTTTTACCTCGGTGCTGTGCCGCCCCGACGCCCAAGAAAGCAGGCAAGCAGGGTCTGGTACGGCAAGGGGCGGGGGCGCGGGGCTGATCGATGACGATGACGAGTGAGCTAGACCCTGGCCGGGCGGTGAAGGTCATCCTCCCTCGCCCCCTCTGTCCTGCTACTGGGGCTGCCGTTCCTTCCCTCCCTCGCTCACTGATCCTCTATCTCTGATGTCTCTATTGACTTTTTCTTTTGGAACTAGCTATGACTGCATCGCATCGCACCGCCTGTCGCCTTTTCGCCTTGATCCTTTCCCTTTCCGTCCAAGGCTCTGACGCCCTACGGCATCGCATCGCATCGCATCCCATGGCACATTGCCCTCGCCTACCAATTTTTTGTGCTTCGCTTCCCCGCACTCGATGCCTAACACAGCTCAGATGCATCGCGGGTGGAGGAAGGTGCACCGCCCCCCTTTGAGACGTCGATGCAGCCCTGCAGCTTCGATGCGTCATCGCTTCACAACATCGCACCGCCCTACTGACTGACTGACTGACTGACTGAACTGGAACTCCACAACCCCTCGATGCTTATTCTCGTCCTTGACGTCGTCATGAGAGATCGTCAGGGTCGATCATCGAAGCCCCTGCAGGCAGGACAGAGCGAGAGTGAGGCAAGCCATGGCGAGCCAAGGCAAGGCGAAAGAGCCACCAGGGCAAAGAAAGGAAGGAAGGACCCTTGGGGGGCAATTGGCAGTATGAATAACCAATGGCTGTCACACAGCCTCAGCTACCGGGAGCGGCCAACACCCAGGCCTCAGTGCCGGGTCTAGCTAAAGAGAGGTGCCGATGGGACAGGATTTGGATTGCCCTGCCCGAACGGGTCTGAACCCCGTGGGTAGAAGAACTCTGGTCTACCGCTTGCACCGCTTTGACCTCTCGTTCCCGCCCCACCCCACCACACCCCGCCACGCCACGCCATGGCCCGCCCTGGTCATTGCATCTTTGGCAGCTCACAGTTGGAAGCGGTGCGCCCAGCGAGTATGATGTACTTGTCCAAGCGGTGAAGGTGAAGCGAAGCTTGGAGATGCGGGACACAGACCATCCTTGCACAGAGCAGCGGCTCCACTCCGGTCAGCCTAAGAATAAGTCATCTGTCTGTCTTCCCCTGGCACTGGTAGATTCTCGCTCAGGCCCTGTCTTGGAGCTTGATCATCAATGGCGAAATGGGGGCCGCACTCGTCAAGGAAGCATCGTGTTGTTCCACAACATGACACCAAGAACGGGCGGTTATTTAGACGGAAGAGTCGTGACTGGTCACGTGCTTCGTTGCCTAGCTCCCAGCAAGTGGACAAACTCCACCGGAAGACTTGAGGATGCTCTCTTCTCATGAGGCATCCCCGGAAGCCGTGGCTAGTATAGGCAAGAGTGAGGCGAGGGTACAGCGAGAGCTCACAGTAAGGCGAAGAGAAAGCAGTGAGAGGATGTTACTCGTGTATGGTATCATTAAACGAAGGAACGATGGAACGAAGAACGAAGAAACGAGGAGAACAGAGAAAAGTCGTGATAGCGTAGGCGAGTGAGGCCCAACGCATGATGAGGAAAGGGCAAGGGCAAGGGATGCAGGCGTGTCATGTAAAACCCCAGAGTGTAAAGACATGGTAGGTAGTTGATGATGCCGCATATGATTTCGTGACGAGTGCGTGACTGATGATGTAGACCGAGACCCTATGATGACGATGTTGATGATGATCATGATGATAACCATGATGTTGGTGGTGGTGGTGATGATGATGATGATAATGATGGTGGCAAGGCTCACGAGAAGACCAATGACGCTGTGCTGGGGCCAATGCTGAGGTGGTGCACGTAACGACAACTCAACGATAGCCGGGCCCACTTCCACCTCTACTGTCAGAAAGTCCCATGCCAAGCATAGGAGCCATGCCAGTCTCGACGGCAGAGGGGAACATCCTCTGACGGTAGAGGTCGCTGCTCTGCGGCTGCTGTTGGAGGCGCATTCGCTCCTGCTGTCGCTCCAACTCCTGTTGTTGGGCCCAGGAAGCAGTGCTCTGGTTGAGATGATGCTGATCGGTCCGCTGTTGATGTTGATAGTGCCCTCGACCAGGTTGCTGCTGCGCTTCAAAGTCAAAGGATCCGAAGTCACCACCAGCAGCATTCGCATGGTTGACTGCTGCGCCCTCCTGCCAGTGCCGTTGTTGAGGAATGCCTGCTTCGAAAGATGCAGCTGAAGACGAGGAAATGCCTGCTTCACCTCCAGTATGACGAGCATTGGGGAACGAGCGATGAACCTGCTGACTAAGACTAGAGTCAGGTTGCCAACTGCCCGCCTGACTGCTGCTGACATCGTCGCCTCGACTCAGAGCTTCCGCTCTGGTAGACGCAATGTCAAACGGCACCGCACTGGGGTCATGAAGCGCCTGCTGTTGCATTGCCCGCACGAGCGGTGACTCAGAGGGATAGTCCTGGGCTTGAACGAGTTGGTGTTGGTGCTGATGCTGGTAAGCCGCACTGTCAAAGAGTCCATGAGGCGAGTGGGACAGATCGGCACTCGTGTCACTGCTGTCCAGGTAGCGAACACTGCCAGAGCCTTCATGCGGCCCCAGGGCATAAGATGCATTTGGCGGTTGGTGGTGCTGTTGATGCCAGCCTCCTTCTTCGCTCTTGATGTGACCGAGGCCGTCGCTGCTTGCCATTGCGCCAGAGACAGCAACTCCTCCCGAAGGTGTCCAGCTACGAGACGACACAGACTCTGTTTTAGGCCAGCCCAACGCCTGTTGTAGGTACACCGCCTGTTGAGGCTGCAGACCCAGAGCTGCTTGGTCTCCGCTGATGCCGGCTTCGTACTTGCCGCTGTTGAGACGTTGAAGTTTGCTAATGCCGCTGCGGCCACCGGTACCGGTGTCTGCGGTAAGATGAGGCGGAGCGGAAGATCGAGGGATCATTTCGGCGCCAAAGGGCTGCTGCTGCCAGTACGGACCACCAGAAAGACCGCCGACGTCAACTCTTCCCCTGGCTCCGTGAGCAGCGCCGGGGAGTCCCCCGACGGAAGATGCTTCGAAGGCTCTGTGGCCATTCAGGTTGTCAAGGCCAAGCGCTGAGTCTTCCCCTCCCGTTGATCTGTACTGATCGCCTCGGGAACCCTGACCCATCTTGCCCACCCCAGCAGGGTTCATCACGTTGACATAGAATGGGTCAGAAGCCCTTCTCTCCGCTGCACGACCTGCACCGTCGTGCGCAGAAGCTCGGCCTCCAAACGGGTTTGCCTGACCAAAGACCTCGTGCGTCCCTGTGGGAGATACTTGAGTGGCGGTATTGTAAAAGTGTTGACCACTGAGCCCTTCGCTCCCAGAAGTGCCCTCACTACCTGAACCGGCGCCGCCTGCCCTACGAAATGACTCGCTTCCATCACCACGGTACCTCAATGTGCCGTCGGGTAGGACCTCGATGTCCGGTGGGTTGCGGAAATTAGACTTCTGCAGTATCATGGGGGAAATGTCGAGACCAGATATCTCGGGAAGGGACAGCGGAGTACGCAGGCGACCCGATCTGACGTCTTCTACTTTGTAGTATGAGATGAGGTGCTGTGTTGAGCCATGGACCTGTATAGAGATAGTCTTCTTGCACAGGCCGTCTTTTGCAAAGGGATAGCTGCTCTTCAAGCTACCGACCAGAGCTCGCTCGATTTCGCTTTCTCTGTTTGCGCCACCAGATGGAGACCTATGTGCGCCTCGGGACAGTGGAGAGCTATCATCGGTGACTGAGCTGGAGAGAAGTTGTTGCTGTCCTCCTGCACCAGTGCGAGGGTCGCTGAGTGGGTATGGCTTTCTGCGCTGGTTTGCAGCAGCTGTGTCCGATGCACTGCTGACAGAGCGTAGCCTGCCAGCTGGATGGAGTCTAGACTGCATCTGAGATGCACTTGGGGCACGAGCGAGGTCGCTGCCACCGACAAGAGGCATCTCTGACAGGTACGGGCTGTTGGGCGAGTCCAACGCTGAACCGGGCCGACTGCCAGAGTGAGGCTGAGCGAGGTACTGAGGTGAATAGGAGCTCACTCCTTGGGCCAGAGGGTCAAAGCCGTAGTCTGCTGATGAAACTGGGAGTTGCGAGGAGCTGGCAGAAGCGGAGGCCTCTGCGGAAGAAGACGAAGTCGTTGCGCCTTTACCAGCCTTCTTTTCGATCTGACGATATACCTGGTGGGACCAAGTGGGGCAAAGATGGATATCGTCGGTCAGTCGGCTCAAGCGTAACGTCAGGATGTTCCAAGCCAGTAATACAGCCATTCACTGGAGTCCAGATACTCACGAGGAAGTTCCACAAAATCCTGCTCGGACTCCATAGCAGCCCATCAGTCCACCTCTTGATTCCGCTTTCCCGCTCATCGAAGACGAAGACGGCGCCGCTTCTGATCAGCCTGCGCTCATCATCCCGCAGTCTCCGATTGACCTTTGGCATGATGCCTCTGCGAACACATTCGAATACGAGGAGAGCGTCATGTGTGCTGGAGCTGAGAAAGCAGATGGCAGATGGCAGATGGCAGGCAAGACAGTTCGCGAGCAGCAAAAAAGTGGTCAGCGGAAAGGCCCCCCCACATCGCCTGCGCATGCAGCAGCGAGACTCACATGTATCCGGTAAAGGTGGGCTCTGTGATCATCTGAGGCATCTTGTCCAATGGTGTAGAAGACGCAGTAGACGATCGGAGCGCAACAGACCCAAGTCAATGGGATCTGAAGGCGTCGTTTGCTTGCTAGCAACCCTCCGTGGCCGCTGCTGCCCGAGGGCAAAGCAAAGGGCGCTGCACGCGGGGCTTGCTGCTTGGTGAGCGGTGAGATGGACAGACTCAAGCTTGAGCACAGGCAGAAGGTGATGTTGAGATACTAGCCTGGATAGGATATGGCTGGGCTCAGCGTTGCGATGCGAGCACACGAGTTGTAGAGGGAGCCGCTCAGGCTTGTGTGAGGCAGAGGACGACGGACAGGTGGTAGGGTAAGAGAGAAAGAAGTAGGAGGGGGCGGGCGAATAGATAGGAGGAGCGCAGAGGATCTATATGACCCTGGCAAGGACCTGAGTGGGAGATGCCTTATCCGAGTGCAATGCGTGTTTTGCGTCTTGTTCTCAGGACAGGCACTGCCGCCGGGGGTGGCTGTAGATGGGCACTGGAGATGTGAGATTAGTGTGCCTGCTGCTGCTGCTGCTGCCGCCTCCGGGAACGCCTCCGATGATGATGCTAGTGGTGATGATGCTAGTGGTGATGTCGCTGGCCTGGGCATCTCAAGAGGACGGGAAAGTGGGGGCCATCAGGCACGTCAGGCGGGGTATAGGCAGGCGAGTGCAGCGGATCAAGAGGGTAGGAGCATCGCTAAGGAAAGTAACCGAAGGGACGCGGCCCATTTAGGCCCATTAATCTTACCCTCGTCCTCTGCTCCTTGACGTCCTCCTCCGTGTCGCACCAGGCACAAACAGACATAAACTTCACGGACCTGCCGACGGCGAGTCTGGGAGTCCGCTCAGTGAAGACCATGGTCAGACTGTCTCATCCAAGGATGTGGCAAGCTCGCCTGAGGGTGGGGGGAAGCCGAGGGGGTACGGCTCACCTCTTGTGCCTAGACGCGTATTCCCCCGCTTCCGCTAGTCTGCTCCATGACAGTCGCGTGCTGCTCCCTCGGCTCGCGTAATCGGCCCTTTTGTCGTCGTACGAGACTGACATTAGCATGGCTTCCATCTGGGCTGAGCAGACTGGGTCCTACAACAGCGTGAGAAGAATGGGCCTAGCCTGAGACCTAAGCGAGGTGGAAGGCCGCCAGGAGGAGGACAAAGACAAGAAGGAGGAGGCGGAGGAGCTCCGGGAGGAAGAGGAAAGCTCATCCGCCGAGGTGGAGTACGCCTCTCTCGCTTGCAGCAAGGCGACACTCCGCCTGCCTCCCGTCGCTGGATTCAGTCGACCCAAATGACAGAGGTACAGCTACGTGAATTGGGTGAATCTCCCTCTCCTCCTCTGCCGCCCTGCGTCCCAAGCTCGTCTTCCCACGCTTCAACCCCGCCATCGGGCATTGGCCTCACCAAGCGAGATGGGGCTACCTCGGGGTTGTGCGTAAGCCATTACTCATTTGGCCGGGATTACGCATCGCTCGACTGACGTGATATCGAAGCAGCTAGCAGTCCACTCGTTGGAGGTTTCGCTGACCACGACGGCTCCTCCGAATAGCCGCTGACAATACCAGCTCCTCGGACTTCAGTAATTCCTGTGTATTGTTTAGCCACTCTGAGTTGTCTCCCTGGCCTCTTTGCATGCAGCGACCCTTGAACTTCTGCACCTCGAGCATTGGCTCTGAGTAGCTGAGTTTCTACGAAGGACGTCCACGTCGTAGAGGGCGTCCCGCATGCTTTCCGGGCATTTTGCCCGCCCGTCTTCTGTTTTGAACCCCTTCGGCCCCCCCACCCTGCCCCCCACCCCCCTGCGCGCTTTACGGTGCAGCCACATCTTCCCACGCCGTCCTGAGCCATGCTCCGCCGTCTGCAAGCTGCAGCGGACGCGAATTTTCAGCTTGACACGACGGAGGAGGACAGGGGAGAGGAGAACAAAAGGCTGGGTGTCTGAATGGAGCTCAGGCTTGACGTGGGACACTGATGAACGACCTTGGCACCGAGGCGTCAAGACCCAAGCGAATGAGAATAGCACTGGCCACCGTTGCACATTTGCGCGGCCTAGCCGAGACGGTCTCCCGGCGGGGTTCCAGACTCGGTAAGATCCCCTCAGCGTCCCATGAAATGAAGTGGCTCAATAGCTCGCTCCCCTGGACTCTCGGACACGAGGCAAGCGAGGAAAAAATGACTCACCCTTCGCTACGCATCCCTTGGCCTCGAGTGACAATTATCCGATCCGCTCACACGACTGGGCAGCGGCATCGTGCACACTAGGCTAGACTACACCTCTAGGAGCGGTTGCACCGCCGCCGGCGGCGGGTCATCCTGGCGATTTGCCCGCCCCGAGGCGGAATTGAATGAACAGGCCTTGGCGATCCTGCGACTGCACCCGTAGCTGCAGACCCCGATCGTCGCTAGTGGCTATGGGCTTCTGGCCAAAAGTTCAGGAACCCACCGGCAAAACATCTTTTGAACGTACACCGCCACAACGGCAACGAGGGTGCAGGTACCATGCACATCAGCGTGAGCGAATAGCCACGGGGCGCGGGTTGTTCAGCCGGTCGCCGACCTCCAAGTCGAGACGGCCTCCGTGGAGGTAGGGCGAAGCAGCCCCTCGATGTAGCGGAGCCTCCGGCGGTGAGATCGGGACTACTTTGCCCCGCCCAGTCAGACATGTGGCAGCCACCAATGCACCTCTGTGGGAATGGACGTATGCACATCACCATCCACACTTGCGAGTCGTCTGCTGTTCCCTCTCTGCCGTCCGACATGCTGCCCTGGACGGGAAGCAGGGCCTTTTCCCACGGTATGTGAGATTAGCACACTGTTAGATGCCCGCCAAGAAGTACCCTGCTCGTGGCGCACGAGCCGTTTATTTCTTGCCCAAGAGAAAAAAAAAGCCTTCGCTTCACAGTGCCGAGAAATCTTCGGGCCCCCCACCCACCTACTCTTCGAATATTCCGAAGCTGTTTTTAGTTCTGTTCAATCCGAAGCTACGAGTCTTCAGCGCCTAGATAGGAAGAGAGAGTGTGAAGCGGACCTCCTGTGCATCGGAGGCAGGGAGTGACGGTAGCACTTACAGCGCCTGCGGGACTGGTCGCCTGATCAATTGCCCGAAGAAGGAGCTCCCCAACACTCCTTACCCGACGTTGTGGGTCTCACAAAGCTCGCCGTTCCCGTAAGCCTCGCTACGGCGTCCCCTTTCGATGCGATGTTATCTTGTGCTCCTCGTCTGTAGCTCTGAGACACCCGATCCAGGCACCGAAACACCCCCACCATAGGCTGGTATCTTTCATGACCCTCTTGCACAGCCTCAAGGGAAGCAGGCGCTTGAACAATTGCATCGGCTCTTTGAAGATCCCGTTCTGCAAAGCTACCCATCGGGAGGTGCGAAGTCTTCGGGCCTCCGTTCGGCCCATTGGTCGTATGCGCCCTATGCAAGGTAACAAGGTTATGTGTCCGATAGTAAGACGGGACGCGTTTTTGCGGGTCAGTGAGGCAGGCGAAGATATGGGCCGAGCTCCTGTCCCGTCGACGCCACAAGCAGCTAGCAATGTGCAATCCCTGTGGGTCTCATGGTGACTCACGTCCGCAACAGAAAGCGCTGCTCCGACGATGACTTGTTCAAAGGTGCTGTCAGAGAGTCCCGCTGGAAGTTCCCACCTCCGCGATGCGCACATGAAGCCATGGAAATTGGCCGATCGAAGGTCAGACCGGCCTCCGAGACCATCATCCCGTCCGTATTGCGTGCTGAAGCGAAAGGCCGATATATGTCTTGCCGCCCCAATCCATTCGGGATCGTTCTTGTCAGTCACAACCCCGCTCGAAAGGCAAGAAGCCTTCATAGGTGACTTCCCGATTCACATGTCTCAACGAGCGGGACCGGCTCATTAGCGGGGTATGTGTACTCCTGAGGACGCCTCGATGGGCGGCACTTCATTCCATCGTCAGCGGAGAGGACTACTAGTATGCAAGGCCCGATGGAAACGCCTTCCACTTTGGACGTGAACTGCAATGGCACAAGGAGTCACAGCTGCTTCGATGATCTGATATGCAGGCCTGCTGAGGTCCTCTACGTTCCCTGCTACGGTACATATCCGATCTGAAGCTCTCGTGAACGACACTGGCGTCAGACATGGGACAGAGCTGCACGTGATGTGAATCATTTGCGTCGCACAGAGCTCGAACAGTGACAACCAGCTCACTGCATCTTTCTTCTACAATTAGGTCTTGCTCTCGCTATCCGCCAGCTCTTGGGCCTCATCCCATCGCCTTCTCTTGCTTTGGTCCAGTCTTAGCTTCCAATCTGATGCTTGGCCCCGATGTTGCGCTTCGCGACTTTCCATTTGGTGAGGCTGCTGCTCGTGCGGGTCGACGAGGGGCCGGCTGCCAATGCCCGCTCGTCCTTCCATCACCGTTGGCAATACGAGCTTTCCTTCTCTCACTGGACCGGACTCGGGGTCAGACTGCGAAGACGAGTACATTTGCTTATAAAGCTGATACCCCCTGTTGTTGTCGCCCAATGGCTGAATTGGCTGCGCTTCCAGCCTGGTCTTCGACTCGCTGTCAATCCGCAGACCAGCGCCGGGCGTGCTGGGAGCTGAGGTCGTGGGATAGCTTCTCTGCCGAGACGGGCCTTGACGATGTCCAGCCATGTCCCCGCTCTCTGACACGTGCAGAGCTCTCCTTTGAGCAGCACGGTCTCTATAGGCAGGCCTTGGAGCTCCTCCTTCAGGCCCTGGTGATGGGCGTGGGCCGACCGTTGGGCTGGATCGCGCAGAAGTCGGCCTCTCTCTTTTATTCTGGCTCGCAGACAGATAGGATGACTGCAACTCGGCCATCTGACGTCGTCGCTCCGATTCTGCATCCAGACGGCGGTCACCTTTGCCCCTCAGCCCCCCAGACACGTAACGCGCGCTGTCGGGGGTTGCCGTCACTGTCGAAGATGAATCTTCAGACGTGGCAGGCATACTGCTTCTCGCAGCGGCAGTTGCAATTGTTTTGATCTCGTTTGAGGCGGCCTCATTCAGCGAACACCGATCGCAGGAAAGGTACGGCCACGTGTGGATGTGGACTTCGAAGGTAGTCTTGGCTACCCGCACCAGATCGCAATGGTTCAGCCGGCGTGGCGTCGAAGCCTTCTTGGCGTCGGACAGTCGATCAAAAGAAGAAGTGGAAATGTGTGACGCTCCCGAATTGGCAGCGGCGGCAGCGGGTAGTACAAAAGTGCCGTACGTTGATCCCGTGTCTGAGACGAAGAAGGAAGGAGTCCCATCCTGATCCTTCATCTCGAATAGATTGCAGTGATGCTTCGAAATTTCCATCACTGGCAGGCGGATACGTGGAGAGTACACTTTGTCCCGACCCTAGTGGACGCCAATGAGTAAGCGGTGGAATGCATCAGCATGGCCGGTCTGGTAGCGCGCTTTTACTACTACCTCTACCTACTATCGAGGTCCCCTGTCCTTGTGTGTCGATGACAGCGACAGTCTCCCTCTGAGCTAACACGTCGGACGAAATCTTGACGAGTCGCAGCTGACTCCTGCCATTGGGGGTGTCATTCCGTTGCTGACCGTCCAGGGTCTGACTATACCATTGCTCATCTGGCTCTACGAAGGTGTTTCTGCTCTGGTATGTCGCGGGCCCATCGTAAGTACTAGGAGGTGGTGGCAGCCAACTACGGGTGCTCCGACCCTGGTTTTGACTATAGGCCGCAGTCGCCGCCGTGTCCCAGTCGTGTGACGGGTAGCCTTGCTCCACGTAGGACCCCTTGAGGGAAGGCAGACGATCGCGCCAGAAGGGAAAGGCAAGGAGAATGTGCGAGTCAGACGTCGTTGCCTGCTTGTACAAGGTAGACTTGCGCCTGCATCGCTGACTGTCCCACTCATCACTGGGAAGCAGTGCAGGACTGGGATGCAGGAAGGCGCCCTTTCGCCGTCATCGTCTAGCTTACACGCCAAGAGGAGCCACCGCCTTGTGCTGGCTCATCGTCCGGGCCCTGTAAGACATAAGAGAGCAGGGACATGGTCAGTCCTCGAGCTCCTACCGCCTCCTTCTAGCCATTCAAGTCTTACCATCTGCCTCTTTGTGGGTCTTGATCGATTGCTGTGTTGGTCTTGCATCTGGTCCCTTCTGTTTGCATCCGAGTGGGCTGTGTGGTACGGGGGCGGTGGTGGAGTGCCTCCGGGCATCGCTGTGCCAAGTGAGTGCGGGGTGGAGCGGGTCGGAGCGGAAGGGCGGCGGGGCTTGTGCCTGTCGCCGTCAATCACAGATCGCCGCTGGCCTGGACTCGGGCCACGCTTCTTTCACCTACCCATCCATCCCCACCATACTGCCCGCCACCTTTGGTCTCGCTTCTCGTCCCAATCATCCCTCACTGGTAGTAGCTACCAGTGTCACGACCAGCGTCAGATACAGAGTGTCGTCCGGACAGCATCCCACTCTGCTGGGCTGTTCACGTCGCGCGCCTAGCTCCACACACTTGCCTCTTTCGCTCGATAAACCAGTCTATCATCTGACGAGCAATCCGCTGCAACCATGTCGATCCAGAACATGTCCAAGTCTGCGGTGCGGGTAGGAAAGAATTGTACGTACAAGAATGCAGCGGAGGTGCCCAGACTGCAGACGTGCAATCATTTAGGTTCCGTGGGAGGTGATCTGCTGCTGACTGCTTTCTCTACGTTTACGTACACCCTGGATCGGTGATTGATGCAGACATCAAGGGATAGTGAGTGATGAGTATGTCGGAAGCCTGCTCTATCTTCTTATCTGATCATCCCTTCTCCTGCGTCCGATCATTAGTACGGACACTCAGGTCAAGGTTCGAGATGCCACTAGTAACGACCCTTGGGGACCAAGCGGGACCCAGATGAACGAGCTTGCCCAGCTGAGCTACAATCAGTACGTTTGCACCGCTCACGACAAAGCATGTGGTACTGTCCTGACAGAAGCCTTGTCTCCTCTCCACGCTTGCAGGAACGACTTTATCGAAATGATGGAGATCATGGACAAGCGATTGAATGATAAGGGCAAGAACTGGCGGCACGTGTTCAAGACCCTTACCGTCCTGGACTACCTCTTGCATGCAGGCAGTGAAAATGTGGTCATCTACTTCAGAGACAACATGTACGTGGTCAAGACCTTACGAGAATTCCAGTACATTGATGAGGGCGGCAAGGATCAGGGAGCCAATGGTGAGTGAGGCAGACTGGGGTCAGATGCGATCGAGGCGCAAGCCACTGCTTGCTAACGGTCTTCTCTCCCCGTTCGCGCAGTACGCCAAAAGGCGAAGGACATTACGAACTTATTGCAAGACGACTCTAGGCTTCGAGATGAAAGACGAGGTAGAACCAATATGAGAGATCGCATGTCTGGCACCTCGGCGCCGCCCAACAACGACTTCGAGGACGAAGAAGGCAAGAGGCGGAGGAGGATGGAGCAAGAGAGAAGGAAAGCAAGGAGAGACAATGAAGACGACGAGTTGCGGAAGGCCATCGAGGAGAGCAAGCGCATGGCTCGAGAGGAGCAGGATCGCATTCGAGCGGAGTCTACCAAGTGAGTCATGAGACTGCGACAGCGATCAAACCCAAGGGGAGTGAGTGCTGAAGATCTCGACCTTTCCCCATAGCGAGGACGATCTGCAACGAGCGCTCGCCCTTTCGCGCGAAGAGGAGGAGAAGCGGATCAAGGAGCTCGAAGCTAAGAATCAAAACGCCCTCTTCGACGATGACTGGAACCTCATTTCCAATGCGCCGAACCAGTACGCTCAGCCGCAACAAACTGGATGGGGAGACCCGAATGCGATGTACATGCAGCAGCAGTACACTAGCTACAACCCATATTTCTTTCAGCAGCAGCAAATGCAGGCCCAGCAAGAGGCAGAGTACCAGAGGCAGATGGAACTGCAGAATGCCGCCCAGCAGTATCAGCAGATGATGAACCAGCAACAGCAGATGCAACAATTCCAGCCGATACAGCCACAGCCGACTGCTTTCGGGAGCAATAACCCCTTTGCATTCTCGCAACCTCAGCAGCCTCAACATACTGCACAACCAATGTTCCAGCCTCAGCAGCCTGCGGAATCGTCGGTACCGATCGGTGATTTGCTAGGAGGAGGCAGTACACCGAAGGCCGAAGTTCCTCCACCTCAGCCTCAGCAGCAGCCCCAGCAGCAGCAGCAGCCATTGCGGACCAAGATCACAGATGATCCTCGTCATGCTGAGCTGAACCGTCTCTTGGCCATGGGCGATGGAGTTGACACCTTTGGAAACGTCGGAGACGCCAGGCTGGGTCATGCTGGACGAGGAGGAGCCCTCATCGGGCAGAGAACAGGAGCGCCGTTGGGCAGCCAGCCCACGGGAAGCAATCCTTTCTTCAGGCAGTAGCAAGGTCGATCAAGACCAGAGCGTATTTGACCAAGTACGCAGAGCTTTGTTCTGCCTCAGGTCTGCATCAAGAAACCCGCCGTCCCGCTTCCCTGTTCCCCTGAGCAAACTTTGCCTAAACTTCTGTACAGTCTCTTTGTCCCACATCGAACTTCAATCATACCGCGTCTGCTATGTTCACGGAAGGAAATGTGGCAACTCCACATGAATGTCGGTCCGCTGCGTGCCTGTTTCCGCTGCTCCCTCTGCCGACTCGCACAAATCCTCCCTCCGTATTTTGCGGACTTCTGACCCCTGATACCTGTCCCCTGCCGCACACCTCCCAGTCTGAAGATCTGCTTTCGGACTGTCTTGCGGCTTTTTGCTGCTCTTCCACCTCGACTCGATCTCAGGGGGTGAATGAGCTCCTCGTCGCCTCCCAAGAGCGACATCGAGGACTCTCCTCTTCTGACGAGCTCCTCCTCTCCTATCGCCTCCTCCTCGAGGCTCCCAGTTCCGCATTACAATCCACCTCGGCTCCCTACAGAACTCCTCTTGCAAATCTTCCTCTCCTGTGCTCTCTCCCCCGTACTTTCCCCCACACCTCAGACGTACTCTACACTTCGGGCTCTCCTTGCCACTTGTCACTTGGCGAGGGATTGCGCGAGGCAGCAGCTGTATGAGACGCTGATACTGCCGAGAAGGGTGAGAGAGTTTCGAAAGTACTATGATACAGAAAGGGATAGAGGATGGATCGGAGCGGGAAGGACAAGGGGGCTGTTCTGCGCTCTGGATGATGTGAGTCGGGACCCATGTCGGGGACAGAGTCATTGCAAGACTTGCACTCACTGACCTGCACCTATATTGTCAGGTCTCTCGATTGACGCACACCTCAGCCGGCTGGGAGACGGCTTTCTTGCGTACCCTTCACATTCTCGGTCCGAGTATCGCTCACCTCTCCCTCTGGCACTCCGAGTCTCGCACTTTGCTGCGAGACGCGGGTCAGATTCGCAGTAAGAGGAATCTGCGAGGGAGCGATCCAGCCTGGGCTTGGGGAGAAGACGAGGAGATCGACTTCGACGAGGAGTCTGATGAAGATTTCGACGAATTAAGGCCGAAAGATGGCGGCAAGACTGGCTCTGAGGTGATACGAAGTCCAGAAGAAGTGGCAGCGATGAGGGAGAGAGCTCGACAACGTCTTCCCAATTGGCTACAGGCCGAGCTCACTTCATCCTCTTCTGCCGGTGAAGTGGCAAGGCGGCATCGAGCGCATCTGCAACCACTTGGCGATCCCTCGGACTCTACCTCTTCGGTATCAGGAGGACCTGACCTGCTAGAGTCCCACCTAGTGGCCGAGCGCCGCCTGCGCCTCAAGCGGGATCGGCGTCTCCTGAAAGGCTGCAGGCCTACATCTCTCTCCATCGTCCTCTCTCTTCCACTGTTTGAGAATCAGGAACCAGCCCTCTTCGCCTCGATGGTCGTCTTTTCCCGCTGCGAGGAGCTGGACGTGTATATGCCAGTGCCCGCCCATGCGCCCAAGTTGCTATGGCTGCTGAGCCATTTGCATCGCAGCCCCCTGCGGAGAATCAAGGTTACCACGAATCACTTTTCATTGTGCATGAGTGCGGGTCCTTTCGACCAGGCGGGCGAAGCAAAGAGAAGGCGGACAGAGAGGGAGGAGCGGAGAAAGAGGAAGAGATGGCGAGCTCAGGTAGCTAGTAATCCTCAAGAAGACGGAGAGGAAGGCTCGGGTCTCTCCTTGCAGCCCTACCCTGTGACTGAACAGGGCGAGGATCCTTCTGCACCACAGCAGAAACGGCCCATCAATCTGGCCACCTCCCTTCGCCTTTTCCTCGAGTCAGAGACCATTCGGCAAGCTCTGCTGTGGGAATTTACTGGGAGGCACTACGATCGCCCGCAAAGGCTGGAGAAGGTTCTTCAAGACGTGGCTCTCAAGAGTCAGGACGTGGACCCGGAGATGTTTGTGCGCGATGGAGCGACAAGTGCGCTTGGTTCTGTGCATCAATGGTGTAATAGTGCGGGGGAAGTGCTGGCCGACGTCCTGTCGACGAGCCTGTCCCTCGACGGGACCCTGTCCGCCTCTGCCACTGCTCAGTCTGCTCCCTCTTACGAAGACGGGGATGATCACGGGGATTGTCTTGCCGGCAGCTCGCCTCTCATGCGGGTCAGGGTGTTGCAGGGCAATCAAGGAGGTGCAGGAAAGATGAAGGACCGGCGAGAAGACTTCATCGAGAGGTCTCTCGGGCTGGGAGAGGGCATCTGGAAGCGGTGTGGTCTCTGGGACGATGAGTGAGCGGACTGCAACCACGGAAGAGTCGCAATGGATGCGATTCGATTCGAGCTGTATACACATAGAATTCCCAATATAGTGATCGGCTCTGCCTCATCGTCGAAGCGTGCTGACTGTGGTGGCTGCCTCTGTCTTGCGTGGCGCTCTGCACCCGGCCAACGCGGTGTTGGTCTCGGATTGACGCGGGGGAGAACGGAGTTCGAAACACAAACAAGGCACACACACCCACTCACCTCGCATCACACAGTGATCACAACTCATTTGGCCCCTGACTTGCCTTTGCCTCGTATCCTCTTCCCCTGCGGCTGCCCAGCTACCCCAGTACTCCTCCCTCCAGCTTCGGCAGGATTAGCCTCTGTCCACGCGATTCCCTCGACTGATATACCCTACAATTCGCATTCTTGGCTCTCTCCCTTTTAGAGCTCATTGACACAGACCTTTGAACATGAGAGAGATTGGTGAGCTCCTCCGAGACAAGCTATCATGCTAGACAAGACGAGAAATGTGTTCTGACTTAACTCTGTCCCGTCCTCGACATCTTTGCTTACCGACAGTACACCTCCAGACCGGACAGTGCGGTAACCAGGTCGGTGAGTCCTCCTCTCCTTCTGCTCCCCGCGTCGATGCTCTTGCTCAATAGCTTCCACCTCTTCACCTACCCTCTCATCAGGCTCGAAGTTCTGGGAGACTCTCTCGGACGAGCACGGTCTCGACGGCACCGGCGCCTACATAGGCAGCAATGCCGACGTTCAGCTAGACCGCATCAAGGTCTACTACAATGAAGCCGCTGAGCGCAAGTATGTTCCTCGCGCTGTACTAGTTGACTTGGAGCCTGGTACAATGGATACCATCAAGGCCAGTGGACATGGAGGACTCTTCAGGCCTGACAACTTTGTCTTTGGTCAGAGTGGAGCAGGAAACAACTGGGCAAAGGGTCACTACACTGAGGGTGAGTAGACAGGCCAGAGGTAGTTCCCGATCACTGCTAACTTCTTCTCCCTCATGTCCTCCTTGCAGGTGCCGAGCTCGTCGATCAGGTCTTGGAAGTCGTACGCAAGGAAGCCGAAAGCTGTGAGATGCTTCAGGGGTTCCAAATCACCCACTCCCTCGGTGGTGGAACCGGATCGGGAATGGGCACCTTGCTCATCTCCAAGATCAGGGAGGAGTACCCCGATCGGATGATGTCCACCTACTCCGTTCTTCCTTCGCCCAAGGTGAGTCGGATCTGAGCGAGAGCAAAGGTGGGAGGAAAGTGTCTGGCTACGTTGACTGACCACCTGTTTCCTCTATCTGTGATCAATGCGTCTAGGTCTCGGATACTGTCGTGGAACCATACAATGCCACACTCTCTATCCACCAGCTCGTCGAGAATGCCGACCAGACCTTCTGCATCGACAACGAGGCCCTCTACGCAATCTGCCACCGAACCCTCAAGATCAATACGCCAAAGTACGGCGATCTGAACCACCTCGTTTCGATGGTCATGTCAGGTGTCACGACTTGCCTGCGCTTCCCTGGTCAGCTTAACTCGGATCTTAGGAAGTTGGCCGTCAACATGGGTGAGCCGGCTGAGAGCAAAGGCAGACAAAGGAGAGAACTGTACCTAAGCTGACTTCCTTCGTCTATACTTCCAGTCCCCTTCCCTCGTCTGCACTTCTTCATGGTGGGCTTTGCTCCCCTGACTGCCCGAGGCTCGCAACAGTACCGCAACGTCTCTGTGCCCGAGCTTACCCAGCAGATGTTCGACGCCAAGAACATGATGGCCGACTGTGACCCTCGCTCTGGACGCTACCTGACGGTTGCGGCCTACTTCCGAGGCAAAGTCTCGATGAAGGAAGTCGAGGAGCAGATGCAGCTGATCCAGACGAAGCAGGCTCCTTACTTTGTCGAGTGGATCCCCAACAATTGCCTGCAGGCGCACTGTGAGGTGCCACCGCGGGGCATGAAGATGGCTGCTACGTTCATTGCAAACACCACTGCAATTCAGGCGGTCTTCAAGAGGGTCCACACGCAGTTCCACTCCATGTTCAGGAGGAAGGCCTTCTTGCACTGGTACACTGGTAAGTAGTGGAGTGGAGGGAAAGGCCGAGGGGACGTGGCTTGATTTTGCTGACGACTTCACCATCTCTTTTCGACGCACCTTGCCCTCCCTGATCAACAGGTGAAGGAATGGTGAGTAGGCTAAAGACTGTTGCGTCGCTCGTTTCTGCACGAGTGCTGACCTGTCCCTTCCACCCGTTTTGCCACGCTTGACAGGACGAGATGGAATTCACCGAGGCCGAGAGCAACTTGCAGGACCTGATGGCCGAATACCAGCAGTACGAGCAGGCCACTCTGGACGAGGACGAAGAGGGCGTCTATGAGGGAGAAGAGGTGCTGGAGGAGTAGAGGTCAGGGGTAAAAGAGGGTGTTGCGCTCGGTACGCGCTTGAAACAGTAGCCAGTTGCCTGCCCAGGGCTGTAGGGCTGTCTATGCATTGTAAGATGCGCAGCAATGCTGCCCTGGCCCTCTGATTCCTAACGTCGTAGATTTCTGTGGTTTCGTATCGCTCTGAATGAATATCTCTTTGAATCGTGTCCGAATGTCTGACAAGAGGGGCATCCCAAAGCGGGAAGCTCACCCTTGTGAGCAGATGTCCGTGCGAGCGGGGCTGGAAAGGAGTGTGGCCCGTGCTCTATACGGTGTAAGCGTGACCCTGCTGGATGTGTGTCTGTGTGTGTGTGTGTGTGTGTGCGTCTGTGTTGCTCTTTGCTCTGCGCTCTGCCCTCCTCTGCTCTTGTCGAGTGCGCTGTGCCTCACCGTCCGTCCCGTCCCCCTCGTCGTGGTGGTGGTGGTAGCAGCCGCCAATCTGCTCAGCCACGTCTCAACCACTTCAACCGAAACTGCTCCCCGTACCAAGACTCACCATGTCCGCTCGTCCTCTTCACCCACCTCCACCCTTCCCTCTGCAGCCACACCTCTTCTTTCCCCCTCCTGCTCGCCCGGGAAGTAGCACTCCAGCTACACCTCGACGTGACATGGAACTCGACTTGGAGTACGGCCAGGGCGCAGCAGGGCAGATCCAGGAAATCCTCCAGTCCGTATCTAGGCTTACCTCGGGCACTGGCACACCCACCAATGCTTCTGCGGGCGGTGCCGGCTTGGGTGAGAGAGGTGTAAGAGGAGTGGATGGGGGACTTTCTGCCGAGGAGTGAGTTCATCGAAGGACATGAGGGCGGAAGAAACAAAGAGAGGGCAGGAGTGACTACTGACTTCTGCGCCTGGTCTCTGCGTCCTGGTGCTTGCTGCTGGTAGGCTTGTCAATCGTCTGACCTCGAGACCTCAGAGCCCACTCACGGTAAGCGTATACCTCCACAGCCCACCCCCGCGACTGGGAGACGCTTGGGTTTCAGCTCTGACAACTCCCCCAATTTCCCGTCTTCTGTCCCCTTTAGGGTCTCAGTCCAGCTCATCCACGCGTACCCCTCAAAGAATGGACCCTCGGGCAGCCCATGGAGCTCGTTGTCCTCACTGGTCAAAGGGGCGGAGTAGTACCCTATAGTCGATTGTTCGAGGTAGAGGAGGTCATTGATCTTGATCTGTGAATAAGCGAGAAGTTTCGAGAGCAAGCCTTGCAAGGGGATATAGAGTAGGTCACTGACTCCCTTCCTATCTCCCCTCTGATCTGCTGCTTGCGAACGGCAGACACGACCTGCAGTGCCACCCAATCGCCTCGGGCTATCTGCTTCGCTTCACACTCCTCGAGTGGGATGAGGTCAGACTGGACAGATTGATGGTCTCTCTCAAGCGAAGCCTGAGAGAGGGCGCTCAAGGTGAGTGAACGCCATAGACAAAAGTGCCATCTCCAGTGACTGAGCTACAGCCCTTCTTCCCCAACCTGTACCCGTCCTGCTACTGTCCATACGTATACAGCTCGTGTGCAGCGTACCCTCCTCCACGACGCCTACTGGTCTTGGAGACTGCAAGTCACCATCCACCTCGTCTCCTCGGACACTTCTCGACAGGCGCTGTTTGTCAAGCATAGGATGCCTGCGGGATTGATCGCCGCGCTGTAGTGGTTGCGATGACTGCATAGGTGTTGCCAAGGGACTGATGGATTTCGGCGACAATCTAAAGGCTCGAAGGAAGCGTGGGGTAGGCTGCACACAGTGGGGCTTGTGTGAACGATCAAGGTGGACGTTTCTTGGACGTAAAAGGTGATTCTCTTCTCTCTCGACGAAATCATAAGCATCAATATCCATCACTCAATACAAGCACAATGGTGATTTGGGTGACTGGACATACGCCAGCTCAGACAAAGAGCTTCTCGGATCGCTGCAGCAGGCATCTCGTCTATGATTTTTGCATGTATTGCATCTATGCGCGTTGACAAGCTGGTGACATGTACAACGAAGCTGACTTGAGTTCTTCACAATGTTGTTATCTATAGTTTAGCCTCCCAGCCTCACGACATCTCTCTTTTCTTCTCACCAAGCAGCCCTGTCATCGCACATCAACTCCACTACTCCCCTCCCTTCACCACTCCTCCAAGCCAGCGTAGGATCATTATACTTGGCCACTGCCGCTCGCACATCACGCAGCAGCTCTCCAGGTCCGCTGGCAAAGACTCTTGTTGATAGACCAGAAGAGGTCGAAGTCGAGGCAGAGTGTGCTGCTGGTGCCTTTGCTGGACCTTCGAGGAATTCGCCAAGGAGATGGTGCAGATCTGGACGACCAATCTTGTGCAGTCGAGCAGTGGCCGTGCAGCCGTCTGGCTTCTCGAGGAGAGCGGTACCACTTGCAGGTGAAGGAGCGTCGGGAGATTTTGCGAGGGTGATGATGTCTTCGATTGGACCATCAACGCTGCTGCGTTCGCTGGCGTCGTTGCCAACGTATCTCTTCTCGGAGTCTTCCCCTGCGCCACTCTTCCTGCTGCTGCTGGTATCCAGGTCCTTTGTGGCTGCACTTCGACCTTGACAGCGCTCGGCTGAGCAGCTCACCGCAATGGTGTTCCCAATGGGCTGAGCGCACTTCTCCTCATCGTCCTCTTGCGCCTTCTCTTGCAAGCCAGAAGAAGTGATATCGGCGCTGACACCGCTATTGGGCTGTTCTCGAGTGACGAAGATGCTCAATTCGAAATCCATACCAGCCTCCTTTGCGGTACTCTGCAACCATGCCAGCTCTTTTTCGACCCATTGCACGTCTTGGACATGGCGCAAGATCCATACGAGGTGCAGACGAGATTTGGACCGAGTAGCGACGAGCTGCATTGCCACGGGTAGGACGTAGGTGATTCCCGTGCCTCCAGCTACACACAGCACATTACCTCCCTCGGCGCCTTGCTCACTGTCGGCATCACGTGTGAGGACAGACTGGCCATACGGTCCGCTGAGAATCACTGACAGGAGTGGTGAGCGCAGGGAAGCAGCCTTTGCGCGACTGAGAGAGGCGAGAGAGGCAAGAGCCGATGCGTCTTGCCTGGCAACGGCTTCCTTTGCTTCAACCAGGTCGGCAATCTTTCGTGTCTCTCCACCGTGGGCTCGGAAGATGAAGGTGTGCGTCTGAGTGTAGGCATTGGGAGAGAGGCAGGGTGTTGCAGCCGAGGTAAAAGGGTGACTCTGCCAGATGGTCGACTCGGGAAAGGTGAGGAAAAAGTGTTGACCCACCCCCCACGCCCTTCCAGGGTGAGTGAAGTCTAGACGGACTACGTCACCCTCGCCTGCTGGACTTGGGAAGCTCTTGACCGTTGCCTTTGCGGTCTGGAAGCGCATGCTTCCGTCCACAGAGTCGGGAAGGACATTGTAGTGCAGCAATGCGGTGCGTAGCAGTCGTAGCCCTCGGTCTAGTCCCCAGATGAGGACGGAGGGAATGAGGAAGCACTGCAGCAATTTCCAGTGACCAAAGCAACCGATGATGTACAGCATCGCGAGAAGGTAGTGGCTCTTTCTCCAGACCTCGTAGGGGATCCTGCGAACCACAAAGGGCAAGCACATTACCCAGAGCACGACGAGAGCGCAAAGAGCTACGTAGCCCCAGATGACGTACGTCTCTGTCAATGAGGCCTTACCGGAGGAGGGTTGCGGTTGGTAGAGTGCGGCGAGGATGATGCACCAAGAGGCCATGTGTGTGATGCTCTGTACAAGGATGATGTGTCCTAGCCAGCGATGAAGGAAGTTGAAGGACTCGTATGGGATGCCAGTGATCACCGATAGGAGCGACTCTCGACTGGCGAGGAGAATGGAGAGAGGCGTAAGACCAAAAGCGAGCGTGCCCAGTCGGTCTGCAAAAGGACCCAGCCCAGAGCGTGTGCTGGTGAGCGAGGGATCTTTCTTGCTTGGCGTGCGCCAAATTTTGTATACGATGCCTGCAAAAGTAAGAATGATGAGGTAGGAGGCCAGACCCAGGAGGGTGATTACTTGCAGGCGCGTAGCACCGCCGAAGATTGAGGGCAGGGGGTTCCTTGCGAGCAGATGTCGGTTGCACCAAGCTCGGACAGCAGCATTGGTGCGGGTGGTTAAAGCCAGGATACGATTTGGCTGCTGGCCGAGTCCAGCCTCACGATCGTCGCTAGCCCCCGATTGGGCAGGTTGGTTTGCAAGTTCGACGGCCCTTGTAGGACCACTCGCGTTGATCTTCCTCACAATGGCCCATACTAGCAGCAGACCAGCGATTGATGCCCAGAAGATGCCGATGTGAAGCATCCCAGTGGCATGGCCGTCGTAAATGGCATCAAGGTACTCGCAAGTGCCCTCGTCGCTCTTGCAGGGCAGGACTCGCGAGCCATACCCCCAGTAATTCTCCATCATTGCGCCATCGCCGTCATCGCCGTGGCGCGGGACGAGTGAGTCCATGCTCATCGTAGCAAGGGATAAGGAAGGAGGTTTGAAGAGGCGATAGCGAGTGCTATCGTAGGAGAGGGGGAGTGAAGAAGGACGAAGGTCGGGGGAAAGAAGAGATTGCCGGTGTCTAATTCTACCTTATCATATCCCTTCGCGGCCTTTACTCTGTCCCTTTGTTCTTGAAATGCTCCGGCGTAAGAGGCAAGATGAGGTCGGAGGGTATGAAGATTGCTGCGCAAGTGATGGGCTGGACGAATCGAGCAAGGTGTTGTGCGGTACCTGCATCGGGGCCTTAGTAGCCGGCGGCCTCCGCGGGAGGAGGAGCGGGAGGGCGCTCCCCTTTCGGACGCTTTTGTGTTTTTCCACCAAAAGGCTCCGACGCGGGCAGGCGGGGCGGGCGACCGGAGCATTTTCGCATCAAAGGCTCCGAGGCGCAGGCAGGCAGGCAGGCAGGCCGGCGATGGCAGGTACCTCTTGCTCAGGGGCCCTTCAAAGGCTCATCTATCGGCATCCCATTCCCCTTGTCTGGCATAAATCTCCCATCGCCGTAGTAGATCGGATCATCACTTGCCAGTGAACCCCCTTCATTTACGTCAACGCTCCAGCTACGATCAGGCTCTTTGTTCCTCCTGAACACTGTTTCGCCGAGTAGGCGCTCTTGCAGGTAGAACCATCACCACCCTTCCTCCGACTCAGTAAAGTCAGATACTTTTGAAGTCTCCAGCGAAGCTCGCCTCGACAGAAAAGCTCTTTTGTTGACAAGTCACTGGCACAGTATTCGCAATATGGACAGCGGTATGGACATGGGCATGGACTCGGACTCGAGTTGTGTTGTAGCGGTGAGTCTTGAGTTTGCTGAGTTCAGGCTGAAGGCGGAAGTCGAGTCGAATGGAGCCATTCCGCATGCTGATGCTGAGCGACACCTTGACTTGTCCTCGTACTTTGCAGATGCTGTGGAACTGGACCGTCATGGACGCTTGTGAGTTCATGAACAATGAGGTGTGTCGAGACATTCACTCCAGACTCACTCCCTGTCTACCTTCCCTTGCCGACTCTCCAGGTTTCATCTCTGAAAGCTGGCACATTCGCTCTCGAGGTGCCTTTGCAGCCTCTTGCATAGGTGTGGTGGCCATGATGTTTTTGCTGGAGTTCCTCCGCAAGATGGCCAAGGACTTTGATGCGCACATCGTCACCACCTTCCGTTCAAGGGCTGCTGCCATCAGAGCGTCCCGACATAGAGAAGAGCAAGGACAAGTCGAAGGCATGAATACTGCTGTGCATGGCCTTGGCAAAGTCCCATCGAACGGCACCACACCTGCGTGCTGTGAAAAGTCCCCTGCTACTCCCTTGGCAGCAATCGGCGGCTCTATCAAGCTTCGTGCGACTGTCCTACAGCAAGTGATCCGCAGCATCCTGTACATGGCCATCTTCACCCTAGCGTACTTTGTGATGCTGCTGGCTATGTACTACAATGGCTACCTGCTGATTTGCATCTTCCTTGGCTCAGGATTGGCGCACTTTCTCATCAATGGATTCGAGATGGACGTGCCCATGGAGCAAGACGGGGGCGCCGCCGGCGGCAGCGCTGGCTTTGTTGATTCGGCCGAGAAGGGATCTGGAGGTGCATTGAACGAACCCACTGTATGTTGCGGGTAGACGATGCAAGGATTGGTTGTCGGAGTAGCCGAAGGTATTGTTTATCTTGTCGTCCCCACACGCACCGTCAGCTCGATAGTAATAGTATCCGCATAGGTGATTCCACACAGATCTGAGCGCCACGGGGAGTGCGAGAAAGGGGCGAACCTGTACCTGGCAAAGGTCTGATGACGAGAGTGGCCGACGATCTCAAGCCATGCTTCGGGGACTGGTGAGGGGTTGCTGTCTGATGTGATCGACGTACCCCGCACGGAGTGTGTGGCTGAGTCCTGGCGCCTGGCCCCGACTGGCGTGGCTGCAGGCGGGCAATGACGACGACTGGCGTGCAACACGCTGCAATCCAACACCAAGCAACTTCTGACCTCGGCCCAATCGTTCCAGTCGCATCCCCTGCCCCACGTTCGATGCCCTACTCTCGTACTGGGCACTGTTGACCCTTCCATTTCCTCCAACTCATTTCCTTCGTCGTCCATCTGTTGTTCCTATTTGTGAGCTCTTGGTCCTTGGCCAAGCTTTGGCTCGCTCGGTGAGCAGCCTTCCTCCGGCCCGCAAGCAACCATGGCTCCTCCACCCCTTCCTCCGGCATCGCGCCAACCGGGCGCTCCCACACCTGCAACGTCAGCATCTTCAGCACGCATTCCAGCATCGAATACAAGCAGCAATAGCAAGTCTCGCCCATCGTCAATGATCATACCCAGTCAGCAAAGACAACAGACTCCCACGTCTTCTCCGCGGCCACGCAGCTCTTCCATCCTTAGTACAGCCGACTCGGCGGCTTCCACCTCCCCCTCTAATCCCTCTTCGCCTCGTGCTCCCAGGACATCCTCCTCGGCCTTGCCAAGCAGCTCCAGCTATCGGAGCTTTCTTGGGCCGAGCAAGTCAAACGACAGGCTCGCCCCTTCCTCCCCATCTCAGCAGAGATCATCCTCGATGGCCGGCAGCAGTAGCAACGCCGCTGGGCTGATTGGCCATGACCCACATCTCACGCCCACGCCCTCTTCGAGGAAACAGTCCCTCTCTTCGTCGTCATCGATGACCTCCATTGCCTCTGCCGCCTCAGGAGGCTCTTCTTCCTCTGCCAATAGGGGACCCCGCCTGGGCGCCAGCGACTATCGGTACTCGCTCGGTCCGGCTCCAGTGCGGTTCCCAAAGGAAGCGGGAGGGTCAAGGAGGGGCAGTGGCATAGCCGATGTTGGGCCAGCTCTCCTATCCGCTTCACCGACAACGTCGAGTGCTTCCGCTGTGAAGAGGCAGAGGACGCCTTCGCCTCGGGCGAGCCGATCCAGGGCCACGAGCTCCAATTCGCACCTCAACGAGCCGACCTCGGCAGATCAGGCAGCAGCAGAATACCCGGACGAGGATGATCAAGAAATTACGCCTCGGCCCACAAGGCCGCACAGTCGACTGGCTCTCACGAGCACTACCGGGGCGACAGGGGGAAGCAAATCGGATGCAAACACACCCGGCAGTTCGTCTTTGCTGGACGTTGATAAGCGCTTCTCTACCCGCACCTCTTCTTCAGCTACGCTGAGAGGCAATTATGCCGCTGGTTCCGGGGGACATGATCAGGGCGCCATACTCGGCAGTAGTGTCGCCTCTTCCTCTTCTGCTCATCTCCAGAGACCCGGCATGCCCCCTCGACCCTCCTCGAAGGTGCTCACTACATTCCCCTTTCCCCACCCTACGACCCCCAGAGGTACGACGGACGAGGAAGGGCGTACCTTGCCCAATTTGCTCGGCTTCTCGTGGGTCAGCAAGCTGTTCGGCGGTAGTGGTACAGGCGGACAGGACAAGGAGGGAGGAGAAACAGCAGCAGCAGCAGCGACGAGGGTTCACGAGCAACAAGAGGGCGAGAGGAGGGGACTCCTCACTTCCCAGCAAGAGGCGCAGCTGACTCAGACGTCAGGTCCTTCACCAAGGACCTCCCGAGCGGCAGTAAATTATGGGGCAGTACCGTCTCCCTCTCCTCGCCCTCGATCAGATTATCAACAGCGCGGAGCTCAGTACGCAGCAACAGCATCAGTAGCATCTCAGCAGCCCCGTCGGAATCCTTCTCTCTCCTCACTCACTACCTCTGAGCCGGATCCCTCAGACCCGTACGGCTATCGTCGTCTTGCCGGGCCTGATCTTCTACCCACTTACCACGCGGAGCACGTGAATCCTCGCAGGAGGAAACGGGAGCTGCAGCGCAGGTGGGAGAAGAGGCGCAAGGTGTGGATGGTTGTGGGCGCTGTGTTGCTCTTTTGCGGGTTACTTTTTGTTGGCGCCAAGGCTCTGGATACGATGAGGAGTGGTGGTGAGAGTGGGGAGGGTGGTGATGGGAGTGGCGGTGGAGGACCTCCTCAAGAAGGGGAAAGGGGGCATGATAGTGACTCCGGTGGGGAGAAGGACGGCAGTGGGATGTCGTCCCTCATAGCCAAGCTCTCGACTCCTCAGGGCGGCGAAAGTACAGACGAGCGGTCGAGAGTCTCGATGGGCATCGTTTGAAAGCCCTACGTTCACTAGCAGCATGCCACCACACCGCTCCAGGTGTCTATCTATTTCTCGAGCGCGCCCACGCCCACTTAGCATAGCAATGAACAGACGCTCCAGCACCACTTCGTGCTACAGTCCACCGCCTCAGTACTCATTCCCGTTGTACTTGACTGAGCATTGAACGACCTTCTCCTTGGCAGTGTCCACAGGAGGACAGTGTCCCCACTGCCACCAAAACACCCAATTCCACCACTCTGAATTCCAATCCCACCAGTTACCGTGGTCCTCTGTGCATGTCAAGGTGTAAGCGTCCATCTTGTACTCTCCTCCATCCTTGACCGTCCTCTCTTCCAAGGTCCTCCCTTTATAAGGTCCCACGTCCGTTGGACCAACCACGAGGGTGTATCCGTGCACCTCGACGAAATCCGCATCGCAGGTGTACGCTAGACTGTTCTGTCCAGGGGTGACGGTGGTGATGTTCATGTTTGCGCCATTGGCCGAGTTAGCGCCATTGTCGTACCTGATGCTCATATCAGTGCAGGTGCAATCATTATATAGCTGGCCAGGGAAGTCGCAGCGTACGACGCGAGGTTCGAGAGAATTTGTAATGGGAGAGGACGTCGTTGTTTGTGCTGCGGCCGCGCATAGGACGACGAAGAGTGTGCCGAAGTTGTACATGCGTAAGGAGGGCATTTTGATACTGTGAGAGGAGCGAGTCTGGAGCGATTAGGTTGGAAAAATGTATTATAGAAGGTTACCTACTTGGGCCTCATGATACACGACCCCTTTATAGGCTGTCAAGGCTGAACGTGCTGCCCTTATCGCTCCCTCATTACCCGTGCGCTATACCCAAGGAATACCGCGAGCAAACGTGGACGGAGGAGTACTGTCAGTTGCTGTAAAGAGATCTCCGTGACCAGGATCCAAGACTTGCCCTCATGAGGTGTCAAAAAATTTGGCCATGCACAGCGGGAGAGCGACGCGACAGATCCTCGTCCGATAATGGGCCGCCCAGCAGTACCGTGCAGAGTCACTCGAGGTGAAACGTTGGCTTTATCTCTCCAAGTGTATTGCTACCATCGTCGCTAGTCCAAGTCCGCATCGTGTAGGGTGTAGCCTGTAGCACGTCTCCACGGTATTGTGCGGATCGTGTGATGTCTCCGAGCCGAGCCCCGAGCCAAGGGTCCATGGAGCGCGCGACGAGCGGAGATGCGAGGCTTGATTGGACGTCTCGCTTCGGGCGCACAATCCACCACCGCCCGCCCCCCCATCACCATGACACTCCTCCTCCTGTGACAACCCCCACCACGAGTCTACCAGCGGCACAACTCCTGCATCAGAACATCTCCCACATCTTTACGTCGAAGCGCGTCCACTGACATCCGCTGACATTCGACGCAGCTTGTTTGACTATCACTAGGAGTGTGGGCGAACCGAGTGACCCCGTCCATATCCGCTTCCGCAACCCCCACCCCAGTGACGCAGAAGGCGGTCATTTCGAAACAAACATACACCAACATGGACGACTCTCTCGATAGCACGAACACAGACTCCAATGCCTTGACACAGCTCAAGTTGGACCTCAGAGGTTCTCGCTTCGTCATTGAGCGAGAGACGCTGATGAACCTGCCCGAGTCGGTGCTGCTCTGTCTCTTCCCGAATGGACTGGTGCTCAGCAGACAGGGAGGTGGATACGAGGGCATGAATGCAGCTGATGAGGGAGAAGAGGAGGAAGAGGAGGTGTACATGGTGGACGTGAGTAGAGCATCGCGGCCTTGCAGAGACTGTGCGCTAGCGCTAAGATTGACAAGTCTATACTGTTCTCTTTGTGATCGACAGTTCGACCCGCAATGTCTGTCGTATGTTCTTTCGTTCTTCCGGAAAGCCCAGGACGACTTCTATGGAACACCGACACAGCCAGGAAAGTATCAAGGACCTCCACTCTTTGAAGATGGCAGTACCCACCCGTCCTTCAACTATGCCGCTCAGAACACGAACCCCCTTTTCAGCAAACAAGCCATCATCGTTCTCCGCGAGGAGCTCGAATACTTTGTCATCCCTCCCAAAGCCACTGCCCGAATCGAAGGAGATGGTAGAGAGGGGACGGACCTGGACGGAAAGGCCACACCTGCTTTGCTGCAGCTTAAGCAGGCTAGTGGTCAGGCGCTATTGGAAAGGCAGAGGATCTTCACGGCTTTGCAGAGGAATGTGAACAAGGAGAACAACATGGCGGAACAGCATCTGATCGATATGCTCTGCATGAGGTGAGTTGACGGCAGGGGCCGTCAGCAAAGTGCAGTGTTTGCGCGACCAGAATCTTACCCTACCTATCTTTGTTGCTCCTCTTAGCGGCTTCGATCGAGACGATTCCTGGGGATTCCGAGCTTTGGAGCCAGCGCGCTGCTGCATCACCTCCATCGCTCTTGTGCTTCTCAAGACTGGCCTGCGCTTCGATGGCCAGCGCAAAGTGCCTTCGAATGACGACGTGGACGATGGTGGGGTATCGCCTGAGCAGACACAATTGGCGACCGCACAAAAGCTATTGCTGTTCTGGAGGAAACCGGCCGTGAGTAGCGACGTACTTGAGGGATGTCCCAAAGCACTTGATGATCAACTGTGGCCTCTGACGCGCTTGTTCTGCCTTTTCCTATCCTTGTAGCGCAAGTGCTGGTGGGACGGCGTTGACATTGTCGTACCCCACACATCAACGTCCGCAAGTACAGCAGAGCAAGATGGCAGTGCAGCAATGGCCGCCGAGATGGCATCGGAAGCGGAAGAAGCAGACGTTAATGCACCGACGGCAGGCATGACTGCACAAGAGGTCGAACTGCTGAGAAGCAAGAAGGGACGCAAGTGTCGTGTCTGGGCCAGGCGCGTATGGACGCTGGAGCTGAGCTTGGTAAGTGGTCGGAAGGGGGCTGTCGAAAGGGTGCTGGCAGGCTGGAGCTTTGCAGCAGTCAAGCTGACCCTCTATTGCCGTGTCTTTTTGCAGATCTGAAGGAACAAGAATCCTCACAGCAGTCCAGCTTTGGCGCCTGCAGGCAACAACGGCTTCTTCTCAGACCTCGTGATCGACTCGCCCATGCCTTTGCGCACTCTCACCGGTCGTATATACCCGTCTCGTCTTCGATCGTATATAGTCTGTCTAATCCCACACATCATGTCACTGGTAGTGTCAGTTTCCCGGTCAATCACATTACCTCCTTTTTCCACGCAATGGACTTATCCGCGCCGGTGACGAAGCCGGTGACCACGTGTCTGCGATCCCTCCGGTCCGACTTTGCACTTATCCGATAGCGATAGAGAGTTGAAACTCCGCTTACTTGTTGCGGAATGGGGAAAAGTCCTTCCTCTCTCTCTATCGGGCACCTTGTCGGTCACCCGTTCTTGGCAGCGTCTGCATTTCATTCTTTGACATTCACGGGCCCCTAGACAACACGGAATCGAAAGTACAAGGTCTCTCACCTAGACTCGATGTCACCATCTTAATGTCAGCCTCTCCCCTCTCCTCACTTTGGCACTCCTTCGTTGAGTACCCCTATAAGCCATGGCAAGTTGCGGCTGAGGATTTGGAGGCTATTATCAAGGCCTATCCAGATAGAGTGGAGGATGCTACAGAATCGGTCAAGGCCTTCTACTACTCGTCGTTCCAGGTGCCTTGCATCGCTGTGTGAGTATGGCGGCTGGGGAGGTGAGAGGAGAGGGCTACTCGGCTCGAGTCTCACTTGCACGGAACCACTTTGTCACTCTCAGGATATGTCTCTACCTGGTCTTTGCCCTCTCCATCCTTCTGCTTGTCACGAAGACATTATGGAAGCCTTTGTGTCCCCTACGAGTGAAGAGCTTTTTCCGCACCCATCTCTTAGATGCTCCTCTCAACGAGAAGCACCATGAGCCGCTTCAAACACGCCCGCTGAGCGTACGACTGCCTCTGAGAGGTCAGACGCTCATCATTGCTGGACTCGTGGTCTTCAATGTGGGTCTGCTAGTCGGCCCGTATCACATTGTAGCAGGGGACAGGAACATCTTGTGAGTCACAGTCATCAAGGGAGAATTCCATGTCTATGCGGAGCGGGCTCGTTGACAGTCGACACATCCCGCCCTATTCAGCTATCACGGCGCGCATGCTGTGCGGAGGCAGACCCTCAGATACGTCGCCGATCGTTCTTCGCTGCTGTGCATCGGACAGCTGCCTCTCGTCCTCCTCACCGCCGGCCGGTCTTTCCCTCTCCCTTTCTTTCTCACCTCCATCGACTACGGGACCGCTATGCTGTACCATCGCTGGACTGCTAGGATGGTCTGGCTGCAGGTGAACGTACATGCTTTTGCGTGGACGCTGATTGTGCTTGGAAGAGACAATGGGTGGTTGAGGATGTTCAGTAAAGCGTACTGGATGTTAGGTGTCCTTGTAAGAGTAGGCAGAATTGTCATTTGACCATCCAAGGCTTCGATCTGACCTACTGCAATCTGCCGTGCACCAGGCTATCACCATGATGTGGTGTCTGACAATTTTGTCAATCCGTGAAGTCCGGCAGCGGAACTACGAGGTATGTTAGTCCCTGTATGGTGGTGTGTGTACCGACGGAGGTTGACGCTCTACACATACACCCTCCTCGACACCAGCTCTTCGTCTTTGGGCACATCGTCTGTGCACTGGGCGGCTGTATCGCAGCGTACTATCACATCGCTCTTGTATCGACCGGCCGGGTGAGCCAAAGACGCAGGCGGAAATCTTTGTGTTGCCCATGCATTGACGGTCGATAACTCATTCCCTTGCATCTCAGTTCCGCCTTTTCGCCCTTGTCACCAAGATCAGCGGCATCCTTTGGGCGCTAGACCGCTTCTTCCGACTCCTCAATCGCATCAAGCACATCTTCGCTGCCTGGCGTTCACGTACCGCTGCAGGCAGCGCTGGCTCATTGCTGCTGCGGGCTAGCCTGCAGGATCTGCCCGGGGGCATCGTGCGAATGCGGATAGCACTGCCTGCAGACAGAGTCTATGTGTGGGGAGATGAGCCGAAACGAAAGCGTGGGCAGATTGTTGCGGGGCACTCGGTGCGGGTGCTCATACCGCAAGTGCAGGTGTGGAGCGATCATCCCTTCACAGTGATGAGGACAGGCCGCGTTGCAGCCAATTGTAACACTGCAGGCCTCCTGACCGAGGGGTTTCTGGAGCTGCTCATCAAGCAGGAAGGTGGATTTACGAAAGAGCTGAGCGAGCTCGCTAGACAGACGCCTCTCGATGTAGAAGCGGCGCAGGTACGCCACATCACCGATGTTGGCGTCATCCTCGAGGGGCCATACGGGCATGTGTACGAGGAGAAGATTTTCGAGCGATATCGAGAAGCTCGACTGTACGCGGGTGGCATCGGCGTCACCTTTTGTCTGCCCATGGTCAGCCGACTGGTGCGGCGGCAGACTCAGGGTGTAGCATGTCGTCTGATCTGGTCTGTAAGAGATCTGGGTGAGTTGTGATGCGAACGTTGATCGGTGACCACCAAAGCGTAAGCTCACTCAGCTCTTGCCTCGCTCGCCATTCTGACCGAAGCGCTCGTCGAGGCTGTTGAGCACTACCTCGAAGAGCTCAGCCAGGACCTGGCGAAGACTGCTCACGTCACACAGCTTGACATTGACGTCCACCTCACCGCGCCTCGTAGAAAGGGAGACGCCATCCAGGATGACGACTACATCCACGCTCAGATAGATGAGGAAACGGCTCTCCTTCCTGGACCGCATTGCACAGTGATGGCGGAAAGGTCTCCACGTCTGTCCACAGCCTCTCTTCGCGCTGGACATGCAGAGCAGGGCGCGGACAGTGAGGTCGAAGAGGACAGTCCTCTGAGCGCGCTCAGTGCACGTCTGGCTAGCCAGTCGAAAGGGAAGCTGCGCCTGCGAGTTCACATCGGAAGGCCGTCTTTGCGCTTGCCTGGGCGAACTGGTACACAATCACTGGGCAGGCGCAATGACACTCTTCTCGTGGGCGTATGTGGGCCAGCAGCTTTGTGCGATGCAGTCAGACGGGAAGTCAAGGCAGCCAGGCGGCGGAGGATCAGCGACGTAAAATTTGTAGAAGAGTGTTTTGATTGGTGACGATAATGACATAGCACAATTTGGCTCTATTACCTGAATATCATTCTACCGTGGCCTCGATGATCAAGAAAATCCATGAGTGCTTGCGCACCGTCAACTTCGGCGGCAGCTTGTCCGAAGTACTGACCGAAGGGACGACCACGTCAGGTGACTCGAATGTATTCTTCGCCGCCAGATCGTCCGAATAGATCTCATGCTTCTCTACGCTTGTCACAGATGCCAGGCTGCTCGTGTCCACTTCTGTCTCCCAGTCTACGGTGGGATGACGGTTCAAGATGGACAGGCGAATGCTGACAGTCTTGCTCTCGGATGACTTCTGCACACAAATGCCGACCATGTCAATGTACGTAGGCGGTGCAATGTGCTGGATCCAGTAGGGGTACGTCGGTCCTGTGTATACATCGGTACTAGTGCTGGCCAGATTCAAGAGACGGCCATTCTTCATGAAGCGCGAGAAGAGACGCAGTGGCCAGTAAGTGGTTTGGAATAGTAGGCCGTCTCTTGATGTCATCAGAGGGGAGATAACGTTGACCGACTGAGCGATACAGGCCATGCCCACGTCTTTATGCTTGCGCACAAGAACGTTGAGCCAAGCGACCACGCCGAGCATGTCCGTGTAATCGTACGTCTGCTCCAGTCCAGCAGACCCAGGTGCCTTGACATCGTCCCAAACGTTCCACTCGTCATAGCAGATCTTGACGTCTCTAGCTACAAGTGGAGATTGCTCCCCGCCGAAGCTAGAGCGGGACAGCTTAGCGTGCTCGATGAGGGAAGTGCAGATGTCGATACACCTCTCTGCCGCTGCCGGTCCAAAGACATTCTTCTCGTAGTCAAGACCGGGGGCCGAGTAGCGCTCATGGCCGAGCATGGTGTACAGGTGGATGGAATGGTAGTCCACCACGTCGATGAGGCCTTGTAGGACCTCTCTGTCCCACTCTGTCGTTCCCAGTTCACCGCAAGATACGAGCTTGATATTCGGATCCACGAGGCGCAGAGCGTGCGCCCAGCGAGAAGCCATCTTGACGTAGTCCGAAGCAGTCTGCTTTCCCACCTGCCACTCTCCATAACATTCGTTCCCTAAGCCCCAATACCGGACATTGTGGGGCTCCTCTCTGCCGGTGTTCTTCTTGCGAAGGTTCACCAAAGTAGTATCTGACTCAGAGTTGCAGTATTCTAGCCACTCCAACGCTTCCTCGTAGCTACCTGTGCCCATGTTGAAGCAGAAGTAGGGTTCAGCACCCAGTCCGCGACAGTAGTCGATGAACTCATCGGTACCAAACTTATTGCTTTCGGTGCTTAGCCAGGCGAGCTCAAGACGCTTGGGCCGATCAGCTACAGGCCCAATAGCATCCTTCCAGTGATAATTAGAGACGAAGTTGCCTCCTGGCCAGCGCAGCACAGGCATCTCAAGCTCTCCGTCCTTGCCCAGGATGTTCATGACGTCTTTGCGCCAGCCCAGGCGACCTGCGGTCCGTGCTGCATCCTTGGGATCCTCTTGCTGGACAAGCAGCTCAGTAGGGCTTGGATTGTTGGGGTCGTCCACGATCCCACCGTAGATGCCGCGTCCAAGATGCTCGACGAAGCCCGAGTAGAGGAGATCGCTCACGGGTTCCACGGTCGATGGGTGCACCAGCGATTTCGGGGCGAGGGTGATCCGGCCTGATGTAAGCTGTGCTGGGTGAGCGTGGGAAGCTCGTTGACGCGGCGCGATGGGCTCCTGACTCGAGCCATAAGGATTCACAGCAGCCATTCTGGTGTCGAGTAAGGGGTCAGGTGAGGAAGTTCCATCAGGATGGCCTTTGTGGTCAGGGAATAGGGGTAATATGTCCGGCAATCCGGCATCGAGCACGCAAGTCTGCCCGGTCCTCGGAGCGAAGGGCCCTTGCTCATAGTCCGAATACATTCATCGCCGTAGAATCCCGAAAGCTTCTACCGGCAATCTCTTGTAGTCACGACATTCTTAGAATAGGAGGTGGTGATCAGCTGCCCAATGCAGGAACCATGTGATGGAAATGGCGGCCGAGAGGACCTCGCTTGGGTCAGGGGCCATCGATTCTCCTTACCTGACTGAGTGTCTGCATGGGCGCAGTTGCTTGGCGGCGCAATCGCGAGAGATTGCCGGTCACTTTCGAACACCGCCCCGTCACTTCTCCGCACATGGGGCGGGGCCCCATCCGACATGCCGAGCCAAGACCGTGCAAAGAGAGATCCACCTGTCCGTAAAGTAACGGAGACGAAGTATAAAGGGGGGTCCCGACGTCTCTAGGAAAGTGGCAAATTCTGTATCTTGCCAAGAGTACATCGTCCCTTTTCTCTTCTCTTGACCCATTCGCGAGCCTCCCCTCCTCTCACACTCCTCCCTCCCATCATGACCCTCCCACCCAAGGTGTATACCTTTCTGTGCGGCTGCTTCGCAGCGTGAGTAGGCTCCGTGCCCAGCAAGAAGCTGAAGGCTTGAGCTCAGACGAGTCGCACGTGGTTCCGAAACTGACACACTCGACCACTGCCTTTGACCACAGCCTCGGCTCCATCACCTATGGCTACGACTTGGGTGTCATTGCCGGTGTCATCGTTGCACCTGCCTTCTTGAACCGCATGGACAACCCATCGGCAGATTACACTGGTTTCATCGTCTCCTCTATGCTTCTTGGAGCCCTCTGCGGTTCTGTTCCCGCTGCGTTGGTAGCCGACAAGTTCTCAAGACGGGCGGCCATCCTTGCTTTTGCTATTGTTTTCCTCCTGGGAGGATCTCTGCAGACTGGTGCGATGAACCGTGGTATGATGTGAGTCCTCGGTCAAGCTGATGGAAGTGGCGAGACTCGTCGTGCAAATGTACTGATGCCACCGTGTTTCGACTTCCGCGACAGGCTCGCCGGGCGCTTCTTTGCCGGACTCGGCATAGGCGGACTGACCGTACTCGCTCCGTTATATCAAAGCGAGATCGCTCACCCCTCCATCCGTGGTCGGCTCACGACTCTGCAACAGTTCTTCTTGGGCATCGGTGCTCTTCTGGCTTCCTTTGTTGTGTACGGCTGTACTCGAAATTACCCAGGCACTGTCTTCGAGTGGCGCTTTCCCCTCGCGCTGCAGCTGTCGCCTGCCGTACCTCTTGCCGGTCTCATCTTCCTTTTCCCCGAATCACCACGATGGCTCGTGGCTCATGGAAGAGAAGATGATGCTCGCCGCTCTTTGGCCCGTCTGCATGCCTCGGGCGATGAGACCGACGTCTTTGTGGTCTCACAGCTGGCGGAGATCAAGGTAGCGGTACAGGAAGAGCGACGGCAAACTGCGAAGTGGTCCCGCTTCGTGACCGACAAGCAGGCCTTCCGCAAGGTGATGATTGGTATCATCCTCCAGTTCAGCGTGCAAATGACGGGTGTCTCAGCAATCCAGTACTTTGCACCTGCTATCTTCAAAGGATTCGGGTTTGGAACGGAGCAGACACTGTTGCTGCAGTCGATCAACTCCATCATCGCCATTATCGGCGAGATCAGCTGCATTGTCTTCGTTGATAGACTTGGCAGACGCCTACCACTCATCTGGTGTAATATGGCCGTTGGATCCACCTTCATCGTCGTCATCATCCTGCAGGCTTTGTTCCCACCCACAGACGCGGGTGTCTTCAACGTAGGTGCCGGAAGGACATTCGTCGCCATGACCTGGATCTTCAACTTCTTCTTCAGCGCTGGTATCGGCCCACTATCTTTCGCCATTCCTGTGGAGATTCTCAGCACTGATCTGCGAGCCAAAGGATCAGCACTGGCAGCCATGTCCTGCTGGATTTCCAACTTCATGATTGGTCAAATCACACCAAAGGCCCTCGCGACTTCTCAGTGGCGCTACTACCTCTTGTTTGCAATCTGTGGCTTCACAAACGCACTGACCTTCTGGGCCATCCTGCCCGAGACAAAGGGTCGCTCGCTAGAGGAGATGGACATGTACTTTGAAGAGACACCTTGGCTTGTGCTCGGCAAGACGGGAAAGATCAAGCAGAAAGACGCCGAAGACCGATTGCGACAGGGTATCGTTGCTGGTGGGGCGGCAGGTGGTGCACAGGGACAATGGGGCGACGAAGAGAGTGCAGGGGACCATGCTGGCGAGATCAAAAAGAGTGCTACCGGAGACGTCGGGGTCAACACCCTCGATGCGTGAAATGTTCTGCTAGCTGTTATATTCGTATGACCGAATCACGTTACATTCTACGAAAGGGCCAGCAGTAGTACATTGACTTTTCTATCATCAGTTGCACCCCGAGAAGAGAAAAGAAACCCCAAAGGACGAAAAGGAGAGAGAGAGAGAGAAGACGAGACAAGATGAGAGGAAGAGAGGAAGCTAGTCCGAGGCCCTCTCCTTCCCCTTCCTCGACCCGCTTCCCTCAGCCTGCCCACTACCACCTCCGACGCCAGCCGTTGATGACCCCTCGTCAAGCAGCCCCGCTGCTGACAATGCCTTGTAGTTCTCTCCGAGTGCAGCTACCAGTAATAGATGCTCAGCTAATCCCCAAGTTGAAGTCCCCACCCTTCGTGCTTACAGTCTCTGGCTCTGGCTCTGGTATCGCCAGGACTATTGAGCGTCCTTGGCAGACACTCTGGTGCTGCCCGGCGCTTTACACTTGTGGCCGAACAAGCCCAAGGAGCCGCTACTAAGAAGCTCTCCGACGAGCAGCAGTGTGAACTTGACCAGGGTGTCAGCCCGGAGGAGAGTCCTCTTCCTCCCATCTAGCACCGCCAGAGCACCCAGAATCCGATCAAGGTGCTTGCCTCGAGTGGTGACTGGCTGGAACAGGGCCAAGTCCGGTCGCTTGGTCAGTTTTGCATCCTTCTTGATGAAGAAGCGTAGTGTTGTCGCGTTGCCCTGCAAGAACAGCCTGTAAGCGTCGATGTTCTCCCTGCCTGCTCGCACTGCGTCTGGGACGGCGGGCATTGGCAGCGTCAAATTACTCGTCTCTTGGACCGCACCTCGGTTTGGCGCAATTACCACGATGCCTGCCGAAAGTTGTTTCCCCCACGTCATGCCAGTCGAGTATGTCCCCTTCGCATTGTCTCGAAGGTTCGACGAGTTTTCAACCAGAGAGCATCTTTTTGCAGACGCTTCTGCTCCTCATCGTCCTCGTTCCCATCCTCATCATCGTCCCTTTCCTCGCCCCCTTCCTCGTCCCCCATCTCATCCTCATCCTCTTCGTCCCCCGCGCTCTCCACCCTCTCCCCTGGACCGGAAGCCTCGCTCCACTCCTCGCGGAGTTGCCGAGCTACTCGATGTACTCTTTTACAGCCTGGGGAGGGACTGAGTGAGCAGAACCGTACCCATTCCGACTTGTTGCCCGTCGAAGTGTCCACGGCGCGGAGAACAGCGACCGTACCTTCCACCAGCTGCGTCTCGCAGTCGGTCACCCTTTGGAAAGGGAAACAGCCTGCTTCCGACTCGAATTGAAGCTCCAACAAGGACCCTCCTTGAGGTTTGAGCCCCAACTCCTGCCATATCGTAGACGGAATTGTCATCCGACTGTGATATGGCGTTGGCCAAGCCGCGACGATTCTATGGCCATAGCGGGTCTGATATACCTCAGTCTTGAGGATCGCAGAAGCATCTGCACTCTTGCCCTTGTCCTGTCGGAAGGCGAGCGCAATCTGGACTGCTACGAGAGCGTCGTTGATGGTCGACTTCCTTTTATACTTCTGCAAAAAGACTTTGAGACTACCGTAGCCGCGACCCACCAGAACGCGCTGCTTCTGAGCGTCTTGATACCACACATCGGTCCCAATCCTCTCCACAAAGACGCGGTGGCGCAACTGCACCTTTTCGTCTCGAACGTGCTCGGGTACGTAGCGCATACATTCGAAATTTTCCCCAATCCCGGTCTTCTCGTTTGCCCCGGCTACTGTGAACATGTCAGATCCAGCCCCGAATGTATTCTCCCATTCCTTGATATATCCTCGCTGCTCGACTTGGCAGGTACCGAAGGCGGCGATGTAGGCCGGCTCGAGCAGGCAGCACATGGTGTCTTTCAAGTCGGGACCCGGCTCTTCCTTGATTTCCTCTTCTCCGCAGGTCTTGAAGAGAGGAATATGGGCGTTGACGTACCAGAACTCCTCATGGGGGAGAGTCAGCAACGCGACGGCCGTGAACGTCGTTGCTTCCGGCGCGAGGCGTGCTACAGCAATCAGAGGCGGCTTGCGCTTGTACCTGTGCTCCCTCAATTGGTTGACGGTCTGACCCCACGCCATCAGACGATTATGTACATTCACATCGCTCTTCCCAACGTATAACGTCGGCGGGACAAGGCCTCCAACAATCTGAAGATACAAGCCCGGGCCGTGGTGGCCTTTGCCGCTTTGCGACTTCGGGTTGTTCTCAAGTACACTGGTGCCCCGAGTGAGGAATGCGCCGACCGCTTCGTCCGACATTTGACCGACCGCCAGCTCGGCGAGGACGAGAGAGGTGCAGGTGCCCCGGTGCTTTTTTGCAGCCCAGCACAGCCTTTGAGTGGGGAGGTTTCGGACAAAGTCAATCGCCTTGGCCAGATGCTGTATGCAGCACTTTCTATCGGCGCCTTCGTTGCTGCTGTTGTTCGTAGACAAGGGTGTGGTGAGCGCAGTCGTCCTGAGATCAGTAGGGATGCCATCGAGGTATAGTGGCACTGTCGATAGAGACTCACTCTGTCTTTTCTTCCAACCTCGTCTTCTTCAGAGCAGGAGCCTCCGCGGCATCCTCCCTGGCATTCCTCTTGCATCCTCCCGCGCTTCCCGGAGCCTTCGATCCCTCACCGTCCAGTCCACCGGAGCCACGAGCAGGACCAAGACCAGAAATGGAACCAGCACCCGGACCGGAGACAGATCCAGACGCAGAGCCGGAGCCAGAGGCAGAGGCAGAGCCAGAGGCAGAGGCAGAGGCAGAGGGGAGGCGGGTCGCAGAACCAGAGGCCCCGGGCGAGGCAGCTCCAAAGAAGGTCATGAGCCTTGGGGTACCCACCGCGTGCTTGGCAGCAATGTGCCTGCCCGCGGACCTCCGTTTGCCGAAGTCGGCTTCCTCCTTCCACCTCAGATCGAGAGGAGCAGGCTGGGCGGGAGGGGCGACGGGGATACGGGCAGGGGCAGGGGAGGCTGGTCGAGGATCGGCCTCGGGCATAGGAGAGGAATTCATCGCATCTGGCGCCTCTGCGACAGGTGATCAGGCCGTAAAGTCAAGACACTTTTCAGTCATGGCTGACAGTATGTTGTGTGTGGGTATTTGAGTGAGTCCAAAGCCGTGATAGGCGCAGCGCTGAAGCTCACGTGGCTTGAGGGTGCTCACGCAGCTAAAGACACCCGTCTATAGACACAGCAGCACAGGCGAATGCGTATGCAGAACCAGAGGCAGAGCTACTGCTCATGCCTGTATGACTTTTTCTCTTTTCGACGAGGTCTTGCAGAGCATTGCAGAGCGTGACACTTGGAGAAATGAGCTCGAAACGGCATTAGCACCCACATCATTGTGGCAGCACTGGTGTCGCAGCTTGCAGTGTGTCATGAGGCAAACCGTCTTTCAGAGCATGAGAAGCACGTTCCGAGAGATTGACCCTGTAGATTGACCCTCACGTCTCGCTTGTCGAGCAATGACATGATTGTTGCTTGTCTCGTGACAAGGTTGGAGGTACAAGATTGGAGGTACAAGATAGCAGCCGTTGACTTCCGTCTTGCTGCATTGTCTTCAGGTATTGCTTGTGGAGTGTCGTTCAGATCGATAGCAATCGCACTGGGTGTGCTTGAGTGATAGCTTTGCTTTCATCGCTGGCTGAAAGTCGCTTATGTTGCTCGGTCTTGACAGCACCTGATAGCGGTCCATCGAAATCAGAGGCAGTCGATGAGCTTGATCGTACGACGACTGGAGGAGATGGATCAGCAGCAGAGATGCCACGTCAAGTATAGTAGTCAATGTTCACTTGTCGTACGTCGCATTGCATTTGCAGCGGTGTGTTGGGCTGTGTAGACGGTGGTTTGTCAAGCGTTGTAGATGTTGGTGTGTCGACCTGCATTGGCGTAGGTGCTCTCGTCGACACCTGCTCTATATGCTCTACTGTATCTCAATTTCAGTAGTAGGGTGCGTAGTGGTAGCTTGAATGCAACAGTAGTGGCATTGCTGTATGTCGATCTTCGGCCAGGACCAGCTGAGCTGAGTACTGTGAGATCTCTTGCGCTATCGATAGTGCTGAGCTTCGATGTAGGCATCTTGCCTCTTGACCTTGCGTGAGAGTGTGGCGTGCTGGTGAGCTTCGATAGTGTACTCCGTGAGACAGTCTGTATTAGTCGTTGTGATGAGTAGTCCTACATTGAGAGTGTGAGGGCTTCTCAGAGTGTAGAGATCCATGTTGAGAGAGGTGAGGTATGTTGAGCAGGACCCCTTTCGATTGTGGTTCTTCCACCCATCCGTGGTCTGTTGAGAAGGGAAAGGGTCAGCCACCTGCTTGAATCTGTGCACCAATCGACAACGACAGGACAACATCACCCACAGGGCGCATACTGCTAAAAGACAGCGACGAAGACAGTTAGGGTAGTACTTGTAGCGGTGGTGGCGATGGCGATGGTGGCGATGGCGATGAAAGCGGTGGGGAACGTGACGGTAGAAAGTCAAAGAAGAGAGACGAACCACGTACGCATGCCTTACTCGGCACTCAGCCTTCAGCACAAAAGCACATGAGACAAAGGTACATGGGATAAAGGGGCAAGGGGTAAAGAACAATGCCTCCTTTTTTCTCAAAGCAAAGCAAAGCGGCATTAGACTAGGATACACTTGCACCCCGCTCACTACACCACACCCCACCCCACCACGCCACACCACACTACACCACATTCAGGACATCACATCACATCAGATCACGTCAGCACACCAGGGCGCAGCTCATCAGCTCATCAAGGCACGGCTCATCAGGGCGCAGCACAGTAGCAGCACAGCACCTCACATCACATCACATCACCCGCACAAGCCCTCACCCCTCACTCCTCACACGTGGTCCAATCCAATCCAATGTATGTAATGTAGAAATCCTATCACTGTATGCAGTGAACGAAGTGAGCTAGCTCATCGAGTCGAATCGAGTCGAGGTCGAGTGGCGATGTGTGTGTGTGTGTGTGGGAAAAGAGGAGAGAGAAAAGCCAAAGGGTGAAAGTTTGGGTAGGAGAAGGAGAAGAGGAGAGAGAGAGGGGGAGGTTGCGAGGTTACATTTAGCTTGTAGAGCAAGGGGAGAAGAAGAAGAAGAGTAGGAGGAAAGGAGAGGTAGAGAATGTTCCATTTTGAGAGAGAGAGAGAGAGAGAGAGAGAGAGAGAGAGAGAGAGAGAGAGAGAGAGAGAGAGAGAGAGAGAGAGAGAGAGAGCGTGTGTGTGTGTTGTTGCGGAGGAAGAGGAATGCAAGTGGTGCTTGTCCGGTGCTGTGGAGCCAGTAGAGAGGGCAGAGCGCACGACGACGCAGCGCTGTGAGTGCGCCCACTCCCGCTCCCGCTCTACGCCCGCCCGCCCGCTCTACACGTCCCCTCTATGCCCTGTTCCAATTCGACGCGACGCCAGAAGCACGGTAGACTGCCTTTGCCTTGTCGACCGTGGGGCTTCCAGGGTAGATGCTCAGCTCGGCATCACATCCATTGGGGTTGAGGCTGTTCCTCGGCCAGTACCCTCCATATCCACCCTCATCAGCCGTCCCACCCCAGAGTGTGAGGTTGGCATTGTTGTACGCCTCGGCATGACGCTCAATGTAGTCTGCCGTGGGGAAATCCGGAGGGTCACAACCCACATTCTCCTCGCCTGGCTTTTGGTACACCCGCACCCAGTCCACAGACATGGTGTTGGGCCAGGTGAGCTCGTCCCAATTGGGCGTTCCAAAGTTTTGCGAGATGCCCAAGTTGAAGATGATGTACATGGGCTCCATTGGGAAGCTCCTCCGCGAGATTTCCGAAATCGGATCAGGGTCATTGACGGAAGGGTAGATGTGCCAGGAGGGTGCGCCACCAGAGACGAAGCGGACGTAGCCATCCGTTCCAGGCTCGTACTCGAAACCGTACTCGGAAAAGGACCCGTCGCCGCCCTTTTCCACTGCATTTTGATCCGCTACAATCACACCAGACGTTGACTGCTGCGTAATCTCACCGGTATAGGTGTTGAACTCTCCCTTTTGGAAGAACTCGTACCCTAGCGTGGTGTTCTTCACCTGGTAGAGGTCGTTGAAAGGAGCCCACTGAGCGGACTGCGAGACTTCAATCTCGGTACCGGTAGACTGAGCCTCAAAGACGTCAATCTCGGGAGCAGAGCGACCGCGGCGAGTGCCATTGGAGTACAGAGGACCCGGATGATCGTCGTCGGGGCAAGTGCACGCCGACAGCCGCTGACCAGCGAGAAAGGACAGCGAATTGTAGTTGTGCTTCTTGTTGAAGCCCACTGCACCACCAATCTGGTCCGACGTGGGCGTGCCATTGACAAACGTCTGGTTCTGCAGAGTGCCCACATCGCACACGTCGTACGAATAAGGCCACGTACCCTCCAAGGTAGCACCATACCCGGCACGTCCAAGATTTCCCAGCGTCCAGAAAGCCGGCCATAGACCAGGCACATCAGCTGCTCCGGGCAGCCTGACAGAGGCGACGAGGTATCCGCCGGTGAAGCAGAACTTGTTCCAGCCCTGGAGCATGCCGCCGCGGAAGTTGAGGTTGTGCTCCTCGTGCTGGCTGAGAGTGATCTGAAGGGCTCCGTCGGCAGTGGTGACACCAGCAGGGTCGTACCACTCGTAGTTGTTCGTACCCCAGTAGTGCAGGTCAACGGCTTCCCAAAAAGGGTCGTCGCCGGGGTAAAAGGATCGGCCGTCGGTGTTAAACTCGTCGGAAAAGACGAGGTTCATGGTGCTGCCATCGACCATGGACGTCGTTGTGAGGGCGCTGGCGGGAGTGTCGGGATCGATGAGGCCAGTCCTCATGCCGGTGAAGGCCGCAATCTGACCCGAAGCATTGCTTCCACCGAGGTTGAAGCCACCCTTGGTAGTGTCGCCCGTGTTGGTAAAGGCAGTGATGATGGGATAGCCCGCAAAGAGGAGGAGGATACCGGCAATGAGGATGAAGAGGACTCCCATGTTGCACACGGCTCGTACGGGGAAGCCGCCCGCCAGCCACGATCCCCTGCCCTCGTCGCGGGGATCATGCAAGAAGTCGTCGGGTTCAGGCTGTCCGTCCTTTGTATCCCAAGAAAAGGGATTGGCAGCAATGGCGTACAAGTCTTTTCCACTTGGGCCATAGCTCTTCTTTGTGCCGTATTCTCCAGTGTCTGCCAGCGTTGTGCTGCCGATTGTGCCGTCCACTGGTCCGAGCATACCGTTCGTCGTGTTGCCCCGGGGGTTCAGCTTCTCACTCAAGGCGGGGATGCCAGTGGAGCGGCCGCTGGTAGAAGCTACGCGGTGAGTCGGACGCTACAGTGGAAGCCAATGGAGGGAGAAGAAGGTGCGGTGATTGTGAGCATGCATGATCGTATCCGCCCGCCCTCCGCGGCTACGACTTTCCCACTTCTGCTACTCACCCTGAGCGAGAACCTCCCACCTATACTCGAAGGGGAGTAAAAGCCATCCTGAGAATTGTCCGTGGTACTACCGCCATTGTTCAGCAGACGGTGTTCAGCGCCATACACCGAGGAAGAACCCGAGTGATCGGCGGGATGGTATCCGACACTCCCAGAGGGAAGATGGGTGTCGGACCCGATGATGGAGCCATTGGATGATCCCGACATGGTATGTGAGATGGATCGCAATGTGTGAGAAAGAAAGGTGTTACACTGAAGAGGCAGAGGCGCAGTCGCTATGGGGGCCGACCTAGTGAAAGTTGCACGGGAGTACTCCGGGTTGCCGATACGCCTAGGGAGAAGGTGCAAGTCAGGCCGAGGCGGGTCCAGAGGCGGGTCCAGGGATCTCCGCTACTTGCTGAGCGGTGATATCCGTAATACAAGACGTTTCTCTGTGGGTGCGGGGCGATCAGTTGCCCGATATGTACAGGAAGAGAGACGTCTAGTGAATCAGAGATGTGGAATGGGGGTTCGTGAAGTGCAAGTGCTGGCAGCGGTGTTCGCGTGTGCGTTTGCGCTGCACTCCAAGGGGGGGTTTCTTTTTCCCTAATCGAGCAAGGAGAGAGGTTCCGCAACGTGGGGGAGGGCTGTTGAGGCTGAAGGAGAAAGCGTCCAAGGTCGAGTGTGAGGTTGGTGATGGCGATGAAAGGATCGGGAGATTGCAAATGGGACGAGGGGGGCGAAAGGGTGAGGGAAAGATGAAAAGTGGCCGATAGTTGCTACGCGGTACGCTCCTCTGTCGGTCCGTCGGTCGTCGTCGTCGGCTGAGAGAATGTGTGCAAGTGCGATGAATGGCCACTGCCGCCCGCCTGCCCGCCTGCCCGCGCCTGGATCGTTTGTGTGGTGCCATTCCGCCGCCCTGCGCTCCTCCGCCGCACTTCCGCACACACGCACACACACAAGCACACAACGCACACCCAGTCGGGGATGAATTCTTCTCAAAAGGGCACACCACCCACCAAGGGAAAAGAAGGGCAGGAGCGAGGCGCGACGCAGCAGCCATGCCGGCCAAGTGGGCAGTGCGGCCACGGAGCGGGGGCGCAGGCGGGCAGCATGTGCTTGTGTGTGCGTGCTGTGCAGTGCGTGCATCTTGACGTGGATCCCGGCTGCCCGGCTGTACTGCCTTGCCACCCACCCCTTTGCACTCAGACGCCGAAAGACACTTCGGTCGTTGGAAGCGAGACGTGTCCATCTCTCCCTTTCAGCCTCGGGAGACCCTCTTTTTAGCAATGGCAGTCCATTGGCAAAGCTTCCCTCTCTTGTCGGACCACGTGGACGACCCGCCGATCACAGAACACACTCGCAGAGAGGTAGGCCCTGCGAGAGCTGCGAGAGCTTCTCCGTCTTCTCTTCCAATCTCGGCATCCTCGGTCGAGTCGACCAAAATAGCATGCGGGGGGGGATCGTGGACAAGAGGAGGTAGGGTGGAACCACACTTGGCGACACAAGAGATCCTTTTACGGAATTTCAATTTCTACTCTTGCCCACTCGTCCGCACTCATGTTACGCCGCCTCTCCCAGGCCTGAGCAAGGTCTGCGTGTCACTGCAATCTCTATGTACACATCACAAGTCGCACCACTCCACCTCCAGCTATAGCGTCTTCTCCTTCTTCACACCCGCGCCATTCTTCTCCCCCGCCAGAATCCAAAGGGCGACGAAGAGCAAGAAGCTCGCAATCGTCGAGAAGCTGCCCAAGGCATAAGGCCAAGATGCCGGCAGGAAGCGCGGGTTTTCATCGTGATTGAAGGCTCGAATGGGAGCTACGTCCCTCGTCTTGATGAAGCTCCATCCAGGGCGAGACCAGAAAGTCGAGAAGGTGTACACTCCCAGACGGTCTGGCAGCTGGAAGGAAGTCGAGTAGCGTGTAGTCGAGTTGCTCACCGGCGGCGAGAGATCAAATGAAGATGGGCTAGAGGCGGGGGAGGAGGGCAGCTCTGGCGCCAGCCACGAAGTGATAAAGGGGTCAATCATGCTCAGGGACACTTGCAAGTCCAGATCCGCCGGTGCTGGTTCCCAACCTCGAGGAGTGTGCTGTGAAATGTCCAATGAGTACGTCACCGTATCACTGATCCTGTACATGATGGCCGAACCGCCCTCTGCGGGCTCCTCGTAAGTTTCTCTGATGTCCGTCGCCCCCTTCCTGGCACGGTAATGGCTGCGCTTCTCCACCTTGAGCACACCATGCTCCTGGAAGGTCCATGAGGTGACGTCTTGTAAGAAGGCGGCGTTGAGGGTGGACGAGTAGCTGGGAAGAATACATGGCGGGAGGCAGCCATGTCAGAATCCATCTATGGCTTCCTTACCTCGTCTCTCATCTGAACTCACCTCTTGCCGGAAGAACTCTTCAGGTCCTTGGCGCTCAGTGACGAATCACTGAACAGCTCCGCAGATCCGATGAAAGTCACCCTCGTGTTCTCCTTGCTCTGGAAAGCGCTCGCAATTGCCGCATCCTCGTCTGTTCCCAGGAAGCCAACCTCGCCCTCGTCCTTGGTAGCTGTGTAAGACGTAGTCGAGGGGCCAACGAGGGGAAAGGCGAGCGGGTTGGGTCCAAGGCGATGCGGAGAGGCTGATCCTACCAGCAGGGGCTGAGAGCTGGAGGCTTGCAATGTCTCGGCCGAAAAAATGACATTGTTGGCAGCCAGGCCACCACTTCCTCCCTCACCGCCGCCGAGGAGGACAGAAGAGTGGTCCCCCTTGGCAGTACTGTACTGGAAGTGGTCCACCAGCTTCTGTCCACTGCCAGCAAGCTCAAGGGAGAACTCTCGCGCCAAGTCTTGCAGCCAATCTGGCCTATCGGAGCCATAGCCAAACAGAACATTCCCCCCTTGTCTGACAAAGGAGACGAGAGCTTGCGGGGTGAGGTCCGCGGAAGGGGTGGAAGAGGCAGATGAAGGGAAGAAGACCAGGTGGTCGTACTGCCTCTCGTCAAAGGCAGTCAATGCCACATCGCTACCCCCTGCCTTCTCCTCCCTGTAGGTAAGCTGGAAGCCTCGATTCGAGAGGTCGGACAAGAAGGACGAGTAGGTAGACTGCTGCGACTTTGATGGGAGGATGACGAGGACTCTCTGACCCGTCGCGGAGAGTGCAGAGGCCAATGGCGTGAGCAGGGCGAACGCGAAAGCAGCGGCGAGGCTGGCGAGCGTTGCCAACGATGTCCGACTGTTCCGGGAGCGTGTGACGAGCATCTCGAAAGCTGAGTGCTATGAGTGCGTAGATGGCAAGCAGTAGCAGGAGGAACAGTCGCGGTGACGAGGAGTCGAGAAGAAGCGCCTTGGCCCACGCACGGGCTGGCAGTCGGCACACAGGCACGACCACACGCACAGGGCCTTGCGCGCGCCCGCCCGTCGCTCCAGGGCGGGGCACACTGGTAGTGGAATCGACAATCGTACAGGCAGGGCTCTTTCCGCCGTCTGTCTTGATCTCCATCAATCCTCACTCGTAGCATACCCAGCATGGCCGCCATCTTCAGTCCCTTTAGAAATACCTACAAGTACCTGGTGAGTAGAGATGGGAGCTTGACGGGCGGAAGGAGTGTCGAGAGTGGGCGAGAGCCGCTACGAAGAAACAAGGCAAGATGCAGCTCTCGCAATCACCTGGAGCTTTCTCAAGCTCACAAGCTCGCTGCGGGTTTAGGAAGGCTCCCTCTGCCTCGCGGGAGGTCTTGGTGTATGTGTATGAAAGAGCTGGTCCCTGACCGTTCCCTCTGCCTGCTCTGCTCCCCTATCGCCTCGTAGCAAAGGTCCGCCCACGAGCAACCAGTCGTATTCTTTTCCCTACTCATCGGCTGTACTGGTGAGTCACTTGCGAGCTAGCGCTCATGAAAGATGTGTACAGTCTTTCTGACAGCTGCTCAGACCCACTCTGCAATCTCTGCCTTGCTACATTTCCTCGCAGGTCCTCTGTTGGTGGTGACGATTCCCCCTATCAGGAGGTCAATGGGATGGAAGCCAGCAGAGAAGGTGCCCACGAGCTTTCCAGGTAAGTCTTGGATGCCTTTGTGCAGTCTCAATACCGCAGAGGAAGAACTGACCGCCGTAAATACCTTACTCGACACTCACAGTACCGAACAGGGCAAGGGAAGAGCTGTCAGGGTATGATGATGAATGAGGGACAAGAGGTGGTGAGACGATTGAGGTGGAGCTACAAGCTTGTCTTGCCTCGACGAATCTTATAACATGAAACCAGCCGACAATCCCTTCATACGACTGGCTAGCCTGGACCCCGGAAGACAGGGAAGGACGGAGATGGGCAGAGAGGACAGCGCTGGAGGATCCTACAAATGGAGAGAAATGGACGCAGTGTCTATTTGAAACCCCTTCACGAGGCTGGTAGCGGTAGAGACGTAGTCATGGCTGCTACGTTACGCAAATGGGAGATCATCCTGCCACATCGAAGGTAGCTTTGGAGGTCTCTGCGGCCCCTCCCCAGGCGACGGCGATTGCAATTCTTCGGTCTTGCCATGCCAAGTTGACCTTTCACCGTGTCCGACCAGCGCTCCAGTCGTGAATTCCACCCAGAGGGGCCGACTACTGGAGGAAAGCCACGATCCTCGTGCGGTCCGTACGACGCTCTAGCTGATCTCCTTTCGCTCTCGCAGTCCGGCTTGCCTCGTTCAGCACTACAATGAGCCCAGGACGCTATGTCATGCTCCCTCAGCGTAATCCCTCAGAGGGTCCACACTCGCTGCGCTTGATGATGGTTTTCGTATTCACACTGTTCACTTCTGTCTACGGACAGGGACAAGCAAACGACATCGGTCCGACTACGACTCGCTGGTAGGCCGCAGACCCTTCTCCCTCAGAGCCTCTTGAATCTTCTTCTCCACCTCTTCCACCGGCTTCAGGGAATCTACCTCTACCACTTTGTCCTGCTCCCTATAGTACTCAACTACAGGCATGGACGTCTCCACAAAAGTCTGGAAACGCTTCTTGATCGACTCGACATTGTCGTCTGCCCGTCCGGAAGTCTCTCCCCTCTTCATTAGACGCTGCAGCATCACCTCCTCCGTGCACTGCAAAAACAGTGTGAATTGAGAAGGGCAGACTTTAGAGTCGAAGAGTTGGGCTTGATCCATCTTGCGCGGGAATCCATCCACGAGGACTCGGCCGGAGCCAGAGGGGCCCAGGTTGTCTTGAATGGCATTCTGCAGCAGGGCAATCGTCACCTCTTGCGGGACAATTTGACCCTCGCGAATGTAGCTGGCGATGAGCTCTCCGTATTGAGAGCCTTCGCGGTTCTGTTCCGCTCGGAGCAGATCACCAGCTGGATAGAGCGAAGTGAATCAGGATAGGAGTCAGCAATGCAACCTCTTTGTACTGCTGATGTCCAGGTGCCCATCAGGTAGACTCACCACTGAGATGCACCAAACCCCAGTGCTCTACTAGCCTGGCACACTGTGTGCCCTTGCCACTACCAGGTCCACCCAGCACGAAAATGACCTTGACCTTGGCGGGGTCAAACAATGGGCCTTGCCTCTCCTGCAGCTCCTTGGCGGCATCAGGTGCGGCTCCCTGGCTTTTCTCAACGGCGGGCATGGTGCTAAAGACAAGTCTCGCTGTTTACTGCTTCTGGTACTGTTGCTGGTACTGTTGTTGCTGCTGCTGTTGCTGCAGTTCCTCGTCGCGATGCCTTGGCGGGATGAGTGGATTCTCAAAGGGTCTACGCTTTTCGGAAAGTGGAGCTCTCTTTGCCTCTTGATCGCGCTTGTTGGCGACGTAGTAAAATCCGGCAGAAGAGATGGCAGCGATGATGATGAAACCGATTGGACTGGGGCGATTGGAAGAAGGTGGACGAGGAGAGTAGGACATCAACAACACTAAGACGTTGTGAGGACGGAGATGACGAAGAGGTCCAGGGGCGAGTTACAGCCATAGGCGTCGTCTGTGCGGAGCGACGCGCGCGGAACGGAAGGAAAGACGACCAGAACTTGAGACACTTCTTCCGAAGGACTACTGTAGCATCCTGCCATCACTTCCATACTAGCCAGTACACGATCATGGCATCGGCGACAGCGTCGACTTCGTCAGCAGTGGCGGCAGCTACTGGACCCGCAACATCGATGAAGATCCTCACCATCGGTCCGCCGCATGGTCAGGTCGCCAGCTTGATCTCCAAAGCCTCAGCCATTGAGTCAAAGCACGGGCCCTTTGACGCGCTCTTTGTGGTAGGCGACTTCTTCCAGTCCTTCGATTCCATCAATGCCGAAGAACAAGCTCTGCTGGACGGCACAAGCAAGCTACCGATCCGAACGCTGATATGTCAGGCGCGGAGACGACCTCCGCCCGAGGTCAGGGATCGAATCGCCTCCATGCAGCGTGTCATGGCGAAGCGGAAGCAGGATGAAGATCAGAAGCCGATCAAATTGGCGGACAACCTCTTCTGGCTTGGCAAAGATCAGGTCACCTGGATCTCAAAGGACGTCAGCAAAGATGAGGAGACTGGTGACGTGGGGGGAGATGCAATCGTCGACGAGGAGCAAAAAGGCCTCAGAGTGGCCATCTGTGGTGGAAAGTGGGACGCAGCCAAATGGGCTGCAGAGATCCAAGGCAGAGTCGATGGAGTGGATGGCATTGCACGGGAGGACCCTTCTTCATCATCCGAAATTCAAGAAGACAATTCAGACTTCCTACTGCCATCCAGCCTGGAGAGACTCTATCAACATCGAGCCTTCCAAGCCAAACCTCTCGTACCAGCCTCAGCTCAGGCAGGTACGGCTCAGGCGGAGCCCCAGACACTTGCAGCAGCTCGGGCAAAGATGCAGGCCGAACAGGCAGGGAGCTCCAATTCAACGATTCCAAATGAGCCCTCGATAGATTTACTGCTCTTGCCTACATGGCCAGCTGGAGTCTCGCTCTTCTCTAAGGCCTTTCCTCCCGCAGGGGTGCCGGAGGAGGCTCGAATGTGGGGTCTGCCGCCAGTGGCCGAAGTGATGCGGAGAGCGAAGCCGAGATACGGCTTTGCCATTGCGCCAGAGACGGACAAGAATGCAGAACAGGTGGCCTCAAAGGATGCATCAGATGCAACAGCGAAGCCTGATTGGCAAGATACCGGCGTATATTGGGAGAGAGAGCCCTACTCCTCTGCCACAGATGCTCGGCCTGCTCAGAGAGGGGGCTCAGGCGCGAATGCGGTACCAGTCAAAAGCTCGACTCGTACGACGAGGTTCATCTCCTTGGCCAACTTCGCTAATGCAAAGAAGGTTCGTTGGTTCGTAGCATTGAACCTACCTGTAGGCGCTGCCGCCAATGCTCCGCCCGCTCAGCCCGCGAAGGGCATCACCCAAAGTCCCTTTGGAGGTGACCTTCGAGCTTTGCCTACCAGTGTGACCAACGACAATGCTGAGAAGAAGAGAAAAGTAGACGAAGCGGTTTCGGAGGGTGATGGTCTGCAGAGCAACGTCAATTTCCGATGGCAGCAGGGTGGACAGAAGAAGCAGCGCCGAGCAGAGGGAGCTCCCCGAGATGACGGCGCCCCGCCTCCGGAAGGCTACGTCTGTGTGGTGTGTGGTTCAAAGGAGCACTATGTCCGGCTCTGCCCTCACAAGCAACAACAGCAGCAACAGCAGCAACAGCGTAAGGATGCTCGCAACAAGAGCGGCGCCGTCAACCTTGGTCTACCCAACCGTCCGGAGGGTGCAGAGGAGGCGCTAGGACCGATGCATCGACGTGAGCCGGTACAAATGGTGGGACCGAAGGACTGCTGGTTTTGTCTCTCAAATGAAGGCTGCGCAAAGCATCTCGTAGTCGCCATCGGAGAAGAGTCCTACCTAGCTCTGCCCAAAGGCCAGCTACCACCTTCCTCCTCCGAAGCCTCACCAGTCCCAGGAGGCGGACACGTCCTCATCATCCCTATCTCGCATGTGCCGAGCGTACAGTCCCTGGACGATGCAGCCGCCAAGGAACGACTGGCAGAGGAGATCGAGCGATACCTACATGCTTTGAGCCAGTGCTACGAGGCGCATGGCTGTATCCTAGTAGCCTGGTCGATTGTCAAGCTCAGCAACACCAGAGCGGGACACATGCAGGTACAGGTCGTGCCAGTTCCTCAGGCCAGGATCCTTGCAGCTGGAGGAGACGCCCAGGACTTCGAGACGTACCTCCGCTCGGAAGCTACCAAGCGGGGCTACAAGCTAGAGGAAGTGACAGACGGCCCAGCCGCCAAGCGTGTCGGATCAGCGGGAGCGGACACCGAGTATTTCCAGCTGCAGATCTTCCCAACTTCCAACCTCGCACAGCGCATCGTATACAATCTTGACCTCAAGAGTACCCCAGCGAACAGGGGCATACGATTCGACTATCAATTCCCACGCATCGTGCTTGCCTCTTATCTGGGCGTCCCAGACCGGGCAGATTGGCGCAAGTGCGCTCGCAGCGAAAAGGTCGAAGAGGTGGAGACGAGGACGTTCAGAGATGCATTTGCAGAATGGATGCCGAGCTTCGGAGACGACGAGGATGACAGTGATGACGACGAGTAAGAGCCAAGGATCGAAGCGGGCCGGAAGCTGTAATTAGAGGAGGCGTCGCCAGCCGGGCCCGACAACGAGGGAGAAAGCTTTGGATGAGAAAAAGGATGACTTGATTGCGGATGTGATGAAGACTATGTGTACAATGTAGTAAAGAAATGAAGTTTGCGCCTGCGAAGGTGGTTTCCTTGCCCTTCTCCGAATATGTCCTCATCTTGTCCTTGTTCCTCCTACGCAGCAGAGCAGACGTCCCGACAGGGTGGACAGAATCTCATACTGCCAAACGGACTGCCCTGAATCGAGTCCGAGCACGCTCCACAGAAGATCCCTCCACAACCCCTGCACGTCCTGCGCGTTTCCAGTACCCCCCACCTCTTTGAGCAACCCATGCAATGATCGCTAATTCCCTCTGGTACTCCGAAGGCCTCTCCGGGAAAAGTCCAGACATTGATTCGTCCCGCCTCATCACCCGTGAAGAGGGTACGGCCGGCATTGGCCAGGGCAATGGCGGTGATGTTGCAAGGTGGTGAGGAGCTCAGACGATCTTGGTGCTCAAAGACGTGGAAGGGTTGCAGCTTCCAGCGCAAAGTGGGGCGCTCTGATCCGTCCTCTGGCGCACCAACAACCTCTTCGCCAGACTCTCCCTGGGACTTGATAGCCTTGGGGTCCTCGTCCATGTGTTCGCAGCTCCAAGCGATGACCTTGCCTTTGTGACCCGTGAGGAGAATGGCCAACCTCCCCGTGTGCGAATCTTTTGAGATGAAGCTAATAGTCGAGATTGGCTCAGACAGTCGCGAGCTGGCCGCTACGTGTGCCAGCAGTTCACCATTGATGGACCAGAGGTAGACATCTTGACCCGAAGCAGTTGCGACGTGTCCTTCCTCCTCATCTACGGCCACCTGAGTTACAGGACCACTATGTCCCCAGAGCGACCGAACGTACTCTCCCCGATTCGTGTCCCACACAATGGCCGTCTCATCGTCACTGCCACTGACGGCGATGCGCCAGCTCTGCGAGGCAGCAAGGCAAGTGACGGCAGCGGTATGTCCTCGAAGGGGCTGCTGCAGCTGGAGCTCACGAGCAGTCACATCGACTTTCCACAGCAGAACCATACCGTCTTTACAGCCTGCGACGACCACGACTGGGCCGGCCTGAGTCATGCAGAGGATCTGCTCGATGCCGGCCTGCTCGGCTACAGCAATTGGCCGCGCTGGGTCAGTCGACTTGAACATGCGGAGGGAGCCATCGAGGTGTCCGGCAGAGAGGGAGACGCCCAATTTTGGCATGATGAGATAATCTGAAGGGGAGCCGTACGCCTTTTCGGGATTGTCTGCGTAGATGAAGTGGCATTTGCTCTTGAGCGTACGCAGCGGAACGATACTCTGAATGGCCATCCACGGACTCGTATGCAGCTCAAAGGTCTTGTCAGCAGCTTTACGAGGCACGTGCGGTCTCTCGAAGAGTCGAGCAGGGCAGACGCCAAAGTTCCACACGGTCTGCGATGCTGCTCGTCGCTCATTTGCGTCGGTCATACTATCGAGATCAACTTCCCCAGGGTATGACAAGGGATGGAAGACATTGAAAGCCTTGATCGCCTCTTCACCTCCTTGCTTGTAGCCGAAGATCAGGTCGATCCACAAGTGAAGCCGAGATGAGACGTACTCGCTCTCGAGCGCTTCTCGATTCTTCTGCACAAAGACCAGAGGATCGCCTTTAGCCCACGGAGGGAGCTCGACGTCATCAATCTTTGTGCCGGCCTGAGTCGAACCAAAGTCGAAGCGGTTGCGGTTGACAAGGAAGTCCGGCAGGTAGAAGAATTCCGGGGTCAGCTCTCGCACATCGCCACGAGAGACTTCCGAGCTCGACTTCCACGCCTTTTCAATAGAGGCAAATGTCCTCTCGGCCAAGTCGAAGGTACCTCCCTGCAAAGCCATGAGCAACTTCTCAAAGGGTCGCAACCGAATAAGATAGCCAGCAGTCGTTGCAGCTGTACTGAAGTGCGTGCCGTAGTGGAAAGGCGTCTCGTCGATTTCAAGCAGACTCTCGTAGCGTTCCTCAAATTGCTTGCGACGCTCCACAGCTTGTGCTCCCATCGGCAACTCGAGCTTGCGGAAAGAAGCCGGATTGCTCAGATCGAGTTCTTCGCTTTCATAATCCGCCAAGACCCAGGGGAAGACGGGATACTGGCTCAGATCGTTGAAGCTACGCCCCGCGAGGGTATTGAGCTTCATCAGGTAATCGAAGTTGGAGATCTTGCGCTGACGCCATGCTTCGGTAATCACGCCGGCCGTCTGTCGGCTCAGAGCGCCTCCTATGCGAGCTGCAAAGCCACCAATACCCTCGCCGGAGCCTGAGCTTGCTGGCTCTCTGATCCCGTCCTTCATCTGCTCAGCTCCGGTAATCGCCGCTCGACACCGGGAGCCAAGGTCTTTGTAAAGAGCGTTAGCCTCCGTCACCGTGGGCAGAAGCAGCAAGCAGCTCTGGCCATCCTCGAAGAAGAGCTCGAGGGCAGTCCCGCGATGCAGGAATGTACGTCTGTGGACCCGTCGGAGTGCCGACCAGGGCCACTTCTTCGTCTTACCATCACCCTCGAGCTGATCGATCAGGGCCGAAGGTTGGTCCGAATCGGACGACAGCGCTGCAAGAACGTGCTCATCGCGCTCGGCTTCGGGTGCTTGCCATACATTGACCAGCTCTCCATTGCTGCGCTGGAAATAGTCGTCGACGAGGTAGAGGCAGAGTTTGCCTGTGATGCACAGCGCAGCACGACAGTCGATGCCTACCACTCGAGAGGCATTGACTACACCCTCTACTTGATCGCCTCTCTCAAGCGAGCGAAGAACCTTGCGGAACTTGTACTCGTGGTCATCAGCGTCTCCTTGCAGCTGCTCCGAAAGTCCCCCTTCTTGACCAGAGTTGGAGTTGGAAGGTTTCATTCCCGCCGACGTGGGGGTAGCAGGGTCGACATGTTGTCCCTCTTCAGTTGCTGGAGCGGGCTCCGCTGTCACTGCCGGTTCCGCAGAGCTATTCCACGCGTCGCTTACCTCCACAGTCGGCTGCGACGTCGGTACACCTGCTTGCTGGCGCAAGGGCGTATGGTGATCTTCCATCGTCTTGGGCTGCTCCATCAACCGCTTCCGCATCCTGCGAGGCCCTTCAATGGGGTCTAGTTGCCAGACTCTCGCCTCATCCTCTTCAGGCCCTAGCAAGCCCCTCTCGCGATGGAGATCGTCCTCACGCCGTTGCCACTCCAGCGTAGCAGTCTGCGTGAGTTCTTGCACATCGATGAGATGCTTGATGTAGCGATCCTCTTCGCTGGCACACAGCGTGTCCTGCCAGAGGAGAATCCGACGCTGCATCGAGGCAAGAGACCTTTCTTTACTCTCGCTCTGGTCGAGCAATTGACGTAGCTGCGCTACCCGCTCTAAATGCGTGGCGGTATGGAGAGTCTCGGCCGATTTGACGAACCCTGTCCACACTGATTCGTAGACTGTGTCTTCTTCTCCTGCTGGTGCGGAAGAGAGGCTGGACCCTCCAAGATCGGCGGCTTCCAAAGTCAAGAGATCGGTCAGAGTCATCTGCTTCGATGACAATGCTTCTGCAATCATCTCAGGTTGTGTGGAAGCAATGAGCTTCAGAAGCTGCAGACTGGCGCTTGCTGTCTCCTGGCTGTCCGAGCGAACATAGTGCATAGCTCGGTTCACCAGACATTGCAGGAGGAAGGTATCGCCGCTACCGTTTCCGAAGAAGAAAGTCTGCCATTGAGTCATGCGCTCAAATGTTGCAGATACCAGCTCGGCACATGAAAGCCTGTACAGAGCTATGCGATTGAGGCTGCTGTGCAAGCTCGTCAGAGGCAGTGCCAGATCGTTTCGATTTTGCTGCTCGCCCGTGGTTAAGAGCGCAGTGACGGTGTCAAGCAGACGATCTTCCAGAGTCGAACCTTGAGGGACTTCGTACGAAGCTTGCTCGATGTATTCAGCCAAAGCCGCGTACGCCGAAGGGGTCAGCGCTTCATCAGCATTGTCCTTGCCAGCAGTACCGGTAGACGACAGATTCGAGTCAATGCACTTCAAGACCTTGGCAATCAGTGCAAAGCGGAATGCACTTTGCTGTGCCAAGTCGCCAAGAGGAATCGATGCCATGAGGCCGGACATGATCGTTGTGGAGTCAGTGACAAAGACGCTCTCGGTGGCCAACCTAGCCAGCAATTCCAAGAGATCATTACAGCTCTTCTCCTCCGAGGTCATCTCTTCCTCTTCCAGCTGGGTCCTGTCGCCAAGGACATGAGACTCGAGAGCCTCGCAAAGTGCGCTCAAGATTTGTGAAGAGAACAGTAGCTCTCTCCACGCGACCGACTGAGCGGCGTGAGACTGAATCAAGGCTGCTGTCTCCCGAATCATCACCTGTTGACTATTGCTCCGAAAGCTATCCGCCAGACTCTTTGCATCGAGATTCATCGAGTTACTGCGTCTACGGGCATGGCGGCGTTCCTTCGATGCTGGCGACGGCACATCCATAGTCTCTGATGGACGAGCTCTGCTCAACACAGGTCGCCGGCGTGCCGAGGCAGTATCCAGTCTGCCCGAAGATGTATCCAGCGACTCGCGTAGACAACCAAGAATGACCCGAAGCATCGGAGCACAGTATACTTTCTTGGGAGGAGCGAACAGATGGCTCAATGTCGTATTCTGCTGACGCTCCTGTCCAAAGAGGACAGAGAAGCAAATCGGTAGTACTGAGGGCTCAGCCCAGAAGTGGGGCACTAGTCGATCCAAGACCTTCCAGCCTCCAGTGGTGGTGAGCCGCTCAACGTACGCTGGTTCACGAATTAGAAGGCGGGAGAGAAGCTCCAATGACAGGACTGCTGCTCTGCTCTCTGCTTGTGGGTGCAAAAAGAGCATGAGCCATTTGATATTGACAACCTGACCGAACTTCGAAAGGAAGGCAGGTCGGTCGAGCGCGAGCGAGGCGAAAGTCTCAAAGACTTGCAAGGGCAGGTCGACAGTGATATCTGCCGACATCGATACCGGTCTGCTGTTGCTGAGCTTGATGGAACCACTTTGTCGTCGAGACGGTGTTTCCGCTTGGTCCCGATGCGCCAATTGTGAGGCAAGATAGGAGGTCAGGGATCGAAGAGACACGTCTGACCAAGCGGTTATGAGCAGGTTGCGAAGTGCATCAAGGATATGTCGCATGAGCTCCTTGTCTGGCTGCTTGTTCCGTAGAGCATACAAGAACTTTTTGAGAATGTTCATCTTTGCGACTCGCTTGATATTGAAGCGCCGATGCTTGGAGCTCCTCAGCAGCGCCGCAAAGTGGCCTAAATGAGCAGTCTGCACAGCAGGAGGTGTCAATGACCACAAGTCGAAGTCCAGGAGGACAATGCGGTACATGATCGGATTGACGAGTGCTGAGCGGTCTGTGGCCTCTTGATCGAGACCTACAGCACTGAGGATCACGGCGAGAGCATCGAGTGTCATGAGATGCGCCTTTTGCCTCAGGAATAGGTTGAGAATCTCATACGCTCGAGCCTGCTCGGCATCTTCGCATAGCCTCCAGCTGTTCTTGAGTAGTTGTAGAAAGATTGTCAATGATTCCAACAAAGCAATTGAAGAGGTAGCGGAGCCAATCAAGGTGAGGGGTACTGAACATCCGCCGGCTTTCCAGATGACATCGTCTAGCCGCGAAGGGACAATCATAGTAGGCGAACCGTACACTTTGGCGTAGCCAAAAGAGGCTGCAGCGGCTTCGCGAGTCAATGTGACACCCTGATTTAGCAGCACTGTGGTGTCTGGCCTGTGGCTCAGCGGCAGGTCCGAGCTTGCCGAGCTCGGCCGAGTACGAATGGCTGTGCAACTGGCATTGAAGGCAAAGTAGAAGCGCTCTTCGTTGAACAGTTCGCTGGATCTCCCTGCGATAGCTGTCACCAGGGGGTGTCTTGACAGCTCTTTTTCAGCCGCACTGGCTGCCATGCCTCCAGCCGCTCCGTCTTTTGTCAGACTTCGCACCACCGCGTCGAGCCGCAAATTGATCGCTGTACTGGCCTGGTAGGTGAGGAAGCGACCGAGAGAGTCCTGCAAGTTGCCTCTGTAGGAGGGACCTAGCTGTTTCAAAACGAGTCCGAAGTCGGCAGGTAGACACTGGTCGACAAGATACGCCGGGCCGAGGGTCCACTTCTGCTGACTTCGGTTGCGGGCAGGCATCTGCTCTACAGAAGGAGCCGTTCCGAAGACGGCTCGGACTGGGGCGCCCGTAGCAGGCGGGCTGGGTGGCCAGACAGCGTGTAGCTGTTCTACAAGCACACCATCAATGTAAAGCTGAGCTGGTGAGACCTGGGCGTTGCTCTTCGGTCTTTGGTGAACAAAGGCAAAGTGATACAGTCGTTGCGGCTCGAATTTGAAGCTGGTGAATTCGGCCGGCGCCACGCTAGAATGCGTCGTGTATCGCAGGTGGCTTCGATCTGGCGTGATCTCGAGCTTGACCGAGCATGTCCGCTGTGCGTCAAAGAGATGAAGCAACCCTACCGGATGAGCTGGATCTGGTCTGTCGATGGAAAACGTGGTAAAGTATGACCATCCTTGAGAGTTTGCGCCAGGCGGGAAAGGCCTTTGCAGACTGGAGACAGCTACCGAAGAGTGCCCATAGGTAGACATGTCAAAGGTCACTGAATTGGGCCGCACCGCCGCATTTGCGAGGTCAACGAGGAGTCTTCGCAGAATGCTTTTTACGCTCTCGTCGCCAGAAGCCGACGAGACAGTAGATAGTAAGAGCTTTCCATCGGCATCTGGAAGCCCTACAACGTCGTACGCTCGCTTCATCACTGACAAACAGCGCTCTGCCAGTAAGCCGTTGCCGTGTGCGTTGATGACGTATGATAGAAGGTGATGGGTGATGCAAGTCTCTTTGAGCGCCGTACTATTGGAGCTTTTTTCCTCTAGTAGAGCTTCCAAGATGCCCGTGATAACCAGCCAGAGATCCTCTGTCTCAGCATCGACGTTGACAATGTCCTCGACGATCAGCTCCACGACTTGTGGTAATAGCAGATCTCCCAGCCATTGCTTTTCGATTTGCTTTGCCAAAGTCGAGCCACTACTGCCGTCCGCCTTCGAGGTCGAGGCTTGAAATCGCAACTGCTCCAATGTTGAAGGCTTGGACGAGACATCTCCTAACGCAAGACCTAGGAGAGCTGCAAAGAAGTGATCAGGACTCGTGACGCGAAGGTTCGACACCTCTAGCGCGGATGCTAGGCCGTCCCATCCGACTGCGATTTCGAAGGCGAGGAGATTGCGATGATGCCTTGCAATGACCTCTGCCAAGATGGCGAGAGTCAGTCTGAAGACTTCCGCGCTAAGCCTCTGATCTTGCGAAGCGTACGCTTCTTCAGCCTTGGTAGAGTCCTGCTCCTCGCTGTCCGCACCTTGTCCACTAGCATCGTTAGTGATTTCTTGCCGAGCCTCTGCTTCAGCTCCTAGCGAGCTCAATACCTGAACGAGGACCAAGAAGCCTCCAAGCGCAGCAAAATCTTCTCTGACGTGACTATCTCGGCCAGCATTCGAGGTGAGGCTGTGTAATTGCGAGACCAGTAGCAGCTGAATGGTTGATACGGAGACCAAGATCATGTCAGATGATGTGCATGTATCCTATCGCGGCAGTCCGTATCAAGCACATGTTGACTTACTTTGGCGTCTAGATCTTTGGCTGCTACACCTGCTGTGTTGTGTAGCAGAGCTCGCAGCTCCTCTCTTACGCTAGATCGCCTCTCACTTGCAATTGTAGGCGCCTTGGTGGTTGGCAGCTCCTTTGCGGGCGATGCTATCGGAGATGGGGGAGCATCAGGCAAGGGCTTGGGGGCGGGTGAGGTCGGACTCGAGGAAGAGGACGAGGGGGGCTGGGACGACAGAGACCGAAAGAGGGAGAAAGGTCTGGAGGGCGGGGGCGTGGCCATGGTGGGCTGACTAGCCGAGGGGAGCGGAAGGTGGGCTCCACAGAGCCTAATCTGCCGTCGGTGCCTCCCTTCACGGCCGACGCTGGATTTGCAGAGGCGATGTGCGATGTCAGAAGGGAGGGGGAGCTAGGGGGGCTTTTGACACAGAAGAGGGTGAAGAAGGTCAAGACAGCATTGGTAGTCGTGTGAGGCGAGCCTGTGAGACAGGGCGGGTGAAGCTGTGGGAATGTATTTCGTTCGCAGCCACGCCCGGCGCCTCATGCGGGAAGGCCAGACAGTCGGGGCCACAGAAATCTCCAAGGCACAACGGAAAGGCCGCGAAGACGGTTGAGACCAGGCAAGGTGGAGAGTGTGTCAAGAGCATTACAATTTGGCATCAACGAGGGTGGGGCGCCCTTCTCAGACAGTGTACTCTTATGAGGCTACTGGCTCTACGATATCTGCTGGTGTACAGTCGCGAGGGCGGCGCTTTGGTCGTCGCGCCCCTTGAGAGGAGGTGTTGGTCTCTGAGGGGGGGGCGCGGCGTGGCGTGGCTGGGCTGCGATTTAACTCGAGGGCGGGGGTGCGTGTGTGTGTGTGTGTGTGTGTGTGGGTGTGGGTGTGGGTGTGTGCGTGCTGGCTGGCGGGGGAAGGGACGGAAGGGGCTGCCTGGCTTCCAGCGTGGAGCTGCTACGTGTCAGGCGGAAAGGAGAGGGACGAGGTGCGTGCAGCCATTTCTTCTTCCTCCTTCGCTGCTGCCTCTTGAACCCCCCCCTTTTTGTCACAACAACACCTCCTCTTCCTTCTTTACCACAAAGTCACTCCCTCGCGAGTTCACCTCAACACCAACTGCCCCTACTCAGCATCGCCATCAAGAGCGCATAGCTGCACCTCGTCCTCAACAGCAAAGATCCTCGTCACCATCAGCATACCCTCGTTACCCCATTGGCGCCAAGAAATCACTCCCTCGCCTCGTCCAAATGGCATACCTCAAGACGTCCCTGACGCCAAGTCAGAGGAGAAGGGTCGCTGGTAACAAGCGATCCTCTTCATCACTCCTCAAGTCCCTCTCACCACTCAACGTCATCTTTGCATTCCTCGCAATCTTTGCATTTGCCACGACGTTTGCACCAGGCAGCAACTTCGGTGGTGTTGCTGCCCAGGACCAGAAGCGAAGCGAATACGGATCCGTCATCGGTATCGATCTTGGAACAACGTGAGTACATGCGTGACATTGACTTCGTCAGCAGCTGTGCTCCTCGAGTGGCTGCAAATTGGCAGCATAATTCAGCTCTGTTGCTGACTCTTCCACATTCTCCCCCTCGCAGCTACTCATGTGTCGGTATTCAGAGGCAAGGACGCGTAGAGATTATCACAAACGACCAAGGAAACCGTATCACTCCCTCGTACGTCGCCTTCACCCCCGAGGATGAGCGTTTGATTGGAGACGCCGCCAAGAACCAAGCCGCTCAGAACCCAGAAAACACAATCTTTGACGCCAAGCGTCTCATCGGAAGGAAGTGGGGAGACAAGGACGTCACAAAAGACGCCAAGAACTTCCCCTTTGACCTCGTTGAGAAGGCCGGCAAGCCCGCTATCAAGGTCAATGTCCGTGGTAACGACCGCACCTTCACCCCCGAGGAGGTCAGCGCCATGATTCTGCAAAAGATGAAGGAGACCGCTGAGGCCTATCTCGGCCACAAGGTCACCCACGCCGTCGTCACTGTCCCCGCCTACTTCAACGACGCTCAGCGAACTGCCACCAAGGACGCCGGTACCATTGCCGGTCTGACCGTTCTGCGAATCGTCAATGAGCCCACTGCCGCCGCTATCGCTTACGGTCTCGACAAGAAGGGTGAGGCTCAAATCATCGTCTACGACTTGGGAGGTGGAACATTCGATGTCTCCCTTCTCTCCATCGAGGACGGTGTCTTCGAGGTGCTTGCTACCGCCGGTGACACTCACCTTGGTGGTGAGGACTTTGACAACCGAGTTTCCGACTACATGCTCAAGCAGTTCCAGAAGAAGGAGAGCCTGGATGCCCGCTCCAACAAGCGATCCGTCGGCAAGCTGAAGCGCGAGGTCGAGCGAGCCAAGAGGACCCTCTCCAGCCAGATGTCTACCAAGATCGAAATCGAGAACTTCTTCGAGGGCAAGGACCTGTCTGAGACTCTGACTCGAGCCAAGTTCGAGGAGCTCAATGCCGACCTTTTCCGTAAGACCATGAAGCCCGTTGAGCAGGTCCTGAAGGACGCTGGTGTCAAGAAGGAGGACATCGACGATGTCGTCCTCGTCGGTGGTTCTACCCGTATCCCCAAGGTTCAGCAGCTGCTCAAGGACTTCTTCGATGGCAAGGAGCCTTCCAAGGGAATCAACCCCGACGAGGCCGTCGCTTGGGGCGCTGCTGTTCAGGGAGGTGTCTTGGCTGGTGAGGAGGGATCCGAAGGTCTTCTTCTCATCGACGTCAACCCTTTGACTCTCGGTATCGAGACCACTGGAGGTGTCATGACCAAGCTCATCCCCCGAAACACCGTCGTGCCAACCAAGAAGAGCCAGATTTTCTCCACTGCCACGGACAACCAGCACACCGTCTCCATCCAAGTCTTTGAGGGCGAGCGATCCATGACCAAGGACTGCAACCAGCTGGGCAAGTTCGAGCTGACCAACATCCCACCTGCTCCTCGTGGAGTACCTCAGATCGAGGTCACCTTTGAGCTGGACGCCAATGGAATCATGAAGGTCATGGCTGCAGACAAGGGTACCGGCAAGTCCGAGTCGATTACCATTACCAATGACAAGGGTCGTCTGACGCCCGAGGACATTGAGCGCATGGTCAAGGAGGCGGAGGAGTTTGCCGAGCAGGACGAGGCCATCCGCAAGAAGGTCGAGGTGGTGAACCAGTACCAGTCCTTCATTTCCTCTCTGCAGGCTCAGATTGCCGACAAGGAGGGTCTAGGTGGTAAGCTGGACAAGGCCGACAAGGAGGCCATCCGAACAGCCCTCAAGGACGGAACCACCTGGATGGAGGAGAACCCAGAGGCCGAGGCTAGCGACATTGAGGAGCAGCTGAGCGAGCTGCAGGCTACCGTTGCGCCGATCACTGCCAAGGTGTACAGTGGTGGAGCTGGAGGTGCTACCGATGATGAGCCTCTGTACGGTCACGACGAGCTCTAGATGAGATGCTAGGGAGAGAGCATAGCTAGAAGACCCAGAGCGGATAGGAAAGGGGTTGCAGCGAACTTTATTGTGTGCGGAGAGAGAAAGAGAGAAAAATTCATCATCATTGCCAACGAACAGCGTTCATTCATATGCCCTCGACTGCCACTGCTCGTGTCGTGTCGTGTCGTGTCTTGTCTCTTCTTGTCTTGATCGTACTTTGGTCTTGCATGAAGTCTGAGTGAGGCTCCAGAATTGAGTTGAAATACTTTTGAGGTCCGGAACGGAAGGAGCGCGCGGGCTTGCATCAGACATGAGCCACTGGCTTGCTCACCCCCCACCCGCCCAGCCACTGGCTCGCTCGCTCACTGGAGGTCGACCACTGAGCCAGAGCCAGATACTTTTTTGATCTTCGGAAGTGAGACGAACCACCTCACTTTCACTTCACTTCACCTCTGACCACTTTCTCTCAGACTTACACGTATTGCCTCATAAACATCGAGCCATCGAGACAGCTAGGGTAGCTACTTGATACTGTCATCGCTACTAGGTCAAGTCATCGAGACCGCTACAAGCTTCTCTCTGTTGCTTCTGCTTTGAAGAGCTCGAGCTTAGGCGCCACTGGTCCTTTTCCTCGAGAGAACTGAAATCTGCAGGGCTCCGATTATAGGAGACAGTCACAAGAGTCTGCACATCGAGCATACCGTACCATACACAAGCGGAGCGCTTCTGGCCACCTCGTCCTATTCCTTGTCTCTTCAGCTTTTCAGCAGCAAGACGTTCTCTTCCTCTCAGCAGGTGACGGCAACGACCTTCAGCTCCTCTCCCTACGCCGTCCTCAGCCTCTTTAGGCCCATCCCTGTCCTAGGCTAGCCACTACTACTACTCCTCTTCTACTTTTCAACCCCAGACCCCTGTTACACAGTCGCAAGCATGGCAGGCCACGATCGTGATCCCTGCCCGTATGTGATCTTGAATGACCTGGGAGGAGCTTATGCGATGGGTTTGACGGGTGGTACGATTTGGCATGGGATTAAAGGAGCGAGGAACGCACCGAGGGTGAGTCTGAGTCTGAGTTGGATTAGATGGAGTGGTGGGACGGAGATGGTTTAAGGGATTCAGAGGAGGAGAAGCTGGTTCAGGAGGGGGGAATTGCTGGGTTAGGACTGGGGTCGGGCAGGAGATGGACGGGTCGACTGAGTGGTGGAAATGAGCTGGATGAGACGAGATTGGAGGCTGGAACAGGAGGTGGTGGCAGAGCATCGGCCTAAGCCTCTGCTGGTCGCCGATCCTCACGCTGGCGATGTTCTGGCCGAGAACGGCGCCCGGGCACCAATCGGTAGCCCCCCATGCTGAATCACTTCCGCCGATCGCTTACCTTCACCCCCTCTCTCACTCACAGGGCGCTCGTCTACCATCATCAATAGCAGCCATCAAAGCCCGAGCCCCAGTGCTAGGAGGCAACTTTGGAGTCTGGGGTGGCCTCTTCTCAACATACGACTGTACAGTCAAGGCTGTTCGTCAAAAAGAGGACTCGTGGAACGCCATCATTGCCGGATTCATGACTGGTGGATCACTCGCCATTCGTTCGGGACCCAAGACGGCCATTGGATCGGGTATCATGTGTGGTATCCTGTTGGGATGTTTCGAGGGAGTGGGAGTGCTGGTACAGAGGTTGATGAGTGATGGGAATAGACAGATTGCACCAATGATGTGAGTGGTGGAGCTGAGGGCAAGCTACGATGGGCTCAAGAAGCCTGTGCTGACTTCTTCCCCGCCTTTCTTGCCATTGTACCCACAGTCCAGACGCAGCAGCCACAAACCCATCGACACCGAATCTCTCACTACCAACAGCCCCGGCTTGATACTCCTTCACCCATCCTCTCCTCTCCCTCCCTTGGGCTCCCCTCCCACCCCTGCCTCACGTCTTCGCTGTGTATTTTCTTTAGTCGCTCTTCCCCTGTTACACCACCCCACACACCACTTTATCAATCAGCAAAGGCCTCAGCATAGACGCACAAGCGAGCAGGCGAAGCAAAGCGAGGTGAAGCATGGTCGACAGCAGCTGGTAGAACAGAATGACGTCTTTTGTATAGAGATGCGCAACAGTATTGTACAGGGAGTGAGGTAAGGAATAGCAGCCGAAGAAAGGGGGCATCTTTCTCTCAGAGATTGATAGGCTCGGAGCCTGCAGAGATGGCATCGATGAGCAGGGGCAGACGAGAGTCCTTGCCAGCTAGTGTAAGGTTGGGTTCTCTCTGCAGACGTGCAAAGCAATATGTTCTGGGTCAGCTTCAAATCGCCTTGTGCAGTCAATTGCTGCGAGGCTCTACTTACCCGCCTAAGACTATCCAATTCGTCTCCAAAGCTTTCGGTGAAGAGTCTCATCCAGTCTTCAGAATCCTCCACTGCAGGCCGGCGCAGGTGCTCGTATCGAGCCTTTCTCCTAGCAGCCTCAATCTCGCTCTCTCCCCGTCTTCCTCCTCCCACCCTCCCTCTCCCCAGTCCCGCTCCCGAGGCGGCCTCCGCACGAGCCTTGGCCTCTGACTCCTCCTTCTCACGCTTCTCATCCGCTAGTCGTCGTCTCTCTACCGTAGCGAGAAAATCAGGTGAGAGCGGGCGAGGCAAGGAGGAAGCGGGTGCTGGGAGCAAGGTGAGATGACCAAGAGTGTAGTCACCCCGGATCGAGTCTTCGATGATGCCACGGAGGACCGCCTCATCGTCGTACACTGGCTCGGGTGATTCTGGTCGGGTGGTACGAGTAGTGTAGGGCTGAGGATCTGCGGCCCTTGTGAGGCGAGAGGCGGCGTCGGCGCTGCTAGCGGAGGAGCTGGAACTGGAGGAGGAAGAAGAGGAAGAGCTTGAGTCGCTATCTGAGTCTTGACTGCTTTCTAGGTCCACATCCATCGTGTTCGTCCTTCTTTTGCCAGCTGCTCGCCTCCCTCTAGCTGTGCTTGTTGGAGCCGGAGCCGGAGCCTGGTCAGGGGCAGGGGCGGACTCTTCATCGGATGAGGAATCTGACGAGGATGAGGATGAAGAGGAGGACGAAGAGGATGACGACGAGGACGCTTCAAGGGCTGCATTGGTACGAGCTTTGCGCACCCTACGCCTCTTCCTTCCCCCTCCTGCAGCGGATCCTGATGCTTTCGGTGGCATGTCAGATGGCAGTGCCTTGCGTACTTGTACTGTCTTGGTATGGTGCGGTGAGGTAGACTAGTCTGCGTACGCCCCTGGGGGGGAAGGAGTGACTGACTTCGACTGCAGACCCAAAATTCCCGCGGGAGATGCGGAAAGGGACAAAAATCAGACCTTGGAGGAAACGGCAGCAAGGGCATTGCCTCGTGTACATCCTACCACTTCTACAACCTCTCTTCAGATTGAGCTTCAGCATGATACTCCGGTCACACAGCAGCAGATAGCAACATGACGAGCACAGTGGCATCCTCGCTGCGATTGTACTCGTGCTCGCAGAGACCGGGGCGGGCGGCGATGAGGTGGGGGCACTCGTTGCCACTGTATGTGCCCTCGAACCGACCAGGGCAACGCTTCCTGCACAACAAGCAGAATCAAACCAGTATGCGGGGGATTAGCTCTGCTATCTCCTTTGCAAGGGAGGTCCCGGCTCTTTTGCGGCCGCTACATGGTATGCATCATCGTCGCTATACCACCTCATCACCTACGGCCCCCTCAATACCTGTACCCCTGCCCCCCTGGTCACCTCAGCCGCGAGCAGGTGACACCGTCTACATTGCCATGTCAGGCGGTGTGGACTCCTCTGTCATCGCATTGCTCCTCTCCGATCTTTTTCACACCCTGCAAGGAGAGCTCACACTATACCCTGTGTACATGCGCAACTGGTCTACCCTCGAAGAGTCAGACAAATTCGAGCCCGGCTCAGGCGGAGCAGCAGGGTGCGAGTGGCAGCAGGAGTGGGAAGGTGTGCAAGGCGTCTGTCGCCATCTCAAGCTGCCTGAACCAAGATTGATCGATCTCAGCAAGGAGTACTGGAGGGACGTCTTTGCTCCGTCGTTGGACGATTGGGCCGCAGGACTCACGCCCAACCCGGATGTGCTGTGCAATCGGGAGATCAAGTTCGGAGCGCTACTGGATCGACTCATCCCACCTAGCACAAGGGATGCGCAGAGGATCACTCCTCAAGGTCCGAAGAGCTGGCTTGCAACAGGTCACTATGCCCGACTGGTCTACCCGTCTTCAGCAGCCACCAGCGGACAAGTCACAGAGCCTGAGCTGCATCGCGCCTCGCACCGTTTCAAAGACCAAAGCTACTTTCTCTCCTCTGTTCCTGCTACCAGCTTCGCCCACGCTCTATTTCCCTTGGCCAATATCGAAAAGGATCAAGTCAGGAGATTGGCAAAGGCTTATGCATTGCCCACGGCGGAGAAGAAGGAGAGCATGGGACTGTGCTTTGTTGGCAAGCGAGGCAAAGGACAGGAGAAGCGGAGCGAGAACAAACGGTTCGAAGGTGAAGCTGGAGAAGTAGCTGCTCTGACCTCGACCTCCAAACCAAGTCTTTCCCACGCCGGGAGCGATACAAGAAGGGGCGCGGCGCCGACTTTTGGCAGCTGGCTCTCCTCGTACCTCTCGCCCTCATCACCCTACACCTCCCCAGGACCCTTTGTCACTCTCGCAGGAGACGTCCTGGGGCATCATCAAGGGCTCCATACTCTCACCATTGGGCAGAGGGCTCGCCTGCCCGGTCTGTTGCAGAAGTGGTTCGTAGCGCGCAAGGAGGTGGGAGAGATAGGCGATGTTGCGCAGGTGCAGAGAGCTCCAGGAGGAGGACAAGAGGGTAGAGCGATCGTTGTGCCAGGCGCCGATCATCCGCTGCTGCTCTGCACGGCCGTCGAGCTTCCTCTATCCACTTTCAAGTGGGTCGCTCACGGAGGGCCTCCTGCCGAGCTCTTTGCACAGTCTCCAGGCGAGGACGGTCCAGGCATGAAGCTACTAGCGCAGGTGCGCCACCGAACCGAAGAGACACCTTGCCAGGTCACCCTTAGGAGTAGCCCAGGCGACCCTTCTAGCGAAGGCATGCTCCACGTCTCCTTTGCCGCCTCTCTCTCAGCTCCATTCGAGTCTCCTTCTCCGGACGGCCAGGCGACAGCGACCTCACACTCGCCCTCAGCCTCGCCCTTACCCGGTCAAGCTCCCAATGTGCCGGGCCTAAGCCGCGATCCGGCTATGAAGCCCAGTGCCATCTGCCCCGGCCAGGTGCTGGCACTGTATGACGGGAACAGATGTCTGGGCAGCGCAGTCATCCCTGCTGGAGCTGTGAGACTCTTGGGCGAACAGGTGTGAACAAGGAGGTAGGCACTGCGGATGAACAGAGGTTTACTTAGGGATCGTTCGGGTTGATAAGAGGGGAGGATGGGTTCGGATAGGAGATGCGTATACCACCTCTTTTGCAATATTTGTAATATAAGCATTGCCCGAGCCAGGGCTCTATCGATTCCCACATCGGAACGCAGTAGAAGTGTCGACCTCATCGCGGCATTGCAGCTAATGTACAGAGCGCTTCCTCTGCATCTTCAATACTCGCTTCAAGTCTACCCACCACCAGCACCACCCCCACCTCCACGTCTCCACCAACCAAGAGCAGCCACGCTCCCCGCCACCACGACGGAGAAGACGGCCGCTCCACCGAGGAGCGCTATCAGTCCTCCCTCATCTGCTGACCTACTCGCAGAAGAGGGAGAGGATACACCAGAGGCGCCCTTGGCCTCTTTGCCGGCGCGAGTGGAGCGCTTCTTCCTTCTTCTACGACGCACCGCCTGGCCACCTGATGAGGGAGACGTGGGCACCTCGGAGGACTCGCTGCGACCACTACCTCCTACAGCGCCAGCGCCTGCACCAGTCGCGCTGATACCGCTGCGAGCAGTAGTGAAAAAGACATTTCCCGCAGCTTCGTCCTCTTCTTCCTCCTCGGCCTCGAGCTCCAACCGAGCTTCTTCTGCAATAGCTTGGGCCTCCTGCCTTTCCTGTGACGATATCTGGATCGAAGAGTCGAATTTCCGAGCCTCGTCCAAATAAGCCAGTGGCCCGAAGCGGAGAATGAGCTGGGCTTCGCTCAGACTGCCTTCGTCGCCACCAGAGCGAGGCGATGAAGGAGCTGAGGAGGGGGACCCAGGTGGGGAGGCATAATGGGCCATGGACCTCGGGGCGCGCACAAATCCAGCGCCAGTGGAATACTGCCCGTGCGGCTGATAAGGGTTACGAGTATGTCCGGATCCCCATGGGAAGAGCGAAGAGCGACGGTGCGCATTGCTGGCGGTGGAGAGACTGAGTCTGGCGTAGGATACGTACAGCCTGGCTAAAGCTGTCCGGCCTCCTAGAGCTGCCACCATCCTCGGTCGATATGCAGCAGAACGAGTCGACGACTCAGCGTCCCTGCCGCTGTTTCCCTCTTCAGGTATCAAGGGAAGATACTCTTGCACCAGCACGCGCGTTGCGACGGGCAGGTCTGCTTTCCTCCAGCTTCTGACAAAGTACTCGAATGCCTCGTCCAGGCCAGGGCGCGCGATGTTGGCAGACTTTGTCTGATAGCCGATAAGAGCCAGGGAGACAGGGTCCATATTGAACCTCGCCTCATCTCGAGCCGCGTCTTCTATTGAAGTTCGTCGACGTGCCAAGACTGTCTGTGAATCATCACTTTGGAAGCTCAGCGTGCTTTCCGCTGCTGACAGTCGATAGCGTCGAGCTAGAGTCAGATCTTCGTCGTCGTCGACCGAAGTCGAAGGGTCACTAGGAGCTACCCGCCTGTCGGACCGAGTCAGGCCCCGGCGACTCTCCGTCTCGCTCTGGAGAGCCTCAGTCAGAGCGCCTTGCAGAGTGCTTTGAGAAGACGACGTGTCAGGCACCGTTGCTGTCCCTTCGTCGTCTTCTATGTTGCCTTCGACTACGAGAGGCGCTGGACCCGACACAAGCAATGGCCACATACCTCCATCGATCTATACCAAGTGAGGGAATAGATGGCCTGAGTGTCAGGACTTCCAGTCCGCTTACTTCTCGCTCTTCAGATGACTGCAGCTTACCTTGGTCAAGTGTACCGTGAGCAACCGCGCCGTCAATTCGTGATTAGCATCACCGCTGCTCTGCTGACTGACCGAGGTCGCGGATCCAAGTACTTGGCTAGACTGTAGGCTGGCGACCCCGAACTGCTCATTCGAGTCCCCTCCGTAAGATCTTAGAGAGGTGTGAGATGGTGGCGAGATCAGCGAAGCCCTGCCGGTCTCGTCACCTCGCTCGGCATCTGCCGCTCGATGGAAAGGGTACCCCTCAGACGAACTGTTGCCACTTCCTGAGGCATCGCGAGAAGAAGATGAAGTGTTGAGGGAAGCAATACTACGCTGCAGCAGCTCGTAGCTACCGGTGGAAGGGACAGGGGAGGCTGGCCGGCTAGAGTGGCGATGCTGCTCGGGTGAGGGGGCCGAGTCATTGCTGCCGCTGCCGCTTCCATCCCCGCTGGCATTGTCGTGGCGGCTAGCACGTCGCTGAGAGATTGAAGCGCGGCTTTGCTGACCACTGGTGCCCCGTCGATCATTGCTAGGGCCTGCTTCGTGTCCACTTGAGCTCTGTCCACCCCCTGATGTGGTCCTGGATCTGGTGCGACTCCTATGTTGGTGCGCTGGCCTCTCAAGCTGCCAGTAGGAAGTGGTAGGATCAATGCGAGCATACAGCCTAGCTTTGACTACGGGCTCGTACCCTCTGATGCCGGCGATGACGTCTACAGGGGTGGGACAACTCAGTCCATCGCTCCTGGATTCTGCTGTACACAACCAGACCCTACTCACAAGTTGATGCAATAATGACTTCAATGTCTTCTGACCTCACGTCGAGATCCACATAGAATACTATCGTCAGCTGTCCATGGCTTTGATGAGATTGCCATCCCGTCAGCGCGGGGCCATGAATGGACGTCTCGTGGCTACTAGACGGGACGTGCTCCAGGGGAGTGTCAGACGTCGAGGGCTGAGTAGCCGTCATCTTAGGCTACGCGGGGAGCGTGGGTATATGCAGTGCGATCGTGCTCTGACGATAGCTGGACTGTCATCAACAAGCATCCATGATATGGATCAACGGTGTGAGTCTTACCAGTGTCAATGATGGAATGGAGGGGTAAGATGGAAAGGCAGACATTGGACGTCGTGCGTCTTAGTTGATCGCCGCCGCTGCTGCTGCTCCTGATTTCCCCACTGCCGGGAGTGTTGAGGTGCGCTTTCCGTTGAATCCCCGCTACGCAGGGGCCTCCTTCCGCGTGTCTTGCCATCTGTCGTCCGTCGTGCGCCTGGGTGTGGTGTGCGTGAGTGTGGCTGCATGTCCGTCGCCCGCGTACGCCTGTCCGTCCAGCGACGACTTGTTGCTTCTTCCTCTCGCGTCCGTAACGGCAACGTACCACCTTGGCCAGTATACCTCCATCCTGAGTCTGCCCCATCTCGATCTCACCTGGTACTGCCCAGGGATGCAGGCGTCTTCACCGCCGCCCAGTGCTGGCTCGCTCCCACCTGGACTGGCTCTGAGCATATCGAGGGTGCTGGACAAGCAACAGTCAGCCTCTTCCCCGCTCAATGCCCATGCCAGCAGCAGTCGCATCAACGGCGATAGCGTCGCGCCTCTGTCGCCCAGTGCGGCACGAAAGGAACGCACTCCTCCTCCTCCCCTGACGCTCAACGAGCAGATGGCTAGACGCTTCCCAGACATCGAGTCTCTGTCTTCCTCCTCGGTTGATCGTGTCCAGGGCAAGCTCAGGGCAGATCTGGACAGCATAGATGGCGAGCTTGACAGTCTGCTGGCAGCTCTACGAAACGAGCATGCATCAGAAAAGCTCTCGGATTCGGGAGGCATACAAGTTGCGGTTCGTCAGCTCTTTGACCAGCTGGAGAAGATCCGCAAGAAAGCGGCCAGTAGCGAGAGTACAGTCAGGGAGATCACTGGTGACATCAGGACGTTGGATACAGCTAAGCGGAATATTGTCGGTAGCATGACCGCCATCAAGAGACTACAGATGCTCGGTGAGTAGCTCTGAAGTGCCCATGCAAAGCTCGAATTCTGACCAGAGACTCTGCTTCCCTCCTCAGAATCCGGAGCTGCCAGGCTGGAAGTACTCACCTCTGAGCGCAATTTTAGAGAAGCAGCCCAGGCCCTGGAGGCAGCCAAATCATTACAAACATCTTTCAAATCCTACATGGGCGTCGAGAGAGTGGCAACAGTTTGGAGAAACCTCAATGATTCGCAGCAGCAGCTCAGGACGGCAGCAATGGAAGCGTACGAAGGATTGTCAGTAAGCGAGTACCTGGGGAAGGGCAATCTGCTACCTTGCTAATCAGTCATATTTGCCCTCTCATTTCAGCTTCCTGCATGATCCATCGAGGCCGATTCGCACAACGCAGATACCTGAGGCCGCCCTCGCACTCGATGCCATTGGGCCAGATGCAGTGACGGCTCTTCTGGACTGGTACTGTGCCCTGCAGCTTAGAGAATATCGCCGCATATTTCGTGCCACGGACGAAGCAGGTCAGCTCGATAATGTAGCTCGCAGGTTTTCATGGTTCCGGAGAGTCCTCAAACAACATGAAGAAGAGCATGCTAGCGGTTTCCTACCTTCGTGGCAACCTGCTCTTGCCTTGACAGGTCGCTTTGCTGAAGTGACGCGAGAAGACATCAAGAGTGTTCTGATCAGGGAGAAGTCCAACCTGCAGGTCTCAATACTGCTCGAGGCGCTCAGTGCTACCACTGAATTCGAGCAGCAGACGGCCAGAAAGTTCAGCGTAACGGTCGCAGCCATTTTGGCCGCCAATCCGAAGCCAGTTGTTGCAGCTCCGAGCGGCATTACCATCGCGACGCAGGCAGCCGCAGAGAGTATCTCTTCTGTTTTCGAGCCTTACCTTGGCCTCTTCGTGGAAGCGCAAGATAAGGCTCTGGCAGAGTTGATGGCAGGCTATCGTCGACAAGGCGTTAGCATTCCTCAACCGGCGTCTGAGCAGGGTACAACGAACATGACAGCCCCGGCCTCAGGTCAGGACCAACACCATACGGTCTTGCCTTCAAGTACCGAGCTTTTCTACTTCTACCGCCAGACTCTCGAGCAATGCGCGCGGCTATCTAACCGAGACCCTTTCCGGGACCTCTGTCTGGTCTTCCGAAGGTATCTCCGCGCATACTCAGACGAAGTCCTTCGCTCAGCTCTCTTCAAGCCGGAGGCTGTCTCAGCATTTGGCAGGCGGTCGACATCCACTGATGGCAGAGCAAACGTACAAGACTTGCAAAAGTGGTGCCTTGTGTTGAATACGGCAGACTACTGTGCGAATACTTGTTCTCAGCTCGAAGGACGCTTAAAGGAGAAGATACATGAAGAGTACAGAGAAGAGGTCACTTTGGAGCCAGAAAGAGAGGCGTTCCTTGGGTCAGTACAAGTTGTGCAGCGAAAGGTGCTGTCCCCCTTGTTCACGAAGACTGACGCATTTCTCTGCCGTTCTTCTCTCTCAGCATCGTCTCAGCCACCGTGCAAGTTCTGACCCGTGAGCTCGAGTTGGGTATTGAGCCAGCGTTCAGCAGGATGATGCGCCCCTCGATACCATGGCAACAGCTGACGGAGGTGAGAGGCAAGTCGGAGTACATCGACGATCTCAATAGCGCTCTCGAAGCATTCGCGGTCATCGTACGCCAAGACATCGAAAACAAGCGCTACATCAGGTCTTGGGCAGACAAAGTTGCTACACTGATCACTGCGAAGTTTGTGAACAACATCGTGCGGCTCCGGCCGCTGCACAAGTCGGCTGCAGAACAGCTCATGATCGACCTGTATGAAGTTCGCTCGGCTCTGGTCGAGCTACCGCAATTCTCGCCCTCAGAGTCGAGCTCGGTCATGGGCTCGTCTTACACACGATTCATCGACAAGGCCATCTCCAGGATTGAAGCATTGCTGCGCATTATCATAGTGCCAGACGAGAATGCCGTCAATTTCATCCACGAATACGTCAGGCTAATTGAAGATCGAAGCTTCTCTAACTTTCAGAAGGTCCTGGAGCTGAAGGGTGTCAAGCGAATGGAGATGAATGGACTGATAGAGCAGTTTGTTCAAATTACCGGGGCCATGCAAGGCGAGCAGGTCTCCGACACGAGCTTCCTGACGTCTTTGGGTGAGTTACGCGGAAATGAGAGCAGCGAGCCACTAATAGTGCATCTTCTGACCTCGAACGTCCCCTTCTACACTGCAGATATGGATCCTTCGCAGGACTTCATTACACCCCCACCAAGTCTGGATGCGGGGGCCTCGTCCAGCACTTTGGGTCGGCCCTCGTACGCCTTGCGCGGCCTGTCAAGCAGCGGCGTGATGTCTCCGGACCACGGTTCACCTCGGCTGGACGGAGCAGGGATGAGCGGAAGGGTCTTTACCACTGGCAAATTCGCCTCGATGCTCGGTCTTGGGAAGCGGGAAGACAGAAACAGTCGGTAGGCGCGGAGGGAAATGCAGCCCGATTACATAAGCCCGGCGATTTCGCGTGATCCTCCGCCTGACTCGCAGCGATTTCGAATCTGCCCCCGTGTGGATCAAACTAGAGTTGTGCCCCAATCAATCACTGCTTCCACCCCGCATCTCCCGTACCCCTCCTCACGCATTGCTCACCATGTCTTCCCGAGCTGCTACCGCCTCTCTTCGAGGCTCGTCAACCATCCTCTCATCAGCATCACCTCTCTATGCCTCCGCTTCGCGGCACATCTCTCCCTGTGCCTCTTCCAGCGCAAGAGGTTTTGCCACCGTGCCCGACGATGGTCCTTCTGTTGCCTCTGGCTCCTCCTCTGCATCCTCCACTGCCGCCTCTCAATCCCGTCTGAAAGCCCTGCGGGAGAAGCTGGCCGAGGAGAAGGCTACAGCAGACGCTTTGGCTTCGTCGCCTATGCCCCCTCCGGGTTCGCGCGTAGCCTTTGGTCGAGTCAATTCGCAGCGTCTGCCCTCGTACTTGAAGACGTCTATTCCCACGGGTGACTCTTTCAAGCAGATCAAAAAGGACCTGCGTGGTCTTGGCCTCTCCACTGTATGTGAGGAGGCACGATGCCCCAATATTGGAGAGTGCTGGGGAGGTGGAAGTGGGAAGGAGGGAGCGAAGGAGAAGGCCACTGCTACGATTATGCTCATGGGAGATACATGCACACGAGCCTGCCGATTCTGCTCCGTCAAGACTTCTCGCACTCCTGGCGCAGTCGATCCTCATGAGCCGGAGAACACCGCCGAGGCCATTAAGAGGTGGGGATTGGGGTACATTGTGCTCACCAGTGTGGACAGGGACGATATGGCTGATGGTGGAAGTAGACACATCGAGGAGACCATCAGGAAGATCAAGAGCAAAGCGCCAAACACACTGGTCGAGGCTCTGGTACCGGACTTTAGTGGCAAGATGGAGGATGTAGAGAGGGTGGCTACTAGTGGACTAGACGTCTTTGCCCACAATGTCGAGACGGTGGAGAGGACCACTCCCTCTGTACGAGACAGGAGAGCACACTATCGCCAAAGTCTTTCTGTACTGCGTCGTGCTAAAGAGGTCAAGCCTACTTTGGTGACCAAGACCAGCATCATGCTCGGATGTGGAGAGGAGGATGCGGAGATTGAGCAGACGCTGAGAGATCTGAGAGAACACGATGTGGATGTGGTAACACTGGGACAGTACATGCGTCCTACGAAGAGACACATGGCCGTCACGAGCTACGTGACACCGGATCGCTTCGAGCATTGGAAGAAGGTGGCAGAGGACATGGGCTTCTTGTACGTTGCCAGTGGACCTCTGGTCAGGAGCAGCTATCGAGCAGGAGAATTCTTCGTGAGTACAGCTGGGGAGAGGAAAGACAGAAGAAGCCAAAGCACGTGGGCTGACCAGTCTTCTACTTTTGCTTGTCTTTTGCAGATCGAAAATGTACTCAAGAAGCGTCAGGCGCAGGGAGGCAGTGGTAGGGGAGGTGTGCAGCTTGCAGATGGCGGTAGTGGTGACTCGCCCGTGGCGCCCATGTCATCGATCTTGTCCCAGTAGGTCAGATGCGAACGCTTCGAGACTTGCTATCTGTATGTCATCGCACTCGTCATACCATTTGTTGCCTGCTTGTATGCGATAGATGTGTTATGCTATTGTACGATAGTGATGGTGCCAGTAGTGGTGGTATGACGAGTTCCAACTCCCTCTCTCTCAAACGCCCGCATCCATACTTCCCTCCTCTCCTCTGTTTCCCTTCCACCATTGCTCCCCTCAAATCTTAAATCCCAACTTTGCCATACATCTCCTATGCTCCTCTACCAACTCTCTACAACGCCACCCTTCTCCTTCACTCTCCGTCCCCTTTTCCAACCCCTCATGGCCATATCTCAAAAAGCAATCGTCACGGGGAATCTTTGTCTCGGGACAGGCACAGCAGGGTTTGATTCCTTGAGGGTTGAGTGCAGTGATGTGTTTTGAGGAGACTTCGGGTGCGGAGGGTTGGAGAGAGGGAGGAGAGGGGAGGGAATTGGGGATGGGAGGGGGGGAGGAGCTGCTTGATGATGAGGAGGATGAGGAGGAGGAGGAGGAGGAAGGGGAGGAGCTGCTGCGAAGTGGAAGGACAGGAGGGCAGCTCAAGTCAGTCGCTGCGCTGCGTAGTCACAATTTTTGACGAGGGCTACTCACAAGAAGTCGAAGAGACCCATGTTGCCAGGAGGGAGTGTGAGGTGACGGAAGTGAGGCCTAAAGTCCGAAGAGCGAGATTGGCTGAGTAGAGCTTGTCCTGAGGATTGTTAGGAAGACCGAGGTAGCTGTTCGAGTAGTGTATAACCAAGGGGCAGGCAGAGTTGACGAAGACTGTGCTCTATATGTCTACCAGGCAGGCAGAGATGGGCGTGGATTGGAATGGTTCACAATGTGTACTAGTCTACCTCACCTCGGGTCTTTCGGGAAGAAGCACCACCCTGCGACCTTGAGATTATTCGCCACTCCGACCCAATGTTGCTCGACTGGGAGAGGGGCTCAGTGGCGCCGTCGGAACGGAAGCACTCACACCCCACACTGTTGCCGGCGGTGGGCTGCCTCCACCGAGTGGCTGCATTGCCCAGACTCGTGACTGAGAGCGGCAGTGCACTCCTCCTTGGGTAGAGAGCCAAACCATCTGGGCCCCCAGAGTCAGATCCTTCTACAACGCAACGATGGATGCCTCTTCGAAATATCTGGTGGAGCGTATGCTCAACGATGTGGAGTTTCTCCTCCAACAGGGCGTCATTCAGGGTGAGTAAGCACCGGAGCAAGGAGCGCCTCTCATCGCAGCTCGTGATGCTGATGACCTCTTCCCCCAATTGTTCATCGACTACGCCTACAGGCGAACAAGCTTTCACTATCCGATCCACTCTCATACCTCTGCTAGAGCAGCATCCCATACAGTTCGCAGACGGCACTCCTCGCTCTGTCGCACCTCCCCTCAGCGCACTCTCTGTCACCTCGTCGCCTGTATCTCTAGTCTCCGGAGCCAAGAGCAAAGTACCACCACCGCCCACTCCAGCCTCAGCCTCATCCTCGGTCTTCTCACCGCGTATCAGCTCGGGAGCCCCAGTTGTCACAGAGAATGATTCGCCCTACCCACCATCGTACGGCGGTATAGCATCTGCCGCTCCAGCCTCAGTATATGCTCAGCAACTGCCAGAGGATCACAAGCGTGCCGTCGACACCGAAGAGAAAGAAGAGTGGGCCAAGGCCCTCTGGAAATTCGACGCCTCGGGCGGAGATGACGAGTTACGCTTCGAGGTGGGCGAGAAGATTCGCGTGCTGGAGCGACTGGATGAGAATTGGTGGAAGGGTCAAGTCAGCAAGCCAGGCTCGACAATCAGGGAAGGCCTCTTCCCCGCTAGCTATGTAGAGCTTATTCCTACCCCTGCACCCACCTTTGGTCGAACTTCTAGCTCTAGCTCTGCAAGTGCAGAAAAGGCTGGTTTGAGTGCGGGAGAAAAGAGATGGACAGCACCTAAAGCGCGCTTCTCTGCTCCTTCGCCTGCTCCTGCTCCTGCTCCTGCTCCTGTTACTCCTGGAGCAACACAACCATACGGCTATTCACAATCTCAAAATCCTACCAATCAACAATGGCAGGGCCAGGGTCAGGGCCAGGGCCAGAGCCAGAGCTATGGACACGGTCAAGTTCATCAAAGTCCTTCAGGCTTACAAGTTGATGAAGAGGAAAGGGCAAAACGCAAGGAACAAGTGAAGAAGTTTGCAAAGTCGCCAATGGGAACGGGAGTTGCTAGTGGTGTTGGATTTGGAGTGGGAGCATCCCTTGTTCGCCATATTCTTTGATTGAGGAGGGATAGGGGGAGGGGGCCAGAGGTGAGTTGGTGAGAGAGAGGGGGGCAGAGGGCTGATTTGTAGTTTGGTACCCGTCACGATGTTCTTGTAACGATTTCCCCGATCAGACTATTAGTCTCGACACGAGTACGAGATATGGATATGAGAATGTACATGTACTGTTACAGTGGAGAAGAAACAGAGAGACACAACAAAGGGTGTGCGTATCAGAAGTAGAGTCTGGTGGCCTGGGAGATCGTCGACTCCATGGGACAGTAGGGGCACTTGACTCTCCTCCTAGTAGACCGCAACATATCGAAACAACACCATGACACGAAGAAGAAGAAGAAGAAGTTCGTGAGCTTTCCTGCCTTTACACTGCAACAATTTTCAATCCCTACTTGTACTCACCCGTGTCCCTTTCCCAGTCGAGCAAGTGATTCGGCGCAGACGACGTGTCCACAGCTCATCATCATCGGAGGATTCTCCTCTGTGGCCTGCTCTTTGCTGACTGGACATGTGAATGTGGAGTGGAAGCGGAAGGAAGAGGGGAGGGGGATATCGATCTGCCGACGGGAAAAGTAGGAGACAGAAGGGGGGCGTTAGTCGTTCATTACGTGCACTGACAACCCTCAACATCTATGTGCTCCCAGCGCTTCGTCTCACTCACCGGCAGCTCATTTGCCTGACTCCACTCGTTCCTCCTGACCTTCATGACCTTTCTGGCCTTGTGAATCTTCAGAAGCGCTCCTCCACTAACGCCCACCTCGACAGCAATCTTCAACGGCGCCTCCCTGCTCATAGCATTCCTTGCGCAATACTCGATTGCAAATAGTGGCTCGAGATGAGGAGAGTGCATCTGTTGAGCATCGAGAAAGTGATGGTAGGTGAAAGGAACCTGCTCATACAGCTCTGAGATGGTGGGGAGTCGATTTGGCTGAAGGGGAGGGAGGAAGAGACTAAAGGAAAAGAGGGCTTGGATGGTTGCGAGGTGTGTACCGAGATGACGTCGGAAATGGATACGCCCATACTCGACAGCTTTGCGGATATGAATTGTAGAGAAGGGTGTTACGCCGGCACCTCGGCCCTGACTCGCCTCTGAGTCAAGAGCCATGTCCGATGGTGAGGTCCGGCCGCCCGTCTTGCCCTCCCTCGCTGTTTCACCCGTAGCAATGCGAAGAAATTGAGATCTATGGAGGGCAAATTCGAGATTGGAAGACCGGCTGGTGAGAAAATTGCGATTAGACTCTGCCCACTGAATGGCAGCATCGAGGTTGCCTGCCCGGATGGACGAAGTGATATTGGCCAACTGGAGATAGACGTGGGAAGGTGGCAGCGGGAGACCACATTCCTGAGCGGGGAGTAGAGAGGGAGAGAGCAATGGCGTGAGAAGAGGTTTTGAGCCATTGCATGACATGCCCGCCTGAAGCACTCACCCTGGACAACTCCTCGGCCGCCTTCCACTGTCCGCTCCTCATGAGCTGATCCATAATGACCGCTTCTGTAGCCCTCGTCGCCTCCACCGAGGTAAACAAGTCCGGTGAAGCAAGCTCATCGATGGGCGTGGTAAACTTCTTATCATACGCCTTTCCCAGTCGAGCAAGCGCATTGTACACCTCCTTTTGCCGATCCGCAATTGCCCGTTGCGAAGCCGCAACGGCCGCTTTCGTCTCTGCCACCACTACAGGCGCAGAAGGTGGTGAGGAAGCAGGATTGGCGAGGGAGGAACGGATAGATTCGAGTGATGCGAGGAGCCCGTCGAGGGATTCTGCTACGGTAGCAGTCGACGAGGGCGTGGTGCTCGAGGCGGAGGCCTTTGCTTTGGAGGAGCGTTGCTTGGATGAGGACGGGTGGGAGGTGGAAGAGGAGGAGGAGGAGGCGATGGGGTACAACGTCGGTACCTTTGCTGCGACTCGCTCGACTTCCTTCTCTATGGCCTCCATGCTGGCACGCCGCAGAAGAGAATGGTTGAAGTGAAGGTGAGGTGAACTTGCGGTTAGGATAGGATATGAGTCCAATGAGTTCAAGGCTGAGGGAGGCGCAAGCGGGATGGACATCAAGATGCAGCGGAGTTGCAATTTGGTCGCCATGCACGGACGGGACGACGACGAAGGAGAGCAAGCAAAGGACACGCCTCAGTCAACAGCCACAGCCCACTCTGAGGCAGCATTACCGACGTTGAATTCTGGGCTTCGCATGAGCTTACTGCTCTCCCTCTGTGGCCTTCTTCATCTCCTCCAACTCCTTCTTGAACCCGTCACTGACCACTACAGAGATGCCCTGCTCCCCCTCCGCCTCCCCTTTTCCCGCACTCTCCTCCATCTTTCCTTCTTCCGCAACAGGAGCACTCCTCTGTCCCCACACCCTCTGCTTCCCCTTCTGAGCTGCCAGATCATTCACCTTTTCTCCCTTTCGTGCCGTCACACCCAAGTAATTGATGTGATTTGCCCCCTTGCGGTTGTGACGTTGGTCCTCGCTCTGTTCTGTCAGGAGCTTCTGATTGGCAGAAGAAGTATCCTGCTTGGAGAGCTCGCGGAGAGCCATTGTAGCGTACGAAGCGGTGCTGAGATTGAAGGAGATCTTCATCGCAAGGAATGACTCGGGCGGAGAAGCGTCTCGAGTCGCTGCAACCTCATCAGCGTCGACTGTGTTTTGACTGGGCGCTGACTGCTCTTCAAAGGCCTTGGCGGCGTCAGCAATGGTAGGCAGTGCAGTGGGCACTGCCTGAATACCCAACAGAGCATCTTCATCCGACTGATTCAGATCCTGATCCGGATCGGTGTACCTGACAAAGGCAGCTTGTACGTCCTCGAGCTTGCCCATCAGCTTACGGTAAGTGCCCTTGAGCATCAGCTCCGAACTGCGTCCCTTGGTCTGCGATAGGGTCTCCATGCTGACTTGGTCCTCTGCTAGCGTCGCCTCATAGAAGCTCTCCATCCAGCTGCCTGGCTGACAAGAGACAGACGATCCGCAGGAGGGGATCAGGACATCGTGGATAGTGTACTTGCCAGTAGCAATGTCCTCGGCGGTGAGGTATTTGACTCTTCTGCCCTCGCTCGTTGAGGCATTGGCAGTATCGTCCACTGTTGCCGTGTCGGCATCGTCGTCCTCTTCAATTTCACGAGCATCTTCCGCCACAGCCTCTTCCTCCTCCTCCTTGGTGTCCTCGTTGTATACAATGTCACCCTCGACAGGTCCCTCAACGCCGAACCTCCTCACCCGCTCGGAGGCAGTCTTGTTCCACACGTATGACTGATAAGAATGAACATACATAGTCCTCAAGATCTTGGGAATGGCAGTAAAGTAGCCAGCGCAATCATTGAAGCCTCTGCCTGGACCCAGCTTCTTCTCCTCTTCAACCATCTTGCCCAAGATGGCTCGCTCTGCAGTCGCCCATCGTGGGCAGGTATTGAGAGCTTCATGTACATTGCCTTGGGCATAGAAGGTCTTGGCGACTGTCATCTCCTCGGCGTCGTCTGACCTCGGATCCAGGAAGAGGGAGATTGCACCAGCAAAATCATTTTTGATGACCGCGAGACCAATGACGTGAGAGGAGATGGATGAAGTTCCAAACCTTTGCATGCCGTAGTAGTTGATGAAACCTTTCGTCTTGAGCACATCAAGAGCCTTGTAGATGGTGTCGTCGCTGTCAGTCTTGACATTGCGCAAAATAATAGTGAAACGGTTGCCCTTGTGATTGCCCAGATATAGAGGCCTGTCCGAGTACTCAAGATGAGCGATTCGTACACCGCGGTCACCTCGACTGGTCACGGCATCGAGTAATGTCTTGCGTGGTCCGCTGCTCTGTGCACCGAAGCCACCTCGACCTCCTCGCCCACCTCTTCCCCCACGGCCCCCTCTTCCACCTCTACCTCCACTTCCCCTCTCGAGCTCTTTACCGATGCCGTTGACACACCTCCAAATATCCTCGGCTGTCCTCCTGCCCCGTCTGAAACAGACCCGTTGTACAGTGACGCCCCTCTTGTCCTTTGTACCAGCAACAGTGAGCTCCTTCGATGCAATCTTGTTGAGACTTGCGATTCCGCTAGCGGGCCCACCGAGATTGAGACTGCGAGCCAGAATGCTGATGGCATCTTGAGTGTCACGGTTTGTCTTGTGCAAGAAGAAGTGAACGTAAGGAGGCAGGGCGGCTTCCTCAGTCTTGCGATTGTGGTTGCCAAGGCCCATAGTGCGAGCATCTTTACCGGCGGGATTAGGGTTCCATCGGATCGCAATGGAGTTGGTTGCAGGTGGCGCTACAGGAGGCGTAGGAGCATTGGCTCCGGCATTCATGAGATCATCCTCTTCGTCTTCCTTAGTCTTGACCGGCTTCTTTTCCTCAGCAGTCTCGGTGAGAAGACGTCCTTTGAAGACCTCGCGGACGACCTGGTGCACCTTGCCTCGGAGCTCCTTGCTGCTCAAAGGCTCAGTGATGACCCTTCTGGGATCGCCATTCTCTCGAGGGCCTCTGGTATCCTGACCACCGCGCCCGCCGCCTCGACCACCCCTACCTCCTCGACCCCCTCTGCCTCCGCGACCCCCTCGATCATTCGATGCGCTGGTCTCGGCGACTGGGGGTTCGGGCTGGCCAGCAGGCTTATCGAAGCCCTTGGGGCCTTGTTCCCAGAGCACCTTGAGCTCATCTCTAACCCTCTCTCCCACGAGTTCGACCAGCTCTGCCTCTCGACTCAGATCCACATCTTCCTCATTCCAAGCAAAGACGTGCTCTCTGGCCTTGGCAGTCTCGTCCTCCCTCTTTGCTTTGGCCGCCTCCCGCTCCGTCTTTTGGGCATCTTGCCTTTGCCTCTTCAGCTCTCCGGTCTCGTCATTGCGCTCATCATTCTCCCGCTGGAGCTGCTGACGCAAGTCCAGCTCGTCGCTAGAAGCCGGAGGGAAGGAAGCAGGTGGGGGACCCAGATCGGTCAAACGGCAGACTTTCCCGTCTGGTGCAATCTCGAAGACCTGGAAGTCACTGAAACGCTGTTTGATGATTCCCTCGATGGGGGCAAGTTTGGGAGAGACGTACTCTTGGATGCCTACATCCTTCTCGGTTCGCAGCGGAGCAGAAGATTGATTCATCTTGGCCTTCTTTGAGAAGCTTGCCTCGCTGCCTTGCTCGACGTCTATTGTGCTTTGAGCTGGCTCGACAGATGATGTTCTAGCTCTTTTGCGATCTTGAGTGATGTCAATGTCAGTGGTGGAAGAAGGAGGATCGTCGTTCATGGCGAAGGGGATACGCAGGCACAGGAAGATGTGCAAGAAGTCGCAATCAAATTTTATTTCTTTGGCCCATGCCCTCTGCTTCCGAATGACTGCCTCTGCCCTCCACCAGCCCGCGCCGTGATGGTCTGTTTGCCTGTCGCTTACTTAGTCTTGTGAGCTGTGTCAATTTCATTAGACACTGTATTGGCAATGATCGTCGTGCTTCTAGCAATCATGTCTACCATCAGTACCGACGGCACCGCCAAGAAAGGTCCATATGCCCCCGCCAGGCTCTGCCGGTTGGCTGCAGTCAGTGCTGCCGACGCGGGTCCATGGAGGGCTTGCACAAGACAAAAGAGCGTCGAAGAGGAGCCTAGGGTAGCATAGGCCGCCAACAGTGGGTATACACGTCGATCATTGCGGAAGAGGCACCAGATGCCGACGAGGAAAGTGGGGCATTGCAGCACTAGCTCCAGCACCACGGCAGCGGTGAACCATGCTGCATCTGGCTTGCCTAGACGCGGCAGAAGAGGATCAGCACTGTCTCTGATGTAGTCTGCCTTGATCTGAGAGAGGCTAGCAGGTACAACACTGCGAGGATAAAAGTACTGGCCTGAGCGTACGCGGCATGGAAAGCGGCAAGCAGGCGTCAGTGCGATTCTGTGAGGCCCCTGTTCAGTGAAAAGCGGCACGCACCATCGACTAGAATGCTGGCAAGGAAGTGTATGGCGAAAAAGACGATGTAGAGCCAGTCTAGCGGCCGCCGCACTTTCCCATACAGGCCCCTTTCGAAGGCGTAGTGCATCTTGGACGTTGTCCTTGTCAGGATCTGTGTCCGCGCTTCTCCGGAAGTAGGAGAAATTGGAAGGACGGAAACGTCGGGAAGGCGGACTGGCCGGCGGCGCGGCGGCGATTTCGGCCCCTCGGCAGCGGGATGAGTGTGTGTGCGTGCCTGGCTGCCCGACAATGGATGCCTGCAGCCCACTTTTTCCCCCTGGTTTCTACTTCCGCCTGCACGCGTCGTCCCCTCTTCGCCCTCGGGTCCTTGTGCCTCACCCCTCACTCCAAGATCAGTAAAGGAAGGAGCCGGATGCCTGAAATGAATCTTCCTACCTCCTTGTCACCCTCCCTCATCCTCTGGCATACATACCGCCCTCTCCTCGGTAAGGTCAGGCGGACACGCTCCCTCGCGTCGCTATCACCATGAGCAACTCTTCGCCAGTGGCAGAGGTCCCTCCCGACCTCTCCGACCTATCCACGTCTGCAGGAACCTTTCGCTTTACAGAGGGGAACGATGCCGAGCTCAAAGCATGGTTGGCGGCAGATGTCAAGACAAAGGCTGCGGGTATTACTTCCGCCACTACTTCACATGGTTCTGCTGATCCCACCAAGACCATGAGCAGCGGTACGAGCACTGAGGTCGGCCTCGTCAACGATGCGCATATGATGCCGGTACCCGCATCGCAGCCTATCACCCTCGCCAAAGACGGGAGCGATGTACTGTCCACCTCTGACGAAAAGGCGGCCGCCCACATGTCTCTCTCCTACAACGAGGATAAAGTTGAGGCAGACGTCATCGACCGTGGTCTTAGTCAGATGATCTACCTACCAGGCCAAGATTTGCAGATGAAGGTCACCTTCGTCCAGAGGAAGACGGCCATCTTTGTGCTCTACATCATCGGGTCCATCTTGACTGCCGGAATCCTTGCACTCGTTGCTGGATATTGGGCACCCCAGCTATACAGAAAGTGGTGCTACAAGGCAGTTCCTGCACCAACGGAAGAGGAGCTGAAGCAGGGCAAGAAGATCCGCTGCTCCGTGAAGATTCCAAAGGAGAAGTCGACTATCCTGACCATGGACCGGCTTGCCTTCAGCCAGCCAGTCGCAAGCAGCAAGATCTTCCCTGCTCACCTCAGAGTGCCTGCCACATCTCACACAGCTACGGAAAGGCCTCTGCTCTCCGAGTCAGGTGCTCAGGGCAGCCTCACCTCCGTCTGCGTCCTAGACTATCGACACACGCCACTGCTCTACTATGCTGCCACCCGACAGCTCGTCTCCCTCGCAGACTGGCTCGACAGCGATTTGTCAACGGCAGCCCCTGCGCCTCTGACGTCGAGCGAGCTCGATTGGAGGCATAAATTTTTCGGCGACAATATCATCAACGTCAAGGGTCCGTCTGTGTTCACTCTGACCCTCAGAGAAGCTCTCAATCCCTTCTACATCTTTACCTTTGCAGCCTGTGGGCTCTGGGGTTACGACGATTACATGGTCTACGCAATCGTCATCGGAGTCATTTCCATCCTGGGTATTGCGGGTACAGTTTGGCAGGCAAAGGCTTCTGAGATTCGACTTCGCAAGATCTCACGCTACGAGCTAGACGTACCCGTTCTGCGTTGCACTGATGCCTCTTCTGAGCCTCAATGGCAAACCAGGTCCTCCAAAGATCTCGTCCCTGGCGACATCATCGGCGTTCAGGGCTTTGCCAGTAAGGCTCTTCCGGCCGACATGATCCTCCTCGAGGGCAGCTGTATCGCGAATGAATCTATGCTGACTGGAGAGTCAGTCCCTAGCGGCAAAGTGCCCGTGGAAGCGAATGCTCTGCGACAATTTGCGCAAGGGCAGAGGAGCCTCAAGGCCATGGAGAAGAACATTTTGTGGGGTGGGACTAATCTCCTTAGGGCCCAGGCTGACATCTCAAGCGGGGAGGTCAAGGCAATGTGTCTTTCCACTGGATGGGCGTCCAGCAAGGGTTCCCTCGTCAAGATGATGCTTTTTCCCAAGCCCATCGACTTCAAGTTCTACAGTGATGCTTTCAAATTCTTGGCAATTCTCGCCACCATTGCCGCACTTGGCTTCATTGGATCCTGCATCAATTTCGTCATCACAGGCATCGATGGTGGTGAAATTGCTTTGAGGCTCATCGATCTCGTCACAATTGCCTTGCCACCAGCTCTCCCTGCCATTCTTGCCATCTGCACGAACTTCGCTGTCAACCGTCTGAAGCGCAAGTCTATCTTCTGCATTTCACCGCAGAGGATTACCGTTGCCGGCAAAGTGTCCATTGTCGTTTCGGACAAGACTGGTACATTGACAGAGACTGGTCTGGACGTGCAGGGTGTGCGCTGCCCCTCTGCAGCCTATGATGGCCGGATGGCGCCGCTTTGCGAGCGTGCCGATGTCTCCAAAGCGTCTGACGGCGGAATCACCATCGAAGGAGCCATGTCTGTTACCCACGACGTGAACCTACTCGAAGGAGAAGCTATCGGTGACCCACTCGAGGTCAGCATGCTCGCATGGACGGGAGCTACGCTAGAACCGGAGACTCGCAAGCTGGAAGGCTTGTCGGGTGGCTTTGAGAATTCCAGGGTTCAATGTGTCCGATCGCCACGGGGTGACTGCAGCACTGCCATCCTGCGCAAATTCGACTTCTCTGCACCCCTACGACGGATGTCGGTCATAGTGCAAGCACCTGGAACTGCAAAGACGACAGTCTACGTCAAGGGAGCGCCGGAGTCGATCATACCTCTGTGTGATCCTGCAACGGTGCCCGACGACTATGACCTGGTCCTCAATGATGCTACCCGGAAAGGTCTGCGAGTGCTAGCATTCGGCTACAAGAACGTCTCTCTCAGCTACGAAGGTACCCGCAATGCTACGCGAGACTTTGCCGAATGTCATTTGCGATTCCTTGGCCTCCTCTTCTTCGAGAACAAGCTCAAAGTCACCACCTCTGCTGTACTGGCAGAGCTGCACGAGGCCGGAATCCCTTCGAAGATGTGCACGGGTGACTCTGTTCTGACTGCCATCTCCGTTGCCAGGTCTTGCGGCATGATCCCTTCAGGCCAGCCAGTCTTTGTGCCTCGACTGCCAGACCCCATGAAGGCAGAGAAGAGTATGGGCGGCATGTCATCTCCAGCCGAGCTGAAGTGGACCGATGTCGACCTGCCTGTGGGCAGCGAAGAGAGCAACAGCTCGACCCTCGACCCCTTGACGCTGTCGCCGATCGACACCACGCTCAGTTTGTCGCAGGTCGGTCTGGCCATCACGGGAGACGTGTTCACCTGGCTCTTGGCCAATGCTTCACCAGAGACTCTCGCTCGTCTCCTCGTCCAGGCTTCAGTCTTTGCCAGGTTCTCTCCGGAAGCCAAGGCGGAGCTGGTGGGCCGACTGCAGGCGATCGGTCACTGTGTCCTCTACTGTGGTGATGGATCCAACGATTGCGGTGCCCTTCAGATGGCCGATGTAGGTATTTCCCTCTCTGAGGCAGAAGCCTCTGTAGCCGCACCCTTCACATCGGGCAACGTCGACATTGTCTGCGTAGTCGATCTGATCAAAGAGGGCCGCAATTGTCTCGCCGTCTCCTCTTCTCTCTTCCTCTACGTTGCAAGCTACGCTCTGCTGGAGTACTTTGGAGTCATTCTCCTGTACGGAGCCATCACCTCCTTCGATAATGCTTCGTACCTCTACCAGGACATCTTCCTCCTCTTTGCCGTCGCTATTGGAGCAGCGTACAGCAAGCCTGCCTTGCGTCTCGCCAAGTCCCGACCGGTGTCGAGGTTGATGTCTCGACAGATCATCCTCTCTTTTGCCGGTGCTGCCATCCTCCTCATGCTAGCCGAATTGGTCCCTTATCTCATTTTGCATCCGCAGTCCTTTTACGTCAGTCCAGACGTCAACGACGACGATCTTGAGCTCGACTCGCAAGACTCGACGACAGTGGCCAAGACATGCTTCTTTGGGTACACCACTCTTGCGCTCATCTGGAACCTGGGTCCACCGCATCGTGAGCCTCTCTACAAGAATTGGATCCTCTGCTTGGCCATCGTATCGCTCTCGGCGATCAATCTAGCCATCCTGTGGGGTGATGGAGAGGGAGATGGACTGCAAGCCGTCTTTGGCTTCCTCTCCCTGCCCGTTGGGTTCCGAGCAGTCATCTTTGCCGTCGCAGTAGTCCAGTTTTTCCTCACTGCCGCCTGGGAATTCCTTGTCATCCCTCGATTCAGTCGAGCACTCGATGGACCTCTCTTGGCTCTGCGTAGAGCGAAGAGACGACGTGCGCACAGCAAGTTGGTCAAGCGACAGAGGAAAGAGGCATTGAAGTCGTCGAAGAGGCCAGAGGACTTTGTTGCGCCGGTATTGGACGACGATATGTCAACGGAGAAGACGTACCGGAGAGTGGAGCGGGCATTGAAGTATGAAGAGGAGCAGAGGACAGAAAAGAGGTGGTGAGGAGTGGGTTGGTAATGGGATCGCCAAGGGTCATCCGGATCACTCCATTGCTCATTCTTGTTCACCACTGCCCTGCTAGAGGCTTGTCGTGGATGTTCACGCTGTACGTTCGTTTTGCCTGTCTGTAATATACAAAAGTGTCATTGTTCAAGTACATTCCTCTCTGTGCTCTCTGCTTTCTCCTCTCCACCCCTACCACCTCATCTCAAATTCCTCCACTCTTCTCACCCCTATGTTCCCACAAGTACCTCACAAGACCCTTGAGCTCCGCCTCCTGTCTCTCCTTGACCCCCGCCAACAGGTTCTTAGCTCCACAAGCCGAAGATGCCGTCCCTCCTTTACCCCTCCCACTCCCACTAGCGAGGGACTGTACTTCATCTACAAACTGCTTTGCTGAAGAGCGTGCTGTGGAGAGACTTTGTGGTGAGGAAGAGGAGGGGGGAGGGTAGAAGGAGAGGATCCAGGGATGGGAAAGGCGGGAGTACCAGTATTTTGAATTCCAGTAGTCTGCTTCGCGACGATGTCTGATGATGGAGAGGAGGTGTGGGGGGCAGGGGGTAAGCGTAGCAGAAGAAGACGGAGGACAAAAGGACATCAGCTCATTGTTCGAAAGCAAAGAGACCCAGCATCCCCCTGATTGTCCATCGACGACTCACAGGACAGCATGCACGACATTACACGCCTCACAATCCTCTCGATCCGTCACAACATCATGCGCCTTTCCCGTCTCATCATTCAGCAAATGCAAAGCTGCACGTAACCCATCGCTCCACCTTTCTGACTGCGCTAGAGAGGTGATTTCGGTGCTGAGCTCGGGAGAAAAGGCACTTTGCGGAATGAGAGGAATGGAGCTTCCTGGACGGGTGAGGAGGGGATGGAGAGAGGTGGGGAAGTCATTTGGGATGGTGGTGGAAGAAGAGGAGGAGGGAGAGGAGGTAGTCATGATGAGGTACTTCTCTCTGGCAGGTGAAATGGGCTAAGATGTAAAGTTGAGAAATCTCAGGATGGTCACTTATTCGAGTAGGATTCGTATCGGAAAGCGGAACCCCCTTGCAAGTGGCGAAATTGCTTCGAAATCCGTGTGGAGGCAGGCGAGAGGCCACTTCCGCCTTCAAGTCCGCTTCCGCTCAGTGCCCACCACCATTCGAGTCTCCCTCTCCCTCTCCCTCTCTTGAACACCTCGGCAGTCCAATCACCAGGTCACCCACAAAAAGTCCCCTGATCTTCAACAACAAGAGTCGACCTCTCACCATGGAAGCAAAAACAAAAGAAGGGCAAAACAAAGAATGGCAAAACTTCAGCATCCAGGATTCCCGCGTGGTCCCCCACCGCAGTACTGACTGGACGGTACCTTGCTTAACTTCGCAGATCGGACGGGATGCGGTGCTTTCAAGGTCCTATGGCCGAAGATGAAATAGTAACCAGTGTGGGTGGAATATATACTTGCTGCAGAGGTAGGGACTGCGTGCAAAGTTGGGGTCACGTCGGCAGAGGCAGGGGGAAGAGGGGGAGGGTGAAGATCGGGGCTCGGGGCAGACGGAGGCGAGAGACAGGGTTTGTATGTCACGTCGATGATATTGAAGCAAAGCGTGTGCTAGGAGGCAGAAAAACACAGGTCGAAAAGGAATCTAGTCTAGGTAGGGAGAATGACAGACCAAGGAAAACGGATGGGGGGTAGCACAGGAGTCAAAGTCCTTTCACCTCGGAGAAGGACAGAAAGAGCACAACGCAGATGCAGGCGCAGACGTCTCGTGCACCCGCTCACTTCTTGCCCTTCCTGAGAGGCTTCTTCGGTCCTTCATCCTCCTCCTCGGTATCCGGTTCCCTCACACCCGTGCTCAAGAACGCCAAGACTCTCATTCTCCTCCTCTCTTCCTGTGCCTTGAGTTCGTTCCTACTCTTCTTCTTCCTACCCTTGGCTCCCTTGAGCTTAGACATGTCCTGGTCTTCCAAAGCTTCGTCACCTGAGCCGGCTGGGGTGGCAGCGTTGCTAGAGGCGGCAGTGCTAGGTGCGGCGCTGGCCATGGGTGTGCCGACCTTGGAGCGCAGAGCGGGACTCATCACACCTGGGGTACCCCCGGGTGTAGAGGCATCGTCGCCGATGCTGTTGATGTCCTCCAGACCATTGAGGGTGCCAATGCGGCTCTTATTCAGCAGCTTACCGTCCTCAACGTGCCACCTCTCGGGGAAGAGGGCATCGACGAACTCCATTTGGTGGGAGATACAGATGACGGCACCTCCCCAAGCTCGAATGGCTTCTGACAGACCTCCCAGAGCCTCTCGGTCCAGGTAGTTGGTAGGCTCGTCCAGCACCAGCAGCTGTGGTGCAGACCACATGGCCGCGGCAAGGACGACCTTGACCTTCTGACCACCGGATAGACCGCTCACCTCGTTGTGCTCGGCAATCTCACCGTTGAGACCGACGGCTTCGAGCTGGGCACGGATAGCCTTCTGGCTCAGCTCCCTAGCACCAGATCCCTCTCGGGCATTCTCGACATCATCAAATCGTCCGACCAGCTTGGAGAAGCCAAGCTCGTTCAACCGATCACGAGGGATCCAAGAGTTGTCCTTGTGCTGCATTCCCTTCCACTTGATCTCGTACTCGAAGCCCCTCTTCATCTTCCTCCTACCAATGATGAACTCGACGAATCTAGTCTGACCAGTGGTAGATGTAATGGGCTGGGCTAATTGCTCAGCCTCCTCTTCCGAGATCTTTCGGCTGGCCTTCTCGTTCATCTCCTTGTCGGACCCGTCACTGTAACGCCATCGGATGTACTCGCAGGCAGTCTTCTCCAGATGCTGCTCCAGATGGTGGAAAGCGTGCTGGTGCAATGTGGCAACTCGCAGGTTGGGGTGCTTCTCAACCTTTCCTTCCTGAGGAATGACCTCCTCGGTCAACACCTTGATCAAGGTCGACTTTCCAGCACCGTTGGGTCCGAGCACTCCCACACGGGACGAGAGGGACAGAGCGCAAGAGGCGTTGCTGATAGAAGGCTTCTTCATGCCAGGGTAAGTGTAGGTGATGTTTGACACCTTCAAGATCGTCCTGGTGTTGGAACGAATACCCATTAGAGAACCGGGCGGGGGGAACGAGAATTTGACGGAGGTAGCAGCTAGCGAGATGTAAGACTTGGCCTCGGGCTTGGTGGCAATAAACTTGGACAAGTTGCCCTTGTAGTACTTCAGCTTCTTGGACTCATAAGCAATGATGTCCGTGCAGACAGTGTCAAGGAAGCCAACATCGTGAGAGACAGTCAGGACAGTGATGTTGTCGTTGGAGATCAGGTAGTTCTCCAGCCAGGCGACCGAGCCGACATCCAAATGGTTTGTGGGCTCATCAAGCAGGAGCACATCGGCACCAATGAGCATAGCCCTGGCCAGCTCGAGCTTCATCTTCCATCCTCCAGACAGCGAGGCGACAGGGTTGGACTGCCTCTCGTCGTCGAAGCCGACGTCAGCGAGCTTAGCGCGGACCTGGTCCTTAGTCTTGCCGGCCAGACGAGGGTCCTTGGCAATGAACTCGATGATGGGAATTGAAGCGTCCTCACCCTGGTTGTGCTCCACCATGACCGTGACGAGATCCTGAGGGTAGCCCTCCACCTTTCCGTCACGCATAGCCTTTAGCAAGGTACTCTTACCGCTTCCGTTGGCGGCGACAATTCCGTACCTCCTGCCTCGGTAGAGCTTGAGGGTGGTGTGGTTGAGCAGCAGCAGACCACCGTAAGCCAGAGAGAACTCAATCCGGCAAACGCACTCTCCGACCTCGTCATCCTCCTCTTCGGGCTTGCCGAAGCGAGTTCGGTCGATCTCAGAGTATGTCTGGCGGAGAGAGTCGCAGACGATCTTGGCTTCCTCAGGAGACTTGCAGAGCCTTCGGAGGTAGGGCAAGACGTAGACCTCGTCCCAGGGAGTTGCCTGGACGATTCGCTTTTCAGCGAGGCGGGCGACCAGACCGGCCATCCAGTTGATACCCAGGAGGGCAAATTCGTCCGACTTGACGTTTGCGTGCTCTTCGGGTACGTGGCCCTGGATAGCAGCAATGATGGCGTCAGAAGCAGCCGACTTGGCCTGCTCAAATACACCGACGGGGTCCTCGTCAGATGCCTTGGCCTCGCCGACGAGCTTGGTAGCGGCTTTCAGAGTATTAGAAGCTGCCTTGGCGTACTCTCGTACCTCAGGGAAAGAGGCAGAAACCTCGATCCTCTCCACACCGGGTGTGAGAGCGGGCAGGAAACGAGCGGCCTCGTGAGGGTCTCGGACCAGCTTGCAAAGATTGTCTACGACAATGACAGTCTGACGCTGGACGGTCTGGTTCCTTTCGCCGAGAGCTCGGACGAGGAGGGGGACCATGACGGCCAGAGCGGGTCCAGTGACCTCGGCAACAAAGGTAGTAGAGGAGAGCTTCTTGACGGTAGCTGCGACTGTATCGGGAGCTCGCATGGTCTCAACCAGGTCGGGGATGTACGGCCGGATGTCGTTGTTGTCAATGACACCACAGACTTTGGTAGCGGCCTTGACGGCGGCCTTGGAGATCTGGAGTGCGGAAAGAAGCGAAGGAGAGGGAGCCAGAGATTAGCAAGCACCTCCCGAGTCAATTGCAGCATTACCAATAATGTTCAACTCACCTCGGCCTTGGTCTCGTGCATAGCGTTAGTGAGGTAGGGGATCAGGTGAGGGAGCTGCTCTCCAATCTGTTCGCTGCAAGAGTCACTGAGCTTTCCGATGAGCTTGAGTGCTCCCACCTTGCTCTGCCACTTGGAAGCGCTGGACTCGAGGGTAGCATAGAGGACAGCCAGGAGCTCAGGTACGGACTCGGGAGGTGCGAGGACGAAGAGCTGTCCGACGGCACTCTGAGCTGCCTCTTGGACCACATCACCCTTGTCGGCGTAGAGTTCCAGGAGGGTAGGGAGGGTCTGTGGCAGAAGCCATGGCTCAGCTCCGAGGGGCGAGGGAGCATTCTTTCCAGCTACTTTTGAGAAGATGGCTCCGAGGGCAATGGCAGCAGCTTCCCTCTCGTATCCGCTCTTCTTGTTGCGGGCGGCCTTGAGGAGGGAAGGGATGATGGCCTCGCTCTCGATTACGCGGAGTCCGTGCTGGTTGATGTACTCTGCGAGGCCATCGGCTGCCTTGTGGCAGTCCTCTGCAGAGGGAGCCTTGTAGATGGCGTCGAGGTAGGTGGCTGCCGAGGAGGCGCCGTTGGTTGCAGCCATGGCCGCGAGTGGGAGGGGGGGGGGAGGGAAAGGAGTGTTGGTATGAGTGGTGGTGTTGGTCGTGAACAAGATGGAAGAAGAGGAAGGGGAGGCAAGGCTGGCTGCCTTGTATCTCTTGTCCTTTGAGTGGCCCGCGTGTGTGTGTTCGTGGATTTCAATTCCTCCCTTCGTTGCCAATCTCCCCCTGGGCGGTGAAATTTTCTCCGTCAAGCGCCTCGTTGCCTCCGTGCGGGCGGAGATTGAACTCAGGCAGGACTGAACCCCTTTGACCTGTGCCGCGGCTCAACTCCCACGCGGCCTCGCTCCCTCCCTCCACGGAACCACCACTCACATCCGACGGAAGGCGGACAGAAGCTTTGATTGACAGGCGAGAGGAGGCTGGCACTGCCAAATACATGTGAATACCCTCCCAGACAGCTTCCCATCACTTCCGAGACACTCATCAACCACACCGAGATGAACGCAATCGTCAATCCAGACGAGGACACCGAGTTGTGAGTACGACGACAGAGGCAGAGAGGGCCAGCCAGACAGCTGACAGCACCACCTCCGCTCCCAACGCTCAGCCACGACGCCCTTCGCAAGCACGGCATCATCCCTCCCAAAGCTCCTTCTCGCTCTCCCTCTCCCGAACTTCCCACAGCTTCCGAGCGTCGCCAAACAACTCTCCAGAATGCCTCGCTAGCCGACATCGACCGTCTTCTCGACTCCGAGGGAGATCGACGCACAGGTGCCGCGGGGGACGAGGAGGAGCGACTGCTACTCAACCTCAGGAGACAGCGCATGGAAGCTCTAGCGCGAGAGAGGAAATTGGGCCGCTTCGGAAGGGTGTACCCTATTTCACGACCGGACTATACACGAGAGGTAACAGAGGCTTCAAAGGTCGACCTGGAGGCAGATGCAGAGAGTGATGGTGAAGATGAGGAAGAGGACGATGGAAGGGCAGAGACTGGTGCTGGAACCATTGGGGGAAGCGAAACCAGCGCCAGCAACAATAAAAAGGAGCGCAAAGGAACAGGCGTAGTTTGTTTCCTCTACAAGGACAGTATCGAGGAGTGTCGCCTCCTTGCTGGATATCTAGATCAACTAGCTGCAAAGCACCCCGCGACCAAGTTTGTCTCCATCGTAGGGGATCAGTGCATTCCGAATTACCCAGACCGCAATTTGCCTACGCTGCTGGTGTATAGGAATGGAGAATTGCACAGACAGATCATTGGGCTGAGACCAGAGATTGGGTTGGATGGAATGAAGACAAAATGCGCAGGTGAGTAGACTAGCCTAGCCCTACCTTCTGTGGAAGCCCAATCTGCGCTGGCGCTGACCACCCCTGCTCTTCCCTCCAACTCTAGATATCGAGCTCCTCCTCACAGCAATAGGCGTAATCGACCCATCTACCGTCCCTGGCTCCACCTCGCAACTCGACGCCGATGAGAGGAGCAAGAGCGATGCACAACGTCAAGATCGCGCAGAAGTGGAAGACGAAGACGAGGGCTTTGGCGGAAACAATCGAAAGTACCAGAGACCGAGTGTGAGGAGTCAGGAGGATGAGGATGCTGATTTGGATTGGGACTTGTGAAGGTGCAGCTAAGGTCTATTTACAGAAGGCAATGACAATAATGACAAAAGGGAGAATATCCTCCCCCTTACAAGGTTTCCTCAGAAAGCCCCGCTAACAACAGCCAAACATGCCCTCGCGAGCTCAACCGCCTTCATCGGCTGATCGCGTTCCAGCCTCACACTACCGAGCACATTCGCCTCCCTTCCAATGAGTCCACCATACTCAAATCCAGCAGGCGCTCGAGGTATACTGCGCTCCAACTCGGGAGGGGCGACGAGGGTGGTGCCCACGCTGGAAGTTCCAACACGAAACGAAGAGAGCTCGCCTGGGAGGGAGAGAATGGAGCAGAGTTGCGCGTGCAGGGTGAAGAGGTGGGCGCGGGGGGAGCGCTGTGAGAGGGTCTTGAGCGTCAGCTCTTCTCCCCGTCCTTCTCCTTGCTCAGATGAGCTGGAGTAAAGTGCCGAAACGGCAGCAGAAGGGTCACTAGCTGTAGCCGCTGCGAGCGTCGACGGAATCAGCCGGAGGTCTAGCAGATGCGTCAGGATGACGTACATCTCCTCTTCTCTTATACGCGGGAAAGGCGCTCCGCCTTGCAGTAGTCCATCGGCCGTGTAGGCCTGCACAGCGGCGGCAGCTCGACGCAGCAGGTATGGTAAGGACAGAGCAGCCACTCGATGGTACCGCTGCTTTGCCTCTTGATCTTCGCTCTTCGACGCCGCACCGCGATCAGAGCAGATGAGAAACATCAAGTCGAGGCAGGCGAAAGAGAAGAGTTCCCGAGGGGAGGGCGGTAGCTCGAGAACGGTTCCGCCCTTCAGAGACGGGCTCACATCGTCCGCTCCCGCGATCGCCTTAGCAGACCAGGCCTGTGAAGCAGGCGGAGGCCCACGTTGAACAGCGCTGTCGTCGTAGAGTCGGCTGGCGCGCGCCAGAACAGTAGCGAACTGCTCAATTAGTGCAGATGGGGTCTTCCTGTCACCTAGTATAGGCCAGATGTTGACCTCAAAGGTAGAGAGCAGCAGAAGGTCGTATGCTTGGTCATCAAGCCGGTGAGGGTCAGCAGCATCGAGCTCGGTCAGGTGCGAGCAGTCGGCTTCGAGGGCCGCTTGATAGGTGGCAAGAAGATGTCTCCAGAGATCCTGGACGTGGCCTTCTTCCAACTGAACTAATTCGCTCTGCAAATACCTGCAGCACCTTTCAGTGATCCTGCACACAGCCAACGTGGCTTCTTGCCAAAGAGCGCGAGGCGCAGCCGCGCCGTCCTCGACAACGCGTCGACTAGGAGGAGGGCAGTCGTAGCGCAACTTGATGGGAATCAAAAGAGCAGCAAGCAGACTATTCAGAGCACCGGAAGCGTATATGTCCGCCGTTGTGTCCCACTTGCTGTACAGCTCTAGCGCATCTTGCACGGCAGACTTGTGGAGAGCAATATACGAGGACTGCTTGGCTCGAGGGTCGCCATCAGCCTGCTCGGGAACGCTAAAGGGAAGAGAGATACAGTCTGCAAAGTGTGTGAGGAGCTTAGAAGGCAGCTCGGGCACTTCCTTGAGGTCGAAAAGAGCCTCTCGACTTGCCGTTTGGACAGGTGTCCGATCGTCAACATCATTCAGTGTATGCGGCGAGGCACTGTACGTTGTGGCCAAGTGAAGTCGAGGGATGGCCTCGAGCTCGACTGGTTCTGACTGCAATTTGTAGAGCGGTCTGAAGGTCTCGATGTACGCTAGAAGATTCGCTTGTGAGAACACTGTAGCAGAGTCATGCAGAACGTCACCGATGTCCTTCCACGTCTGCCAAGCTGTACGCCAAGCTGCCATCGCAGCATCGCTTGCGCTCTGTTCCCCTTTCTCAGCCTGACTCTTCAACATCGCCTCGAAAGCACGCATCGAGGACTGTGAGATGGACGCAGGACCTGTCAGGAAAGCAGCCTTCACCTTTGCCAGTAGCTCCCCCCATAGCTCTCCAGCGTCGGGCGCAGAAAGAATACGTGTCTGTAGGAAGTCACCAAGAACGCCTCCGAGTTGCTGGAAGGCTACCACGCAGGTCTCCTCCCACTGCTTTGCAACTGCTGGAGGTGGTAGAGTATTGCTCATGGACGACGAAGTTCTCCGGTTCCTCGCCGCTGATACCGGCGTTTTTGGCGGCTGCGCGTCCGCCGCTGTTTGCTCATTTTGCCTAGCGCGAAGAGCCGAAGACGTCGAATGCTCCAGAAGAGGGAACAGTACCTCCCGCAGAGTCCTCGACCAGGCTTCAGGGCTCAGTACACTTCCGTGTGAAGCCAGGACACGGAACAGCCCGGAGACTGCGGCATCTCTGACTTCTGGTCTGGCATCCTTTGCGATCTCGCAGAATGCAAAGAGGAGCGCGAGCCAAAGCTGGGTGATATCTTGGTCCGACGAGGTCCCATCCGTGGGCGAACGGCTGGCAAGTTCGGCGGTGATTCCCCAGAGGGCGCTACCTGCCGTGAGGGCAACGTTGATGTCATCGGAGACAGCGAATCTTTGTAGAGCCTGGATGCTGAGCTCAATCTGAGAAAGGTTCAAGGCCGAGAGCAAGTCAGAGCAGACTATCTGGACGCTGGCAAATGCCGACTTGACGAGAGATTGAGCAGCAGGTCGACCAGGTAGGGAAGGCCTTTCGTCGATCTTCGACCCTGGTGCGGCTTGCGATCCATCACAAGCAGCGATTGCCACCTCGAAGATCGTCTCCCAGCCAAGCCTCAAGGCATGTCCGTATGTCTCGATGATCTTCCGCATCGTCTCTGTGCCAGCCTTACGGACATCGACATCTGACAGGGCTGTGCTACCCCCAAGGACCGACAGCGAATGCAACGGAGTGAAGATCTGCCGCTGGATGCGGACAGCCTCCGAGGTCGACTGTGAGGATCCGCTGCTGTCCTTTGTGGTAGCTTGAATGCCCATAGCTTCATACAGCATCTCTGCCAATACTTCGGCCGCCTGGACGCGAAGCGCTGCTCTGATCGAGGGATCTGCAGAGATGCTCAGCAGTTGCTGCGTGAGGCGGTCCCATCCTTGATTAGCTGGAGAAAGCGCCATCCGCTTCATATTTAGCCTAGCTACTGTCCTGGCATTGTCGAGAACCACCGACGCCGCCGTCACTGCAGCATTGCCTCCCTTGCTCATGCGCAACAATAGCGGCGCCTTGTTGGAGCCAGGCGATGCGACGGTACCAGCATCCCCGTCGGCAGTGGCTTTGCAGAAAGCGTCAACCAGGGTGCATAGCGCTTCGCCAAACGCTTGGAAGGCAGCGGTATCAAGGGCGAGGGAGTTGTCAAAGCATCTTCCTACTTCTTTGAGCATCGCTTCGTAATCCAGCCCGCTCAGCAGCTGCAACTTTCCCGTCTTTGAGTCTAGAGGCAGAGAAGCCAATGAAAAGCCAGGCTGGAACGTCGAGGGGGCCACACTGTGCTTGGAGGGACTGGTGACGACGGATGACTCTCTGCTCATAGCTGAACTATCTCGCCGTGCTGAAGCAGCACGCTTTGCAATTGCCCGCCGAAGTAAGTACTCGGCCTCGCAGATACCGGTGAGAACCGGCAGCCAGTGCTCATCGAGCAATCCCGACAGATAGACTGTGACGTGCGCCAAGACTCTCAGGGCAGCTAGATTTCGTTCTGACAGCACTGTCTTACTGTCGTCACTTCCTTCCTCGCTCGCTATAAGTATGGCTGTCGGAGCGGCAAGGTTTATCAGGGAATTCATGAAGCCGTCTCTTGCTTTGTCGACGCCTAGCACACCGCATGTGTTGGTCAGATTCCGCACAGCGGTCAATACCTCGCAGAAGATTGCGTCATCTGTCCTTGCCGACAAGAGCAGGAAGAAGGCAGTCCGCATCGGCTTGGCGGCCACAGTGACCATTGCTTGAGCTGTGACGACCTCTGCCTGTTGTGTCTCGCTAGAGAGGCTCCCGATCTCGAGGCGAGGCGGTGCTACGCCAGCTCGTCGAGGGCGAGAGTTGACAAAAGAGGAATATGCCGGCAAGACCGATTGGGCCAGGGACTGGGCGAGGTGTACAAGCGACTGCGAAGCTAGCAGGTAGACGTATGTGGGAGATGAAGGCGGCGGCTCTGCCTTCTCGAGCTGGTCAACAAATTGGATGCCAGGCGCTGAAGCGAGGCCCAGCGTAGCATTTTGAGATACGTCCGCACTACCTGTAGAGCTGAGAACCGCGTTGGCCATCCCAGCGGCTGCCTCATATAAGCCGAAGGTGCTGCTCTGCCGCCGGTCTGTGCTTGCCCTTGCACTTGAAGGTGGCGACCCATATGCATCTGACGCAGGATCAGCTCCAATCGCTTCTGGGGCTTCCGTGATCACCGCTTTCAAGGTCTGTACAAGGGTAGTGAAGACTCTTGCAGACGAGTCTTTGCCATCGAACCAGGTCCAGAGATTGCGAAGGAAGACACCTTCCGAACAAAGTGACCTCGTGACTTCCAATGCAATGATTCTCTGCCACTTCGGTGTTGGATGCTTGGGATCAGAACTCATGAAGCGCAGCAGTATGCTGACGAGGATTTCGACCTCTACCACCAGCTCTGAGCTAAATTGCCTGAGCAGGGCGAATAGCAGACGAGTGAACCGGAGGGTGACGGGAAAAGAAAGCTTTTCGCTGAGCGCCCTGATCAGCATCGGGCAGGTCGATCTCCGAAGAGTCAAGAGCAGTTCAGGATGTGATCTGACAAGACTTGCGTGGTTGACGAGGATCGACTCGATGAGCTCTAGAGTGAACGTCCGTGGCAGGGAAGACAGCTGCAGAAACTTTGCGGGCTCATCTTGGGCGAGGCCATTGAGATCGGAGAGGACACTGTATGCGTCTGCCGAGGAGGGAAAAAGAGTGACGGTCTCTGCTGCTGGAATCTCTACGGTCTGTACGGCCAACGGTGCAGCGACAGCGGCGTCCTCTCCACCCTCCTTGATACCGTCCAGCACTCTATCTTCCTCTGCAACCTTTTCAAAGACGACCATGACAGTCTGCCGCACTGTGGCAGCAGCAGTGGAGCTGACCACCTGAACTTTGCTGTCCTGCAGACGAAAGCAGAGGTGTAGTACGGACGAGAGTAGCGAGCCATGAATCGAAGGATAGGCCAAGAGGAGGGCGGAAAAGGTCTGAAGAAGCTTGAGCAGAAGCTCGACGTCTCCCTTGGCTGAGAGAGGAGAGAGCAGCTCTACAATCGGTGCAATTGCAGGCTGTATGGACAATAAGACCGACTCTGAGAATCAGCAATCACTTGCAAAGGAGATATTGGAGTTGGGCTCAGCTCGCTACTGACCTCTGGAACCACTCTCATAGCAATTATCCTCTGCAGCAGAGACACTCCCAATCCTGCCACCTTGAGGTGAGCCTTTGCATTGCAAGCCAGCACAATGGGTCTCAGCAGCAGATGTTCCTCAAGTATCTGCGTCGCGCCCGCATCAAAGGAGGCTTCCCTGCCATAAACGTCGCTCGCTGCACTCCGCCGGGGATCGCGCCTACACTTTGCCAATGTGCCATCAAAGTCGGCTCGTAAGCTGGCTAGTGCTGCATCCGCTGCGGTCTTGACCTCTGGTGAGCGCCGTCTGGATTCATTGGCTAGCGCTGTGAGATCGCTGAGGAGCAGCTGGGACATGGCTCTTCAGGGGGAGGTGGCCAGGCGAGAGCCGCTGGTGCCTGGCTCCGAGACGCAAGGGATGGGGGCGAAAGAGTTGAGCCCAGCCAAGAGGAGAAGCAGGCGTAGTGATGGTACTGGATGGTACAGCGTCTGAGGAGCAGATGAACTTGCGTGGGCGGGGCCGAGAATGACGAGCTGAGGACAGAGGGATACCATGATGGAACGCCTGGCCATCGGAGCGGAGCGTATTTGCTCTCGCCTCGCACCGGCCACCCCGCACGCCAGGCCAGTTGCTGTGCTTGGCTCGGCTCGGCGGCCAGTTCCGCGTGGCAGTCACGCAATCAGGGTCCACATCCACACAAGCACAAGTAGACGAAGAGGTGATGACCATGGCGTGTCTCCTCCACGAGATGCTCACTCCCAGTGCCCCGTTTCATAGCATGTCTAGACCGCCTCTGACTGGGACTTCGAGTTTGTTGCCGGGCGGGAAGGGGCATTGGTCACATTGACGCCGAGCACGCGATGGCGAAGACAAAGTGACACTTGAGTCAATAGCCTCACCGCCATTGGACGGGGGTAATGGCAACCAGCAATGGCCGCAAGGCATATAACACTGCCGCGGCAGTACACAAGACAAAGAGCAACGGGCCACCCTCCATTCCTTCTCCCCTCTGTATACATCACCGCTCCCACAGCACCGCCCAGAAGCTCACCAGAGGACTTTAGCGCACTACTCCCCCCCTCCTCCGTCTGTAGCCTGCCATGATCACTACCCACTTCTGGCAATCGGGCCAGCCAGACCGATTCTGTCGTCCAGCCGGTTCCGAGAGCTTTCGCCAGGTCTTGGCTCGCAAAGGTGGCGATACTCACTTTCAGCTCGCGAGTAACGCAATGGCACCCTCTTCCAGTCGCTTGACCATTGCCACTGCTCCAGCTGCCCACGGCTCTCACAACCACAACCACAATGGCCCGTCGCTTCCAGTGAGCAGTATCGAGAATGAGGAAGTACCTCGCCACACGGCGAGGAGCACTCGCAGAGGACGTTCGCCAACAAGGAGGCACCTTTGGGCCTATTCGCCTGAGCGAGCCCATGCCGAGGTACAGGAGGAACGAAGACAGAGCATCACCAGCCGCTTCGCTCCGGACGTCCAGCCAGCGTCATATCCTGAAACAGTGCCACCCCAAACTGCCAACGAAATACCGGTCTCCTCCCTGTCCCTCGACTCCCCAATCTCTGCCTTGTCATCCTCGTCCACACTGACGACCACACAATATGAAGCTCCCCCAGTCACAAACACCTCCTTGCCGATCCTCTCGCGACCTCCAGCTGCTCTCGCCTCGCATACCTCGCTCGAGTTGCGCGCTTGGCAAGCAGGAGAAGCCTTCGACGGAGAGCTGAGCTACCTGCGAGCAGCATCAATCACGTCAGACACACAGACAACAGGCGCAGGTCCTGCTGCTTTTGCACAGGTTCTCTATACTCGCTCGCACCTTCCCGAGCTTGATCTGCAGTCCAGATATCTGTGGCATGCGCTTCACTATTTTCGAGTGCAAGACAATGATTACGCCAAGGGGTACGCAGAGCGAGCGGGAAAAGCGCCTCGCTTCGACAGTGCCGTTGGTGTATGCCCATTCCTCGCAGCTACGTCCTCGTCCTCGTCATCAGCGCCCCACTCTACTCGAGACCCAAACTCCTCAGCGGCCATCATCTTCAAAACATTCAATTGGTCCTCTCTCCGACTCCCCCTCTCGCTCCAACACGAATGGTACGGCGTCACCTTTCGCTCCATCCGTCGCGCTGCCTCTGCCTCCCTCTCCCTGTACCAAGCCGACCGACTCTCACACGAGGAAGCCGTCTCTTCCGGTGGTCTCATCCTGTACTGGTACGGCCAACCCGATGCAGAAACGGGGGAGAATCTCGCGACGTGTATTTGGACTTCGAGAGAGGAAGCAAGGGAAGCGAGTAGGCTGCCAATGCACAAGGCGGCGAGGGACTTGGCGGTCGAGGCGTATGAGACGTTTGAATTGGAGAGATATAGGGTTGTTAAGAGGGAGGGGGAAAGCGGGATCAGAATTGAGCCGTGGAATTAGAGTGCAAAGAGGTGGCAGTCTGGTGGAGGTGATGAACGAACGAATCTCGAATGCCATGACAAGTTCAAAGAGGAGCGCAAGTTGTATTTTTATGACGAACAGCCCCAAAAGATAGTTTGAGACAAGTCTTGCTGTTCATCGAGACGAAGCAAAGCAATGCTCACGCGTTTGTGTGTGTTCTCTTTCGTACAACCGTATGGTCTGGCTCCATTCTCACGGCCTCTTGCCTTTGCGCCCAGCTGATCGCTACCTCGTCGCACCGCATCACCTCCTGTTCGGAGTGTTACACCGTTGCTTCAGCGCTCATGGCCCGACAAGCGAACCTGCAACCTATTCAGCCGATGCCTTTGTCATAGCCGGCCCTCGCAGCAAATTCCAGGGCTGTGAGCGTTCTCCACGGGACGGTGCCGTGCAGTGGGGATCGCTGAGCGATCAATCGACTCAAGGGCAGTGGGAATCTTTTGGAAAGCGGATGCGGCATAGAGACAGTGGCAATCCTGTCGACGTGCTCACAAACGGGGGTTGTCATCATCAAAAATCGACTGAATTCGGGAGCATATAACAGCCGCCACAGCACCTCTCGAAAAGAAATACAGCCTTTCGGCTTTCGACGATCACCTAAGTGTAGCGTCGCAGAAGTGAACGCGAGCTGGACTCGTCGCGACATTTGCAACGCTCCGCAAGTTCCCTTTCCTTTCTTTGGCACTTTGGAGACAGGTCAGACCAGCACACATCACACCATGCGATCCTTCCAGCTCCTCCTACTTTTCTTGCTCACCATATTTCTCAGCCTACACTTAGCAAGCGGCCTCGTCCTAGCCTCTCCAGCACGGAGCCGCAAGTGTCGTCGTGCTCTCTCCCTCTTCTCCCTGGAAAAGCGAGACGAGATACATGACAACGAGGGCGTTTCCAGCTCCTCTCTCCTCCCCCGTCTCTGGCGCAACGCCGAGCTGCCCGTCCCCCTCGGTCTGAACCGTCACCCTCCTGCTCTCCCCCCTCAACCGCCAAGTAGCAGCTGGGCAGGCGGGACAAGCAAGCACCTCCATCCTCCACCACCAACCGTCAGCTCAATCTTAGCAGGCAATCCCTCTGTAGCAAAGACGCGTAGAGAGAGGAAGCAAGAAGTGGCAGAAAAGAAGAAGCAGTATGAGAATATTAGAGCAGGACATGCATTTGTTGATATGATCTTGGATGAGTGTGGGAGTTGGTTGAAGAAGGATTTGCCTCCGAGGCCGAAGTCGAAGCCGAAGCGGGGGCGGGAGTCTAGTTCGTGGTCGGGATCTGGGTCTGGAGCAGTAGTAGGACTAGATCTGCAGCCGGATCGAAGAACTATATAGACGCCCTTGTTCGTGGAAGCGCTGACAACAACGTAGTCCAGATTCGATGAAGGTCCTGTTGAAAAGACATGAGCACTCGCAATGATGGATCATTTACATGTTGAAGAGCGTACACAGGAGCAATGTTTCTAGAGCTGATGCTATTCCTTGCCACCTTCCCAAAACACTCCGACCTCTACTTCAGAATTTGCCCCTCATCAGGTTTCCCACCATCTCCCTAGCCGTAATCCAGACCGTGGTGCCAAACGTTCCAAAGTCCAGGGTGGAGAAGAGTGTATCCGCGAGTCCAAAGGGGAGCATGGGTGGGATCCATCCCTGCGCTAGCTCCAGGGCCCAACACCCGTCTTCAGGCATCATGTACTGCTTCTTTGTACCCCTCTTCAGATGATGCACCGATCCCGGACCGTACACTTCCCGCTCGAGGGACGAGGGTAGAGCGGCATACTGTGTTCCGGTGAGGATATGGAAATAGTCATCGGCGGTATGTCGTCCAGTGTGTCCCTCTGTCCCTACTGGTGTTCCAAAGAAGATGAGATACTCGGTGATGGAGGCGTGCAGAATGAACATGGATCCCATAGCCCCACCGGCATTGTTAAACATCCACTCGTCCTCTTCGCCGATTGAATGGGCATTCATTGTTGGACCGGCTTTGGGGTCGAGCTTGAGCTGGGTGACAATGTCATCCATTAGAGCACGGGTGGAATTGTGCCCTGCGGCAACGGCCTTCTTGGTGATGGCGTGCACGGCTACTGGGTCAAAGACGTAGAAGCGCGACTGCCAGAAGCGAGAAAGAAGAGGTTCAAGCGAGACATCGTCAGCTTGGACATGAATGTATCGCAGAATTTCGACGAAAGAGGTATACTCACCACCACCCGATCCAAAGCGGAATACACCAGCGCTAGCACAAGGAACACAGTCGCCCAAGCCAGGAGCTTCTTCGGCCGCTTCGAAGGCGGAAGTGAAGTCTGTCTCGACCCTGCATTGGCAGACCGCGGCTTGTGCCGTGCTGGCGAGGAGACGCTGCTCTGTGCCATTTCTCCTGCTCGAATTGCACTTCAGTGACTGCCTTGGATTGGAAGCTGAATTGGTGCTCAGTCTACTGCCTGACACTTGCAGTAGTGGACCCAGGGTGTATGCGAGATTGCGGGAGAAAGCAGGCGGTATTGTGTTTCGTTGCGATTTGGAGGTTGATCGGAAGGAGGGGAATTCACCGGCTCGGAAAAAAGGAGGACGGAGCGGGGCAGCAAAGTCGAGTGGAGCGGACTTTGATGAGGCCTCGCTTGGAGGAACGAGGAACAGAGTCCAACACCACCACTGGAAATCGGGAAATAAGGCTGATCAGGGGACGATGGAAAGTGAGGATGGGCTGGGCCTGTACCACTTTACGGGGTCAATGTGACCAAGATGAGCTCCTACTCTACACTCCATCACATGTACCTCGCAGTCAGGCGAACAGGCACACATAAAGCGGGACCTGAGGCTTTGCAGTCACAGCAGTGCTCGGTCCTCGCAGTCCATAAATACCCGCTCCGCTCAGACCATGGCGACGAGGGAGCGTGGGTGGAGCAATGTGCTGCCTCGGATAACTCTCTAGCTTCAGCACTTGCCACTCTTGAGTCTGCCCTCTCCCATCAGGCCTCACCAACACCCGTCTCTCTCTAGCTCGTGAAAACTTTCCTGATCTCTGATCACTGATCACCCCATTCTGACTCTTCGGCATGAGCCACCTCACTCCCCCTTCTCCCGCCAGTCCTTCTCCTCCTCACCTGCTGAGACGCAAGCGCTCTTCAGCCAATGCCGCTCTCACCAGTCGGCCCTCGATGGTAGCACTCCGGATGGCCGCAAACAGCCAAGCACCTGCCGCCGATTACTCCGGGAGCGACGGGTCGGCCGCAATAGGCGTCGAGGGAGCTCTGGCTGGGATGAACATACAAGGTGCCGGAAGCTCAATCGAGGAACTCCCCTCTCTCCAGCGCCTCATCTTTGCCCACCTCCTGGTCAGCACCTCAGAAGACACTCCCGCCTCTTCAGAAAGTGCACCACCCTGTCAACTTTCCTGGGCCCTCTTCCAACCAGACCTCCTCGTCACCTCGTCAGGGACCGTCTATAAGCTAGGTAGAGACGAGTGGACGGCAATGCGAGATCCAGTAGAACGATTGAGGGGTTTGGTCAAGTCTGGCCAGACGCCACCGCCAGCACCGCCACCATCGCCGACGGGAGAGAGAAACGTATCGCAGAGCGAGGCGCTAGTACTTGGTAAGACGCTCTTAGGACTCGCACCGCCACGGAGGCTATACCGGACGAAGACTGCGAGCGGCTCCGAGTCGGTGCAGGCTTCTTGGCTCATTCTGCCGCCCGCTGATGGGGAAATGCTCGACAGGACCTTTGCCGATAGTACTAGCTCTCGCAAGGTGACCGACTTGATTACTTTAGTCGTTCAGTACTCCGCACACGAGGGAGCCGAAATACAAGCTGATCCAGCGGCTTCTCTTGCCCCTGCGCCAAGCCAAATTGAAGACGTTCTCAAGCTGGACCCGCAAGCATTAGCTGGCCAACCTTTAGGCAGTGATGACGCTGAAGGAAAGGGAGAAGAAATGTTGCGCAAAGTGCTGGAACTCTTCAGAGTATAGCACCTGGCATCAAAAGGGAAGTGACCGAAGGAAAAGGAATGGGTATTTAGGAGTTCTTGCGTCTGGTAATATATACACTTTACGATGGCACTGTCTGCCGTGCCTTGTCGGAGCGATCAGATGAGGATCGCTATCAGCAGGAGGAAGAAGAGTGCCTGTAGATCATCACAACATCTCTCTTTGTCAGAAGATTCGTCCTTGTTGACCCTCCACTACGTCTCGGAAGCGCACTCACCACAACTAACAACCACACGCACCACCCACCCAGTCTATCATCTCCCCTTCTCACCAGCTCATCCATCTTCCCCATTGCCCTCCCTAGCCTACCCTGTGTACTATCCACTTCCGAATCGAGTGCACCAATCAGCTCGACTTGCTCTGTGATCTCGTTGCCCATCGTGGAGGCTTGTGATTTGAGAGAGGTTAGGGTGCGACCGATTGTGGATAGGGTTGTGTCTTGCTGGGTCATCAGCAGCTAGAGGGTGTTGCAAGGACGGGATTCAGCTAAATTCAAGCGAGGTAGTCGTGCAAAATTGCAATGTTAGCAGAGGATCCTACTCACCTGTTGTTGCTCCTTCTCGAACGCCGTATTGTGGTCCTCGTCGTCGTGATCGTCGTCTATACCTATCGAGGAGTGCCCACCCCTGCGCTCCGCCCTGCCTCCCACTTGTACGCTGGCGGACCGTTGCAGTTTCTACAGACGACCATCACACAGCAAAGATGTCGTTGAGCTTGTCAGCTCACTCGCGCGTTCTACAGAGCTACGCTGACCCTTCCCTGCCCTCCTACTCACCTCGACCTCCGCCTCGCACACTCTCAGAAACTCCTCTCTCTTCCTCAGCTCACCCACATCAACTCCAAATCTCTCCGGACTCCTCTTGACCACCGCCACACTCTGTCTGACATCCTCTACGTCCTGCTGTAAGGCCTCAAGCGCATCATTGAGTCTATCTTGGGCGGTGATCAGCTCGCTTGATCCTGCAGCTGCTGAAGATGAGGAGGCGGAGGCGAGAGAATTGTAGGTCTCAGAAAGCTCCCGTGTGGCTGCGAGAGAGGAGCGGACGGTTGAGGCGAAAGTGTGAAATGGATCGGTTGCCATCCTCGTCGAGCGCTGTGAGGAGAGACCAGAGGTGGATTGCGGATGAGTAAGGAGTGGTACGAGGTGTTGGTTGGAATGGTGGGCGTGGAGGAGATGCTCCGCGGCAGCACCAGTCAAGTGGAGAGACGCAGCTGCAGAGCGGAAAGAGGATCTGGCAGACAAAGACACATCTTCTTGCATTTTTTGGTCACCATAACACTTTCTAGAAATCCCACTAGTGCTTCGCATGCCCTAAAATTCAATTCAATTTTGGGCTGCGTCTCACGGACTCTCCTTACCTCCACTCGGAGATGGTCAGGCCTACTGCGGTACTCGAGAAGCTCAAAGTAGCGCAAAGGGCGACAAGGACTGTTCCGCAACTTGCATTTGCACGACCCTCAAAGCCACAAAATCCCCTTCACCTCTACCGGCAAGCACTCCGTCTGGCCTATCAGATCGCAAAGCGATGGTATGACCCTTACATTTTCTACTACCATAGACTTAAAGCCGCGAGACAGCTGCGCGCTCCTTCTTCGATCAGTAAAGCTCATGTTGCCAGGACGAAATGGACAAAGGAAAAGGTAGAGAGTACAATGAGCCCTGCTGAGGTGAATCGCTTCAAGCGCCTCAAGGCTTGCGTCAGTACCTTGAAGAGGGCTGAGCTGGGGCACTTGGAGCCGATGTATAAGGTGTTGAGAGAGACGTATGCCAGATCAGGGGTCTTGAGGGCCACGGCAATGGAGGTGAGTAGCCAGGCAGGGTAAGCGCTGCGACATTGTCATAATTCGCTACGTGGGCTGAACTGGCACTCTCTTCGTAACACAACCTCTAGCATCTTCTACCCAACCTAGACCCCTCCAACACAATACCTCAACCTACATGGGCCGTACTCAAGCTCATTCAGTCACCCATCACCTCCTCCAGCTCTCCAGATGCAACAACCATTCGCAACCTCCGTAGATATACCAGGCTGAATCCCGCCATTGCAGCAGGGGAGGAACCGCCTCGAATACCCCTCGAAGAACGCAAGCTGAGAAATCGGATGCAATTCAAGGTCTTTGGAAAGGTCATGGATGGAATCAGGCCTCCGTTGAGTTATGCTGTGGTGCGCAAGGTCGAGGAGAATGCGAGGAGGGCAGTAAGCGTTGCGCTCGAGTGCCCAGAAAGGGGCCAGACTATTGATGGCGTACAAGCTTCCCAGGACAATGAGAAAGATGAATCCAAGTGGGCAGAGCAAGACTTCTCGCAGGGCGGTCAGATCCTCAAAGATGCTCTGCAAGCGCTAGGGACAAGACCTAGGAGGGGTCCGCCCAAACCTCTAGAACTTGGCCCACTTCACCCGAGCTCGAAGTGGTATGCTAGAGGGAGACGGAGGGCGTGGGGTATGCTTCTTAGCGAGCTGCCTATACTGAGCTTCGACCCGCCCCCTACTACTCTTGCTGAGCTCATAGACAGTCAGCAAATTGGTTCAGCAGAAGCAATATCGACATCGCAAGTTGGAGATGTCACGAGTCATTCTCCCTCTCCGCGGCCGCGTCCACTCCCTCCGCACCTCGCAATACAACCTACCCCGCTCGTCTGGAAATCCCTCTGGGGCTCCCTCCCTCGCCTGCCAACCGACGGCCTCCGCCCCATCCTCGAAGCCTACAATGCTCAAGAGCACGCCCGCCACATCTGGTCCGGCGAATCCGAGGCAGACGCAGCAGCCGACGCAGCCCTCGAGGAGGAGCGCGCCCGTCTACGAGAAGAGTATGCAGGATTGAGCTGGACGGAAAAGCGTGGAAAGAGGTGGAGAGAAAGGGCAGAGCAATGGGTCAAGGACCCTCGAATCAATGACGGCAAGGGAGCAGCCAAGTTCTCCGAGGCGGCCCCAGTGACTCCTAGCGCGCCGCGTTTGCGTTTGCAAGTACTTTCGGCTACTCAGGCTGGGAAGCAGCAGCAACAGCAACAGCAGCAGCAGCAGCAATCTACGGACAAGATGTCGCTGCTCCCAAGGAAGAAGAAGAAAGGTCGCCCCCCAGCGGAGAAAGTCCACCTGTACATCTCCCCACTTGCGCTCCGCTCAGAGCGGCCAAAGGGTGGCTCTCAGTCGGGAAAACCTAGAAGAGCACGTTTTGGGAGTGAGGCCTTTGTTAGCGAGGAGGAAGCGCAGTGGGCTAGGGCTAGGGCTGGGGAAGACGAGGTCGAGTAGCAGAAGGGTAGCGTAGAATGAGGAGAATGAGAATGTGGGAGCGGTGGTAGCCAGGGGGTCCCACGGGTCAGCTTTGTACAGTACACCAGCATTACGGACATGCGCATATCAGCACCTCGGCACGCACGCGCTAGATTCGCACACCTCATCACTCATCATTCGTAACTAAACTCGAACAATGTATACTATTCAGCACTCCAACTGCCGATGCTCCTTCTCCCGGGCAGTAACATCTCATGGCTCTCACTTTCCACCGGTGTGACAATCAGTCGTGTCACTTAGACAAGCCTGCGCCTTACACCTCACCCCCTGGATCACTAGCCCCAACATTCGCCCAACCCACCAAGCGACACCCCTCACGAAGAAGGCTGATTCTTCTGCTCACCTGCGCTCCCTCCCGCACTTGTCCCTGCGGCGCTCTTCTTGAGCTTCAAGCTAGCAAGTGCCCTCTCTCGCGCCAGCCGCAAAGTCTCATCGACGCTCAGGCTCGTCGAGCTGGAGATTGACAGGGGCGCGGGCGCGGCTGCCGGTACTGGAGCTGGAGCTGCAGCAGATGCAGAAGGAAGAGCTCTACCGTTGGCAGCGGTGGCGGCAGCAGTGGCTGCAGCAATCTCCGGCCCGCTAACATCCTGCCCAGTCAACGTCTTGGCAGACACAGCCGGCTTCATCGACGGTGGCGTAGTTGCAGATCCAGCCGGCAGCCCAGGCTTGGTAGCATAGATGTTCCTCGTGGAACGCGCCGAGATCCTCCTCGCCGTTCCTGATCCCGCAGCAGTACCACCAGAAGTAGCAACAGCAGAAGCCCCAGACCCAGCAGGAGGATAGTACTCTCCATCTTCCTCCGGGTCACCATAGTCGAGTCCTCCACCACTACTGCTGAGAGAGGGAGGAGGAGCAAGAGGAGGGAGAGCGCTTGTAGCGGATGCGCCTGCTGTCGGTCCTGCGATTGTGCTTGTTGCAGATGATTCACCATTGGCAGTGCCCTGTTGCTTGAGGTCAGGGAGGGAGGAAGTCCCGGGGAAAAAGTCTGGGTGGACTGCTTTTGCCTTCTTCGAAGGTGGAGGTGGGACGGACGGTCGTGCGGGCAAGGATGCCGATGTGGATTGAGCGATTGATACGGGCGCGGGCGCAGCAGGCGCAGGAGTGCTAGCTGTTGCTCCCGCTGTAGGAGCGAGAGACTGCTTGTCCCCTCCATCGGCACTGGCACTGGCACTGGCACTGGTGGACGACTTGGGCAGCGTCGGCACCGTAGCGGCCTCGACGATGATGAATTTGGTGGTATTATCATCCTTGTCCTGGATCCCCACTTTCAACAGCCTCAATCCAGGAATCACCCCTTTCGTTGCGCAAATCTCCGAAGCGATAGCCGCTTCCATCTTCAGGGTCAAAGTGTCTCCCTGCGCTTGCATACGTCCATTCGAAGCTACAAGCGAGGCGGCAAGAGCCGTACTGGCCACTGGCGTCCTACCGCCGTTGGTGGATGTGAGTGGGAGGTTCTTCTTGAGGAACATGTCGCATTGCCCGATGGCCTGCTCGTGACTATACACTCGCTGGATCTTAGCGAAAGCACTCTGCTTGACCTTTCCCGAGGAGATGTCCCCTGCACTTTCGAGCGCTTTGTAAGTAGCCTCACTCACAAGAAGAGAGTGTTGCACTTTGAGTTCCGTAGCTGCTAGCACGTTCATCTTGTCCTTGTACTCTGCCAGCAGAGAGGCCGTTTCCTTCACTGGACCGAAAGTGGAATTTGCAAAGGGGAGAAGGGCCAGTCGATACGGCTTCTGCGCGGACACACCCTCTTTGGCTTGCAACGCCCTCTCGAGTGTCTGTGTGATGGTAGAGCAAGGATGGAGATCGACGACCTCGGGACCTTTGCCTTTGAGCACCACCCTCTTTCCAGGCTGAGACTCGAGCAGGGCTGGTATGTCAAGATTCAGAGCGACCTGATGCGAGTAGGTCCCCGGTGGTCCGAGATAAGCCAGCTCCACCTCTGCGGCTGGGTTGGTGGCGGAAGTGGCACTAGCAGTGGCAGTGCTCTTGACCTCTGACGGTGGAATCTTTGGTGATCTGCCAGTCTTGCCCGCTAGCTGCTTGGCTCGAGTCCTGTTCGTTCCAAACTCCGTCGGTAGCGCGTCGAACATGACCGGTGAGATTTGGCCATTGGTAGGGGTCACGGCGCCGACGGTCACTGTGGAAGCAGGCTTCGTGGCCGTGGGCTTCGCTTCAGTGGACGCTTGTGGCGCTTGGGAGACCTCTCTTGATGGCCTGACATCCTTCAAGCTGCTGAATGTCAGTGGCAGATGCGGATGCAACGCGAGGCTAGCTTGAGTCTCGATCACGTCCCCAAATGCTGCCTGTTTTGCCTCAAGCTCCTTCTCCTTACGAAGATCCTCGCGAACCGCGCGTCTCATGAGAAGATAGGCTTTCGTACCCTCATCTTCCGTGTCGAGCACCTCGCCCTCCTCGAGCTCCTCACTGACGGACGCTCGACCCTTCTCTTCTTGGCCTCCGGGGACAAAGAGGTACTCGTGGACTTCTTCGCCATTATACCAGGCTTCGCAGTCGACGCTCGTCAACTTGATGTTCGGAGGTATCTCAGAAGGCGGCAAGGTGGACGGATGAGGTGGTTGCTGTAGAAGGGGACGCAGGGCCTTTCTGGCTTTCTTGGTCGGTGGAGGTCCATCTGTTCTTACCGCGATGGGCGGAGCTGTGATATTCTTGCTCTTATCCACCTGACTGGCGAGCGCTTGACCCACATGCACCGGAGCCGGCCGTGCAAAGGTGAACGGTACCACAGAAGAAGTAGGTAGGGCTTGTGTGTTGGCTGTGGGTACCTCGTTCGTCTTTGCTTCGGTCGTATGCTTGTCTGACTCAACAGCAAAGTCCAATTCGAACATTCCGCCACCGGGAGGTAGGGTTTTCCTCTGCTCCTCTGCCTTGCGAATCTTCTTCTTGAGCTCCAGCATCTCCCTTTCCTTCTTGGCCAGATCCAGCTTGATGGCAGCATTGTTCTTCAGAAGAGTCGGGGGCTGTAAGGCAGCCTTGGGGTCTCGATAGGGTATCATTGGGGTTGTGGGAGTGACATCAAGCGACCATCCGAAAACCGAACCAGCGTCGGCTCCCTCTGATGGATCGTCATCGTCATTGCTGTAGGTCAGAATTGTTGCAAACGGACTTTGAGCCCTTTCAGCTGTGGAAGTTGTCTCATGCGCCTTCTTTGCACCTGAGGGGCCGGCAACGGGAGCGTCATCTGACTTCTGAGTTTTGTCTTGGGTAGAAGCGTTGAGTGTGGGCTCTTGCGTTGCCTCCCCGATGACAGAGGTAGCAGCGCCGTTCGTCATAGCCTGCCCTGCTTCTCTTTGCTTTGCCCTCTCTTGAGCCTCGTTGAACATCCGTTCCTGGCTTGCTCGCATTTTCTCCCTGCTTTTTGTCCTCTTCTTGGCGTTTCCTCGCCTCGTGCGCTTGGAACCTTGCCCTGGAACCACCCAGCTAGAAGATGCTGCTGCATTTGTGGCTGCGTTAAGGGCAGAGAGAGCTTGGGCATTGAGACTATTCGGCTGATCACCTGGGGCCAGTGACGAAGCTGAATCATTGGCGTCAGAGCCCGATCCTTTATCGAGGGAGCTAGGGTCTGACAAGGAAGAGGATGCAGAAGCCGGCGTGAGCTTTGTGTTACTTCCGGAGGATCTTGCGTCAGACGCGGAGGAACTTTCTGACGAAGAAGAAGAAGAAGGTGAGGAGAGCCCACTGCTTTGAGCTGATGCTGTGACCAGTCCCTTGTCAGCCTTTCCATCCACAAACCGGGACACGACCTCGTTGTCGGACTCTGACGACAATGACGAGCTACTAGAGGAAGCACTCGCAGAAGCGCTCGAGGAGGAAGAGGCGTCCTCAGCTTCGGAGTCTGATTCGTGCACAACGTTGGAGTCTGACTTAGTGTGACCGTTTGAAGCTGTGCGGGGAGTAGGCTGCATTGTAGAGAGAGCAGAGGAAGCCCTTGTAGTCGTTGAATCTCTGTGTGCCGATTGCGTCTCTCGTTTGCGGGCCTCGAAGGCAGCCATGGCAGCTGCCGCTCCCCCTACGCCAGATGGAGGGAGGGGCATGGCGGGTGGCAGAGCCTTCGAGACTGGCGGTATTGAAGATCGTGATGGCAGCGGAATAGTTGAGAGTAGCCCAGGCGGTGGTTTTGGAAGTTCATCGATGCCTTCTTCCTCTTGTTCGATAGCCCGATGATGTGGAGATGACTTAGTTCGGTTGCTAGGCCTGCCGCCAGCATCTGACACGGGTGTGGCGCCGCCGATTTCACTCTTGATAAGTAGAGCGATCCGATCTGCTTCTGCTTGGAGGTCGTCATCGTCGTCGTCCGGCGCTTTTAATGCCGATTTGCCTAGACGTGAGGTTGGAGGCATGGCTCGCGAAGCCTGCCTCCCCTCTCTCTGATCAGCAATTCGTTCGCGGCGGGTCCTCTTGCTCTTCGTGCGGGTTGTGCGATGTCGCGAGGATGACGCAGATGATTGCGAAGAACAGGTGTCATCTAATTCGTAGGAGTCCGAGTACTCTCTTCTTCGTTTTCGTTTCTTGTGGCTGGAGCTTCGACCTACATCGTGGCGAGAGGAAGGCAGGCGAGTGACGTGGTGGACACTGTGCAAGGGGGTAAAGCTTGGCGGAATCAGGCCGCCGTTCAGGGTACGCCTACTCCCTTGCTGTACTCACTCGATGACATCTCCATCTCTGATGAGATCGCTGAGCTTGGTGTCCCATCCGGTCAGCCTGAAGCCGTCGAGGTATAGGGCGAGATCGGTTGGCTGAGGCAGCTCAGAGCGCGCTTGAGGGACATGGCTGACAATCCTGCCTGCTAGGAAACTGAGATCATCCTGACTCGTGTCTGTGTTGCCAAGAGAGGGAAAAGAGGCTGCCGATGGGATGTTGATGGGGAGCAAGAAAGGTTCGGTAGGGAGTGGGGCGTGGGGCCGTATACGGAGTCTGGCTCGGAAGGATGGTGGTAGTGTGGACGAGAAGGCAGAGGGTGTCGGGGACGGCCTATGCTGGTCACTCATCGTCGTCGCCGTGGCCGCTATCGTCGTCGCTGTCCCCTTCTCTCGATGAAGGCGGGTATGGCGAGGTGGGTGAGGGTGAAGAAGGTGAGGGCAAAGCAGCGGCGCGGACCAGGGGGTGGAAGAAGGTGAGTGCGGGGAAGAAGCGCACCCTTTGCACTCATCCACCGCAAAAGTGCAATCCAGAGCCAATCGGAAAGAGACACAGGCACACAGTTGAAACTCCGACACGCATGGCTCGTTCGCAATGCACCTCTTCCCACCAAAGTGACTCACCAGGCTTAACCACACGGCTACCATACGCTTCTTTACTTGCCAGGCTCAGCGGAGTGTCCTGCTTGGCCGCAGATGACGGACCACGTTAGTCCAGAGCACTTTGCCGCCACACTAGAGCGTCTGCGGGATCTGGCAGCGAGCAGGCACGCCGGCGTCTTGGAACTTCCCACCATTGCCTCTCCCGATGACCTACAGCAGGGCATTGACACTCTGCCCACCTCGCTACCATCAACAGGCTGGGGGTTCGGGAAGACGAGCGGATTCCTGCTGAAAGAGGTCACATCAGTCCTTGCTCCCGGACACAATGGCACCAGGTACTTTGGATTCGTCACCGGAGGCGTCACGCCCATTGCCAGTGAGATCAGCGCCAGGGGCGGGGCAAGAACTGCACGACTCTTTGGCTGACCCACTGCTCGGCCCACTTGCAGCCATCGCCGATATCCTCACAACGCTGTACGATCCCAATGTCCAAGTTCACCTGCCCAAAGAGACCCTAGCCACACTCATCGAGGCTCACACAGTCAATCTCCTCTGCCAGCTCCTCTCTCTGCCCACTTCGCGTTTCACAGGGACTATCACTACTGGCGCGACTGCCTCCAATCTCCTAGGGCTGGCATGCGGTCGAGAAGCGACACTAAAAAAAGCAATGGCAAGAAGAGGATTTCCAGACTGGAGTATGGCCGAAGATGGCATTGGCGCAGACGCGGAAGACGATGACGAGGCCCCCGCGCCGCCCCCTGTGAACGTCTACGTCGCCACCCCCCATGCATCCATCAAAAAGGTCGCTGGGATCCTCGGTATAGGTAGGAAGCGAGTCATCGATGTAGGACAGAAAGCGCATGGGTCATCTTCTGACCTTCTGGAAAACGAAGATATCAGAGCCAGCATGAGCATTGTAGAGTTCGACCTCGTTCACCTCGAAGTATCCTTACGAGAATCCTACTACAAAAAGCAAGGTGCAATCGTCGTTGTTGGCCTAGGAGAAGTGAATACTGGCGCACTAAGTGCTCAGATCCCGGCCATCCGAGCCGTTTGCGATCGATACGAAGCATGGCTGCATATAGACGCCGCCTTTTCTGCCTTTTGCTGCCTGCTGGAAGGATTTGAATGGATAAGCGAGCATCTAGCAATGGCAGACAGTATCTGTAGTGATGGCCACAAACAGCTCAACGTTCCCTACGATGCAGGGCTCTTCTTCATCCGCAAGAAGGAAGTCGGAGAGTATAGAATCGATTCGCTTCTGGAGGACGTATGCGGACTCGGTCAGGCAGGCGCGCCAGCCTATCTGGCCACCGGTGGACCGGAGGAGAATCTAGAGGACATCGCCCTTGATATTGCAAAGCGGCGAGAATACGCAGCTAGTCTGCCCTCGCCCCTCTTCCGCAATCTGGAGAACTCCAAGCGATTCAGAGCACTGCCTCTGTACGCTACGCTTTTGTCAGAGTGAGTCCAATGAACCGCCATCCGAGAATCGACCACTGTCTTCTAGCATTCAGACGCTGACTGATCCATCTCTTACCCCATGATGCTACTCATAGAGGACGACAGGGGATCAAGTCCATGGTGGAGCGCAACGTCGCCTTCGCCCGCTCCCTCGAAGCCTGGATGCGCTCCGACGAAGGGTCACGTCTATACCAAGTGCTCACACCTCCCTGTGAGCCTTTGGCCGAGCCTGAATCGTCCTCCACAACTTCACCCCAACCTGCCGCTTCAGCTTCGACTAAGGCTTCACCACAAGCATGGCACGGACCCTGGTCCACTACCATCCTCCTTTTTCGCCCACACCCTCTCACCTGTCCCATCCCCTCCTTCCGCAGCCACCTAACAGGCGCCGACGCCTGCATCTCTGCCCTTAAAGCCACTCGTGCAATTTACGTCTCGCCCACTCGATGGTGTGGTGTTGGTGCGATTCGATTGGCAGTTAGTAATTGGAGAACGGGAATGGAGGATGCAGAGGGGAGAGTGGTGCAGGATGTGAGGGAGAGTAGGGATTGGGAGGTGACTGTGCAGGCATTAAAGAGTGTGATGGAAGGGGAGGGAAAGGACGAGCAGGAGCAGGATGATGAGATGGTAGGAAGTGGATGATATTGCGTGGATGAAACAGGAGATCCTGAAGGTGAGAATTCGCATGGACCAGTACTAGTACCCTCTCTCTGGACCGTTACTTCATTTCGACATCTGCTTCCTGTAATATCAACAATGCACAAGTAGTCAGTAAGCAATTCCCAATTTTCTTACCCTGACTTCTCCCCTCTAGCCGTCATCACTCACCTCTCCAACCTTGGGCGCATGACTAGACTCGGCCAGTGCTCCACTAGCAGGAGGAGGAGCCTTCATGAAGGCGTCCAGCTCCGCATCAAGGTCTCCAGCCGACTTGGGTGTGCGCTTCTCCCTTCCGCTAGCACCAGCAACGATTCCCTTGCCTCCTCGTCCCACCACTCGACCGCCTCCTCGGACATTTCTGGAGTCTCCGCCGCGTGGGGCGGTAGGGACGCCGCGCATGTTGGACCGACTGTTGGCGGCGGCTGGGGTACCTGCGGGACCCTTGGGTGCGTTGGCTGGCGGTTGAGGGCGCTCGCTAAGGAGAAGTCGAAGATGCACTACGGGATCAGTACAGCAAGTGGCACTTGAACTCCACGTCATCGGCCGACTCACCCTCCCATTCTGCTCAGAAGATCGAATCTTGATTGCAGCGATCCTCCAGGCGCAGCTGCTCCCCCTCTTCCACCTGCAGCTCCACCTCTAGCAGCTGGCGCGCCCCTGGGGCCTCTCACTTCCTCGAAGGAGATTCTGATGGGCTGACCCTTTGCATTGGCTCCATCGTACTCTGATCTGGCCCTTGTTGCGTCGGCTACACTCTCGTAGTGGATGATGGCTGTACCTGTTGAACGGCCTGAGCGGTCGTACTGGAGGGCAGTGAGAGAAGGAGGTGAGGTACAAGGAGATTGGTGTGAGAAGAGATGTGATACGGAGCGACATGGCTCTGAGATGATCAAATTGCTCTTGCACGACAGCGCCAAAGTAGCATGCTGTCTCGTATCATCTAGCTGTTGTCTTTTCAAGAGATGCGTACTTTGATGAAACACCGTCTCACTGGTCCCATTGCCTCAAACAGCGACTGTAAGAGGGTAATCAAATATCGATCGTCAGTACCGTCTTACCGGGCGCAGAGAAATGGCTGCGTCTGTACTCACTCTCAGCTCATCCTCCGATACTTCCCAATGCAGACCTTCGACGATGAGCTTTTCTGTGGGAGTAGATGTCCGCCGGTCGTGCTTGTTGAGCTCTTCGTAGCCGTCATGGCCCCATTTATCACTTGAGGCAGGACGAGACCCGCTGGCGGAGCGCTGCAAGAGAAGTGGAGAAGTAAGCACACTGTGAGCTCCACTAGGCGGATCTGGGGAATACCCAGCTTCTGGCGCTCACGTTGTACGGCGACGCTCTGCCTCCGCGACCTTGCTGGGCGATCTCGCTAATAGAGCGATTGAGTAAAGAGGACATAGCGAGAAGAGGTGACACAGGCGCGAGGATGAGGCAGTGAGTAGAGGAGCGGTGGGTGGTGTTAAACAAAGCCGGGGCCCAGGGGGGCTGTACACACGGATCACCCAGCCACGCTTCTTCTCCACGCCTGGCGCTCCTTCCGTCCCGACTGCAGGGCCGCGCATTGACAGCCACGCCACGCCTCGCCTCGCCCTTTGCCATCGCATCCCGCCGTACCGTCCATCTCTCCGTCCATCCGATCCCATTCGACCATCGCCGTACAACCACCGCACTGCACTCGACCTTGCCCTCAGCTACATATAACCTCCTTCTGGACTCTACACACCGGATATTCCAACAACCTCATCCCGCACACAGGACACTCACCACTACAGACTCTATAAAAATGGTTAGCATCAGCAACAGGTTCCGCTCGTCTCGTCACGCCTTCTTCTCGTCCCATCAGTCGCGTACTTGAAGTTGCTTCAGCCGCACTGTCACACAGACAGGGCCTAATTGATAGCGGTCAGGCTTCGATGGTCTCACCGCTAGGGAGCACTTCAGAAGCTAAGAGCATCTTGCTGCCCCGCACCAGGTGTTGAGGCATGCTCAGCATCTCAGACAGCACGATGCTCAGCCCTGCGCCACACCATGCGGCTCGACATGAGCTATGGATAGGCGCACTCTCCCGTATGGCTTGCACTGCAGCTTGAAGGCTTAGCATCGCTCTCAGCTAGACTACGGCATAGGCTTTGAGATCTCACAGGGCAAAGGATAGCGCCGCACCCTTGGACCCCCTTGTCCCTCGATAGAGGCTGACAACCGTCTACATAAGACAATCAGCTATTTGGCTGCACATGCCGCGCTGCAGTGCCTAAGTGCCTCATCGTGCTAGAGAACACGTACGCTGTATTTCTCTTCGATGCAGTCATCAGCTCGAATCCAAGGCAGCGCGCCTGGAAGCTCTCACTGCGCCAGCTTGAGCTTCCGATCTGGTCGTTACGACTACAGTCTAGACTGTGAGAAGCTCTCAGCCGGATCAGCCGATGGCGCCCTTGCAGGCTACTCTCAGATTGCCCTGCCAAGCTGCCAGACAGGCCGAAGCGCGAAGATGACACGGAGCAGTGCATAGAGCCAAATCCAGATGCTGCAGCGCTTTCCAAGACGTTGACTCCTGGCAATTGTGGGCGCTGGTGCGAAGACAAGTCACCAATCGGGTCACGGCTGCTTCAGACCGCGTCCAAAGGAGCATTTGCTTCGCAGAGGGGGCCAAGTATATCGGAGGCTTATCCGGCTCACTACGCAGCAATGCAGTCATTGAGTGCAGATTACTCTTTCGTCGCCGAGGAAAAGAGGGCGCTTGCGAAGATCAGTTCGAGGCAACGAGTCATCTCCTTCAAGGGCGGAACGATTCCGGTTGCCACACATTCACATCACTCTCTTCAGACGCCCGTCGGACGATAAAAGCAATGTGCTGATCACTGAGACACACTTCTCTGCTCTTTCCTCTTTCTTCTCTACCAACCTCTCACATACCTCATCATCGCTCGATACATGGCTCCCCTCCAATTGCGTCATCAAACCACGGCAGTCTATGAACCTCGACAAACGTGAGCAACACAAGAGCGGATACGGAGACCTCAAGAGATTGCATCAACTCATACTTACATCCTCGTCCTGTGTGCACTTCGACGTCGTCTCTTCTTTTCCCCTCTAGCTCTCGATGACATCATCAAGTCTAAGCCTAAGGGCCGTGGAGGAAAGGCAGGTGGGCGTCCTTCCAACTCCCGCAAAGTTAGCGGCGGTGCCAAGGCAGCAGCCATTGGTGGTAAAGCTGCCAATGCTGCTGCTGTAGTTGCTGCTAACCGGAACAAGCCCCTTGTCATCCCTGGTCGAGCTCCAGGTGGTAATCAAGGAAGTAAGATCATTGTCAGCAACCTGCCCCTCGACGTCACTGAAGCACAGGTCAAGGTGAGCAGGAAAGCTTGAAAGCGACTCTTCGACTGTTGAGGAACTGTCTTCTGATCAGCAAGCCACACGCATATACACCTATCCCAATCCTGCAGGAGCTCTTCTCTACTACTATTGGACCTCTGCGCAGGCTGGCCATGAGCTACCGCGCCAACGGAACATCGACTGGGCAAGTCACCGTCGAGTTCCAGAAGTTCGACGATGCCACCCGAGCGTACCAGCAATACAACAACCGATTGATCGACGGCAGTGAGTACGGCCGCGGGTGCTGCGTCGCGCATTGTACCCTTCCTAATCCATCGTCTCCGCCGTTCTGACTTGCAGAGAAGACCCTCCGAGTTGAAGTAGTAGTTGACCCCGCCCGTGCAGCCATGGCTCAGGCCCCAACTGCCATCCCAGCCGCCGCTGCCGCTGGTGCCGTTGCTGGTGCCAGGGCTGCTGCCGGCCGTGGTGGACGTGGTGGTCGAGGTGCTGCCAGGGGCGCTGGTCGAGGTGGACGTGGCGCTGCTGCCACCAGGCAGTCTCGTCCCCAGAAGAGCGCTGCTGACCTGGACGCTGAGATGGAGGGTGAGTTGAGCAGAAGGACCATGACTCCGCACTGGCTTTTGAGCAGAGCTGACTTATCGTGAGACACACCGTCGCTTCATGGCACCTTCACAGACTACGCCGCCAACAAGGCCGACCCTGCCGCCTAAGCACCTCTGAGGCCACCGGCACGGCAAAGCCAGCAGCTGAACCTGTGCATTGTCACCTCCGAGAGTAGCACCACGCCTCACGTTGTCTCCTGCTCGTTCCTGTTCTCCATTATGGGCGTGAAAGCCAGTACTCTCCGCCCGCATGCTCAATGCAAACTCTTCGCTCGTCGGCCCCATCCATCATCCACCACACGTGTGAACCTTAACGCTGCTTGACGAAACTCATTGCCGTGACGCGACTGATTGAGCGAACGAAGGAGGGGTGCACAGCTAATGGCGAGTGGTTGGGTACTTCTCGATGCGTTGCGTTGCGTTGCGTTGCGTTGCGTTTGATACACGATTCTAAGAGTGACAAGTACGAGGTACAAGAGGAGGAGGAGGAGGAGGAAATACAGCAGAGGAGGATGGTGGAAGAGAGTCATTGAGGAGGGGAGGAAGAGGGCCGAAAGAAGAAGTATCCTGACAATTTTGAGTGCAAGACACTCGACTCGCAGCCGACCTTGCTTACATTTTTAGCTCAAACGACTCCTACTCCCGCTACGACATTGAGCAGCATGGCGTCCACCTCTGGCCTCTCTTCCAACAACCACTTGTCCATCTCTCTGAATCTCCTCACACCCACACTCTGCAATACCTCCTGATCCGTCGAGGCTTGCTCGACAGAAGGGTACATCGCCTCTCCCCATAGGCCTGAATAGTCGACGAGGAGTCGGTGTGGTGAGCCAGAGTCTGACTCTTTGAGAGAGGTGAAGCGCGAGAGGACATTGTCCGACACATTGGAAGGGTCGATCTGCAGGAGTTGCCCAAAGTCCGGGCGGGAGACGATGCCCTCTTTGCGGTCTGCAGCAGCAGCTGCAGCGGAGAGTTCATCAGGCTGTAGTCGCAGTAGCATCCTCACGCTCCACTCGTCCTGCCCAAAGCGCGAGACTTCCTTGATGTGATGTCGCTGGAAACCCCCAGTGGGAGGCGAAACGGGAAGGTCCCACTCGAGGATTTCGGCGTCGAAGGCCAGAACGGACCAGATGATGTGTGGGTGGGAAATGGTGAGCGTGAAAGAGCGGGTGCCAGCGGTGTAGTCGATCGTGTCGTCCACGGCTCGGATGGAGAAGCCCCTCGAGCGAGGAGAGGCAGTAGGATCGCTTCCGTCCTGAGCGAGCCACCTGCTTAGCTCTCGGTTTTGCTCCTCCGCTTCAGGGGTAGGAAGACGGAACTTGTACGGCGTGATGAACTGGCTGACGGGGTAGAGGACATCGAAGTCTGGGTTATAGGAAGACATCTCTACTCGCTCCACACCCCCGTCGCGTATGCCAAAGCGCTGGTGAGCTTCGTCAGCAAGCCCAGAGAGGATAGCCGTAGGCGAAGGGTCTGCTCCACCGAGGTTCATCCACCACTCTCCACTGCTGAGGTTGTGGACTTGGTGAACGAAAAGTCTCTGTGGGTGGGTCTCATCGAAGATTTGAAGTGACTCGTCCGAGTAGAGCAAGATGGCCGTAAGGGAGATGCCCAGGAAGAACAGAACAGTGCGTCTCTGCACGTCTGGTCCAAAGCGATGGATGAGGGGGAGCAAGACTGGCAGGCAGAGGAAAGTTAGACTTGACACAATCGACGCTATGATGTGATCAGCTGGCGAAACCTCTCCCGTACGACCAGTCAGAGGTACGAAGACTGGAGGAAAAAAGGCGGTGCATGTCAGCTTTGGATTCTCCGAGGGGATGAGCACCGCCTTCTGTCACTTACGATCTAGGAAGCTTGTGGCGCCTTCCGTTCCCACAAGAGAAGGCAGGAAGGTAAGGATTAGATAAGTACCCCAGTGCATCCGCTGGTTTACTGCGATTTCGCGCTTCTCGATCTGCGTCCAACCGACCAAGGCATAGTCATTGACCAGCATAGCCGCAAGATACGTGATGCCTCCCAATCCGAACAGGTAGGATGATCCGATACCGAAAGCGTTCAGGACGGTGAGAAGCAAAGCCGACATCAAGTAGCATCCGTCTAGCGTCGCCCTCTCGAGGTATGGTCGGTCGGCCGTCTTGAGTGTGCGAGAGACAAGGAGTTGGGCGAGCAGGATGCCAACGATTGCTGGAGGCCCATACAGTGGAATGGGCAGCCATTCGTGACTGAACCAGCTAAGAGACCTGTTCATGACCTTGGTCATGATCAGCGCCTGAACATTCGAGGCTAGCACAGCTCCGAGGAAGCTAGCGAAGAAGCCTAGCATACTCATCGCTGTTGCGAAGCCTGCAGAGAAGTGACCGTCAGCCCGTTTCGTCGATTGAATCTGGAACATCGCGACAGCGGTCATCACCATGCCCAAAGAGCGGTAAGGTGCGGCAGGAATCTGAATGAAGAAGCGGCCGAGCATGGAGAAGTAGATGGGCATCTGTGTACGATGAGTCTCTGTGATCGAAGGAAGCCGCGATTCTGGAGACGTCGTCAGGTAGTCGACAATAGCAACAACGTCTTCGGAAATGTCAAGAGAGGGGAAGAAGAAGGACTGTCAGACGGCGGCGCTGCGGCTTCGCTAGGAGGGGCCCGGTACTCACTTTCGCCAAAGTGTTGAACTACCCCTGGTTGGACATAGGGCACGGTGTCTTTGCGAGTATGATAGAGGTATGAATTGCCTACGATCGCCATGTCTAGACCGCTTACGCCGCCGTATGCAACAAATTGTCTATAGTCCGTATCAGAGAGCAGTATGTTTGTTCGAAAGATGTCGTTGGCCAAGATGGTGCCAAAGGGGTAGGGGGCTTTCGAGTATGCTTTGACCATTTCATCAGAGCCTGCTTGGAACAGTAGCTCCGGACCAGAGACCCCGCATGCCTCGAGGTTGACTACAGCCTTGATCGAAGGGACTGTGGTGTGGTTAGAGGTGATGAAGAGATGCGACGCATCTTGAAAGCTCTCCTCGCCGTTGTTGAAGAGGAGGACGACAGAGTGCCTGAGCTGCTTTCGAGTGGCACTAGGTGACGTGAGAATTCGAAGAAGCTCGACCATGATACCGACTCCAGCTCCGTCGTCGGCTGCTCCGGGAGATGGGAGCGTGGAGTCGATGTGAGAGTTGACCAGGACCGAGTTGGCCTTTGAGGCGTCCGTGCCATCAGAGATGCGGACGATTAAGTTGCTCATCGAGTAGTATTTCTTCCAGACGACTGAAGACAGGAAGTCAAAGCTGGAGGAGAGGGGGGAGGTGAGCTTTTCAGTGATGCACGTTCATCCGGCGAGCCTCTATGTCCGTACTCACCGATGAGCGCCATCGCCAATCTGTCTCCATACTTCAACCTGCACATCTCCTTGTCCGTCGTTAAAGGTATGCACGCCTTCGTACTTCTGCAGCTCGGTCATAAGCCAGTCCTCGGCATCGACATGCTGCTTGGTCCCGACAATTCTGTAGCCGAATCCGGTGCTGAGCTTGTCCATGACGCTGACAGCATGCTCTTCTGAGAACATAGGCTTGTTGGTGCTCTCTAGGGCTCGAAGGGAGGAGACGGGGGTTGGGAGTGTATAGTGCAAGAAGACTGTGAGGGTACTTAGCACGGCGAAGAGAGCCAGAATAGGCACGATGATCATGGGGGAATTGGAGAGCAGAGGCCGCACAGGCTGTGTCGTGGTAGCATTGGAATGACGCTGACCATCTTGAGGAGCAGGAACGGTCTTCGAGGAGGTCTTGAGCTCTGCCTTGAGAGGAGCTCGAGCCGTTGTAGCACGGCTATCGCCGCTGGTCTTTGGCTTGGCCATAGCGAGCAAGAAGAGAGCTGAAGGAATCAGGGGCGCAGATCTGGAGGACGTAGAGTCGGAGAGACCACGAAAAGACAGACGTAGAGACTAGCAGGGTCCAGTGAGCAGGAGGGGGAGGGGTAACGGTAGGGTACCACTTGCGGGGGAGAGGTCGACGAAGGACGGTGCTGAAAGGATGTAGAGTATGGACAAGGTGATGGCAGTACTGGCGACACAATGGATGTGGCAGCTCTGGCCGGTAGTCGAATCACTTGGCCCACGTCAGGCGTCGCGTCGTGTTGGTGCGGGGATCCGTTGGTAGTAGCCAGGCGTCCGTGCTCCCTCCATCTTCCCTTCCTTCCCCTGCAGGCGGCGGCGACTATGACCGATGGCAAGTGAGATCTCCCGTTCCGGATCGGGGTGCCATGCTCCGTTCCGGTCTGACGAGTGCGGCTGTCCAGGGCCGCTGTGGATCGATCTCTGCTGACCTTCTCTTCGGAACAGAGGGGCCGGCCGACGAAAGGCTCGTCGCTTCCGGGGCGGGCTATTTTGGTCGGGCACTCGGGCAGAGGAAGCCGTGAGAAGAGGTAAGCTGAAGCGCGTGGCGGCCAAGAAAACCTCCGCGTGTGTTTTCGGCAGGTGAGAGCAAAAGGGTCCTTCCGCTCAGCCTCACTCAGCCTCAGCCTCAGCCTCAGCCTCAGCAGCTCCCTTCGGACAAAAGGCCGAGGACTCCACACCTCCCCCTCCTGCCCTTTCCCCTCTTCCTCTATCACGCTGCCCCTCCCACCATTCACCATCACCACATTCTCGTCGGCAGTGACCACCTTTTTGCCGTTCAGATCTTCCTCCAGTCGTTACGAAAGGCTCATTGACTCGCATATATCCACCTTCACGCCAGCCCAATGGTTCAATAGAAGCAGCAACGGTGATCACAAACACACACACGCTCCGCCGGCATGGCTGCACGCCCACCCAAGACTCCTCTTTCGCCGGTCCGGGGGCCCATCAACCGTTCCATCTCCTTTCAAGTGCGATCACCAACATCAGAACAGTCCAGCATAGCTTCCACCTCAATATCACACGGTAACAAGATTCCCTTCGTAGAGCACAGCCATCACAAGTCGACGCCCTTTGTCCCTCCAACATACCTCGCATCGCCCCAAGATGCTACATCGGATCGATTATCTTCTCGACAGCGTTCTCGATCTGTTGGAGCAGGATCCTCAAAGGACAGCGACCTTGGCGGCGATGACTCTATCCTCTCTCCGCTTGCTGTGATGGGAAGAGAATTGGATAGGGGTCCGGGCACCCCAGACTTTATTCTTGGCGCAGCCGGCGCTCCTCGACGCAATAAAGGCAAAGGGAGGCTAGAAGAGGTCAAGACCGGAGATGAAAGCAGCGGCAGTGCTAGTAGTGGGGCAGCCTCATCGTCTCCATCTGGTCCTACCAAGACGTCACATACTGCCACTCGGCCGCGCTTGACTACCAGGCTGCGATCCTTCCTCACCTCCTTCACTGGCAATCTAGATGAAGATGACTTCGCAAGTAGCCATCCTACCGCTTCCACTTCCAAGCTCCGGGATAGCAGTGACTCTCTGAGATCCGAGACACTTCAAAAGGGGGAGGTCATCGTCGCACCATTCGCCCGCCCTGCCGCTGCTTTCGGCAATTTAGGACTCAATGATGACTCTCCGCCTCTGACTCCTTCAGGCAGCACGGACGAGGATTCATACCCACCGCAATGGGCTGCAAGGACAAGTCACCCTGCAAGCGCTTCCACGGCAGCTTCGGGGACTTCTGCCTGGCCTCAGGGTTATGGACATTCGCGGTCAATAGGGCCTTCCAGCTCCCGCCTCAGCGCGGGTGCGCCGAACGGCCCAGATACACCCAACGTCAGCTTTGCTTACGAGGTAGGCGGCTCAAGATTCCATCTGCGCTTCAGATCCCCGAAAGCTCTTGCTGCTGACGCTGCAGCTCTGGTCAAGGCGGGTCTTCATTCGAGGACGCTGCGTCACAACATGCCCACGCTTTTGATGCTCTTGACAGTCTTTGTCTCTGCCACATTGGTCGTCTTTCTTCTCCTGACAACGCTGCCGCTTCGAATGCCATCACACAGTCTGACGCAGCTGTCGCTAGCGGAGATTCGAGACATCTGTTTGTCGTTGAGGGACTACGCCACCTCTACTCCGAAGGCGTATCATCACACGCTCTTCGTACTGTGCCTGTTCTACACGTACAAACAGGCTTTCAACGTACCCGGCAGCATCATCTCCAACGTGGTCTTTGGAGCCCTCTTTGGCGTCTGGAAAGCGACGTTCTGGTTGAGCGTGTTCACTGCAGTTGGTGGATGCGGAGCAGCGGTGATGAGCGCATTGATTGCTCCTCTCGTGTTGAAGCTGCCTGGGATGCACAAGGCAGTCGCTATGATGAGGAAGGCATTGGGCAACAAGAATCTCGGCCGGACGGGGAGGGCGCCAGTCGCAGGTTCTCACCCGCCCAGGAGAAGGAGCCCCAATTCGTCGAGGAGTGGCACTCCAGGTCTTCCCCAGCGGTCTCAGTCTCCACATCCATCACATAAGCACAAGACGCCTCACAGTGGCTCTCAGAGGAGCGAAGGAAAGGGAAACCTCTTTTCGATCTTACTGCTGCTGCGCCTGCTCCCGTTCACACCATACGGAATGATGAACATTGCCTGCGGAATCCTCAATGTCCCTCTACTGCCCTTTGCAGCTACCTTGGCGATGGGGTCTGTCCCTTGGAATGCTGTGACAGCGCAATTGGGCGAGATTTTGGTTGAAGTCGTTGCTGCCATCCCAGGCGAGAGCAGCCTTGGTGATGAGTACGCTTCCGCTGCAACATTGGCAGAGCAGCTCGATGCTGGCGGCTTCCACGATGCTCCTCGGCCTTCTGCAAATGGCTCTGCTGCTGCCTCGACCAAGTCGCGTCTCCTGACCTCGGCAGCACACAAAGCCGGAGGCGGTATCAAGGTGCTCTTGGCAAAGATCTGGACCAGAGAGATGATCTTCAAGCTGGTGGGTCTATCGCTGTTGAGCATCACGCCGGTCTTGCTGGGCAGGTGGTGGAAGGCTCGGCAGGCGAGAATTGCAAAAGCTGCAAGGAAAGCGCGATCTCCTGTATCAGGCCATGGTAGTAGTGCCCCGCATTCTTATCAACAGCAGCAGCGACACTCACCTCAGGCTGAGATGGCAACGGCTGATTACGAGGAACATTTCTTCCCCGCCCCCGTGGCGGGCCCCTCCACCACTTCAGCAGCTGCGGTCCTTGAGTGGTCCGATGGAGAATATGACGATGATGAATCTTCTTCCTCTGAGTACGAGTACGACTCTTCAGATGAATTTGCGGCCACTGCCGAGGAGAGCGAAGACACTCCCATCTCCTCTTCCACTTCCTCCTCTTTGCTCGACAAGGGCTCCTTTGGCAAGAGGAACTCCTTTTTCTCTGCCGCCACGCTTGCCGCCGAGTCCGGACCAGCGTTGATTGCCCAATTGACGCGGAGCGCAAGCAGGAATGGTTGGAATCGCGGTACCGCTGCCTGGTTTGGAAGTGGAGTCGCAAGCGGCGAACGGAGCAGGAGTCGCAGTCCAAGCGATAGGTGGAGTCAGGCAAGCGTACCTCTTGCGCACGAGTCGGCAGGGAGCGAGGAGGAAGGTTCGAAGTCCTCAGCTTTTGCTCCAGTGCCGACGTCGAAGTGGGCCGATGCAGAAGGGTGGGCAGGGCTAGCAGGGAGGCACAACTTTACACCTCAGCTAGAAGCGCAGAACCCTTTCGATCAGCAACACCAGCACCAGCAGCGCGCTCCTTTCCACCCCTTCTCCCAGTCGCTGCAAGAAGGTACTAGGCTCGGCGAGACGGATAGGAGCAGTCTCGAGTCGGGTCTACCCCCGGCATCTGTGCATCCCTCTCTGCTCGGCGAGCGTGGCGCCCATACTGGCGCTGGCGGTAGCGGAATCAGTGATATCGGCGGTCATTCCAGGAGAGGCAGTGCTCAGAAACATGCCCAGCTTTTGAGCGCGGAGCGGGATGATGGAGAAAAGAGGGAGCCGAGGCGATTTACTGCTGTGGTCAAGTAGAGCATATGCGAGACACGTGAACAAGGGTATGCGGTCAGTCAGTCACTTTGTCACTCATTGGGGTCCTTGAGGTGGGTTGTTCCTTTTCCTTCATTGCTTGTATCATCATCATCATCATTTTTGTCATCACCATTCTCACCTGTCCTTGTCATCCCTGATTTATTACACTACCCCTTGCAATCCCCCACATATAGTAATGCTCAACTCGCTTGCGCTGCGCTGCATATTGCGCTCCTCACCTTTGCTTGCGATTCGATCCGCCTGACTTCGGATGATTGTTCGTGAGGCGTCCCTTTGGCCTGGTTGATGATGCATCCTCAGACGTTTGGCTGAGGTCTTGTACCCATTCTGAGGGTATCATCGGATGGTAAGATAGCATGTCCCGCAAGTCGAAAAAGCAGCTGTAGCATCAAAGGAGTGACATTGTTGAATACGAGATGGGAAAAGAACGAGTCTATAGAAGATGTACAAGTGATAAAGGTCTCCTTGGCCCGGGCTTCACCCCTTTATTTCTTGACTACTTGGAAGCCAACCTCTCCATCTTCCGTGGACAAGGCCCAAATGACCGCAGATGCTTCGAAAAGCGACATGCACGGCTGAATGAAGATCAGGCAGACCAGATGGAGGGGGATCTGCCACCATTGCGTCCAGTGGTAGCCGTAGTCGAGCTCCTCGAAGATCAAACCTCCGAAGTATAGCCAGATAAAGGCACCGAAGCAGAAGCAGGAGGTTACGTAAATCCACCAAGGTGAATCTCCGCTCCAGCTGAGTAGCAAAGAAAAGAGAACGTTGAGAACAGTGGCTGCGAGACAGAAGATCCCTGCGGTCCAGAGTTTGATGGCGAGAGCAGGAAGGTAGTAAATGCCTTCGATTTGACGAATGCCCATATACCATCTTCTGCGCTGCTTCATAAAGTCCACAAAGCCTTCGGGACTCTGCTCTCGAACCACTCCATGAATGCGGCCCAGTGTGAAGCCCTGTTTCCAAGCCGCTTGCGAGAATTCAAAGTCCTCTGCAAGACTTCCAAAGTCCCATCCAACTTTATTTTCGGCATCACCGTTGAGCATGAGAAAGGACCCGTGGATACCAAAGATGGGTCTGTGGACGATGTTGCCCTGCAGGGAAAATCTAGCCAGGTCGTCACCAACGCGGATGGAATCAGCGATACCGAAAAGCCAGCCTTTGACCCCTTCGAAGTAGCGATGTCCATTGTAGATGATAATGCCCTGACCCATATGGTGGGTCGTGTAACGAATGAAGTCAAAGCAGCCGCGCAGACTCTCTGCGTCCATGGTACTGTAAGAGATGCAAATTTGCCATGACGGCCCACAGTTGAGTCAGTCGATTTTAGTTGCAACGGTGAAAGCATCAACACACTATACTCACCTCTCTTCGTCCATATGGAGCACATAATCATACGAAGTCAGCTTCATTGTGGTACGGAAGTAGTCAAGAGCTCTGGCTTTGTGTTTAGCCAGTCCTTTTGGAGAAGAGTACGCCTTGGGGCATACTAGATTGTCCAGGTCGGGATATGCGTACGGCTCATCGGTCAAGACCATGACTCTGACCGCAGGATGGTACTTTTCCAATTTCTTCAGCTTGGCGTGCGCCCGACGTGTGGCCTCTTCGTTTGATCCACGAGTCACGGACACGATATAAAGGTTGTGTAGCCACTCGCGCTCGACGGGCTTCTTCTTCATGTTCTCTGGGGTCCGCGTGACGTCCGGTGTGCCGTAGCCAATTAACGTGATGAGACAGTAGGGCAATGCCAGAAGCCATAATACTCGCCAAAGGGACGAGAAAGAAGCCGCATCCGTGGTGATGTATTTGTGCCAAGGATTCAAGAAGCCCCAAATCAGACCAAAGCCTGGGATAATAGCAAAATTGATAGGCGCCATCCAGGACCAAAAGAGGAGCAGCTTGCGAGTTCTCACCGCCTGCTCCTCGTCACTAATGTCTGCGTCGAACAATGTGGAATGAAGCTGCGACTGCTCGAGACCATGATCCAGAGGGTGACTTGGTGGCGGGACAATCGGCGCCGGGGAGTGCCAATGACGGATTGCGCCGCCCAGGGAGCGCACACTTGTTGCTTTTGCCAGAAAGTAGCCTGGAATGCCTTTCGTGAGCAGCCAAGGAATGCCTTTGAAGATGGCGGAGTAGCACTTGTGCCCAGCAGCAAGGAGAACACCCAATGTGCCCTGTTCACGGGAAGTCTTGAGCAACCAGGGTCCCAATTTCCCCATGGGCTTGTCTACACAACGAGTTAGAATCAGACCGAAGGCGCAATTCAACGCGAATGCAGCCAACCAGCAATTGACGATACCCTTCCAGTAGAGCTCTCCTTGGTTGTAGTAGTACGTAATGATGGGGGGAATGATCAGGTAGATGATGGACATCTGACTGACGTAGAAGCCAAAGGCATTACGGCCCAGCCACTTGAATGCGAAATTGCCGACCAGCCACTGGATTGCAGGAGACATTTCGATCCAAAGCAGCAAGAGGAAGGCGCGCAGAATCACGACTGGGTTGGTGCCAAAGTCGTTAGAAGAGGTATTCTTGCTTCCGATGGCGCCGTCCCAGTATGTAATGGGATCGATAGCGTAGAGGATACTGTATTGAATCTTGTTGTAGCAGAGGAAGATCAGAAAGATTGCAACCATGAGGACTTCGCTTGTAACGTATGCAAATCTGGACTTGTCTTGCAATTTGCGGATCAGTCCAGTGGCTTTGAGGTCTGCAGAGATGGTGCCCATGAGGAATGGCAGGTAAGCGCTGCGTACGTAGCCCAGGGGAACGACTAGCAGAGCGTAAAGGCAAAATCGTCGAACAGGTGTCATGTGCGCCAAGATTGGCATGAGCATCATGACGTACAACATGCCCCACAGCTGCGTTGGCAGTGACCACAGCATGGATGTTTCTGCTAGCTGTGTGTCATGATCCCAGCTAGTGAAGAGTCGAGCGATGCCCTTGACGATCATCCCTAGAGTAGTAAAGGTACGGAGTCCGCCTTCACCCTGCGGATTTTTCACTACAGCGCACCATCGCGGGTAGCCCAGCCCTCCATCCGTCTGAAGAATCTTCTGGGCAGCCATGTCGCCAAGAAAGCCATCACTGGCGCACTCAGCAGTCTGAAGCACAAAGGCGAGTATAGGTAGCCATGCCAACCGCAGACTTCGTCGGAAGATGGAGTCTGGTAGAGAGATCCAATTGATGGGAGTGCCACTAGCCATCCTGCGAAAGTAGGAGGTAACGTTGAGTCGACCTGATAGCATGAAGAAGAGGATCAATCCGATCTCAGACTTCAAGATGTCCACCGGGGTTCCTGTCTGAATAACGAGTGGGTGCGTGTTCTGCCAAGTGGCAAAAGCGAAATGGGTATTGAAGCTGTCAAAGGCAAAGCAAGGAGATCAAAGATCAGAGCGCGTCATTTCAGAGCTGATCGGAGGCACCCCGCCAAGATACTCACACCATGATCATGGCGATGCCTCGTATACCATCCAAGTAGCTAGTATCACGGTCAAAGTTGGGCTTCTTAAGAGCCACTACCGCCTTGCCGTCGGGTCTTTCTAGAACGACGGGCGTCTGATCTTCGACGTGGGCTGCAGAGGGGTTGCCCACCAACTCCGGCTCTTGGACGTCCTCTTTGACATCTGTGAGCACGGCATCGAGGGACTTTGCTTGGGACAGCGCTACCGCAGTGTCGGAAGAAGTCTGCGACATCGTAGGAGGTCGCAGTGGCGAAGCGTACTTCTGATCTGGTACAGAAACGCAGTGAGGACTAAGGACTACCCGAATGGGGATCACGAAATGTTGCAAACGTGAAGCGAGACCTTTAAGTATCTCCTGGCCTGGCGATTCTCTCATTGCAGAAACACATGCGAGGGAGCGCAGAAAGATGGCCTGAAGTTGAGGGCGTTGACCCGGCGACTCCACCTGCGTGAGTTGGCCGATTGAAGCCGTCGGCTCTGCCCATACTCACCTGGATGCAGCTGCCACACTTGTAATCGCCTCGCCAAGCTTCGCCGGCTCCTGTGGCACAATCTCGAAGTGAAGCGAGGGTCGTCTCTGGTCTCGACTCAGTAGACGTGTGACCTTCACGCTTGTTTCACTTCCCAACTCTTGCTCTGTCCAACCAGTTTCACCGTGCGGAATCCCTCCTCATGGGTACGACTAACCTTCTTTATTGAGAAAGGAGCCTATCTCATCGGGCAAGGCGAGAAGAGGGCAAACGCCGGTGAGACGCGATCAACTTTTTTCGGTATGCGCCACTGGACACGACAACCGCGAAGATTTCGGGCCCAGCACCAAAAGAAATTGTTTGCAACGCGCCTATCAAACAGGGCCGTGTCGCTACCCGACCCTTGTTTCCGCACCGTGAAGGCAGACGCACCCCTGACAGCCAACATGGGACCACAAAACAGTTGTTTGGCCGATCTTGATCTCGAAGAGAATCTCACGCTTCAGCAGCGGCTGTGTTCGGATACGCGGAGCGACGTGACGCCGTACCGCCGGCCAGCTTAGTAGACTTCCCGCATCACGTCGGAGTTTGACGCAATAGTGAGTACGCTAACAAACACAGGGATCAGAATATTGAAGGTAGTACTTCGCGGATAGATGAGCTCATGTCTCAGCAGGCACGGCGTCCAGGGACGCTCATGGGACAGAGACACCCACACGCACAGGCCCGAGCCTGGCGGGTCTCTTTCTGAGAGAGAGGCGCAGAAAGGGGCGGCAGGGCAGGCTCCTTCCTCTGGGGCGGTGTGCGATTTACGGCTCGTCACCCTGTCTTTTACATGTTCATACTACTTTCAGGAGATATGCCGCACAAGTATAAGTAATCTGGAAGCGCTCGTCTGCTGGCACCCCTGCTCAAGGAACGCACTCCACTCCCGACCGATCACGCAAGCAACCGCACTCTCCCACGCACGATGCAAGACACTCACCGACCCAGCGAAGAGGAGATCCTTTGCGATACATCAAGTACCTCACTGGAGCCGGCGAGCGTGCCTTCGACCGAAAAGTCATTCTCCGCTTCTCGATCGCATCCTATGGCTCGTACCGACACCTCGCAGAGTTGGAATGTGGACCACATCTTGACGGTCAGGTCACCGGAGACAGCCCACACCCCAGGGCCTGCTACAGAGTCTCCTGATGAGATCTCCTTGTACTCTGGCGGCGAGGTCAAGAAGCCTGCAGATCATGCTATTCATATGGAGAAGTCAGATACATTCGACAGCCACACTCGCAGCTCAAAGGTCAACTTCCAGCTCGCAAACCAACGGGGCATCCAAATGGAAAGAGGAGACACTTCCGCGAGCGGGTGGAAGACTTTCGAAAAGTCTTCGCACTGGGATGGACAGGAGACTCCCAACCATTTGAGCGGAGTGCCAGTGTTGGAGGGAGAGCTCCCTCTAGACTCGCAGAACGGCGAGGACGGTCTGCGAGGAGCTTCCTTCTTTCGCAGGACGCTTCGCCGCTGCGGCAAAGCTCGCAGTAAGTCTTCTTCTCGATTACACTTCCTCGATGGACTACGATTGGTGGCTGCGCTAGCGTTGTTGACCTCAACCGTCATCACCTCGGCCTCGACCGGCTGGAAAGGGTCGCAGAGTGTTTTGTATCCTTTCCGATCGGACTGGGGGATCACTCTCTTCATGACACTACTGGGCCGCGTTTTTGGGCTTCCTTGGCTCCATCCCATCGCCTCTTCCTCCAATGGACAAACCCCGGCAACGGCGAATTACCATCAACTTGGGCAGGCCATGCTACGTCGCATCTTCCGGTTCCTCTTGCCCATTGTCGTTGTCAGTGCAGTTCAGTACCGCACTTGCAGGTCAACGAACAATCTGTATCCTGACAACGTAGGTTTCACGGCTCTCATTGGGGGCACGGAAAACAAACCGCAATGGTGTGCCATCGACAATCAAGGTTGGGCATCCCGAACTACTGCTCTCTTTGTGGAGAATTCAATGTCTTTGAATCTGCGCCAGAGAGCCTCGCTACTCTACGCCGCTCCATGGCTCCTGCAAGGCAGCTTCTATGCTCTAGGTGCCACGCTTCTTTCTCATGTCTTCAAGACCAACTTTCGAACCACGATTTGGCTGCTGCTCGCTTTTTTCAACTGGGTAACATATTCATACCTGACCCCAGTCATGATGGGGATTCTGCTTGCGGATTTCAGTGCCTCGGGCTACCTAGAGCGCATTACTCTCCCAGGGGGTTCAAGACACTTCAAGATGGGTCCGGTCAGCTTGACGATTGCTTTGTTGTCGCAGCTGGGTCTACTGGGCCTCTTTATCATGTTGACCTTCATCCCAATCATCCGGGAAAACGTCTCGGACGGCCTTGCTCATCTCCAACTGCTTGATGGTAGCGTCTCAAATACCCTGACATCTGGCTTCGAGCTGGTCCGGTTCTCGGACGTCATCAGTGCCTTCCTTCTGCTTATTCTAGCCGAGGTAGCGTCTCCCTTCCGCTGGACTTTGACCTTTGCGCCTATTGCGCTGATGGGCCGATGGCTGGCTCCTGGCCTTGTTATCCTCAGTCCTTTGGCCTTTTTCGGTATTGTGCCTAACTTCTACTTGCCCTCAGCAGACTATGTGGCAAGCTCGGCCCATGGTGCTCTCGCCAGTGCATGGGGGTACACTTTCGCATGTTCGGTGGCATTGGCCGTAGTCTTCTTGGTCCTGATCGATCTTCCGTCCAGACTGTTCGGCAAGGCCTTCGTCTGGGCTTTGCTTCCCACACCACAGGTCATTGTCCAGCCACCTTCCCCGCACTCAACCGATGCCGTCATCGTGGCTGCTGAGAAGTGCGCTGTACAGCACACTTCCTGGCACTCCTTCTCTACCGGTCTTCTTTCCAAATCCGGACAGTCTTTCCGCTCCCTTTACGTCAAGATGTAGACTGTTTGATGGCGCTTTTTCTCGTGTACCATTTTCTAGACGTACAGCTTCTGTTCTCGGCTGTCTTCGCCAGTGTCATCGTTTACTGTATCTCGGTCATCGTTTATTGTATCTCGGAGCCTATCGCTGGTCTGCCGCGACTGGCTCGGTTTCAATTCAGGCTTACCATCTTATCTTGATGACTCTTCAGTGCGATTCCGACCGACATTGAATCACACGCCAGTCCGAGTTGATGATAGATGTCCAAAGATGCTCCGCGCAAGTCGCACTGGCCATACCGGCCACTTATCGACAACATACCTTTTGGCTACCTTTCGTGAAATGTAACACTGGGCCCGATGGAGCACCCAGCAATGCTCGCTGAGTGTGCTGGCTGGACTGAAGATCCAGCGGATTCTCTCACGGTCCTGACCCTCACGATATGAGGAAGGGCGGAGTCAAAATGCTGCCCGGACACGAGCGGCGGGTTGACCTGTTTGTTACCTGCTGAAGCGGTGATGAAGGTGGACCTTGAGCCCGTCTCTATCATGCAAGGATCAGATGCCACCTCCATCCGCTCTACTGGTGGCGCTGACCTCCTTCCTGAATCGTAAGGAACCGGCACTCGGCCCCTGCACCATCATCTTTCACATATTCCGCATCCTGGAACCCATAATCTTCGGACTCCGAGAGCAGCTCGACACGTCCATTGCTACGACCATCCCAACCAGGCAATACTTATCTCGGCCATTTGCAGCGGACATTGACCTTCACGCAGTGAGGGACTGCAGTCTCCTGTTCCTGCGACCCTCCTTACAGATTTCGCCACGGCGGACATGTGAGACGATACACTGCAACGTGTTGGTGACCGTGGGATCACTTACCATCTGAGACAATAGCAAGTATGAACATGCTTCGACAGCCCTTTTCGCCTCTGATAGTCCTGACCACTTGCCCAAGCGACCTTCACATGTTTGTTGTTGAGGTCGTTGCACATGCCATTGACCAGCTCGGCGTGTGACTTCAAGCGGTTGGGCCTCCGCGATGAGCGGACAAGGGAAGGCGTGAAGATGTTTGAGAAAGCGCGCTGTTTCGAAAGAGATAGTGGCCTCTGTATTGGACCCGCCGAGAGAAGCAAGCGTTACGTGCTGCATAGCAGCTGAGTGACCTACCTCGATATTCCGACGGGGTAAGAATCTGACCTACAGTAGCTGGTAGTGCTACACGGCTGGCGACGACAGCAAATCTATATGAGTGCATGTATCTCTGAGATAGTTAGTCCCTGCCTCCCTTGACCATTCCAAGCTGCTCGATACACTCTAGGACCCCTGGGCAGCTTTGAAAACAAAATCAGGACTACATACTTTGGCCGCACAGAGCACCTCACCACCCACTCAACATGGCCACCATCTCTAGCGTTGTGCAGCCATTGGGAGCCTCATCCCATGCTAATCTCTCGCCACACTCAGACAATGTTACTGGTCCCTCGAAGGTGAGCTTCGAAAGTGCTCGTGACCGATCTTGCCGCATCTTTTGACCTAAGACACTCACATTCTCTGCAAATTTTTGTACAGGCCAAGTCCATCATCCTGGACGGCGGCAAGCAACACGCAAATTTGATGACTCCACCAGATACTCCACCTGAAGAAAGAGTCGGGAGCGTGTTCGACATGGGGAGTGTGGCTTCAACACTTGCCAAATTGCCCTTCGAACCCATGATCGATGTATACAGCATCGTGCCCGCAGGAGGATCGGGAACTCGCCTTTGGCCCCTCAGTCGTGACGCGCGACCCAAATTCCTCCTCGACCTGGAGGGCACGGGCTTGAGTCTTCTACAGTCCACATATCAACGCCTACTGCCCCTCAGTGGCCACGAAAAAGTCATGATTGTTACTGGGCGTGCTCATGTTGATGCAGTAAAGGCACAGCTGCCCGGGATTTCCGATCATAACATTGTGGCTGAGCCAAGCCCTAAAGAGAGCATGGCAGCTATCGGCTTGGCCGCGATGCTCTTTCATGAGAGAGACCCCGATGCCGTCATCGCGAGCTTCGCAGCGGACCATGTCATTGCCACTACAGACAATGTCTTCGCTTCTGCTGTTGCGAGTGCCGTAGCAGCTGCTCGGCAAAGCAATGGTCTTGTCACCATCGGGATCGAACCAGACGAGCCGTCCACCGCTTTTGGCTACATCCATCTAGGCAAGCCTGAAGAGATCGAGAGCGATGCGGAAACTTTCGCCCGCTTCGGGTTGACCCGTATCTCCGCATGTCAGGTTCAAAGATTCAAGGAGAAGCCGCAAGTAGAAGAAGTCAAGGAGTTACTAGCTACCGGTGAATATTGCTGGAACGCTGGCATGTTTGTCACTCGAGCCTCGGTTTTGTTGCATCTCTTACAGGACACATGTCCCCTCCTGTTTTCTGGGCTCAAAAAGATAGCAGCAGACTGGTCCTCTGCGCATCGGCAAGAGGTGCTTGCAAGTGTCTGGCCTCATTTGCCCAAGATCAGTATCGACCATGCTATCGCTGAGCCAGCAGCAACGCAGGGTCAGATGCTCGTCATTAAGGCGCTACTCGAATGGAAGGATGTAGGAGACTATGCCGCTTTGTGCGAGATGGCCGGTCCTCACCTGAATCCTGGGGATAATCAAACTCCTGCTAAGAAGGTCAAGGTCATGGGAGAAGCCAAATTGGTGTTTGTGCAAGATGGAAGCGGGCTTTTCGTTACGTCTTCTGGCCGGCCCATTGTGGCTCTGGGGATTGAAGACCTGGTCGTTGTGGATACCCCGGACGCCCTTCTCATTACACTGGCTTCACGATCTCAAGACATCAAGAGTATTGTTGGCGTGTGCAAGGAGGCCATCCCGTACCTCCAGTGAGCGACGCATGCCTGGACCGCGGTCCTTGATAGGCTTTTGACGATCACGCCATCTGTATCGTGTAGAGTCTTAGTGTTCTCTTCTGTTCTTTGCTCCTCTTCCGCTGTCACCTCATTTTAGCTTTTACAACTCTGATTTACTGTTTCCATACCACCAAGTGTCGTGCAAAGTCCAGTCTGATTATAGTCAAGCGACAAGCGATTGAGGGGAGTAAGTCTTACAATCTCAGTCTCAGGCTCACTCCTCCTAAAGAAGTGCTGTCTCGTCATCGACGGTAGCGTACAGTGATTCTATGTCTAGCTCCCTCTGAATGCTATCTGAGGTAGCGTCTTGTGGACACCAGATCGCAAGCGGCGACGCAGTCGGAATGGGCTGACTCAAAGTAGGGGTATATATATTCTATCCAATGTACGGTACTTTCTGGTCTGAAGTGGAACAGATCTTCGCTGCCTCTATACAAGATATGTGGATTATTGTCGGGTGCTGTAGATACTCGTTGATACCGTTGAGCTGGTACGCACTGCTAGACATTGGCTGACGACTGTGTTCGCACTCTGGCGGCAGCTGTCGACGGTGGTCAGTAGGCCCACCCTGCCATAGGTGGTTCACGAGCGGAAATGGAGTTGGGATGCTGGCGCTGGTGCTGCTGATGATAGGAGCTGGTGTTGTTGTCCATATCAGAGGCCACGTAGGGGCTGGCGGCATTGTTGTAGTATTCGGGAAAGAGTCCATTGATGTCGGCAGAGCAGTCGGTGATTGCCCCGGTATTGTGCTGGATGAGACAGAGCCCACTGACATTCGCCGAGAAATTGATGGTCCAAGTCCCGGTGACATTGACAAAGCAAGAATAGCGGCTCAGGGTATGTCTGACGGTATTCTTCCAACTCTGGGAACTAGGTCCACGCAGAGGGAATTCGACCGAGTGCAAGTTATTGAGCCTGTAATAAATTTGTCGCAGCATCAGACAATGGTTTGGGGCGGAGAGGAGGTTTTGTGCTATCAGAGAGGCGTATCCTCCCACAGGCCGACGTCTTCGGGGACGGATAGTGCGCCCAGAAGATCCCTGGGTTGTCTCTTGGCGATTTTGCGGTCTCGTCGTTGTCGTCAGTGCGGTAGCACTCGGACGGCTCGCAGACTCTATGAGATCGAGAAGATAAGAGAGATCGGATGTGTCCATTGGTGACTGGATGTTACAGTGGAGCGGAACGACTTCAAGAAATGTATACAGAGGCCAGGGATTCAGGAAGGCAGCTGTGAGCGAGGCTCAGGAGCAACGACGTCCATTATAGCTTCTACTAGCAGCAACACTCGACTTGCCCTCCCTGCCTCCGCACACCTCAGTCTCGGCTGGGTACAAAGCTTCTCACGAGGCAGCGTGAAGGTGAAGAGGGTCGTGAGTAAGAGGCTGTGGCCGACTATTTTTGTGGCCACACCTGCGTATGCTAGTCGCGATGGGCCCCGCTACGCTAGCTACTATGCAACAGATAGGCAACGCTATCTCGCGAGCTGGCAGCCCCCCTCCACGATACCGCTTTGCCGGCGGGGAGCGTAACCGATGTGCCGTGCGAGAGCGCGCGCGCGTGGCTGCGATCTGCAGGGAGCTTTCACTCCGCTTCGGTGCCTGACGGCCGAGAGCAGCTGAGACATTGGAACGGGGTGTCAGCACAACAGGGAGCAACTCCTGGACGGGGCGTGCACAATTACGCTCGGTGACGCTGAGAGGGGTCAAGATACGCCACGGGTTGAAGAAGCAGTAGGCGGCTGAAAGCTCTGACGGGCAGGTGTCAGGTGTCGTGAGAATGTCGCTACTAGGCAGGCAAGCCTTCCCGGCGCGCCGATCGCCCCCGACAGAGTGAGAATCCCTCAGCTCATGCAGCAGCAGCCTGGAGACGGTGAACGGACGGCCAAATCTGACCAGCCACGCCGCAAGAGCTAGCTCACATCCCTTGCCCGATCCGTGGCTGTAAGCATGGAGCAGCCTAGTGGCTACTGTTGTCCTCTGGTGCCAGATACAGACTCATGCCATACTCATCGAGGGAAGAGGAACGTGGGGAGCACACAGTGTCACGGCGCCGTGGCAGTCTCCTGCCCCATAGTCCTGCGTGCTTGTCTCACATACTGTCTATCGCATCGAGATGCTGCGACTTGAGGCGAAGCGGGAGCAGACCTACTTTCCCATGCAGATGCAGGGTTTTACTACACGCTTCGAGGCTGCATCTGCGTCGGACCGCTCCTGATACAAATCTGTGTACAAGCGGTGAGCCGCCACGACTGGATGTCGGTTCGCCTTCATGCGCAGCTGCTGCATACTCGGCCACCGGGCACCGACGAGCCAGTCGCCGATACCGATCGGACCCTGTATAGTCGTACCAGCCTCGGCCGGGTAAGGAGAAAGCGGATGCGAGGCAAGCCAAGGCTGGTGGGACGTCATTTTTGCGCCGGAGGCCCGTCCTGAGGACCGGTCCTGTCCAAGACCAAGCGTCTTGGCCTCTCAGCGGCCCCTAGCCCTCATCATGACAATATCACATTGAACCTCATTTTTGTCCATCTCTGAGGTATTGTTCAGTCTCTGTTTGTACGGGCCTTCCTCTTCATCATCGCAACTGACGGCGCTAGGCAGCTAGGCTGTCAACACACCAAGCCTACTGCATACCAGAGGTGCAACTCTGATTGTATCAGCCGAGGGAAGACTGCCTTCTCATGGTTCACGCAATACGATCGGGGGCCGCCTGAGAGCCACACAGTCCAGAAAGAGGCGAGTGTGCATGCTCTTGGCCTAGTATGCAAGACGTAGCTTTGACAATCGTGCTACAGGTAGACATAGTGACGTTCCGAGGGGGGCATTCTCATGCACTTCCTCTCAACACGAGGTAGGAATGGGAATGTGCTTCCCGTGTCCGGCACTGAAGACGCTCACCTTGCATGCAAGAATGCCACCGCGACCTCACTGTCGTCTCCGCGAGAGAAGATCAACGCTCGCAGAAGCACTTTGGTCCTTCGCGAGAAGTGTGGCTCAAGCGATTTGTCGACGACTAGACAGCGGCATAATTGTGAAGGACTGCAAGACCGGCGCCACTTGGAAGAGTAAGCGCGAATGCCTGAGGTAGCCCAGCGACGTAGGTTCGAATTCTATGATCGTCAGTGCGTCGTCAAGTTACCCCTGCGATCGAAAGTCTGCGAGTCATCTTTCTGACTAAGTTTTGTAGAAAGCGTCTTCTCCAGACTTGTCAAGATTGCAGGAATGTGATGCTCGCCCTCCTCGAACCCGTTGAGACATCGATTTACGACCATCACATCCGCATGATCTTTGCACACTAGACACGATAAGAGGCACAGGCACAAATAGTACTTAGATTGCAAGCTTCCACGGTATGCAAGCGCATGGTAGGGACTCGCCCACGCTGCCAGCGCCTGGACTTGGGGGCCGGCAGCTGCCCTCTGCGTGTTGCTCGACGGAGTGGCAGAGCACGGCCCTGGAGGAGATGGTTACAGCGGAGCAATATCAATAATTGTCCTAGCACAAAGACATGAGCAAGCTGTGCAGAGGTTGGATCTGACTGTCTAGCATGCGCATTGCAGTGACGTTCAGGAAAGGGGCACGAGGGCTGTAACAAGGGTACCCGTGGAGCGCATCAAGTGAGTACCTTCTTGATAGCATCGTGAAGTCTGCCGTGGGCACGCTTGCCTCGGTGGCCGATGTCACGTACTATCGCCATACTTGACATTGACTGAGACACTTGCGCCTCAGTCAATGTCAAGTGGTCTGCAGATGCCTCACTCGACGTCGGCTGAGCTGAATTCGTCTCACTTGACGCAGCCTTGCATGCTTTCACTTTGGACTTATTGCCTCGCCCTTTCGAAGTACTGGCATCCCCTTTAAGTGCTGTGGCATGGGACTTGGAGTGAGTAGCGCTCGTCTTGGAGGGAGTCTTCTTTGTGGTGGATGAAGTGGAAGACCTCCTCGTAGATGAAGCGGGTCGTGCGTCCTCAAGCATCGACAAAAGGGGTGCATTGTAAGCCTTGGAAGCCCGCCAGTCCATGATGCGGTAATCGAAGTCACCTCCTGTTGCGGATCTGAGATTTGGAGATGTGGTGAATGCACGGTACATGTCAAACCTTACACTGAATATAGCCTTTTGTACTTACTCAAGGTTGAGATTGAACCAAGTCACGCTGATGAGATTGGGCAACGCCGTCTGCACAGCCTCGCTAGTGAGGATTTCTAGCCACTGCAGACGTGCAGACTTGGTTGTGTTGATGTGCAGGCCACTCTCTGCTATGATGAATTTGCGGTCGGAATCAGCAGTGAAGTAGTCGTGGAAAGGTTTCACCTTGGAAACGAACTAGGCAGAGGAAATCTCGGACGTGTCAGACACTGTGCGGTAGCAGTTGGGCTTTCCGGGCGGTCCAAACACCCACTGAGTCAACTGATAGTTCCGATTGGGTCTCCGGATAGTAATCTACGGCCACGTACTTGAACAAAGAGGTGGACGGTGCCCATGCCTTCAGTTCCGTCAGGTTCGCCATGTTAGGCGAATACACCATTTCCACAGAGGGCGCGTACTTTGCGCAAGCTTGCGCAACTTCCTTGAAAGCGACTTTGAAGGTCTGCATTGCGTCGGCGCCCCCAGCATAATAGGCCCCTCCGGACGCTTTGGCAGTGGTCGTGGTATAGTAGTTGGCCTCATGTGCAAAGCTGTGGGGGAGTGAGTACGGAGCAGACTGATTTGCATTAGCTCAGCTGGCCTGTACTGTACAAAGTGGCTGCCACGACATCAACAGACCGCAATCGCACGTCGACACCCTCATCAGTAATTTTCCTCATGATCTTAGCTACAGCGATGGCTTGGGAGTTGTCTGTTGCGCTGTACCCTCGCCACGACTCGACGGGCATCACAGCAGCCTCGAATATCGCGCCAGATGCCTTGATGTCGTCAAGAATCTTCATGAATTGTTGCCCATCCCATTCCATCCCAGCGTAAGTTTGGGCGTAGTAGCCATACGTTGCTGACTTTGCGAGGCTGGCCCCCGTCATCACGGAGTTGATGGCGGTCATAGGTGTGTTCGTGATCCCATGCTGGGGGATGAAGCCTACGGGCATGCCGTTGAGGGAGAGCATGTTATGAACCGGGCTGTCGGCAGAGAAAACAATTAGACTGGCGCGAGATACAGCGATCAGCAAGTGAGTGGCGAGTGCGCGAGAGAGGTGTTCAGCACTGAACTTTGACGAGCTTCGTGCGATGGGATGAGACAAGGTGTTGTTGTGAGAAGTCACCCTATGCTTGCTGCCAAAGTCGTGAGAGATTCGGGCGTGTCGGCGTTCTCGACGCCACGTCTTTCGCTCCAGGAGGTGGCAGACGACACGTGAGCGGCGGGCAGAGGCCTCATCAATTCTTTTCCCCTGAGCCGTGGTCGCAATGCCGCATACTACAGCGTCTTCTATCCTCTCGCCCTGGGCAGATTCACGCCATACTCGCTGTTGTGGGAGACGGTATCAGAGTGGGAAAGCCAAGCTGTGTCGAGGGCTGATGAAGAGCACTCAAAGGCTCCCTGGCATCGAGTCCTGACGGTCAAAAAGAAACGTTGTGTATCTTTAGACGGTCTTGTTGTGTGCCGGTACACATGAGCAGAGGCGTGAGAACAATACCGTCGGGATCGATTGCAACGCTTTGTGGGCCTGCCGAAAGAGAGGGCGAGCTTCAACCTTGCAGCTGAAACCTACTGCATCGGCGCATCCTGAGCAAGTCGCGTCGCGTCCACTGTACATGGGTTGAGCAGAGGGCAAGATGAGGATTCGAAGTCAGAGCGAGGCATCGGAAGAGTCTGCCTTCCTCGCAAGCAGCACCCTCGGCAAGACTGTCTGTCCTAAAATTCAACGTCGGTTGCCTCGGCAGCGAGACGTACAGCAGCCGAAGTCCCTTGCGAAGCTCAGGCCAGCTACTGTACCTGCGCTGAGCCTTGTTACGATGCCAATTGCGCCTGTCCGTCGCTTCAATGCTGTCTGCGATCTCATGCAGTTAATCGCCATCTCCGACAAGTTGCACACAATTGTGAGACACGAAAGTCTTGCCCCCGCGGGATGCGTGTGGCGTTTGTTGGCCTCGTCTGCCACACTCGCGTCGTGCCTGGACCCTTTATGACTGATAGGCTCCAGGTAAATCGACGTTCGTGACAGCCTCGGCCTCGGTATTGCGCTTTTGCTGCTACATACCTCCGCGCTTGCGACCGTCTCTGGAAGGCAGCGTCTTTCTGTCTGATCTTATCATTCCGCGACATCTCCTGTCGCATTCCATCTCGAGAGGCTGGCTCGAGTGCTCTGACCCTTGCTGAGCCTTTTTTCTTTCACATGCGAAAGAAAGGCAGCAGCCTGAGCCGTCTCGTCCATTAGAGAGTGGCCTTATCATTCGAACACTGCCTCAGATCGATCGCGATTCGCAATGGCTGCATCTGTCCCCACTTCTTCCGCTCTCTTAGCCGTCGAGAGTCTTGCCTTGGGCTTCGTCCCAGATTATACTCTCAATACGACTGCCCCTTTGGGGGATCTCAACCAGGCGCTTAAAGCATCGGGCTTCGCAAATGCGTCCACGTACGGCTGGTACGCGCAGACGTACCCAAGCAAGATCTGGGATGGAGCTCAGCTGCTGAATATCAAAGACGACATTGTTGCTTCCGGTGCGATCTTGGAGGCGGCCGTGATGCCGGAAGAGGCATGGACGGGATATACTGCTTCCAACAATTCCCAGGCCAAGGCCGTCGCACAAGTGATGAAGCAATTTACGGACGCCGGTGTGACGGTGAGATTGCGCTTCGCTCACGAGATGAACTACTACACTACTGCAAATGGCGGATCGCGCTATGCCGGTGGGCCTACAGCAGTTGCAGATTTCCAGGAAGCGTTCTACCAAGTCTCGGTAGCATGCCAGGAGATTGCACCTGCAGTGAAGCTAGTGTACTGCCCTTCAATGGCCAGCTTGTCTGAATATGAGATCTGGGCGCCCAATGCATCGACGTATGACTACGTGGCGGTTGACTACTATCCGACCGATGCTGCTGCTGCGACTGTGAAGTCGGTACGTCTTGGTCGGGACAGTCAGGACAGAGCAGAGCCGTCAGAGCTTGAATCATGCCAATTGTGCTGAATATGGACTTCACCTCGCCCGGCAACTCCACCGACTTCCCTCCTTGTTTGCATCTCATGGTCTACATAACTCGACATCAACACATCCACAGTACCTCTCAACAATCAAGCCGTTCCACGACAAATTTACTGATGGTACAGGCAAGAGATTCATTATTGCGGAAGCGGGCCTGCACTACAACACCACTGCTACGAACCGGGTTGCATGGCTGCAGGACTTGACCAGCTCGCAAATGAAGGCTGGCCTGCCTAACATGGTCAGCGTGACGTGGTACAATGCGCTAGGGTGAGTCATGAAGAAGCAGTAGAGCTGGGAGAATATCTGTGTCTTGACAACAGCCTGTCTCACTGCTGACATTTCGTGTCTGACTTCCACTTGTCCTGCTCCCATCAGAGGGAGCAGCACTGACCAGTACAGGTACGACATCCTCCTGAAAGACAATGCTACTCTCAACAGTCCATTGTTCAACTTCCTCTCGCATCCGGACGTTGACATCTCAGCCGGCAGCCGCCGGTTCGGTCTCACTGTTGGGAGCTCCTCGAGCGGCTGGATGATGCTGTGTGTTTGCTTACTGATTGTCTTATACCGCCCAATCTCGCGCTGATCATGTTCGCTCAGCCTCTGACTCACGTTAGATAATTTAGGAGATCGTGTATTTCAATCAATTCGTCATTCGTCAGAGACATTGTACATACTACTTCCATCATCATTCGTCAGGAAACATTCGTCAAATCAAAACAGACTGGTATATAGAGAAAAGATCTTCTCCCATCTCGCACTGTGAAAGCCCGATCAGAGATCCAAGGGACGTGGCTAATACGCAAACCATCCCTGACCCTGCCTTCTCGGGGGAGCCTGCTGGCTCATAGCCCTTTGCAGGGCTTCCTTCTCCCCACTCAGGGCCCCATTACCGAGATCATCTCCATTGTGTCCCTGTAAGAGGGATACTCTCGGCGCAGTGGGCCACGTCCCGTCAAACGTACGACTATTGCGCATTGCGCCTCTCCTTACGTCCGGCAGGCCATACGAGGGTGGGGGTGCCTCGAAGGAGGCACGACTTGTCGAAGGAGAAATCAAGGAAAAGTCCTGCGAGGGCTGATAGGTGTGCTGTGCACGACGCTGCAGGTTTAGAGCAGCGACGACGGCGTGCTTTGAGATGGTCTCGACGCGGGGTGATTGGCGCCACTTGGCGGGCGAGGTGGGCAGACCTAGGCCGACTTTCTCGTCGTTGACAAGAGTGGTATCGGTCGGCATAGTGGGCAGAGCCTCGCCTGGAGCAGCGACCTTCTCGTCGCCCAGGCCAGCCTCGCGCCGGGCTTGACGCAGCACAGCTTCCCCGAGAGATGAGCTGGGGTAGTGAGCTGCCTGCAGCGGTGGAGCCGGTCTGGCATCGATGTGCTCTGGGTTCGCAGCCCAAGTGAGATCTTGTTCCTCCTGTCCCTCCTCCTCCTCCTGCTCGTCAGCTTCTTCCTCTGCTTCTTCTACATCGTCACCCTCTTCACCGCCATAGCGAGAAGCTTCACTCGCCGCATTAGTCGAGACAGTCCCGCTGCGCTGTACAGAGCGCCTCTCGCTCGATCCGCGCGTAGCAGCGTCTGTCCGCCCGCTCCCTGTTGTGCGTCGTGAGCTGCTGTTGGCGAGACTGGCGCCATCGGAAGCGGCTTCACCGCTGCCGGAGGATGGTCCGTCTCGGTGCGCTCTGGTAGTCATGGCGGAGGCCACGTCAAGGAAGGGATAGGCCGAGGTTGAGCGGCTCACTCCTGCTCCGTCTTGCCGTGATATGGTCGATTGAGCGAGAGATTGGGAAGAGCTCTCGGCAGCGCTGGAGACTGTTTCCTCACTAGAAGCGCCATTGACGTTATGTGTGCTCGCACTCTGTTTGGCTCTGCCAACACCAAACGAGGCGTGTCCGATTGACGGCACTGAACTTCCATCGATCGATTGGTGTCTCGCGGCCTCTCGTCTGCTACTTGCTCTCTCTGCAACACCCTCAGCAGATCTCTCGTTTTCTTCAGAAGGAAGCGTAGCAGAGTCTCGCCGTGTGCTTCGCTCCGCCACAAAGTGATCTTGATCCGAGCCCATCGCAGGGCTCCTCGAAGCAGTCGTGAGGGTAGACGTGAGTCTCCTCAGACCAGCTGTGAAGCCGCTGAGGAGCCCACCACTACTGCCTCCTGCAGGCTCGGCAGGCTGAGAAGGCTGGCGTTGTGGACTCGTGCTGCGTCTTGTGCGGGTTCTGCTCGCCTCCATTGACGCAGCTCTCCTAGTGAAAGATGTGCGTCCACCGCCGTCTTGCGATGTGTAAGCAGGCGGCACTTCATCCGAGCCTACAGAAGCGGGCGATGCGAGACTGGGAGGCACAGAGCCATAAGTCGCACTCCTCTTCTTGATACTCAAAGGAGCCACGCTGCCCTCGCTCGCTGTACCGCTGTTGGGCCGGTGTCGTCGATCGCTTTGCGCCTCCCTCAGATTCACAGAAGCTCCGTCGCTTTCGCTGAAAATTGTTGAAAGCTGGTTGCGCAGCTCTCGGTGATGTAGAGGAACGTCCGAGTAGTTGTCCTCGTTATCAGAGTCCATCACCTCCTCCACAATGTCATCACTTGCCTGTCGGCTATGTTGCCGTGCAGGAACACCATGATAACGCTGCTGAGAGCTATTGCGACTGGCAATGGCCGCTGGACCCAGGAGATCGGTACCCGAGCTGATGAAAGTGCTGTGGCGAGAAGGTTTTGCGCTGCCGCTAGTGCTTGAGGAAGGCTCTACGTAGTGGCCTCGCGAGTAGGTGCTACCATTGCTGGGTCGGTGCTTTGCTGCGAGTCCGGTCAGAGCACCAGCGCCAGCAGCAGCTGTGCCTAGTGCCGCCAGCCGCTCTCTCTCCTTTCGTTTAGTCTCTGAGCTCGAGCGGCGTCGACGGGAGCTGAGGGCCTCGTCATTGTCGATGATATCTAAATCTCCATCACCGAAGTCGCTCGGTAGCGAGGGTACTCTAGCTGCTTGTTGATCGCCTTCAGCACTGTCGCGGGTGAAGGGATTGTCCCGAGCCTTGCGCGAAGGAGGGACCTTGTTTCCTTTTGCATCTCTTGACATTCGAGCCATGACTGCAGCCGTCGGTGAAGTGTAATCGGACCTAGCATCCTCATCATATTCGTCTTCACTTACGTGCCTGCTGCTCCATTGACCTGCAGTGTCATACGATGCACGCCTACTCGAGCCGTTCCTGCCGATTGTGGCGCAGGAGCTGTAGACGGCTTGACGTCCCTTGGAGGCGGCATTCCTCTCGTCTAGGTCTCTGAGCTCATCGTCACTTTCATCTTCCTCTGCCTCGTCGTCATCATCGTCCTCGTCCTCCTCAGAGTCTGTGCAGACCTCAATCGTAGTGACACTGTCCGCACTGTCTTCCTCGTCAGACCAGTCCTGTGTCTGCGAAGCGTCTCTAGAGCGAGCAGTACCGTATCTACCACCAGAAGCCCTCCTAGCAACACCCGCCAGAGCCGCGCTCCATCCGCCCCACCCCTTCTCGGTTCTGGAAGAAGTCTGGACGGGACGTCGCGCCGGAGGAGGTACGGGCACTTGTCGGTATCGAAGATCGCTGGATCCTCTTGGTGGCCGATTGCCGAGCGTGGAGTAGAAGTCTGAGTTGTCTCCGTCAGCCCGTGACTGGAGATGACGATCGCCATCTCCGAATAGCCGATCATCATCGTCGTCGTCGTCTTCGATTGGGAAGCGTGGAGCGGCTGGTGTTTGCTGGCGACGGTAGAAGGCGCTACCGACAAGTCCGCCCATGAGACCTCCGATGGCGCTCATGCCACGGGAAGACCTTCCAGCAGTGTTCTTGCTTGCGCGATCTTGAGTCTTGGAAGGCTCAGGGTTCATTGAGACGCCCTGCCTAGATGGTCTCTTCGGGACTTTGTTCATTTGACGTATTTGAGGAGATCCTCGCCTCCTGTTCGATGTGCGATTTCCTTCATTAGCTTCGTCACCACTTGCTTCGCTCCGGTCCAAAGCAAGGAAATTAGTGCCTTCTCCGGCGTCTTGCTCTTGGTAGTTGTCCAATCTGGTGGGTGCACCCCTCGTGAGATTGTCCCCGTCCCATCGCTCGTCTGCTTCTCTCCCAGAGGGATGATAGCCCATGGCAGTCCCATACATTCGCTCCGTACGACCGCGATGTCCAACGTTCACGTTCCACAGATCGTGAGGCGCCTCATCATGGGAAACCTTCTCCCCACCTGTTCCATCCCACGTGCTAGCGTAGCGGTCGCTGACTTTCCTTCCCGAATCAGATTGCCGCCAAGGAAAGATGGATCCGGCTGCACCCTTGTCCTTGCGTCTTCTCCTCCAGCAAAAGAGCCCCAGCAGGAGCAAGAGGACGGCTCCTGCCAGCACGCCTATGACGACACCCGCAATCTGCCCTCCTGAGAGGCCTGGAGAGGAGGTTTCGGACATTGCGCTCGTGGTTGAGACTGCATTGGCGGGAGCAGTAACAGCGTTGATCTGTGAGCTGATCGAGCTGGCTGAGGCGGCCTCGTCTGCTGCCAGGGCGGAGAGTGTGCTTGCTGCGTCGGCCAGGGAGACGAGGGCGGCACTGGCTGCTGTACCTGTAGCGGTGGCTGTGAGAGCTGTGAGGGAGCTCAAGACGGCAGCGACGGACGCTTCGCCGGTCGGAACTGTAGCAGTGGCCAGTACAGCGTCTATGGACGCCATTTTCGATGATACAGAGGCCTCAGAAATGGACATGACACTAGCTGCAGATCGTGAAGCTCTCGCAGCCGATACGGACGCGACGGATTCGGAAGACCGACTGCGACTGGCACGAGCCGCCTGCACAGAAGAGCGAGACCGCATCGCCGAGAGCTCCGAAGCCAGGCTTGCCATACGAGATTTGGCTGAGGCCGATGCTCGAGAGGCGGACGCTCGGGATACAGACGCACGAGAGGCAGACCTCTCTGACGCCCTCGAGGCAGAGGCGGCCGCGGCTGCTGAAGCTCGTCTTCCCGCGCTGCTGCTGCCCGCGGCCGGAGCCTGCTCCGGCCTAGAGACCGCCAAGACGGTGGTGGTACGCGCAGCAGCGGACATGGTGATTATGTGGACCGACTACTTCGTGAAAGTGAGCGGATGGGGGGCGGTGCTATTTTTAAAGGGCCTTCATGGGGCCGAGTTGTGCGTGTCTTGTCTTGCGGGAACTTAAAGATCGTCAGGGAAGGAAAGGATCAACTGGAGGTCGAGGCGATAGACTAAGAGGATCGAGAGGAGTAGACTGGCAGAGTAGCTGCACCTCGCAGAGGGCACTACCGAGGGTACACGAAGCAGCGCAAGCTTGGGGTAAGATGGTAAAGACAGTGAGCGTGATCGAAGGATCGTGGTGGCCAAGAAGGGGCGAGGGGGGGTCAAGGGAGGAGCAAGGGGATGGTACGTAGCCAAGGAATGGCGAGAGGATGTTCCCTCGTGTGATCCCGGAGTGTCGAGGCTGAGGGATTGAGTCGTCGCCCCTCGCACATGCTGCGCCCCGGGGGTTCATCGAAAGTCCATCAACCCGCACCTCTGCACGAGCCACCTTCCTTCCTTCCTCCCCCGCCTCGGATGGTTGAGTGTGGCATATTCGTACTCCGCCAGATCTCGGCGTAGCGGAGTTCCAACCTCTGACCTCGACTCACGCTCGAAGCAGGATGAGAAGCGACGAGGATGGCAAAGAAGCAGCAATGACCAGCAGGGTGCGAATAGAGAGGAATAGAATCAACGTGCAGTGCCTCGCCTGGCCCCGGCTGCGGTCACGATCACATAGCCAGGCCACTAACGGCTCTCTCGCCCTCTCGACTCCACCACTCGCTCTTCCTCTCGTCGCTCTTTCCCATCCGTTCCACCAAGTCCTTGGCCAATTGTTCCCCAGCCTCTTCGTACGAGGAGATGATATCGTCCCACGTCCACCGCAGCTTCTCCAATCCCTGAATCAGAGCAATCAGGGAAGCAGTGTGTTGAGCCAGAGTCAGTGGGCTGAGCATTAGAGGCGTGGCGAGGACTCGTGGGGGGACCAGGGGACCAAGAGTGGTGAGGAGCAGAGCGATCTGACCCAGCGCGGCGAGGAGCTGCGAGGAGCAGAGAACCTCCTGCCCTTCCTGTACACGCTCGCGATCGCTTTTGGACCCGCCATTGGAGCTCTGTGCAGTGCGAAAGGTGGCAAAGCTGGTGACACTGCTGGTACTGTGCAATCGCCTCGGAGCAGTGACGAAGCTGGCGCGCTTGTCATCTATGGGAGAAGAGGGAGAAGATCCGCCACTACTAGAGTCGCTACCATTCGATGTAGGCAACGATACCTGGCCAGAGGTCATGAGGATGCCTCCCGTCGTCTTGCGTTCGATCTTGGGCATAGAGGCCCACGTGACTGTGTTGGCTGAAGCGGGGCGCCTGAGAGGTGGTGATGCACAACGAGCGAGCGAGTCGATTTCTGTAGCTGTGGCCGACTGACCTTCAGCGAGTACTGAACTCGTATTGCCCCTAATGCTCGTCAAAGATGAGTAGACGCATTGCCATGCTCCTACCCAAGCCGCTCTGAGGCGAGCAATCTCTTTGCAGTCCTCCGCCTCACTTCTCTTCGCCTTTGCTCCTTTGCCTTTCTTGCTGCTGTTGGAACATCCATTGGCTTCGTTGGCTCTGGCACTGACCTTGGAGAGAACGGCGGAAAGTCGCTCTGCCGCTACGATGGCCACATTGAGATAGTCTTCGCACTGCACGATCTTCTCATACTTGCTCTCGTGCTTCTTGAGCACCTCCACAGCCGCGCTCTGCTTGGTCAAGGCCGACGAGAGTGCGGCAAGGCACTCATCTTCTTCTTCCTCCGTGGCTTTGTGTAGATTGAGACTGAGGCGCATGCTTCGAAGCGTGTTCTCCAGCTCTCGCAACGCCGCAAACCTCTTTCGAGCCATCTCGACTTGTGTCTCCAGAGAGGGAAGAAGACCTTCGATCATGCGGATGCGCGACTTTTGGTGCAGCATCTCTCCCTCGACTGCAGCCTTTTCGGTTTCGACATCCTTGAGTTCCCGCCTTGTTAGTCGGATGCGCTCACTGTACTGCTTCGCGCCGGGGTCGTCTGACCATTGTGCCTCTTTGCCCTTGATGGCAAGATTCGCTTCCGAGGCCGCAGCTCTTCGCAGGACTCCAGAGAGGAAGCGATGGCTCTTGCTGGAGCCGATGGAGCGTGTGTCTGTGTCCTTGCGTACCTCCGCAAGCTTTTCGGCGAGTTTCTGGAGAGATAAATCAATTTGGCGACTAGTGCGGGCAGGGGTGGTGTGAATCTCAAAAGTGCGATACTTGTGTCACCGATGCCTTCTTGGGCTACTCACCTTTTGCTCTCGTGTCTCTTTAGCTCCTCCAGCCTCGCACGTAACTCCCTCTTCAGCCGGACCGTCTTATTGCCAAATTGCTGTACACTAGTCTGAGACCCCTTGACTATGGTCGAGAAGAGGCCGGCCAGGATGGCAAAACGTTCCAAGGGTGATACGGCTGTCAGGTCTGCCTGTGAGGGCAGCTCAGCTGCCAATAAAGGTGGGACTAGAGGCACCAGGGGCAGGTCCTCGACTTGAGGCGCGCATGAGTCTGGTGGTGAGGACCCGTTCTGCACAGAGCAGATTGGTGAGAGTCGCGTGCGGCCATTGCTGGATGGTGCAGAAGCAGAAGCATGTCTTTGACTCGCTCGGCGATTTCCATGTGATTGTTTGATGGTCTCGACATGAGCTGGTGAGGCGGCATGGGGGCGTTTGGCGGTGCTGGAGGCGAGAGACGCATCTGGCTGTCCCTGCGACGCAGCCTCGGCCTGGTATGTCAACACCTGGGTGGTTGGTAGTTCTTCTTTGATTTTTCGCTCTTCTCCCTGGTCTTGTGGCTTGCTGGCGACATAGGAGCTACGGAGGGATTCGTGAGACGACTGTTGGCGCACACCATGTGCCACCGTCTCGTGTTCAAGCAGCAACTCTTCCAGTGCCTCGCTATCTCGGTGTATGAAGCTGCTCGCGACGGACAGGCGATTTTTGTTCTCATACCTCTTGTTGTCGGAGGTTGATTTGCTTTGCGGATGTGAGTGAGCCGTCGCGAGCTGGCCTGATGACACACTTCCCATCGGGGCGCCGCGAGGGTTCGGTAGCGCGTCTTGAGGTGCCAGCCCGGAGGAGTGGGAGCGAGACGCAGACGTCGAGGAAGCTGAGCGCACTTTTGGGACATTGCGGGTGAAATTGCCATCCGTCACTCTACCAGGGGAGCCAAGGGTATGAATAGAGGGCCGATCGATGTCGACGGTGGGCACTGCTGGCCAATGAGTCTGGACCTCCTGAAGGAAGAGAGCAGACGATTTCAAGAGGGCTTGTCGACTGCTGTGTGCTCCCGTTGCTTGAGATGAAGGAGCGCTGCGAGTAGTGCTTGGAGCAGCCGAGCCATTCGATGAGGCAGCGTCGTCCCATACGGGCAAGCGATTACGGGGACGGGGCGCCATGATAGGGCATCAGTAGACAGGAACCTGTCCGTAGAACCGGACGAGATGGAAGTCGACGCATCTCCAGCAAAAGAGGTCTGACCCGGGAAGGGGACAGGAAAAGGGGGAGAGCCCGGGCCCTGAGCTGTATGGGCCAGCCGTGCCTGAATACTGTACCTCGTTGCGTCCTGATCATGTTTCTATCCGTAGATTGTACCCTTGCGCCTGGCCCGGTCCTGCGTCTCTGCTAGTCCGTGATACCATTCAAGCAGCAGTGGCTCTGCTGTAGCATCGCTGACAGGCGTGAGCAGCAGCCTGGGCTATACTCTCCGTGACTCACGATGCGCTCTGTACCATGCGCTTCAGCTTGCCAAGTGGTGGTGATCTCGCCCTCGGAGATACGGGCGCGCTTCTAGGGCCCACGCGCAGGCCTTGACTCAGCAGAGGCGCCCACCAAGAAGCGCTTGCGTCAGTCCCGCCCAGCTCCACACGTCTGGAAGAATCGCGGCCAAGAGGAGGAGCTTCCTTTCCGCATCGACCCCTCGCCTTCGCCATTCACCAACCACCAGTCATACTTACTTACCTTACCCACCACATCGACATCCCTTTGCCACCTCTACATCTGGGGCACATACCCTGGTCACTTCCTGCCTGCACTCCCACCTTTCAACAGTGGCGCCAAGATGCTGCCAGCAGCTCGCATCTCGTCAAGAACAAGGCGCCCCATTGGCCACGCCCTCACATCTCCATCATCGTCTGCCTCCTCATCACGATCCACTTGTTCGGCCTTTGTAACATCACCATCTAGACCGATACATTCCTCGCCCCGTGCTCCGACATTACTGTCTCAGCGAGGTCTACCCATCGCAGCCCGGTTGCAGGCCCCTACGCTCGCCGCCACTAGCCGCCACTTTGTCACTTCACCCCTAGCCTTGCAGCCTCGTTCAAAGGGCAAGGGAGCCTACAGAGAGGGCGAAGAAGGGGAAGAGGAAGAGGTCGACGAAGCAGAAGACGGTAAGAGCGCTGAGAAGACCAAGGACAAGGAGACCGAGACCAGGTCATCGTCATCGTCCTCTGCTGCAGATGGGGTTGGCGCTTCCTCTGCTGCGAATGGAGCAGCAGCTGGAGGAGCCTCGGGTGGCGATGGCTCAGAAGGTGGATCAAGCTCTGGCTCTTCGTCGTCCGAATCCTCATCTTCTCGCCAGCTCACTTCTCCCACGGTACCATCGGTCTACCCGCAAGTCCTCGCCCTACCTATCACTCGCCGACCCCTGTTCCCCGGCTTCTACAAGGCAGTCGTGATCAAAGACCCACACGTCTGTGCAGCGATTAAGGAGTCGCTCAAGCGTGGACAACCATACATTGGAGCTTTCCTCTTGAAGGATGAGGAGGGTGATGCTGATACAATCGAGAACCTCGACAAGGTTCACAGGACAGGAGTCTTTGCTCAGATCACCAGCGTCTTCTCAGCGCAGTCCTCAAAGAAAGACAGCAAATCTGGTGACGGCGAGGCAAAGGACGACGATAGTGAGGGCCTTACGGCTGTGCTGTACCCGCATCGTAGAATTCGCATAGACGAGCTGCTTCCGGCTCATGGATCGCCCCAGCATGCTGGGGGCAACCTCACACCAAAGGACGATGGCGCTCATCAGGACAGCGACTCTGGTGTGGTAGTGTCGAAGGATCCTTCTGATGCCGAAGCGGCGGCTAAGGGCTCCCCTGCTGAGCATATTCCCTCGCATGGCGCTCCTTACCAGACCAGCTTCCTCCGCAATTACCCCGTCTCCCTCGTCAACGTCTCCAACCTAGATGCCAAGCCTTACCCCAAGGACTCGCAGGTCGTGCGCGCCATCAAGTCGGAGCTCATCTCCGTCTTCAAGGATATTGCTACGCTCAACCCGCTCTTCCGTGACCAGATTGCCAATTTCTCAATCGCACAGGGTGCCGGAAACGTCTTTGAGGAGCCCGAGAAGCTAGCCGATTTTGCCGCTGCCGTCAGCTCAGGCGAGGTGGGCGAATTGCAAGATGTGCTGGAGGCTCTCGATGTGGAAGAGCGACTACAGAAGGCCCTCGTTGTCTTGAAGAAGGAGCTGATGAATGCCCAGCTGCAGAAGAAGATCAGCAAGGACGTCGAGGACAAGATTCAAAAGCGTCAGCGCGAGTACTTCCTCAACGAGCAGCTCAAGGGTATCAAGAAGGAGCTCGGCATCGAGTCGGATGGCAAGGACAAGATGGTCGAGAAGTTCAAGGAGAAGGCTGCTAGCCTCAAGATGCCAGAGGCAGTCAGGAAGGTCTTTGACGAGGAGCTGAGCAAGCTGCAGACTCTAGAGCCGGCGGCGAGCGAATTCAATGTCACAAGAGGCTACCTGGAGTGGCTTACGAACATCCCGTGGGGCGTGCACTCGCCCGAGAACTACTCAATTGCGAATGCTACCACAGTGCTCGATGATGACCACTACGGTCTCAAGGATGTCAAGGATCGCATTCTGGAGTTCCTGGCAGTCGGCAAGCTGCGCGGTACTGTCCAGGGTAAGATCATCTGTTTGGTCGGCCCACCTGGAGTGGGAAAGACTTCGATTGGAAAGTCGATCTCCCGAGCGCTGGATCGCCAATTCTTCCGCTTCTCGGTAGGAGGTTTGTCCGATGTAGCTGAGATCAAGGGTCACCGAAGGACATACGTGGGAGCCATGCCCGGTAAAGCCATTCAAGCTTTGAAGAAGGTCGGCACAGAGAACCCTCTGGTGCTTATCGATGAGGTTGACAAGATCGGTAGAGGTCACAATGGTGATCCCTCCTCGGCGCTGCTGGAGATGCTTGATCCGGAGCAAAACGGCTCTTTCCTCGATCACTATATGGACGTACCTGTGGATCTGTCACGGGTGCTGTTCGTTTGCACTGCCAACACCTTGGACACGATCCCGCAACCGCTCCTCGACCGAATGGAGGTGATCGAAGTGTCTTCATACACTGCGGAGGAGAAGAGGCATATCGCCAAGGGCTACCTTGCTCCACAAGCTAAGGAGGCTTCTGGTCTGAAGAACGCCAACATCACACTGCCGGACCAGACGATTGAATTCTTGATCAAAAACCACGCTCGCGAAAGTGGAGTGCGATCTCTCAGGAAGTTGCTAGAGAAGGTATACCGTAAGATTGCATTCAACATTGTGAGGGAGCACGGTGAGACTGTCTTCCCCGAGCCGAAGGGTGAGCTGCAGCCCGCTTCGGAGGAGGCGGTGGACCCGAACAAGGTGGCTGGCGGAAGTGAGAGCAATGCGCAGAGCGTAGTGCCACCGCCGACGCCGTCCGACTCGAAGGTCTCTAGCATTGCTGGCCAGAATGAGCCAAGCGAAGCAGAGGCAGACAACAAAGTTCCTGCTCGGGACGCTCCGCCCTCTCCTCCTCCGAAGACCACTACGGAGGAAAGAAAGCCGATGGAGGTGCCTCCTTCCGTGAATGTAACCATCACCATCGAGTCGCTCAAGGAGTATTTGGGCCCTCCGGCCCACTACAAGGACCGTCTCTTCACCCGCAACATGCCGTCGGGTGTCGCCAACGGTCTCGGCTATCTCGGCAACGGTTCCGGCTCGCTGATGCCCATTGAGACGACTCTGCTGCCATCCAAGGAAGGCTCCGGTGGTTCGATCCAGCTCACTGGTAAGCTCGGCGAGGTGATCAAAGAGTCGGCCAACATTGCTCTCTCGTTCCTCAAGTCCAACGGATACTCCCTTGGTCTAGCGCCCGACGAGAAGACGAACATCCTAGAGGGTCGCAATGTCCATCTGCACATGCCCGAGGGCTCCATCGGCAAGGAAGGGCCTAGCGCAGGTGTGGCATTTGTGGTGTCTCTAACGAGCTTGTTGACCGACAAGCTGATCAAGCCAGACCTGGCCATGACCGGTGAAGTCTCTCTGCGTGGCATGGTCCTCCCCGTGGGTGGACTCAAGGAGAAGCTCCTAGCTGCACATCGCTCTGGGATCAAGACGCTCATCCTCCCGCTGGCCAATCGGTCAAACGTGGAGACTGACGTGCCAGAGAACGTGCGCAAAGCCATGGAAATTCACTATGTTGGAAACGTCTGGAGTGCTCTAGAGGTGGCCTTTGGAGAGGGGGCTTGGAGTCAACGGGCGAGGGAGATGAAGGCGGAAGAGGAGAACGAGGAGAAGGAGAGAAAAGAGGAGGAACAGAGGGAGAGGGATGCACAGACTGCCTCGAGCCCTTCGGCGCCTGAGCCAACCAAGGGGGAGGACGGGGCGAACAAGGATCAGCCGGTGAATTGAAGACTTAGATGAGAGATGAGACAGAAACACAGAGATCAGGAAGGGAATGGGAGAATCGCTTGCACGGTCCATATCTTGTTGTCCAACTTTTACTGGCATGCTCCTTGCCCTGCCACCTACAAACATTAGCACTACTCACATCACCAGATACTGTTCTGAGCTCTCTCCCTGTGCATCTGTCCCAGAGGTATTGTTTGAGCGTCTCACTGTGTTGTCACCGTGGCCATAGCGATCCTATGCAACGATGTCATGCTGCTGTACGCCTTGCCTACGTTCGTTCCGCCTGAGGCACCGCGCACTGGACCCTGTGGGCGTGCGTCCGCCCGCGCCCCTCGTGTGGGCCAAGTCGTCCCCCCCTCATCCCAGAGTATATATAGGCAGCCCTCAGCATCCTCACCTCATCAATCTCGCTCCCCTGCGCTTAGCCTCGTCCTTTGCGAGCTACGACGTACGACGTTACCTTGATCATTACCGTAGCAGTCTGTTCTACCGACCTCGTCAGCCAGGCCTCGATCGAAGCGAGTGGTGCTAGTGGGTGCGAGATCTTACGCTGCCCAGCCCGGAGCTAAGCGGCAAGACAAGAGTCCTTCCGAGTTGCGTATCGCCGCATCTTGACTGTAATCCATCCATCGATCGAAGACGTGGTAGGAACTGAGGCTGGGACTGATTAGAACAGACTCAGTAGTCGTCGAGATGAGCAATAAGATTGTGGTGAGCAAACCGTACTGCCCTTGGCGGAGATAGGTCCTGATGTATGTGTAGGTGTGGAGGAGAGTAGCAAGCTCACTATCCTCCTCTCGAATTTTGCACTACTAGTCTGGTACATATCGAGCGGTAATCGACGATGTCATTGCCAACGTCCGACAAGACTTTGAGGAGATGGGAATCGAGAAGGAAGTCTTGGAGGAACTGCAGAGGGTACGTCTCCACACTCATAACCCCCTCAATTATTGCAGTACTGAGCTTGTTGCGCCCTTCTCTTCTCTTCCACTCCAATTAATAGTCCTGGGAAGCTCGTTTAGTAGCAACTGGCGTCACAGACTTCGAAGGAGCAGCTGTCCCGCCCAGAGCACCTCGTCGTCCAGCGGGGAACAATGGTGCAGGCGCTGGAGAGGACAAGAAGACCGGCGACGACGTGAAGCCCAAGCTAGAGGATCATGCCGGAGAGGGTCCTTCCAGTGGTGATCAAGCCGCCACAGCTACTTCTGCTGCTGCTGGCTCATCTTCAGCCGCTGGCGGCAGCGGCAGTAGTAAAGCCCGCAGAACAGAAGGTGGACACGATGCTACTCATGCCCGCTCAAATGGACACGACGGCGTAGACGGCAGTGGAGGTGAGGACGGACCAGCTGGCAGTCAAAAGGCGGGGGAGAAGCGCAAGCAGCCAGAGAGCAACAGCGATGAGATTGGTAGCGATCTGGACGATTCGGATGATGAGGAAAATGCTGCTGGAGAAGGAGGAGGAGAGGCGCTTGATGGAGATACAGTCCTCTGCTTGTACGACAAGGTGTGTGGAGTTGGTAATGACGAATGGCCTCAACGGCGGATCTGTGATAACTCATGCTGACATCCCCGATTGCATTTGCCACTGTCGTCTCCCCTTCTCGCAGGTGAATCGAGTAAGGAACAGATGGAAGTGCATCCTCCGCGATGGCGTTGCCAACATCGATGGGCGGGACTACCTCTTCTCCCGATGCAATACCGAGTTCGAGTGGTGAACACCATGGTGCTGTCCTCGTAGGCCGAAGGAGGATGAAGCGGTACAGAAACAAGGCCGAAAGTGGGACACACGCTCTCTCTATCGAGGAGCGCAACTTCGCTACAGTCTGAGCGACGGATTACTTGCGAGAACGGACAACAGCAATAGCGGGCAAGATAGGCTGACAAGCAGGGACAAGATGGGCAAATGGGTGGCCTGCTTGCTGTTAAAGCTCTCCCTGGTGGTCAGCTTTGCTTCGTTTGAAAGCAGCAGCAGCAGCAGCATCCTCAATCCCTACCTTCCCACTCGACCTTTCATCCATTCATCAGCCCACCACCCCCTCTCTTCCTCCGGTGTCTTGGCCACAACCCGCTACTTTGCATTCGCAGCAGCAGCAGCAGCATACCTGCACATATACTCCTCTTTCCAGCCAGTCCTCTACGCCTCCGCCACCATCTTTGCTTTGATCGCAGACAAGCAGATGTGCGGTCAGGACGATGGCGATGCCCGTTCCGTGCGTGGGACCTTCGGTCAGTCGGTCAGTCGATTGATCACTTTGTAATAGTAATTAGATGAAAGAAACGATATAAAGATAACCAGATAGATGGGTAGACAGCAGCGTATGACAGAACCCTCCATTCGCCCTCTCCCATGCCTTGCTGTCTTTCCTGGCGGCCTAGGAGTCAGTCCCAGATACCTCGAGGAAAGCTCTGAAGACGCCGAGCTTCTCCTTCTCCCCCTCGGCAGCACAGAGGTCTATGCGCGTGTCTGCACCAATGAAGAAGACCTTGCCTGGTGCGTCGAGGTCGAAGGAGACGCTCCCACCACCGCCGGAGCCATCATCGCTCTGTGTGCCTTTTGACGGCTGGCTAGAAGTAGGAAAAGTGGCAGTGAGTTTGCCTTTACCGGAAGTGTGAATGAGTAAAGAGGGGCCTTGCAGGGCACGTTGCTTTTCCACTTGACCTGGAGCGAGGTGTGTTCCCACAACGGAGAACTCCTCAATGGGCGGGTCGTAGAGGAGAGAAGGCACTTCCTTTCCTCCTCCTTCCTTGTCCTCCTCGCTGCTGTACAATGAGTAGGTCTCGCTCCCCTCCAAGGGCAGAAACTCCCTCGGACGCAAGAGTTGTTTCTCCGGTCCGGCATGGGAGTAGGTGAGCATATCCACAAGTACATCCACGTCCCTCTCCTTTGGTGTCAGGCCAGCGCGAACAACATTGTCGCTAGCGGCCATGCACTCGATGATGTTTCCCTGAATGTAAGCGTGCGGCTCGTTTGCTCCGAGGAACATTGCTTGGCCGGGATGCAAATGGACGACGTTTAGAATAAAGGAGCAGAAGATGCCTACGTCGCCTGGGAATTGAGAGTTGAGCTTGCAGACTAGCTTGGCTAGAGCTGTGGGAACTTCCAGGCTCGACGAGGAAGAGAGGGCAGAGCTGTACCGCTCGACGAGTGCGCTGGCTTGCTTCTCTACATTGCTGCTGTCCGCCTTCATCAGTGGACTGAAAATCTGCCGTAGGTACTTCTTGCGCTCTTCCTCCGATGAGGATTCACTATTGCTATCTGCTACCTTGCCTACTTGGGCGAGGAAGTCGTCTGAAGGTCTCACCAGCTCGCGCAGCTCCGGTACCACCTCCAAGAAGTGCACAATCTCCTGCAATGGGCGGAAGCCACAGAATCCCTCAAAGGGAGTGAGGGCAATCGCCATTTCCGGCTTGTGATTATCGTCCTTGTACGACTTTGGCTTCTCCGAATGCAACTTCTTGGCCAATTCCTTGTCTGGGTGAGCTTGGATACTGAGGGCTTTGCCCGCAGAAAGGACTTTGAAGAGAAAGGGGAGAGCACCAACATCCTCTTGCTTGCCATCAGAGGACTTCTTGCCTCCATTGCGGGTGAGGCCTGTGCCGTAGCGGTCTACAACCTTCTGACCAAGGAGGGCAGGATACTCGTTGAGGTAGGAGGAGAGGGTGACTGCAGAGGAGCTGCCGTTGGACGAGGACGAGGATGATCCGGGGGGAGGGATGATGGTGGAGGGGAGAGTGGGGTGGGTTCCCATCCACAGCTATGGTGGGACAGGTCAATCATGGTTCAAGAAGAGAAGACTATGGTCAGTGTGTCATACTTCCTCTCCAGCTCCAGCTCCTGAAGCGACTCACCTCAGCGTACGGCTTGTCATCCTCGACTTTCATCTCCAGCTGCTCGGTAGCCTGCCCATACACGGCCACAAGACTCCCATTCTTGCCGGTGATTCCCCAATCATAGTTCTGCACACCCGGTGCTATTTGGAAGGCTCGCCCAAAGGGGCCGGAAGGGCCATAGGCGCTCTTGCTGGAAGAGATCGAGGTAGGCATGCTCGCAGCAGCTGTGGGAGTGTTCAAGGTGGATCCGGATGAAGTGGACGTCGAGGTGAGGTGAGCTTGCACAGCAGAGAGACGTCGAAGCGGTAGTGTCTTGATTGAGCTCGCCGAAGACTTGCGGTGCTGTGATGATGTGATGGCTGCTTCGGGCTTCGAGCTGTGGTAATCACCCGAGCGCTGCCCTTCGGGCGTATAGTGGGCAGCTATGGCGGCAAGTGATGCCTTGGTGCGGGAGTGCGAAGTGGCAAGGCGTGTGAAGCGTCGATGGAGCGAAGTTGTATGATACTGCTGATGCCAGAATGGATGGTCCGTTCTGATTCTGACGATGTATACGCAGCTCAGCTCTGGTAGGAATGGTATGCACGGGGTGAGGTTCGAGCGTGGTCAGGTGCACCCTTGGAAGCGTTGATGTCCGGACCAGGAGCGAGTGTAGGCTGTCTAGGGCTAGGCTCAATGACTACGGCGGATGCTGCAGACGATACCAGTATGAGTGTGGGGAAGCAAGTCTTGTCAGTATCACTTGCAAAGGAAGGTTATTGTTGCTCCAGTCAAGGCTGTGTGGGGCGGGGATACCGGCTACTCTACTCTTCTGCAGGCCAGACCAAAAAAGCCACCCGGAACGTACCAGGACAGTGCAACAGCCGGATGCCGCGGGTAAACTTCACCCCGACGTCGAGTGGGACGCAACGCGACAAGCTGCACGTGGCACTGCCTGCCCCCTCAAGCTTCATCTGGCAGGCGAGCGGAACGGAGATACTCACTGTCCGATGGTTCGCTCCAGCTCGGCTCCGATAGCGTCCGACAGCAAGAAGTGGACAAGCGAGAGCGAGGAGATGCAAGTGTTGTGAAAGAAGCGAAGTTCCTTTTCTGACAGAGGCATTATCTATCAATGCTTAAGTACTCACCCAAGAGTAGCAGAGCAGTCCTTAACAAACAAGACCAAACAAGGTAAAGGTCACCCTCGCGCCTAGTCTGCTCGAAATCGGAGCCGCGCTCCTCCTTCCGCTTCCGCTTCCGGTACCGGCACTGACACGAGGGGTAAGCTTCCCGGCCCGTGTACATTAGGACATCTTCCCCCTCCACTCCCTCCATTTGCAGCTCCCCCTTCCCTCCTCTGCTCTCTACGTCCTTCTCCCAACATGCCGCCCCTCGGCCATCCTCTCCGGCCCGCAGCCATCAATCTCTACAAGCGCCTCCACCGCCTCGGTCGTGACTATCCTGAACCCTCCTATGACTTTCTTGGAAAGCTACGTGCAGCGAGTAGACGAAATGCTGCTGCTACAGAGGAGGAAGAGGTGAGGAAATGGTTGAAATTGGGAGAGTGGATTTATAAAGGTCAGTTGCTTGTAGAGGACAAGGGGAGAGGGGTGGGGGGGAAAGGTGGGAGACTGGTAGATCCACTAAGAGGGGAGTGGACAAGGTGATGCTCACCCTTTCTCCCTCCATGGACCTCGCTCACAACAGAGACCGAGACGCTCTACTCCCTGAAGAAGTATCGCACACTCCGGCGGCGATATGTACAAGACGATTGAGCCCGCTGATGTTTCCTTGCCTACCAAGTGAAGGGGCGGGCACCACCCACACCGTCTTACCTGAGACCCCTGCGAACAGCGCAGATGCGGACCCAGGCGCAGACCTCGCTTGCCCACCACTGAAATCTCTCTCGAGGCGCAGTCTTCAAGGACAAAGAAGAGATTTTCACAAGTCGAGAGACATCAGCTCAACGGCCATTCCGCTCACAAGGTCAATAGTTCGGCTGGGGTAGACAGCGACATTGAGCTCGCGCTGCAATCTCTTAGGGCCAACGGGGCCTTGCGTCAAAGGCCAAAGGGCACGACGAGTCACGACACCTGGGCAGAGCGGAGCAGAAGAGGTCCACAAGAGTAAGACTTCAGTCGGACAACTGCTCAGGAAGCGAAAGGTTCGGACCAATAGCTGAGACGAGGTAGTCTTCGAGAAGGGGATGAAATAGAATTGGTATTGTTTTTGTAGAAAGAGAGACTGTCGGTAAAAGTCAGGACGTCTGGGGTAATCTATCGCTCTTTGTTCTGCCTTCTCATCGCCTAAGGTCCCACCTCAACGCCCCTCTCCCTCAACTTGCCCTCAATGCCTCCAATTTCCTCCCTCAACTTGTCCGCACGCACCCCGGCTTCAACTTGCGGATTGCCATTCTGCTGTGCCGCTCCTCCTCCTCCTCCTCCCTCTTGCAGCAAGAGTTGCAACTCCATCTTCTTGCCCTCCAAATCCTTTTCCAGACTGTACACCCTCTCCTGTGAAGACTTGAGCTGAGCCTCGAGGGCAGTCACGCGCTCCGAATGCGTCTTGGCCAATTCCTGCACACGGGCATTATGCTTACTGTGAAGCACCTCCAGTTCGCTTGCATCGGGTGCCTGTGGACCAGAAGCATTCCCATTGGCCGAGGCAGCAGCGACATTCTTGAGCTCCTCGGCCACTTCGGCAGCTCGACGACGCGCCTCGTCCCTATCTCGTTCCACCGCTCGGAACTTTTCCTGCAGAGTGGAAAGTTGCTTGACCGTGTCCGTCTGCTTCTTGTTGAGGAGCTGCAGACCATCTTCGTGCTTCTTTTGAATCTTGGCAATTTCAATCTCGTGTGCTCTTCTCATCTCTCCAATCTCCTGCGCTCGCTTCTCAGCAAGAGCTCTGGTCTGCTCGCCCCTCTCCTTGTCCATCTTCTCGACACGGGCACTGTTCTCCTTGTCTTGCATCTGCATCTGCTCGGCAAACATCTGATTGACCTGTTGCAGTGCATTCTGATGATCTTGGGCCTCGCGTTGGCTCTCCTTGAGTTGCTGACGGAGCTTCTTTACCTCCTCGGGGTCCACGGCGGTCTTTTTCGCTTCAGCAAAGGATTTGTTGACATCGGCGAGAGATTGCTCCAATGACGTGACCTGCTTGTCAGCCTCGGCCTTCTGATCCGAGAGCTTCTTCAGCTCAGCCGTCGTCTTTTCAAGCTCTTGCTTTGCCGCTTCAGCCTCAGCCCTAAACGCAGCGCTGGAAGAGTCTCCAGCATTGGCAGCATCGCTGAGCTTCCTGTCGTGTTCAGCCCTCAGTGATTTGATCTGGTCATCATGCCCAGCAGTAAGAGTTTTAATCTTCTGGTCGTGATCAGCCGTGATGGACTTGTTCTTCTCGACATGCTCAGTCGTAATTGCGTCGATCCGTGCGGTGTGCTGCTGCTTCAAGTCTTCGAGCTGACCATTGCTCTGCTCTTCGAGCTCGCGCAGCTTGCCAGCATGGCTCTTCTCGATTTCCGCCGTGACTTCGGCAATCTTCTGAGTCAATCGCTGCTCGAATGCCTCTTCTGCCGCCTTGAGCTTGGCTTCGTGCTCACTCTGCAGCTCCGACAACTTCTTCTGCAAGGCAGCCTGCGCTTCGTTGTTCTGGTCGCCAGCCTTCTTTGCATCGTCTTCTTCGACCTTCTTCTTCGCATCAAGCTCGTCCCTGAGCTTACTCAAGGCAGTGCCGTGCGCTGCCTGCACATCGAGAAGGGCGGACTGGTGTTCGTCAGCAAGAGTGCTCTTGAGTCTAGCCTCGGCCTCTTGAACCGCCTTGGTCAGAGCCACTTGATGCTCATGAGCTTGCCTCTGCAGAGCTTCGTCGACCGCTCTGGATTGGTGTGAGGTGGCAGAAGAGAGAGCGCGTCCCAGCTCTGCCTTGAGCTTCTCGTATTCATCGGCATGAGACTCGTCCGACTTCCTTCGAGCGGCTTCCTCTGCAGTGGCTATAGCCTCTGCGACTTGCTTCTGATGCTCCTCTTGAGAGCTCTTGGCAGCCTCTTCGAGTCGAGAGGCTTCTTGTCGAAGCCTTGCAATCTCTTCGTCCTTGCTCTTGACGTCTTCGGCAGCCTTGCCCTTGTCTCCCTCCGAAGCCTTTTGAGCCAGCGCCAGCTCGTCTTCGAGTGCCTTGAGCTTACTCTTGAGTCCATCAGCTTCATCAGAATGACCCTTTGTGGTCCTCTCCTGGTCTGCCTTTTGCTCCTCGAGTGATGACACTTGGGCTTCGAGGGCCTTGACTGCCTCACGAGCGCTCTGAAGCTCCTTGACGGCCTCCGGATCTTCTTTCGGTGCAGCAGAGGCCTCTTGCGCCTTCTTCTCGGCTTCCACGAGGGACTTTCTGGTGCTCTCCAGCTCCTGAGTGAGACTCTTCGCCCGTTCTAGAGCGTCTTTGAGCTCTGCCTGCTTCTCACCATTCTTAGCATCCTTGATGGCAGCAAGTTCGCTTCGAAGAGACTCGATTTGCGCCCCCTTTTCTGCCAGCTTGGCAGATAGCTCTTCCACTTCTTTGGCCTCATCTGAAGCTGCCTTTGCATCTGTGCTCTTCGCACCAGCTTCTCTCGTCGCTCCGCCGCTGGAGGCCTTGGCCTCGGCAACGTCCAATGCATGCGTCTTCTTCAAGAGCTCTTCTTCCTTGGCCTCGAGCTCTTCACGAAGCCGAATGAGCTGCTCTTGACTCTCAGCCAGATCGGCCTCCGTCTTGGTCAGGCGCTCCTTGAGCTCTACAGCGGTGACCATCTTCTTGGCTCCAGTTGTAGATGTTCCAGAAGAGCTAGCGATCGATGGCCGACTGGAAACAGCAGGTCGAGCAGTCGTGGAAGCAGCGGTCCCCCCAGCTCGACTACTGGTGACGCTTCCTGCCCGACCTGCAGCTGAGGCAGGAGCAGGAGCAGTGGAAGGCGCACCAGAGCTCCTGGGACCAGCAAGAGGAGGTCGGGTACTCGCCGTGGTGCCGATGGGCTTCTTGACGGGAGTAGCCCCTGTACCTGTAGGTCGTGCGGTGGCCGTGGTGGTGGCTACAGCGCTAGTAGTGGCAGCAGCAGAAGGTCTTCTGGCGGCGGTGACAGAAGACATTGGTGGCTTGGAGCTAGAAGACGAAGGTGCGACGGACGGGCGACCGGTAGTCGTGGTGCCTCCAGCGCGAGCGGCTGCCGCTGCCGTAGGGCCCGTGGCTCGAGACGCGCCAGGAGCCACCGACGAGCGGGGAGCCACCTTGGCAGCGCCGGCTGTTGTGGTGCCAACTGTACTGATGCGACGAGCGGTAGCTGGCGGTTTGGCGGTGGCAGTGGTGGCATTGGTCGTGCTGTTGGTGGTGAGGGGTTTCTAAAGGTGGAGAAGGCAAGGGGTCTCAATGTTAGTGAGCTTCACAAAGGCTGAGACTGGTCTCACTTTAACCTAGCCCGCTCACCTTTGCCTCTGCTGCAGATGTACCAGACGGCGGCGCTACGGGCTTAGCGTCCTCACTCTCGCTACTAGCCAACTTCTTGATGGAAGTCTGGGACGAGGATGGCCCATTGTCCGAAGAAGGGGCGGGTGGGGGAGGCGATGTAACAGCAGCGCCTGGACGCTCAGGGGCATCACCTGCTGACTCTGCCATTGTACCCTTGTAGAAGTGTGGTATGAGATCTGTATCTGGTGCTACCTTGTCGAGTGAGAGATGCGGGTGAGGTGGTAGGAGTGACTAGGCGTGGGCGGTATACTGTTGCGGATCTCCAGGGTGTGATGAGAGGAGATTGCAAGCAGCCTCCAGGGGCAACACCGACACGCAAGGGGATCAAGGGGGGATGTTCCCAGACGGCAGTAAAGATGAGAAGGAGGAGGGGAAAGGAGGAGACAGAGGCAGGCGAGGCGAGGAAGAAAGGGGCAACAAGGGCGTAGAGTGCATCACATCCATGGAGTGTGCATTGGGCGCGCCTGCCGTGCGGACCAGTGTTGCTCTGCGCCGGGACACCGCGGGGTTGGTTTGCTTGGCCCGGCCCGAGGTGGGGAGGGGCGCCGCCTCCCTTCGCTCTCACTCAACCATCCTCGTACTCATTGCGAACAGTCCAGAAAGTAGTTGGGAATGAGATCTCACAGAGGAGTTAGATTAATGGATCATCAAGTGCATCTAAATTGGGAAGCACATCTAAAGAAAAGCAGCTGGACAAGGATTGAAAGACGAGGCAATCTAGAGGAGGCGGGGTATGAGGAAATGGACACTAGAGCAGGAAGCGTATGGGAGGGTGAGTGACAGAGAGACAAAGACCGAGCGATGGAAGGTGACGATGAAAGAACGATGAGAAGAAATACAACAGATGTGAAAATGAGAAGCGCAATCGGGGATGAAGTTGACCAAGGAAAGGGCAGTCTAGAGTATTGATCAAGTGGGACAGGTCGCACAGCGGCGTGACTAGCAGCTCTGGCTGACAGGGGTACGTGGCGGTGCTCTTCTAGCTTCAACGTGGGTATGACCGTACCAGGAGCGCACGCGAACATCATTGTTGCAGTGCTTACTCCCTTTCGTGCCTCCAAGGTCGTTCAGAGAGATCGTAAGGGGCAGTAGTGTAATAGGAGCCAGGCTGCTGGTGGTAAGCGGCTGCTTGCTGGACTGAATGCTGAGATGCGGCGTCTCGAGAGATCTCATAGCTTGCTCCTGAGCTGAAGGTGACATGACCAGGAGAACTGTAGAGGTCTTGGCTAGTGTGGCCGGACATGTTGGGCCTGTAAGAGGGGTAGGATTGACTGGGACCCGACATTGGGACAGACCCGGGACCTTGCTGCGAGCGCCAAGTGCCTTGCATTTGCTGAGCATGTTGTGGTCCCAGACCAGGCGCAGAGGCATACGAGTGAACATCGGCGGCAGACGTCGACAGTCGTCGACCGTCCATTGGGCCTACTAGACCCTGCGGGTAAGGATACTTTGCCTGCATCACCCTGTTGGCAATGGTCGAAGGACCCTTCCAGCCAAGCTCCGAATTCTCGGAGAAGGAAGTGCTCGTACTGTTGCCACTGTTACCGCTGATCCTTCGGTTGAAGGCAGGTGCATCCGGAGGAGAGGTGGAAGACGTAGCACCCGCTAGTCCTCCCATGTCGTCCTCGTCTTGCTTGGCCATGAGTGCTGCATGATGGTGAGGGCGACCTGCTGCTGCCGCTGCCGCCGCTGCTTTCCTCATGGCAGTCTTTGCCTTGGCCCTACGGTTCTGGAACCAAATCTGAACAGCCCGAGGGGGCATGTCTAGCTGCTCACTGATGGCCTTGCGCACTTCGTTGGAAGGCTTGGGAGTCTTCTGAAACGTGTCCTCGAGGACTCTGAATTGGCCCTTGGTAGTCCTCCTTCGGTGCTTGACCTCGAATGGATTCCAACCACCCTCGCGTCTGAGGTCGTTGCTCTCGTAGTCGGCCATGTTGCCATCGTCTGCTCCTGCGCCAATATAGTGTCCGTGGGGCTGGAGATGAGACTGGTACTGGTATGGGTAATGGGAACCGCCATCACCAATGAAGGGCACTCGCACGCCGTCTGTGGGTGGCCCAAGAGCTGCATTGGAAGGGGCAACCCCAGGGGCATAGCCGTCTGTGACAGCCGAAGTATACTGACTACCCATCATTAGTCCCGACGCACTCAACTCTGCATGAGGATGAGAATGAGGGGACGTGTCGTACTGGCTCACCGTACCCCGCACATGTTGCTCGTGCTGTGGAGGCAGAGGAGGCAGCTGCTGATACGAATTGTACTGGTGCTGAACGCCGGTGCCAATGCTGATGTGGTTGGGCATAGAGTTGAAGGAGGCCAGAGCTGGACGGACTGGGGCTCCGCCCATCGCCTGTCGGCTCACAGGGGTTGCAGCCGCAGAGTACGAAGACACACCATCGGACGAGGCAGGTCGAATCGATGCGGCATCTGGCACCAGCCTCTGAGTGGTTGGCGTGCTGGTGTAGTTCCACACTTGACCTGCGTCCGTCGAGGGGTGACTTTCGTGCTGTCGATGAGGCCCTTCCGTTGTAGCTTGTCGAGGAATCTCACCAAGATTGGGCGTCGGGCCAGTGAGGGCTGCAGAGGTTGGCACGGTCGCGCATGCCAGTGTGGGGGTGTTGCTGTAGGAGGAATGGGCCGAGTGCTGCGAGGCTTGCGAGGCCATGAGCACGGAAGGGCCTGGAGTGCGCCCCACGCTTGAGCTTCCAGAGCTCGAGCCTGGTGGAGCCATCTGAAAGCGCTGAAGAGCAGGAGTGGGAAATTGAAAGGACTTGCTATGTTGGTGATGACTGCTGTGAGTCGTCCTTGGAGATTGTGCTAGTAGCAGCGCCATGAGTTGGGTGAGATTCTCCTACCAGATTTGCAGCTGTGAGCAGATGAACTTGGCCAGTGGGCGGGCAACAGGAGTGGTGCAATTGTGGGAGGGGGAAAGGACGGGTGAGGGTGATAAGCGAATCGCCAATGAGCTTTTGAGAGCGTAGGCAGGAGTTGGGGCAGGGCGAATTTGGTGATGCCTTTTACCGACGGCAAGCAAACAATGGTGACCGGAACGTCTGAAAGAAGGGCGGCCTGGTCAGCGATAGCGTAAAGGAGAGCCTTCTTTTTTCCAGTGTCTCTAGCGGCCCGGCTGGGCGTGAAGGGAATACCTTCACACACTCTAAGAGCGGAGCGGCCGGCGAACGCTGCGAAGCGTAGGATCCAGAGGCAAGGCGAATAGGCGGGCAAGCGGGCAAGGGGGCCAGCGGGCAAGGGGGCGTGTGGAAGGCGCGGGCCAGGCGGCGAGCGGAGGATCGGGTGATCGGACGGAGTCGCAACAGATCTTGCTCCGAGACAGAACGGTACGGTACTCGATGTCTGAGACGATGTGCCGGAGATTTGAGACGGCAGTCGATTCCGGGTGCTGAGCACCAAGCCGATAGGGCGGAGTAGGAAGGTGTCCTTCGTTCTAGAAGACGGCTGCCGTGCCTTCTGTGCTTTGATCGATAGGTGCCAAGCGCCCCTGACCGCTGTTTCCGGCAGGGCTAAGACAAGCGAGCGGAGATTTCTGAAACAAATGACAGCTGTCCGTGCGTGGGTGGCTTTGGCCTGGCCTGCTGTCGTGACAGACGAGAGCTGCCTGTTGTCGGATGCGCGCGACGAAGACTTGGGTGAGGTGCCCTGCAACCGAGTCCCGACACGTCAGCGCCAAGCTGATAGGCCGGCACGCGAGGAGTGTCGCTCGATTTCCCACGGCGGGAACACAATTGCGAAATCTGCGCGAAGGCCAGGGGAGACTGAATTCCTATCTGCAAACCCGACACTTCTTGGGCTGCTCAGATTCGCTGGGGTGGGAAGGCGTGAGACCAGCGTGAGACCAGCAAGGGGGTAAGCTAAGCCAAGATCCCGACTTGGGCCAGACTAGTTTCAGCGGCCTGCAGTTCGAATTTATGCACTGGCTGCTTATATTTGGTCCCTTGTCAGGGTGTGCGGGCAGACGGGCAGCGATAAGAAGATGCCAGGGGAATGCACGACTGCTTCCGCGTTTGTCGAGTCTCAGCTGAGGTGAGTACCTTGCCCCAAAAACCGTTGCCTTGGATATGCAATGGGGTTCCTCGAGTAAACACACGGCAAATGAAAAAGCCTCGGGGATGGACTCGCGCGGGGTTTGTTGACTGACGAAGACTTGCCTTTGCAGGATTCTGCAGCGGGCCGGAGAGGCTTGCAGGTGTGGTGACGTTCTAGCCTCGTGATAATGAGGGGAGAGCGCCTCGCGTACTTCGACTTATTTGCTAGATCGGGACAGCGCGCAAGATAGAACAGGGAAGAGGCGGTTAGCTCCGCACAGAAATTAATTTAGCCATGACTTTACGTCAATCTCGCCTATCACTGCTGCTGCAAGGAGGACCGAGCATACTCACGTTCTCTGGAGAAGGCTTCGTTGAAAGAGGCAAGTGGTGGAGGCGCCTTGGGAACCAGCGGAATGAAGGTGGCAAGACGACCGTCGATCGGGTGCTGGATATGAGCCGCGGTTGTTTTGGCTGCAGCAGGCGAGGGGAACGGGCAGAGTGTCGCTTCTTGCTCTGTGATGCAGCCGACGTGTCAGATTGTACGAGGCTTGACAATGACGGTGTCTGGTTGATGTCCTCGATCCGATTGCCGATGGAGCTGAGGGCCGTGACAGACTGTCTTCGGCAAGCAACGGAGCGTAGGGCAGGTCTGGGTGCCAATGTAGTGGCAAAGAAGTGTCGGCGGTGTGCGAGTGGGGGAATTGACACAGATATATGATAATGGTCTGCGAGATATGGGGTCCCAAAGGTGAGGACGGCAGGAGAGACAGTGTCTGTTGAGTGAACGTGGGGAAGAGGAAGAGTAGATGAAATCTCTGCTACTTTAGGTGAAGAAGGGCCTTGCGACGAAGAGAGCGTCATTAAAACAAACGACGAACGAATGTCGGTCTTCTGCCGCCTTCTGCTGTGCCTTGCCTTGTTCACCCACCCTTCGGGATACGCGTCCTGGGTGACTACGCGGGCACCCTGCGTCTGATCACCTCGTCATCACATCGCCATAGCAATTGCATCGGAGGTGCCTTGCGTATAGTGTTGCTCTCGAGATGCTTGCTCTGCCCTTTTTCCCCTTCACCTCCAACTTCGGACAAATCGTCGGGACGTAGCGCCGTCCATTACCGCCCGCCGCGAGGCAATACAATGCCGTCCGCTCCATCCACTCCTTGGCCGTCACCACTACCGGTCCTCCTCCTCTTCCACTCCACGGCCACGGATAGAGCCTTTTCTCCCATTCTGTTCTCCCTCGCCGATTCCCTCTTACGCAATGAACCGTCAGCTTGAAAGACGCATCGATCGTAGACCGAAATTGGCGGCAGTAGAGGTGGCATTGCCGCTGGCCCAGCACCTCACGGAGGACCTGACAGATTCCTCGACACTGGCGGATTTTTGTCTAGCTTCCGGATCGAAATGATAGAGTGCGTCATTAGAGGCACGACAGGTGCACTCTCGGTAGTCTCTGTTGCTGCTGTACCCCGTGACCTCCAACAAGGGATACTCGACGCAGTGAGGTAAGGCCAGATGAGCACTCCACCCTTTCGAGTCAAAGTCCACCACCCCTTAACCCAGCAGTCCCTCTTTGCCTCCGTATTCCTCTCCGGCCCGCATCAGGCTGCTTTACCGGCTCCAAAAAGCCCATCCAGTTCAGTGCCCTGAAGCAGGAGACCCAGAGGAGCGATCCAGAGCAATCACGATGTGATACAGAGCAAACAGGGCATCGCGACTTCTGTGCCCGGTCGGTGTTTGTTCGGCAACCTCTCCCTTCTTCCTTCTCTCGTCTTCGGTCCTTCGGTCTTCCTTTCGGCTCGTCATCATAGCAAAGCTCACCGTCCTCAAAGCAAAGGAACACGGGTATGGCCAGGCCTAGCCCAAGCCGGCCCGTAAGGGGTTCCCCCTCCTTCTTCTTTCCTTCCTCGTTGACTTCCGTCTGAGGCATCCGAGAGAGTCCTATCTCTTGAAAGAGGTCAGCTGCGTCTTGCACGCTCTGAACGCTGCAAGATGGAAGATCCTTAGCAGCGAACCGCTGTGTCGGGCTCCTCCTCCTCCTCCTCCTCCTCCCTGTGCCAATTGAGGCACTCAGCTTCCGGAAACCCCGTCGCCCACGGCCCGCCTCTTCCGATAGACCAAATGGGTGCGGTCTTCTATGAGCTTCCAAAGCCAGAGCAGAATGGAGGAGCTGGTAGTGCTAGTGCGAAGGCGAGGTGCTGTTTGGATGACGCTGACATCGCCTGCCTCTTTCACTTGCGCTCGCATGGGAAATGGGCTCAAGGAAGAGGCAATGTGATCGTGAAGTTGAGAGTGGAAGAGGAGATGAAATTGGGTAGTGAGTCAGACGCAAGTGTGATGTGCTGAATAAGTCGTGTCGTTAATTGTATAGAGCAAGAGCAAGTCCGTCCGTCCATCTGTACAGCGTGAATGCGAACAAATTCCCTGGGGTGATCCTCTCGATGGTGAATCCTAGATGCCCTCTTTATCATCAGGCAGTCTGCTTGAAACGAGCCCTGCCGCTTCGCGTGACCAAGTAGCCAACTTCGCCAGCTTCTCACATCTTCGTCAACGTGTCGATGAACCGGCTGGCCATCTCTCCAACCAGTGCCGGTCCAACAGCCGAACTAGACCCCAAGCCATAGAGCTGAGCCATGGATCCCTTGGGACCCTTCTTGTCCTTGCCAGCCACAGAGACACACTCTTTGAGATCACTGATGAACTCATTGATGATGGGAATAGTGAGGCGAGTGCAGGCAATGTGCACGGCGGGTGGATCGGTTGCTAGGCCATTAAGATGGTAGCCTTTCTTGGACATCTGTTCCGAGAGCGAGGCGAGGGGACTGTTAGTGTTCGAACTAGCCTTGTACGATGGTCGAGAGCAGCTACTCTTACTCACCAGATCTCCAATCTCGTACACATTGACTCTTCCGCTGCTGGCAAAGGCGATGACGCTCACGAGAGGCTTTCCAAGGATCATCAAGTCGGGTATATCGTCCCTGATAGCCTGCTCAATGCTCCTAGCAGCGCCAACGATCTCTCTGCAACTGTCGGTGTATCCATTCTCTCCCATACACATCATGGCAGTCCAGGTACCAGCAATGAGGGCTCCAGGTCGGCTGCCTGCAATCGTAGGCGAGGCGTACACCCCACCAGACCAGTCTGGCTGAATGTAGTACTGATGCTTTCGAAGGTCTGGGGATGAGTACATGACCACCGAGGAGCCCTTGCAAGCGAAGCCGTACTTGTGTGTGTCACAGGAGATGCTGGTGACGCCGGCTACTCGGAAGTCGAAAGGCTCGGAAGGTAGACCTGCCCGCTCAAGGAAGGGGACGAGGAAGGATCCCAAGCAGGCGTCCACGTGCATACCGATCTTGTGTTTCTTGGCAAGAGAAGCGAGACTAGGGATGTCGTCGATGGTTCCATCTGGGAAGTTTGGTGCTGAGCCGACCAAGGCGATGGTGTTGCTATTGATGGCGCGAGCTACGTACGAGATGATGACCTTGCGAGAGTGGCGGTCTACTGGAACCTGATGAACCTTGATACCAAAGTACTGTCCTGCCTTGTGGAATGCCGCGTGTGCCGATTCGGGTATGATCAGTTCTGGCTCGGTGATTCCCTTGACCTTTCTGCCCCAGTCTCGGTAGGCTTTGCAGGCCATCAGGATGCTTTCCGTACCGCCAGAGGTCGTGGTTCCGCAAGCGTGTGAAGGAGCATTGTACATCCTGAGACACATGGAGATGATCTCGGCTTCCATTCTACGAACGCCAGAGAAGAGGTCGGGGTGTAGCGGATTGCTAACCAGGAACATCTTGATGGCATCGGCTATGATGTCGCTCAGCTCCTGGCCTCCGTGATAGACTGCTCCGGACACCTTACCGCCCTGCCATGCTCGTTGACCGTCTTCGTCCTCGTCGCCAGCCTCTTCTTTGACAATTGCATTTGCGACACCTTCTTTGCTCGGCGCCGAGGAGCTGCTGCTAGGGCTCAAGCGTTGCAATCGGACCAGTTCCTCACGTAGCCATTGCTTATCCTTGCCATAGGGTGGTAGGCGCTCGTTGATGCTAATATTGGTGGGTCGTGGGATGAGCTTAGCTTCGATGTCTTTCGTGGCCGTCTCGAGCTCTTTATCTACCTTCCTCTTGGCAGCTGGTATCTTGAGCAAGAGAGTGAGAATCCTCTGTAGAAATGCCGGCAAGAGGAGGAAGCGTCAGAAATGGCGCTCGTCGATTGGACGTGAGCGCATTGCGAGCATTCACTTACCCTTGAGAGCTCGGTGTAGCCTTGGTATAGAGTAGGGGTGACGCCGTAGATCCTGAGATGCCTCCATGACCGCAATACAATCCGATAGACGAGGTACCAGAAGACGACGGTCTTGGCTACGTAGTGGCAGGGCGAGCGATAGCACCAGGGAATCAGTTACAGCGCGAAACACTGCCCTCAGACGCAACTCGGGACTCACCATTGTCAAGAGTCGCTGCTTGAGAGAGTACCAATTGTAGCATTCCACTCTGAGACGATGCCGAGGGGCTTCTGGCCGCGGGCTTGGATTGAGCCGCCATGGAAGCGGTGTGGGCAGGTGGGAGCAACGAAAGTGTGCTAGGTGTCGGTATTGAGACAAGGGAGTGATAGCGTATGAGTATCAAGAGCCAGGGAGGAGTGAGATGGAAATGAGAATTAAGGAGAGGGTAGTAGGGGGAGAAGAAGGTATTCGAGACTAGTACCTTGAGACGGAGGTGACCAGTCTGGCTCTGGGAAGATGGGTGTGGGGAAGAGTAGTGGCAATGGCCGGAACTCGTCATCCACGCCCCGCTCAACCCCTCGCACGGGCGCCGGAAAGAGGCCACCGGACCGGAAGCTCACAGGGAAGCGGAGGCACATCTTCCTTTGAGACAAGTCACCGTTCCTCGTCACGACCTACTCTCGTCCTCGCCGCGATGAGTGCTCAGCAACAGCAGCAGCAGCAGGGCCAGCAGGTAGACGTCACCTCGTTGTCGCCTTCGGAGGTGAGTTTGAAGTGGAACACGAGGCAGCGACTCCTTGTGCTGCTGCTCGTGCTCCAGGCGCTTCATTTGCTCACAATGCTGCCATTCCTACCCTTGCCTTGACCAGCTGCTGGAGGTCCGGCAACAGCTCAACCAGGAGCTCGAACATCTGACGGCTTCCTACGGCCAGCTACGCTCCGTTCAATCGCGCTTCAAGGCCTGTGTCGAAGCCCTCAAGTCCTTCACTCCATCTCGCGCTTCGAATCCCACCCTCATCCCACTCACAGCCTCCCTCTACGTCCCTGGCAAGCTCAAGAACATCGAGAATGTCATAGTCGATGTGGGAACAGGATACTATGTCGAAAAGAGCACAGCAGATGCGAGGAAGATGTACGAGGAGAAGATCAAGTACGTGGGGGAGAATCTGGAGAAACTTCAGGGAACAATAGAGAAGAAGCAGGATAATCTGAGGGTAGTGGGGGACGTATTGCAGATGGTGAGTTTCTCGGAGGGGAATTGATGACAGGACCGGAGTCTAAGGGCAAGATAGAGGGCGCAGGGGGAGTAGGAGAGGTCACTATCTTCAGTCTTCCCAGAGCCCAGAGCGTTGTGGAAGACTGGTGCAGATCTAGAGGGCTTAGTGCAAGCTGTTTGGATGGACTCCGGACGGCCCGCTCCAGAACAAGGAGACCCACTTCTGACGCCACTGTCGCTCTCCGTGCTTTCACCAGAAAACCGCTCAGTCTTCGCAGGGCAGGAGGGCTCAGGAAGCTTAGCCTCCCGGGCCGAGGGGAAGTGCGAGACAGCCAACTAGTGCAGAGTCAAGGTCACATACATGTCACAGTACAAACTATCCCTACAGTTCCAGATAATGGCGTGCGCAGATTGCGTAGGCTCTCTTGGTGTTCGAGCGCTGTTGTCTTCTGAAGGACGAGAAAGGGCCTCGCAGAAGCTAGTGGACCACCGGGCGTTCAGCATGAGATACTGACCGACCAACACTTGACATTCAAGCAAGCTGTGATGTACCAGCGATGTCCGGCATTTGCGGTGCAGCAGCCAGCAGAGTCTCTGTTTCCTTTAGCCCGCACGAAGGCATCACTGGGGGAGGCAAGAGAGGGCGTGCTTTCCAAGTGCTGCGCCAGCCACACTCATGCTGCAGGCCACGTTGCTGATAGAGCATTAAGCTCAGGCGACATTTCTGCGCTTGGATGAAGCAATTGCCGTCGTTCTCGTTGTCATCCATCCCGGCGGTTGCCATATCGATCGTTATCGCCGGAAGAGGAATTAGACTCTACAAAGGCCGGTCTCCTTGCTGCCCCGCCCCGCCCTGGGCAGCCCCACCTGGCTCTTTCCGGCCATTGCGCGCTGCACGCCCGCTTGGCGATCGGGCGTAATTCCGCACGCCAAGGCATTTCCGCCCTTCCCGGGATGCTGTTTGGTCGCATCCCCCCACCTTTGCACGCCTCCCTTATCCTCCTTCCGTCGTCGTCGTCGTCGTCGTTGTCGCCGTCGTCATCATTCTTCTTCTCCTTCCTCCTTCTTTTCCTCTTTGTCTCATACTTCCGCATACAGGCTCTTGTGGCCGTGGCCTCTTTCTGTGTCAACCACTATCCAACCACAGCAAGAACTCTACGCAGCATCAGTCCGCGTAGCTGCAGGCCCGCCTTCTCGTGCTGGGCGTAGACCCTTCTTCTTCAGTCTCTGCACACAGCCTAGCTCGGATAAGTCTATCAAACATGTCGCAGGGGACCATGGCGCAGCGGATCGTCATCCCTGAGCGACGATCCTCGAGCATGTACACCACTGGTCTCCAGCATACATCAAAGCCACATGTGCCGACTACCGCAACCACACCCATGGCAGCCTCGGCGAGCATGGATCGCAATACGTCCCCTCCGCCAAGATATAGCAAGTCTGTCCTCCGAACGCCGTCTCAGACAGGTGGGCAGAGTGCATCCGCCACTGCAGCCCCACCAGCCTCGACAGCCGTCGATGGTACCAGTCAGAGTAATGGTGGCGACGTGACAGAACCTTCCCCAAAAGCGGCTGCAGCGCTGTCGCTATCTGGACCTTTGCAGACCTCAACGCCCTCGACACCCCAAAGGGAAACCATAGCCTTGCCTTCTACGCCACCCGCAAATCGTCGCTTGGCTGCCGTCAGGAGTTCGACATCGCTCACTATCGATCGGGGCACCTCCTCCAGGTCCCCCATGAGTCAGGCGTCAGGCTCCGAATTCCCTAAGAGACCTCCTCTCGACTCTACGCAGTCGAGTCCCAACTTATCCATTCGCTCCATGGGCTCACCACGCAGTCTTCCACCTCAGAGCGAGCCGCCCATGTCTCCGATTCCTCCCACCCCCGACCGAGCTCCGTCCAGGACACAGCCCAATTCTCCTCGCCGGATGATTGCACCTCCGTCGCCTCGAAGCACGAAGAGCAGTCAGCTCTCGGAATTGGTCATGTCGACATCTAGGGACGATGACGAGGCTGTCGATCCTCTCACTTCGGTCAGACTAACTCGCGCATCTCCAACGAAGGCGGGTGGATCGCCCTTGCCTTCCCCAACTTCGCTGCTCTTCAGCGACTCTCAAGGTGGTCCTTCGAGCTCAGCGGGCCTTTTTGCGCCGCGCTTAGAGCCACCTCCCAGACCGGTCATGGCAGCGTCCCGCAGGGGTAGCGACTCTCGGGCCACCTCTACGCTCGGTCCTCCCCTGTCAGATCGCCGCCCGAGCGGGTCATCTCTTCATCAAGACGTTCGAAGGGGCAGTGCTTCTTCCTTGCCTATGTCGCCCGCTATGAACCACTCGACCTCGAGACTCGCGGAGCAAAGAAGGGGCAGTCTCGCCAGTGTGTCTTCCACCTCTACCTTCCGCGTTCGTCGCAAGCCTACGCCGAGCGAGTTCGGAGACGACGTACCGATGAGCCCCAGATCAGGCTCGCTGACAGGAGAAGACAGCGCCCCCATTTCGGAACTCAGGAGGGGCTCTACTGGCTCTCGTGATTCTAGACAGGGACCACCACAAGCGGCTTCATCCCTGTCCCGTCATCTGCAACCTCTCGCTGAAGCCCAAACCCCTAGCGTAGCTGATGGCAGAATGGATTTCATCTCCAAGGTACCTTCCGCCACGGACTCAGATCCAGCTGCCCCTATCTCGACGGTGATGGTGGATGGGCAGGCTTTCGTCCTTGGCGATAATTCGCCTGCCAAGGCTTCTCCCAAGGCGCCACGGGCTGTGAGTTCTTCGCATGAATCAGCTCTGGCCCAGCGCTCACCTCTTGCAGGAGGCAAGACTGCTCCTGTCTCAAGAGGCACTGCAGCAAGGCAACAGGCTATTGCTGTGTCAATGGCCAGATCCGCTTCGATGGGACACGACCGAGCAATGCCGGCCACCTCAGGCACTGGATCGAGTAGTGGCGTTCAGAGGAGCTCATCGGGAAGAACCAAAGGGCTTGGCGATGGCCGAGGCTTCGCGAGGAGGCCAGGAGGTGGGGGAAATGCAGCCTTCAACCCCTCTTTGAGCAAGCGCAATACCTCAGCTGCCACAGAAGGAATCCGAGATCCATCTGCCGGTGCAAACGAGATTGGTGAGGCAGGCGATCTATCTCTAGATCAAGAGGACACTGCGGCCGGGTCGTATGCAATCGATCCGCCTACCGAGGAAGCTTTGGCGCAGGCTGCTTCTCTCATGTTGTTCACGGAGACTGGAGAGTTGCAACAATTTGGTGAAATCTTTGCAAAGCAGCGCACGTTGGTTTGCTTCCTTCGACATTGGTTCTGCCCAATGTGTCAAGAATACGCAATGTCCATGGCCAATCTGGATCCACTCCCCTTGCAGAGAGCCAATCTCGGGATGATAGTCGTGGGTCAGGGTCACCCTCATGTCCTCGCAGCCTATAAGAGGGTCATGGGAGTCCCAGACTGGATCCAGATGTACGCTGATCCTAGCAGGAAGATCTATCACGCCTTGGGTATGACAAAGCGGACCAACGACCCAGGCCCGGCGTGCGCTAAGCCAGATTACATTACGATGAGCATGATGAAGGGCTCTATGCAAGCTGTGAAGAAGGGACTCTTCCAGATGCCTGTTCGTCTGCCCGGAGACACGAAGCTGTTGGGTGGAGAGTTCATCTTTGGACCCGGTCTCCAGACATCCTTCACCCACAGAATGGTTACAACGCGCGGTCACTTTGACGTTCCGAGGATCTTGGTTCAGGCAGGGTGCGACATGTCTCTCAAGACGCCTACAGCCATCGATCGGGAACGCTCGCAATCCAAGGGTACGCGTTCGGTGAGCAGGTCAACTACCCGACGAAGGGCTTCCCACAATACCAGAAAAGCTTCAAAACGCTACGGAGGAAGCGACCGTCTTCGAAGCGTCACTACTCCTGTAGGAAAGAGGAAGGACGGCTCTGTCATGAAGAGAAGATCGTCAGGACAAGTGCCTGCCGTCCCAAGAGTTCCTCTTTCTGCCCTCTTTGCCACTGGACTCGATGGAACACCTGCCAGGCGGAATGTCTCGGGTGACAGCGCACTCAAAAGCAGTCTACGCCAGCCTTCAGCCAGTGTCGACCAGCCAAGGGTTCAGCGATCGTACGAGACGCAGGTCAGCCCCTCCAATGGACGGAGAAGACCCAGTACAGCACCTGATCCCGTGGAGGGCGCTGACACTAGCGGCCTGTCCGGAGCTGGAAAGTCTGCCGATTTGACGCAGGAGGAAATCCGTGAGCGTCAGAGGAAAGCCTTTGCTGCAGGACCCTCCAATAGCCCCGCTGGTCCAAACTCTGACACGCTGCACAAGGCCAACGACGGACAGCTGCGTCACAGCTTTGATAGGTCAGCCAGTCTCTCGCGTTCGGGTGTTGGCAGGACTCCCTCACAGTCACGTCGTCAGCAGGGCTCCAAGACTGTCGACTCTGCGCTCAGCAGAACGCCTTCGCTGAGCAAGCAATCACCCGCCAACAGGCGCACACAGTTCGTCACGCCAAGTCGAGAGGAGAAGGAGTCGATGTATGGCACGCCCGCTTCTGCCTTTGCCATCAATAGCGATTCGCCCCTGGTGCAAGAGCTTCGTAGAAGTCTCTCGCGTCACGAGCCATCATCCGATCTCGACGATGATGCTGCCAGTGGCAAAGGCGCTAAGCTCGTCAGACAGGTCACACAGTCCCGACGACCCGAGGTCATTACTCCCACACAGATCATCGAGCCGGAGACGGTCGTCACTGACGGAAAAGACGCGGAGATTGAGCGGTCTCCTACTCCCACAGAGCAGTTGCGCAGCGCTTCTGCCCTCTCCGCTACACATGACATCGGCACCAGCACGCCTCGTCAAGATGGACTCCCTCGCAAAATTTCGCATCGCCAGCTTTGGCTGGAAGGTGGGGCGCCAAGTACTCGCTCAGTCGGTAGTCCACCTGCTACTCCGAAGTCAGCTTCCTTGAAGTTGATGAGGGACTCCACCGGTGCTTTGCCCGGTCTCTTCAACTCTCCGACAAGGAGAAGCACTGCCTTGCCTGCAAGCCCCCGCGATTCCCTCTACTCTGCCCCGCGCCTGCGGGAGGCGGAGCATGCTGCCGCGGCTGCTAGTACACCGATTGTTGCACAAGGCGAGACTGCCCACATTGATTCTTGGAGTGACGAAGAGGGAGAGAGCGGCGATACTTCCATTGCGGACGAGCTTGAGCAGCACGAGCAGGCGATTCGTCATCAAAGCTCGATGGGATCTCTGACCAGCAGCCGGCTGTCGTCGCCGCGCAAAGGAGCGCCAGCTCTTCCCAGTCAGCCTGAGGCAGTGACCTACGCAGGCATGACTTCTTCGAAGACGGTCATGCCTGGCAACAGGTTCGAATCGTCGACTGTGACTGGCGGCAATGGCGGAGGCGCTTCCTTCCTGGACGAGTTGGACATGATTGACGGTTTTGTCCGCTCTGCCAGACATCCGCGCGATCGAGGATCAGCCGATGACATGCCCCGCTACTCCTTCGAGTCTTCTCTGGGTGAGGAGGAAGAAGGCGAAGCAGAGACGGAACCCGCAGATTCGGATAGCGACATGGAGCACGAATCAGGCTGGGTCCGCCCTCGGTCTTCTCGGTCCATCTCGTCGTCTCGTCGCAGCGGTTATAGCCAAAGCAATGGCCGAAGCGCGGGCGTCCGAGCCTCACAAGATTCGAATTTCTCACCCGATTCACTCAACGAATCTCTCGACGAACTGCGATCGGCTCCAAGATTACGTGGTCTCGGCGCTTTGACGCCCACTAGACCCTCCTTCCAGAGCTCTAGGAGGTCGGAGGATACCGACTTGTCCTATGAGGATCAAGCAGGAGACAACGGCGACCAGTCCTTCCGAACTACGTCAATGGGTCGCTCTGTGCAGCAAAGTGGCGATGAGGATGATGCGGACTACGAATCTGCTGTGGACGAAGAGGATCGTCCTGGTCGGGAATCCGCGCCAAGCGGCAATCGATCGAGGGCGTCGACACCTCACCGTAACGGTCAATTGACCGCTCTTGTGGAAGGTGAGGAGGAGGCCTGAGTCGATGGAAGATAGGGTGCCTGCCTCTGAGACAGCTGTGTCCCTTCCAGGGACCGCGTCATGCTGCAGGCGGGTGTGCTGTGCTAACGGTCATTATATGGCAGTCGCGAATACCCAATGGACCTATGTACTATTTTTTCCCTTCCCATGGAACCCATCCCTCTTGTATGTGCACAACCCTGTCCGACACAAGCAGAGGTGCGTGTTGGTTGGGGTGCTCGCTGTCTCTGGGCTGATGGCCGGGTGCGGGAATCCGATGCGCGCAATCTCGCATGATTGAAAATGATCGGGGCCGGCGCGGGCAATCTTCCAGTTCTTGCCCCTAGCCCCACCGATCGCACCCGCCTTTCAACCTTTTCCTCCCTTCTCTTTCTCCATATTCACCACTTGTTTCATCGCATCCCCACACTTGCCCATCATGCTGACAGTCAGTCAGTCCAATGCGCTCGTATACTCTGCGCTCTCCGCCTTTTTTCTCGTGGGACTCTACGCAGGATGGCGCACCAAGAACAAGCAGGACTTCCTCTCCGGCATCCGCACCCAGTCTGGTGAGTCATCTACTGGAGGTAGACAGGCTTCAAATAGCACGCACAGGCGCTGACTGTCATCTGCATGCCCTTTCAGCTTTTCCACTCGCTCTCAATTGGTTTGCTGCAAGTCAGTCGATGATATCGAGCCACGTCCGGTGATGACCTCATCCGCCCCAACTTGATGAACAACAATCTAAGTCAAATCCACTCTCGGAGTAGCAGCAGAAGCTTTCTTCAGTACACATGATCGGTAAGGTACCCTCTCGCATCTTCGTTCGCTAGTCGTCTTTTATTTCCTTTGCCTTCAATGGGCCTCCTCTTCCCCCTCAGAAGTCCTTCTGTCCCCCCACCCATCTATAGCCTGTGGAGAACCCGATGCACTGCACACAATATGTGCTGCGTCGTACTCAAGGGTGCAAATTTTTCTTGCTGGATGGAGTCGGGTCATAATCTGCGGAGAGTGGGAGGAGGAGAGTCCTCTTTTGGAGCACTGAAACGAAAGAGCTAAGCTACGGGTGTCCGCGAGTGCGAGGAAGTGTGACGTGCAGAGCACATCGCCTCCCTCTCACTCGCAGGGCTGAGATACATACCGTCAGTCTTTCTCCAGGCGATGGAAATCGGACAGGCTTTCTTGCCTCTCTTCGGAGAGCGATTCGAATGTCTGCCCCTTCTTCCACCCTTGGAGATGACTAAACCTGAACACGATCATGCGTGCGAAGGGAAGCTGCTCTGTTGCTGCTCTTTCCTCTGGTCTTTACTAAGGCCAGAGGAAGAGTTTGCACTTTGTCTTGTTGCAGTTGGTGGATGAGGAGGGAGGGAAATGAAGTTGGAGTCACAGGTGGCTCTCCATGTCTGCCGCTTGCGCAACAGGGCGAACTCCTTGGCTCTCTTGTCACCCTCCCTTCTGGGCTGCGTCTATGCCACTGCCTCGTGCGTGGCGGTAAAACTGACGCCCGTCTTCTTCCTGTTCACTCCCCGACTTCAGACATGAGCTCGTCTCTTCTGTTCTCATACCCGCAGCTGACGGTCATTCCAGGTGCTGGGATTCTGGGACTGGCAGCTTACTCGTTCGCCACGATTGTCCCTCTTTGGGGCTTCGCATGGTTCGGTCCTCTCATCCGACGACTTTGTCCTGATGGCTTCACGCTGTCCGAGTTCATCCGTAGGCGTTACGGCTGGCCCGTTGGTGTCCTGACGGCCATCATCTTTGTGGCCTTCATGTTCTGCTTTATGCTCGTGGAGCTCAACACCTACGGATCAGTGGTCTCCCTTATCGGAGGCGTGGACGCCACTATTGCTGCGCTCATCGTCGCAATCAGCACCACGCTGTACACGGCCTACGGTGGATTCAAGGCTTCCCTCTGGACGGACAATGTCAATGCTGTCATCATCCTCATTGAGATCACCGTCGCTGCGATTGCAGTCGGTGTCAACATCGACATTGACCCAGCCACTGTCAAGAGTTCGCAAATCCTGGAGGCGCAATCGATTGGTGGCCAACTCTGGTACATCCTTCCGGTTTCCCTGATCTTCTCACAGTTCTTCAACCAGGGCTTCTGGCAACGAGCCTTTGCATCGAAGAACGACAAGGCGCTCTACTGGTCCATTGCCATCGCCACTGTACCGCTCTTTGCAGTCTGCTTCCTGGTCGGAATGGCAGGTGCCCTGGCCTGGTGGGCTGGGCTCTTCAATGGAGTCACCGCCGAGGATGACGGCTCACTGAACTTCTTCTACATCTTGGCTACACTGCCCAATTGGGTGCAGGGCTTTGTCCTTGTCTTGTCTTCAGCCCTGACCAGCTCGGCATACGACACCTTCCAGTCTGCCCAGATCTCTACGATCTACAACGACGTCTTCCTTGGTCGTCTCAACATCTGGATTTGCCGAGCCATCCTCATCGGCATCAATGTGCCGTCGGTCGTCCTTGCCGTGAAGAACATCGACATTCTAACAGTATTCCTGATTGCCGACATTGGCGCCGCTGCCATTCTACCTGGAGCCCTGCTCGGCTTGAGCCCCAAGCTGTACTTCCTGAACGGCTTCGACGTCTTTTGTGGAGGCGTGGGTGGTTTCCTCACTGTATTTATCTTCGGTACGATCTTCTACGGCAATGCCTATCAGGGCATCTCGCTCATTGTCCTACCCGAAGGACTTTACACTGACGACTACAGCACTCTGGGAGCCTTCTTTGCTGCTCCCTTGGGATCACTCGGCTGGACTTTCGCCGCTTTTGGCGCTCGCTACGTTGCCACTCTGCTGTACTGCAAGCTTGGCCCAGGAGACTGGTTCTACCACAACCCCATGCGCTTCAGGACCTTCGACACCTCCACGTTTGCCCTGGACCCAGACAGGCCCATCAGTAGGTTCCACGCCTTCTTCAAGGGGTCTGGAAATCCCGACGACGGTCATCGATTGGATGGGAGGGAGGATCTCTCCTCCATTGGTCAGCTGGAAAGTACTGATGACAAGGAGGAGGTGGAGGAGCAGAAGGCGTATCCTTCCTACTCTGAGCCGCACGCGCAGCCTGCTCATCTTCACGGCGATGAGCTTGGTGATCAGAGAGAGGCAGCACCTGCTCTCAGCGCAACCCAAGATACACAGGACCACGTCGGCGTAGCGCGATGAGGGCTTAGCCAGTGCTCTTGTCATTTCAGCTGCGACATTGGCTTCAACTGCCTCTGCTGCATTCCTGCCGATGGGATCGGCATACTCCCGTGTTGGTCTCCATTGACGTACATCACATCCCCCCTTTTTTCTTCTTCTTCTTCTTCGCTCTACCTCGTCTTTTGCTCTTTGCCCCTGATGTACCTTTCTCTCTTCCTTCTTCACTATTCTGCCGCCCTTGGGGCCGGGAAAGAAATAGGATTGTTTTTCTTTCGCCATACCTTTTCCTAGAATCCCGAAGCGACACGAGAGTCCTGAAAGGGGGGGAGTCTTTCTCGCCCTTTCGCAATTGCTAATGCGTGGTCCGGAGCCCGAGAAGGCGCATAGAAGCGGGCGGTCGGCGGCGGCGGCCAGAAAGGGTTTCAAAGGTGCGACAAAGAGCGGCTCGGGATTGAAAGGGACGAGCGAGCTGGCGGGCGGACGGGCAGGCAGGCAGATGCGCTATGTAGGCGTTACGTACATTGATGAGGATGCAAGGTAGGAGCTTCTCCCGGGTTGTGGTGTCAGAGTAGGCCCTCGTGGTCATTAGGGACGGGTGCCATTCTGTTTCTACCGCATTACCTCCAGGGCTTCACTCTGACTTGAGATCCTGCCCTTTACAAGCTTAGCTCGACTACATCTTCTTAGGCTTAGAGCATCCGTCTCTCCAACGAACGCCTTACAAGCCCAGCCAGTCTTCTCCCATCCTACAAACCTTGCCCTCCTCACTTTCCCCCTCCCGTCTGTGATCTCCAAGGGATTTGGTGAGTGCAGATCGGCCTTCGCTTCGAATGGAAGCCTCGTGGGTGGGTGGGTCAGTCAGGCAACCTAAAGTCGCCGTGGGGGGCGTGGCCACTGCCAACCTCCCACGTCTCCCCTGGTAGCCTGGGCGTGCCTTGGTTCTGCTTTTCCCAGCTTTCACGCTTTGCCAACAGCCGAGGGTCGGGAGATGAAAGGGGAGACGCGCCTTGCATCTGCTCTGCGGGAGGGCTGATGCGGGGAAGGACAGGCAGACGGACAGACAGACGCGGAAAGTGGAGTGGATGGATGGACTGCCGAGGTGGGTGGACTGACCTCTGCGATATCCATGGCTGGGGAAGCAGCAGGCGGCTTCGATGCGGGGGCCCAAGGCGGGAAGGGGGGTATCAGACCAGACAGGAGGCAGGCAGATCCTCGCACAAGAGACAATCAGCAAAGACGGAAGAGTGTGGCCTTGTGCCCAACTCTGGCTGCTGCTGCTGCTGCTGCCTCGCTTGCCTCCACGATGGTCCCCCGCATCCCCAGGCCCTCCTCCCATCCACCACCCTCGTCCGTACACAGGGCACATCGGCCGGAGAGGACCAGGCCAACGTCATAGCACCATCCCCCACTCAAACTCAGTCAAGCCCTATCACCCACCCCACTCTACTCGTCCAGGCATTTCTAACTCTGTCTCTTCTCTCCTTTACACTCACACTTTGCTCTCCTGCCTACTCTACCCACCACTCAGAATCTGATCCGTGGTCGTAGCACATAGCATAGCTCAACAAGACAGCTCAATTCATAAAAGCCAAGAGAGCAGCATCAGTCCAATCATTCACCACATCCACACAGCATCTCAGCAGCCCCCACTCCCCGCACACACATCATGGTCAAGGAAATCGGCCAAGCTGCCGTCAAGAACCCAGATGGTTACGTAGGTGAGTCAGAGATCCGGACTTCGCCATGGTGTGAGCTGTCCCCCACTCGGTGAGCCCTCCATGCATCGCTCACACTCTGCTGCATTCCCTTCCCTCTCCCTAGGCAATCTCACCGATGAACAGGACAAGAAGCTTCGTGCTGCCTGGAAGCAGTATTTTGAGATCCTCGACAAGGCAAAGGGAGACAACAAGAAGGGCGGCGGAGGCGGAGGTGGAGGCGGCGACGGTGGTGAGGAAGTCGTAGACGACCCCAAGAAGGCCGGAATCTCCAACGATGACAATGCCAAGGAGGAAGCCAAGAAGCAAGAAGAGCAAAAGGCACTCAATGAGCTCACCGAGCAATACGGCACCGACGCCCTCAGGGACGCCTTTTGGAAATTCTGCAAGCTCGACGACCCTGACACTTGCGTGCTTCGCTTCATGCGAGCTCGAAAGTGGGATACTGACCGAGCCATTGCCATGTTGGCTGGCTGCATGAAATGGCGACTGGACAATGACATCGAGGGTCTCGTAGAGGCAGGTGATATTGGCAATGACAAGAACATTGAAAAGTTCATCGAACAACACACTTCTGGTAAGACGTACGCCTTTGGCGCCTCCGTCGAAGAACATCCCGTCTGCTACATTCACGTCAGGAAGCACTTTACCAAAGGTCAGCCACCCGAGACGATGCAAAAGTTCATTGCCTACCAGATGGAGACGTTCCGGCTACTCCTTGTCCCACCCAATGACAAGGTCGTCCTCTTCTTCGACTTGAACAACTTTGGTCTCAAGAACATGGATTGGTCTGCCATTCTCTACATTGTCAAGTGTCTAGAGGCCTATTTCCCCGAGTCGCTCCACACTTTGATCATCTACAAGGCTCCTTGGGTCTTCAGTGGTATTTGGAAGATTCTCAGCCCAATGCTAGACCCCGTCGTGCGATCAAAGGTCGTCTTTATGAGCAAGCCCGCTGAGTGCGAGCATCTCCTCCCCGCCGATCGCCTCGTCGAGGAGCTTGGTGGAGACGTCGAATTCGACTGGGAGAAGCGATGGATTGAGCCAAAGGAAGGCGAGAACAGATTCCAAGACGACAAGGAGGAAAAGGAAAAGCGCTTCGACACTTTTATGAAGCACGCTGGCGAGTATGAAGAGGTGACCAAGAAGTGGGCGGATGGATCGAATGACAAGGAGGTTCTAGAGAAGCGTCGACTATTGGTCAAGAAGCTTCGTGTAGCTCAATACGAGTCCGACGTCTACTCGCGAGGTCGTACCCAGCTGCACCGTGATGCTACCCTGGACGGACAAGGCAAGGTCACTTGGTTGTACAAGCTCAAGTCTGGAGAGGAGATCCGCCACGTCGTCGGTCGACAGCACTGCTGTGCGGTGATGAAGCGCGAGATCAAGGAGATGGAAGAGGACAACAAGTCTTCGGAAGAAGTCGAAAAGAAGAGTTCTGAAGCCCTCAACAATTCAGACTGGGTCGCTCTGTACGGTTCTGAGGAGCTGGCGCAGAAGCTCGAAGGAGAGAGACTGAAGGACAATACTCCTGATGTACCAGAGGACAACTCCAAGGCCGTTGAAGTGGCCAATGTTCCTGCGGGCTCGGTTCAAGGTGTTCCAAAGGAGGGTGCCAGTGGAGGTGGTGATGAAGGAGGGGAATCTCAGGGTCAAGACGAGAAGAAGAAGAAGAAGGGAAGTGACGATGCAGAAGAAGCCGCTGGTGCTGGTGCTGCTGCTGGCGCTGCCGGTGGTGCTGCTGCCGCTGCTGGAGCTGCGTCCAAGAGCGGTGGAGAAGACTTCCACGACGCCCCCGTCGCAGAGAAAAAGACGATTGAAAAGGCCGTTTCTCGTGATCACATTGCAATGCCTCAAGATGAAAAGGCTACTCCTACCAAGGATGCAGACGCTTCCGAGTCCAATGGAAACGCCAATGCAAATGGCAACGGCAACGGAGGTAGCAATGGTGACAATGGAAAGAACACAAAGGAGACGCTCAAGCAGAAGACGGTCGATGCACCCAAGGACAAGATGGACAAGCTGGGATCCAAGTTCAAGGGAATGATGAACAAGGTCAAGTGAAAAAGAAGAAACAAGACCCGCTCGCTCTGCCCTCGCTTCCAAGTCCATCACTGTGTGTTGTGTGCCCCCTCCTGTCATACCCGTTTCTCGACCGTGTCCATTGACCGACGTCCTGTTCCAATTGCCACGACGAGAAGTACTGTGTATCGCTTACTTTTATACTAGCTCAAATGACAATTCCTCGCGATTAAAGAAAGAGATTGATGGTGGCATGCGAGTCAATGTGGTGTCTGCTGCAATTCACGTAAAGAGAGGTCCGTCCGAGCGCGGCGGGACAACGGCCGCAAAAACAAAATCAAAAAAGCTAGCTGAAGCACGTTTCGATCGTGCGACCTTCGGGTGTGATATGGAAATATGAGCCCGACGATCTTCCGCTGATCTATTCAGCTATGAAGAACTTTTGGTTCCGCTATATTGTACATATACACTTGATCAAACCCTCGGCCCCCCTGACCTTCGCGGCTCAATCCCAGAATAGTCCACACCCGCCTCGGCTCGTGTGCATGCTGTCCGCGTTGTATGCCAGTCCATCACTCTTGTCCTTCACGCTACGACTTCAACTTCCTTGTCTCCCACCGTCTCGTGCCCTTTCCTCTTCGGCTCTCGCCGGACTTCTCATCGTCACCCATCAGCAGGGCTGCGCATCTGATCTGCTGGCTGCTGCACATCAGACATGGCTCTCGATGACGGGAGAGCCAATGGCAGTAGTGGAGAAGCATCTGGAGCGGAGGTCCAGGTGGACACCTCACAGCAGCCGACAGACGCTACCGGCCCCGCTACGCCAGCTCCTCCGTTGCCGGACAAGCTCGATGACTTTTCGGACGCTCAGGAGAAGATGAATGACCTCTCAATAGAGACTGCAGGCTCCTCCGCTGCCGTTACGTCGGACAGGGCCGCGCCCTCCAATCTGGCCTCGGCCATTGCTCCGATCACCGATACCACGGACGACGATGTCGAGACCTTGAAGGCGAAGCTTGCGGAGCTGAGCAACCAAGTCTCTGATCTCAACTCGAAGCTAGTCACGTCGTTCAATCGCGTCTCAGATCTGGAAGATGACCTCTCGGAGGCAAAGGAGAAGGCCATGACTGGGACTACCAGGGTCGCAGAGTTGGAAAAGGAGCGACAGGAACATCTTGCCGCTCTGAACACTGGCCTATTGGTAGAGAAGGCACACGTCAGTTCAGAGATGCAACGTATGATGGACAGAGTCATTGAGGAGACGAAGCAGAGGGGTCAGGCGGAGAGCGACAAGGCCAAGATCGAGTCTGAGCTCGACGAGCTCAGCGCCAGTCTCTTTGGTGAGGCAAATCGCATGGTCGCCGTCGAAAGACTTGCGAGGGCTAGAGCGGACGAGAAAAGTAAACAGATGGAAGATCGCTTGCAAGATACTGAAGGGATCATGCTCGAGCAGCAAAAGGTGCTCGGAGACCTGCAGAGCCAATTAGACGCATACAAAGCAGCAGAAGAACACTCGCGAGTCGAGGACGACGAAGAAGGCGGTGAGATGCCAACAGTGGGAAAGTCCACCACTGCAGTGTCTATGAAGAGGCAGCAGACGAGCGCAGACACCAGTCCATATCAAGATCGCAGACTGCTGATGCTCGATATCGTGCCATATCAAGAGCTGCGCTCTTTTCTCGATCACCTTCGCAAGCTGCGTAAGTCCCTCGCTCCTTTCTACAACTACCCTTACGATCCGAGGAAGACGAGCATGAACCGTCAGCATTCACTGGACATGACGACGCCGAATCGAGCTTCTTCCCCAGCTATGGGCTCAACGCTCTCGGCTGTGGCCTCTCTCACCAGTCAAGGCTTGTATTCGGACTATCACCAAAGCACGGCTAGCAGCGTCACACCTTCTTCTCCTTTTGCGGCCGCCGGTGTGTCACGGCACAAGGACTATCCGACTCTGCCATCCAATTGTGAGCAGCTTGTTCACATTCCTTCTCAACTGTCACTGCCGTTTATCAAGAGGTCCCAGGAGGAAGATTCTGATCCCTGTCTACGGATCGACTTCGCTCCCGGTCTGAATTGGCTCACGAGGAGAACAGCGAACACTTCTGTGCTTGAAGGTAACCTGCTCATTGAGCCACTGTTTCCAGGAGGGACAATTGAGGATGCACAAGCAGTACGAGATCAGTATTCGAGCAGTCCCCCCGCAGCGTGCGCGATGTGCGGTATGCTGCTCGTCAATGTTCCTCTCCCAGGTGGCGAGGACGGCAAGTCAACGACAGGCACCCCTGACCTGCGTACAGTCTCAGGTTGGGCGAGCTCTGTAGCTGCGGCCACGAATTCCGCCGCATTGTCATTGCGAGAAGCTGCAGGATCTTCTCAAAAGGCGGAAGTCGGCGAGAAGCCTTCTCTAAAGAGCAGCAGGAGTGGACTTTTCGGATCTCTTAATGCTCTGCGTAGCAAGACGGGCAGCCCCAAGCCTACACAGCAATCGCAGCCATCCATCGGTGAGGTCGAGCAGGAGGCGACGGTGCAGGCCACCGCAACGCCCGCGGCTGCCCCTGGACCTATCCCAGCAGTGGACTTCGGATCACTGCCGATCCCAACACACATTTTCCGGATCTCGGAGAGCTCCAACGCTCGGTACTTACTCTGCCCGCATCACTGTCTTGTTCGTCTGAGAGCTGCATGCGCCTTCTGGGGCTACATCCGCCACATCGAGCGAGCGGTCGTGCTGGAGGGCAAGCTGGCCTGGGACAATGAGCAGGCAGCACCGCCCGCAGGCGGAGTGGTCAAGCCGCAAGCTCGAAGGGCTTCTGTGGCGCCTGCCACAACCACAGAGATTTCTGCTACTGACAGCGAGATGACAAAGGTCGATAGCCAGATCTCGTATGGTACCGAAGTTGCGCCGGCTGTGCCTCTTTCGGATGAGCTGCCTTCGTCCTCTCTCGAGGTGCCTAGAGGGAGTGGATCTATTCATTCGAATGATGCTGCAGGACAGTCGGACGATGGGTTCCACGACGCAGATGCAGGAACAGCGCCGCCCTCACCGGAAGAGACATTTGGAGATGCAGCGCCAGCTCTGCCGACAAAGGCAACAGCGACAGACGACACGGCTCAAGAAGGTGCAGTGGCGGAGCCAAGCACAGAGACTCCTTCGGCTGCCGAAGCAGGAACGTCAGAGACGCCAGAGGCGCCAATTGTGTCAGCCGCAGATGGTGCAAGTGCGGCCCCGTCACCAGCCCCGGCGGTTCCGCCGCGTCGCCTGCGACCTGTTCCATCCCCAGCACCAACAGCTTCTGCGACGGAAGGAGGAGGAACGCCAACGCTACCACCTCTCCCACGACGTCCCACAAATCCGCCTGCCGGTCATGCACCCGGTGCTGCTGCTGCTTCGGCTGCCACGGCTCTGCCTGCGCTCGCTCCTTTGGGCATTCCTCCGAGGAAGACGCTGCGCGTGGATGGCGTCTTGACAGGTGAGGAGAAGCCTCTGATTTGGGACGAAAAGGTGTACCTGGAGGTGCTGAGGCTGAAGAGGGTCATGTGGGAGGCTAGGATCGGAGTCAAGGAGGAGTAACGGAGTCGAAGGAAGAGAAGAGGGGCGAAGAAAAGGAACAAAGGTTGTGAATACTTCGATATGGGGTGGAGAATAACGATGAACATAGCTCAAGCGAGGTAGCTGTGACACATTGATATCTAATATTGAGCGATGATGACATGATGAAATTGTGACCGAGCAACCTCTGTCCTACGAGGAGCTGAGCGTGTAAGATGCGCCTGCATCGCTGCCTTCCCCATCTAAACGTACATCCTACTTGCTCAATAGGACGATGTAGCCCTCACCCCGACTCCGGCCGTGCCTATGCCCCTTCCACTACCCGTCTCTCTCCGCAATTCCTCTCTCTCGCCCCGCGTCCTACCAACATTCGTCGTCACACGTCCACTGCCACTGCCACTGCCACTTCCCGAACCTCCACCACCGCTCAATTGTGGCCATCGACTGTTGACGATACCCAGCACCAGGGGGGCGACGAGTGTCCTTGCGAAAATCTCTCCAAAGCCAAGACAAACGCCATTGATGAATGGCAGGCCTAGGTTGACAAAGAAGCTCGAGGAGAGAATGGCCAGACGACGACCCCAGCTGATCTGCGAAGAAGGAGAAAGGGCCGTCAGGATGAGAGAGCCCGTTGGGGCGTGCGTGTGCGTGCGACTGCCACCTCGTGACGAGGAGGACGTGATGCTGGAGGACTCCGACTCGGAATCTGATTCAGATTCGTCACCTTGCCGCCCTGTGGTACTGCCTTCCGGTAGAAGCTCCTTGGGCGGAGCACCCTGGGAGCCATAGTGAGATTGTAGGGTTGGGTCGTCTGCATGGCGGTGGATGAGACGGGGCATACCTGTCGAAGAGACAGTGGGTACTGTCTGCACGTGGGAGGTGCCAGAGGTCGTCTTGGGCTGATGAGCGGCGCCGTTGTCGTCATCCTCTTGGCCGTCATCGCTAGATTGATACCGATGCTGGTTCTGATGTTGGCGATGATTTGCTTCCTGCGCCTCAGTGAAGTCACTGAGAAGAGACGGCTCGTCCGGCGTAAGTAGTGCTGTGAGGCCTGCCCCTCCCGATGATTCTCTTGAGAAAGAGGAGGACGAGGTAGCCGCTCCTAGCGATGCATTAGGAGGTTCTAATCGATCGAACATGGGATGGTGGGGGAGGTTGTCGCCCCCGTGAAGTGCCGCCGATGAGTCACCTATCACTGTCGATGACGTCTGCTCCTCTGTACCTGGCGAATTCATCTCCTCGATTGCTCTCCTAGTGCTGGTATCCTCTCTCACTAGCGGCAGTCTCTTGGCTACTCCCTCCCTCAGCTTCAGCACCTCGGCCTCGTCCATGGATGATGCAGCATCGTCCACCTGCCCTCTGAGGCTCGGACTGGCCATGTACTCGTTGAGATCCAGGTTGGAGATGACAGAGGCAGTCAGGTCTCCTCTATGAGAGGCGGTCCCCCGCTCGCTGACACTGCCTCTTGAGCTGCTGCCGCTGCTGCTGCTCGATTGTGGTGACAGCGAGGTACCTGGGAGGGTACCTTCAGTGTGGGCTAGGGTTGTGGAAGAGGTAGTAGCAGTGCTGGAAGATGCAGTGGGTGAAGCGCTGCGATGAGCTCGTGGCCGTAGATGAGGTGACGAAGGGACCTCATGGGGGGATTGCTGCTGCTGCTGCTGCTGCTCGTCCTCATCTTGCTGCGGGCGTAAGCTCGATGAGCCCGATGAAGACGCCGGGTCAGACATGGTATGGTGACAAGTTGCCTGATCTTGACCTTGACGAGGCTGGTGATGGGAATGTGAACAATGGTATCCAGGGGTGAATGCTGATGTTCCTAAGGGGCCTTTCCGAAGTGCGGATCGGAACTTTGCTCTTTCCGGCGGCAGCTCCAGGCGGGACCCTGATCTGATCTGTTCCGAGGTGTGCACCTTCCGCCCTGCCTTCTTACCAAAGTCACCATCACCATCACTTCGCTCCTCTCTCGTTTGCTACACAGCTTCTCTGAGGCGTCCTTGTCTCTTCACATTGAGGAGCAGGGTGTGGCCAGGCCGGATCACACATCGTGGCTGTGGTCCACTAGGCCCTTCGCCGTGCTGAGCAGCGTATCCTCTAGAGCGGCTTGAGACTCAGCGTCCACCTCGGCTCGTACCACAAGCCTCTGACGCCTCGTCGCGATGGGTGTGCAGGGGCTATGGTCTCTCCTCCAGCCGGCTGCAAGGCCCATCAGGCTAGAGGACCTCGAAGGCAAGAGGTTCGCAGTCGACTCGTCCATTTGGCTCTACCATTTCCGTATGGCCATGAGGGACAAGGAAGGAAGGACATTGGCAAATGCGCATATATTGGGCTTCTTCTGGAGGATCACTAAGCTCTTGCATTTTGGTCTGAGGCCGGTATTCGTCTTCGATGGAGGAGCTCCGGTGATGAAGAGGCAGACGCTGGTCAGTCAGAAGTTGACTTATGCCGCTAGAGAGGCCGCCCCGCTGACTGAGCACCTCTCCTTTCGCCGTCACCTATAGATCGGTCGTAAAGCTCGAAGGACCGGCGCCAAGGAGTCTCACGCCTTAGCTGCTAAGAAGCTTCTTAACGCTCAGATGCGTCAAGCAGCCCTGCAGCACGTTGCAGCCGGCCAAGGAGCAGGCCGTGATCAGAGAGCTGACAATGACGGAGACGAATGGCAAGATGAGGACACAGGCATGGGCAGCAATGTGGTCTACTTCGACGACTATAGCAACGAAGCCGGTCCGAGTAGGCCTGCCGCTGCTCCTAGAGCTCCAGCTTCGATGTCAAGAAGTCCCAGTAAGCAAGGTACGCTCAGTGCAAAATCTCCTTCTCCGGTCAAAGCCAAGAAGAACATCGACTACCATCGCGACCCTTACGCATTACCACACCTTGACAAGGACATCACCTCACTCACAGCATCCAGTGGTCGAGGAGAGGAAGGCTCTGGCGGGCCTCGAAGAGGACGTCGTAATGACTTTCGCTTCGCCACAGACTCGGAATTACGCCATCTCCTCTCCTCCATAACACCATCGGACATCGACATGTCCTCGCCGCTGTTCCGATCCCTGCCCTTCGAGCTGCAGTACGAGCTCGTCGGAGACATGAGAGCAGCTTCGAGAGGAACGTCCTACAAGCGTCTGCAGCAAATGCTCAAGACGTCTCCGACCGCCATCGATTTCTCAAGAGCCCAAGTGCTCAATTTAAAGAATCGTAATGAGCTAACGCAGAAAGTCTTTGAAGTGACCGACGAGATTGGGGACGCAAATATCAAGATCCCTATCAGGGTCGCTGGAGAGAGGAACAGAGAGTACGTCCTTGTGAGGAGAGAAGGCGACGAGACTGGCTTTGTGCTGGGAGTGAGAAATCAGCAGGGAGCCTCGAAAGACAAGGCCATCGTCGTTGGTGGCGAGCCCGAGCGGGTGGACATCTCTTCGGACGAAGAGGAAGACGACGTCGCTGGGCGCGGCAAGAGTCGACTCCGACAGGACGACGACGATGACGATGAAGACCTTGATGAAGTGGAGGTTCCCACCCTAGGAGAGGCTGCTGGGCCTTCGCGGCCTTCAACGATATCTCGCTCACCGTCCAACGCCTTCAAGGCATCCGATGCCAATAACCCTGACGTGCGTCGAGCGCTTGCAGAGCAGCTGCTTACCAAACGCGCCCAGGAGCATATTAGAGAGAAGATGAGGGAAAAGGGCATTATCAATGAAGACGAGATCTTGGAGGAGCAGCTCAAGCTTGCAAGGCAGCGCATGAAAGAGGGCGGTGGAAAAGGCGAGGAGCTCTTTTCCCCTAGGAAGTCAGGCCGTGCAGCGAAGACGGTCCGCACATCTGCCCAGGACTTGGATGTTGACGACGATGATGCCATCTCTTGGCCGGACAGCGATGCTCCCGAAGTCATCTCTGATGACAATGATGATGATGATGCAGCAGCTCGACAGCTGGAGGAAGACGAATTGCAAGACCTCGCTTATGCTCTGTCGGCATCCACCAGCAAAGAACCAAGGCGGCCCGCAGGTGCTACCACGAGTCAAAAGCAGCCTGTCACCGCGGTGGATTCCGATGAGGAAGAACAGGACGAATCGATGCTGGACGATGTAGACGTTCTTCCGGCAGTAAAGGTAAAGGACGAAGAGCCCTTAGTCAACTTTGATGCTGGAGCATATGCTGATCTATACGGTGGGCCATCGATCGATCCCACGCACAAGAGCGACGAAGACGGAGAAGATCTCGATGACCTCGAGCTTGTGCAGAGCCCAGCACCTGCAGCAAAGCTGTCAAAAGAGCCGTTGACTGCCGTGGATGATGTCGATCCTCTCGCCGTTCCCCTACAGAAGTCTGGTCCTGTGCTCGGATTCCGCAGAGCCGACAGACCTGGTCTGCGTGCAGGGCTCGATCCGAAGCTGTTCCAGCGAAGAAAGTGGTACGACGACGAGGCAGAAGCAAACGGCGATAAGGAAGCTATCTCGATGAAGGATAGTAGCCCCTCTAAGACTAGCGTTCCCTTCAAGCTTTCGCAAAGTCCAGCGCAGAGCCCGACGAAGCCATCTTCATTTCCGGATTTCGTAGGCGGCATGCCAAGCCCGACGAAGGCTGCTCAGATTCGTAGACAGAGAAGCGTGGGCAAGTTAGGAGACAATGCTGCCACAGGCGCTATCGGCTCGCCGTTCAAGCCAGCGTCTCCTGCTGCAAAGGCGCTCAAGGCCAGTCCCAAAGCCACGCCAACGAAAGTGGCACCTCCTCTCGCACCGCCCGTGGTTCGAGAAGACGGTCAAGGTCGACCGGAGCCACCTCTGGAGCCTCTCCCCAAGGGCGACGATCTGGCAGCTACTGAGATACTCAATGCCGAGACAGGTGTCGTGAGCTCGAAGCCTGAGCTATCAAAAATCGCATCTCGATCTTCTGTTCCCCGCGCTGATCCTGAATTGGAAGCCATCGATCAGCAAGTGGATCGTCGGGAAGCCGAATCGATTCCTGCTAGCCCCCTCAGCGTGGCGCCTGAGCAGGCTGTCATCCCCGCAGAGGTATCCGAATCCGGCGCTACAGACCAGCAGGCGAGAGATGCTGCGGGTGTCATCGAAGATGATCTTCGGCCTGGTGGTGGCGTAGAGCAGGCCGCGCAGCCTTCGGAAATCAGTCAGACTCAGGAGGTGCCTCGCTCGGCAGAGTCGCAAGCTGGCAGTCTGAAGGCAGAGAGTCAGCCGCCAAGGACGGAGCAGGAGCATGACGACAATTTTGGCGTAGACGGTGACGATATCGCCCCTCGATCACCCTCTGCCGAGCCAGAGCCACGCGGGCGGAGACAGTTGGAGTCTGATGATGAAACACCAATCGAATGGTCTCCCAGTCCCTCACCAGGCCTCCCTGCTCTGGGTCCTGACGGCTTTCCCCTCCCAACTGTGGAGGAGATCGAGGCGATGGATGCTGAATATGAGCAAGAAGCAGCCGCTCTCGGCGCCGATCAAGGAGATATTGCCTCTTTCCTCAGTCGCACAAAGGGCCAGGGCCTGCTCGAGGCTCAAGCTCAGATCGCTCGAGAAGTTGAAGCTCTGCGAGCTGAGCATGTCAACACGAAGAAGAGCGAAGAGGAGATCACTCGGCAAATGGCCAAGGAGATTCAAATGATGCTCCGACTCTTCGGATTGCCTTACATTACCGCACCAATGGAAGCAGAGGCTCAATGTGCAGAGCTAGTAGCTCAGAAGCTCGTCGACGGAATCATCACCGACGACTCCGACGTCTTCTTGTTTGGGGGAACAAGGGTGTACAAAAACATGTTCAACAATAACAAGGTCGTCGAGTGCTTCCTCCTTTCTGACCTCCAGAGAGAGCTTGGGCTCGATCGGGAGAAGCTGGTCAGGTTGGCTTACCTGCTGGGATCCGACTACACCGAAGGTCTGGCTAGTGTTGGTCCCGTCGTGGCCATGGAGATCTTATCCCTCTTCCCGGGCGAGGATGGCTTGCTGCGCTTCAAGGAGTGGTGGGTGAAGGTGCAGAGCGGCAGAGACACTCCTCAGGACACGAAGGGAACGACGATGCGAAGAATTAAGAAGACGCTTGCGAACAAGGTACACCTGGATGTCACCTGGCCCAATCCTGCCGTCCTCGATGCTTACTACGAGCCAGCTGTCGACTCTTCGGACGAGGCCTTTCAATGGGGTCTGCCAGATCTGGACAGCTTGCGGACCTATCTTGCCGAGTACCTGGGCTGGTCGACTACAAAGACGGATCAGTACGTCGTTCCTGTCATTGAGGCCCAGAGCAGGCGATCTAGAGCGAGAGGCAATCAGACGACGCTGGACCGCAATGGCTTCTTTGACGTGTCAGGCGGTACGGGTGTCTATGCCGGTAGGACGCTGCCCAAGTACGGGTCTTCGAGACTGCAGAATGTTGTCAATGGCTTCAGACAAGCAACCCATCAGCAAGCCAGCAAAGCCGCAGGCGGCTCTACTGGTTCGGCGAACAAAAGGAGCAAGAAGCCTGCCAAGCGACAGCGGAAAACGACAGGTCAAGTCGAGAACGTGGGCGAGGACGGAGAGGGCGATGACGACGTCCAGATGCTCTCCTCTCCGCCTGCTGAAGCTGCAGGCGATGACTTTGACCTGCTCGCCTTGCCGGAAGAGGCCATCGGCAAAGCAATGGCGAACAGGCGACCGATTGTGCGTCGTGAGCAGATGAGACTCGATGATGGACAAGCTCAAGATGAGCTGGATGCCAACATCGCAGCTCTTGAGGGTGCGCCCAAGGATTCAGCGAACGCGAGCAGGCAAGAGAAGCCGAAGAAGACAACAGCGTCGAAGAAGGACGCGGTGCCTGCGGTTGAAGCGAGCGATGCTTCGGCCGCCGAGGAGAGCGGCGAATCTGGCGAAGAGTTCGTACCCTCCGGCTCTAGTAAGAAGCGAAAGTCTGCAAAGGGCAGCACGAGCAGTAGAGGTGCGCGAGGAAGCGGTCGAGCACGTGGGTCTGCTAGAGGCGGAGGGCGGGGGCGCGGTGGTAAGAGCCGCGTCACTACTCCAAACGGACACGAAGGTGCCAATCCGGATGGACCTCAACAGGAAGGAGACGGCGCTACGACTCCTACGGAAGCGACCAACAGCAATTCAGCTGCGACTGCTGCTCCTGTAGCGCGCGCTCGCAAGCCAGCCCGAGCCAGAGGAGCTCGCGGTCCTCCGCGCCATGCCCAGCTTACAGCAGCGAGGAACATGAGACTGGACGGTCCGCTTCCGGAGAGCAACAGTGCTCCACTCAGGCCAGAGACGATGCGGAGGAGCAGGTCCAGTAGTTCTTCCACTACGACTGGCGCTGGAATTCAGAGCAGACTTGGTACGCCTAGAGCTAGAGGTGGGTCGAATGGTGAGGCAGCAGGTTCGGGTGCTAGGGAGAGGATTGAAATTGAGCTGAGGAGCGACGATGAGGAGTAGCTGAAGGGAGATTTGACTTGACTTGACAATGTATTTCTAGTGTGTTTGCATGCTGTAACGGAAAACCCCTCTTTGCCCAATCTAAATAGTCTCTTGCTACGATTCCGCCTGAGTAGATCCTTCCGCCGCTGCTGATCCCAGTATGCCCGCCTCCCTCAGCACACCCACCAATTCGTGCCTCTCTCCAATCGCATACCCCAGCGTCCTCTCCTCAAACTTGACTCCCATCTGTAATAGATCAATGATATCATCCAGCAAGTGTGCCTGCCCCACAATGGCTCCCTGGTGCGAGGTATAGTCAACGCTGAGGACATGCACATGCAAGTGGTAGTAGGAAGGTTGGTAATGCACAAAGCACCTCAGCTTCCCACTAGCTTCCTCCGGTGAGGCTCCCAGACCAAAGTGTTCATGGGCTACCTGCGCTGCTCCTTTTTGGATCTTGCGCAAGAGGGGAATATGGGCGACGCAGAGGGAACGGAGAGAGCGGAGAGAACGATCTTGCACTATGCTTATGAGGTAGAGAGAGGAGAGGGTGCGTCGGTCCCACTTTAGGTCTGGAAGAATCTGCTCGGACAAAGGGAGAGTGAGAGGATGAGAGATACGGCGAGTTCAAGAGGTCATTGACACTATTCGAGCTTTCAGGCCTATAGGGCTTCAGACTCACCACGAAACCCGTCACCGGATCCTCGTCCCTAAAAAGAACATTCTCCTTCTCCTTCTTTCCTTCGAGGATATTGTACACCCAATTGATCCTCGCAGCCGGCTGTCCCTCGATCCAAGGTCGTACAAGACGAGCGTACATCTCTGGCGTCTCCCGCACAAGGATCTTCTCCTGACGCTCGTACTTGCTGATATGTGCAGGCGTGGCAGGACGGATGACGTTGATCTTCATGTCCGCGGGGACGGAGGTGGTGTGACCCTCGGAGCGCCAGGCCATGAGCCAATTGTACACGTCATTCTGGCCCAGCCGGACCAGCTTGGATAGGTGCTGCAGCGACTTCGAAGTCGAGGCGGTCGAAGCTCCCTCTACCACATCTCCCAGATGCTCGAAGAAGGCCGGCTCAAAGTGAGTCTTTTCCAGCAGGACTACGGCCTTTTCCTCTTCTCCTCCAGCTTGTTGCGGCGCAAAGCTTCCCAATAGAACGGCACTGCGGGTTTTGGCATCTTGATCTAGGACGCGCTCCAGCTTGAAGCCTGCCAAGACGGATGTGGGATCGTCTTCTTGCTGTGCTGTCTGCTGCGCAGCGAGGGGGTTGCTGTCATGTACAAGAGCTCTGCTGGCTGTCTCCGGTCCACTGCCGCTGCTGCTGCCATTCGCAGCCGCCTGTGCAATGGCATGTGTTGCGCTCTGGTCTTGCTCTTGTGCCATGGCCTGGTGGTGTGCAGCCAGGCTTGACCTTTTGCTGCCTCAGTGTCCACTTCGACTTGACTCCGCTTAGGCAGATATGCTGAGTGGGCAGAGGTATGAAGCTCTGTATGCCAGTCTTTGTTCGAGCTTGATCCGGTCCGGCGGATAGCAAGGTGCGCTCACGTCTGTCCCTCTTTCCGCTTGTCAGGCAAGCTTCCACACCGGGAAAGGCAACAGAGGGGAGCAGCAACGTACTTCAGCCTGGCACGCCGATCGGCTCAGAACCAGAGGTGCTGCAAGCAGACGATGTGCTGCAAAGGCGAGGTGTGCCAAGTTGGGGTGTAAGTGGTAGCGGAACCATGCAATCTCTGTGGAGAAGCTGCACTTCGGGCACAAGGAGGCCAGTGCGGAGTTTGGTACGCAGCAGGCGGAGACGCCTTAACAAACAATCGGCACGGGGGTCGTGAGAAGAGACGCCGCCTCCTGCGTACAGGCAGAAGCCAGAGTCTCCGGTGGAATTGTGTGGCAATGTCTTCTCTGGAGCTTGGTAGGCTTCAAGCGGTATCAGACGGGAGTCGCATCGAGCTTAAACACCCTTACGCAGGCGCGTTCCGACGGAGATGTACGCGGATCGCAACTTCTCTGCAATGGCGCTGGATAGAGTAAAGCTTCTAGGGACATCAACGAGAAGATTATGGGCGGGCAGTATTGTTTGTTCCTGCTCATCGCCAATTTCCTTGGGTGCCCAGACTGTTTATCTGTCCAATTCTGCCTGCGCCTCTTGCGACGCTTCCCTGCTCAAACTATTGCTCAGTCGCTATCGAAGAGCTGGACAAGTTGACTGCTCGAGGCATATAGCATTGCATATCTCTGACTCTGTCAGCTCAGCTTTTGTTGGAATTATTCTCATGCTTAGCCGGAACCAAGTCACACTTCATCTACGCTCAGAATCCGCGCACCTTACTTCGGTCGATACAAGTACTAGCATGCTAAATGGCCCAGTCTTTGTCACTTTTGGTTTTTGTGCATCCGAACGTGCAAGTCGTAGTGCAGTAGCGCGTTTCTTATGGGTAGGCGGGCAGAGTCGGGACGGAAGCTCGGGGCAGCGCGCGCGCTCCTTGCCCCCCGCGAGGCGTTGGCTGCCCGGGGCACGGCAGGCAGACCTTCCGATGAGGCCTCGGGAGCGTCGAGGGCCGCCCGCCATCATCCTCCCTCGTTACCAGTCGATACCATTCTTGATCTCTCCCCCCCCCCCCCCCCACGTCGCTCTACTCGCCTCTGTCCAGCATGGTCCGTCTCACCCCCTCCTCTCTGCGTCTCTCCACTCTGCCCCGCACTCCCCTCGCGCGTCGTCCCATCTCCTCCTCTGCCCCCCTCCGCGACCAAGCGAGCGCAAAGGCCTCCGAGGTCGGTAGCAAGGCAAAGGAAGCCGCCCAACAGGCTTCTAACAAGGCATCGCAGGCTGCCGAGAAGGTTCAGAGTGCCGTACCTGGTGGAGCTGGTGGAAAGAGTGCAGGAGAGGCAGCTGACAAGGCCAAGGGAGCAGCAAAGGAGGCTGGAAGCCAATTGAGCGGATATGCAGACAAGTTGAGGGAGATGGCCGGACCCATGGGAAAGAAGGTGCAGGGCATGCTCGGTGGTGAGTAGCAGCAGACCGTACAGGCGCGATTGGGTTCAGATATCAGCGCACAGGAGCGGTTCCTACCTACGATTGCTGTCGCTCGTCCGGCGGGTCTGAGAGCGGTACGAAATGCAGCCGTGTCCGATCGCACTGGGCGGAACATGCTAACACCTTCTCGCGTCCACCTCCTTTCTAGGCTACGCCGACCCTCTCATCTACAACGCTCGCTTCGTCGGTGCGGTGCTCAAGCAAGTCTACATTGCCGAGTCCCTCGCACCCCCCAAATCCCTCAATGCCCTCACCTCTTCCTACAAGACCCTCTACTCGCGCGTCATTGATGCAAACTATTTCCCTTCGCTCATCAAGAGTGGAGAGTGGAAGAAGGTGGGAGTGTATGCAGTTGAGGCTTATGGAATCTTCACAATTGGCGAGATGGTGAGTGGGAGTCGGAGTGCGGCCAAGGGGCGCCATACCTCGTGAGAAACTGCAGTCGAGCTGACTTGCGGCCCTCGTTCTCCGCCTTCTTCCCGCCAGCTCGGTCGACGATCTCTGGTTGGCTACAAGCTGGAGAAGCACGGAAACGCTCACCACTAAACGCTACCGTGTCAATTCGGCTCGTGTCGAATCGCTTCGATGTGAGCTGCTCACCCCTTCTACATTGCTTTGTTGGGCAGAGTCGAGATAGGCTTCCTGCCACGGCAACCTTTGCAATACAGCCATACACAGCATGATTCGCACCGTCAGAGGATGTACAGCACGTGCGATCGAGATACTGATAGATTATTGGGGCCTCTTGCTTTTGGTGCCGACAGGCTGGATACAGCTTCGCGCCTCTCCAACACCCGCACCACGTTCCCTAATTGAGATCGAGCAACTCTGTCTCCTTGCTATTCCCTCCGCCACTCCAGCAATCCCCACTGTGATTGTTTGCACGCCCGCGTTCCTGCTTTGCCTCCTTTCCCCTCGCTTTCCTTACAGCATCTGTAACATCCTCAGTGTCAGGGTCAAGACGAGGTCCAGCGCCCCTTCATCCTCGCACACGACTGCATGTACACTCTCCAGTGCCTTTTCACAGGCATTCCTACCTCCAGGTCCCAGCACAAAGGCTGCCTGAGCTGGTGCATACCTGAGTACAAGTTCCCTCGCCTTTTCTTCACTTTCAATCCGCTCACGAGCGCTACGTGGTGCTCCCTTTTGGTAGTGCCATACCGGTTCGGCACCTGTGCCCGAGGAGGGAGAGGACCAGAGGGTTGTACGGACTCTAAGGAGGCCCTTTGCGACGGACTGCGACGCCAGAGCAGAGGCGGTACCGTCAAAGGCAGACACAATGGCCGCTGAGTAAGATTGGCGCACGACGCTCTGCAGTAGCCGAACTACACCTCTGCGCATGCTCCAGGCGCCGGTGAGGGAAAGAGCCTCGTCTGCGAGGGCAAAGATGGAGGTGAGGAGGGCGTCGAGGGCTCGTGGCGAGAGGCCTTGCGAAGATTTCGAGGCTACCGCGGATGTCGTCGAGACGGGCACGCCTGAGGAGCCAGTGGAAGCTGCAGCAGCGGGCCCACCGCCAATGTCTTTTGGAGGAGTCGGCGTGAGGTCTGCTGCTGATGCCACCGTTGGATCTGTGATGGTTGAGGACCTCTCTTCGCGTGACTCATCCAGTCCACTTCCAGACTGTTGTCGAGCCCGAGGTGGGGTGGCCCCTTGTTGCTGCAGCCCACTGGCAGCCGCTTTCCCTACCGCCCCTACACCTTCTACAAATCCTTTTCCAAGGTTCTTGCCCAGCTCGACTCCACTGACAAAAGGATTAAAGACCTTTGCATTGGCAGCAGCAGCCGTCGCTGCTCTGCTGCGATCCGCAAACTTCTCTACAGGAGGCAGGCAGGCCAGCTCGGGGTTGCTGAGGAGAGCAGCAAGGTAGCCTTCGAGATCGGCGCAGAGCATCGCGCTCGTCTTGCCTTTAGTCGGTGGGAGAGGAGGGAGCTCTCGCAGACCCGAGGAGAAGCGTCTCAGCTCCTTGTCCAGCGTGAGCAACTCTGCCCAGCGTCGAACGAGGACGAAACCGCCGCCTCCACCAGCATCGGCGTCGACGGCGCAGATGAATTCGAAGCTGCGAACGTCGACCTGGGCATTGGGCCTCTCGACGTTGGCAGAGATGTCTGTAATGGACACCTGGATCGCTGGAGCGTTCGAGGAAGCGCCGAGGAGCGATTCGGAAGCATCGCCATCTGCGTCTCCATCGTCCTCGTCCAGATCGACGAGATGATCGATGATAGGTTGGCGTGGCTTCGGCGCTCGAAGGATGGAAGATTCATCGCTAGTATTCGGGCGAGGTGGCGGAGTGGGCGCTGTACTCGTGACGGTCGGTGCTTGCGGTGCTCTAGTTGGAGTGCCCGTCACCGAAGACGACAATGGCGTTGCATGCCCCTGACTCTGGCTTCGGCTGTGAGGAGGGGGCGGAGTAGCAGTGGCTTTCCTCCTCGGCTCATAAGCCAAGCTAGACGTCATCGTAGGAGGTTGAGCAGGTGCAGCGCTCGTCTTGGCTCCTTTAGAGCCCCCGAGCCTCTCGCTTCTGATGCGCCAAAAGGCCTCGTAGAGCGTTTGCAATCGTGCCGTAAGATCCGCATGGACAGGGTCCAGCGCCTCCCTCACCGTTCCCTCCTTGCCGTCGAAGCCTTGTGGGCCAAAGCCCAACTGAGCAATCGCACGATCCAGCGTGCGTACCAATGCCTCAGCCGTGTTGCCATTCTGGGCCCCACTGGATGTCGCCGCAGCTTTCAGACCTTCCCGAGCCTTTGACAAGATTGTACTGGCGTCTTCGCGGAACATCTCAGCTTCGTAGCCTGATCCACGAGGTACTAAACGCTCAATTGTCCCCAGGCCGATCTGCAGTCGCAGTAACTCCTCTCCCTCGCCTGCAACCGTCAAGTGGGACACTGAAGAAGGCGGTGTCTCGAGGAAGGATTCGAATGCATCGTACAGACCTTGAGGGTCCTGACGCGAGAGAACTGATGAGAGAGGGGGGGCGGGTGGCAGGGAAGAGGAGGAAGGAGCCGCGGTCGAAGTCATAGTATTGGCGGATCGTGAGGGTAGAGCAGGTGGTGCCATCGATGGCGGCTGATTCGGGCGGGATGGTGGGCGAGGAGGTAGGAGGGTCGTCGCTTGAGGCTGCGAGGATATGACAGGCGACGCACTACGTCCTATTGCGGGACTTGCACTCGTGCTGCTTCTCGAGTGGTAGTCGCCCGAGGACCGAGGTGAGATCTCGTATGGCAGGGAGGAAGTCATGCGAGGGGGACCAGGTGACATAATCCGGCTTACCGGGCTGCCACCCAAGCTAGAGCCGGGTGGTGATCCCGTCCTCCGGAGACTTGCTCGCAGGCTCTCTGGCAAGTTCTCACCATCTGGTGAATTATTACTGAGGTTTGGCGGCAGGTTGGAAGGCCAGGCAGCTTGAGACGCCATCAGATCCGTCAAGTCATCCTTGCGGCCCTGCGGCTGCTTCCTCCTGACGGCATTGTGCTGATTCTGCAAGACCTCCGGGTGCGTTGATGCTCGATCCACTGCGGCTGGGTCTCGTTTCCAGGCGGAAGTGGGGCTTTGATTCTCCTGCGTCGAAGGGTCTCGATAGGATCCGCCCATAGGACGTGGGGTATTCTCACCTGCCAGGATATCTCCCACGCCGCCCACGAGAGCGTCAACTCCTCTGCCTGCTCCCTTGAATACTCCACCGAGTCCCCCTACAACTGCTGACAGTCCATCTGCTGCGTCAATCGAGCGGCGAGAGACCGGATCCGCTGCGGAGGCTCGCCGTTCCATGCTTGCTGACTGCCCTCCTTGACCGGCTCCGGTCGAAGGCCTTCTGTAAGACTGATCGACAGACTGCGTCCCTTGGGCACTCCCGACCCTCATCGTCGGAGCGTAAGTCCGAGGCTGCTGCCCTGCTGCCGCAAATGTAGGCATCATGGGCGAGTCAGCCCTTGAGGGAGGAGAGGAGATGGTATTTCGATCCGGCAGAGGGAACGAAGGGCGTATACCGCCTCCTGCGGCCGAGAGCGATCTTTCTGGGGCGACTGAGCCAGGCCTTGAGGGAGGCGCGGGCGGCTGTTGCTGACCCATGGCGGTCGAAGGAGGCCGGGGTAAGCTTGCTCCCGCCTGCTTGTTGTAGGCGCTGGATCCGGGCCTCATGGGAGTATCCATCGATGAAGGAGCCGAGGCAGCGTCAGCAGTAGTAGTCCCACCTCCTGCAGCGGCAAGCTGCCCTTCCTTCCACTCGACCAAAGTCCGATTAAGGAAGTCTGGCTCGCCAACAGTCAAGATGAGATTCCAGAGTTGTTTCGTCAGAATTTCCGTGAGGACCGCAAAGACGAGATCTGACTCGCGCTCATTGGGCGGTAGATGTCTCTCGAAGAAGGATCGCATGGCAGCTCGTAGGGAGGCGATTCTTTCCTCGTTGCTATTCCAGTGACCTGTACCACCCCTCCTCACGGCGCTGGCGGCATTGCGATCTCCTGCCTGAGCAGCAGCATTGGCTATCCGCTTGCGCCTGATGCAAGTCAAGAAGACTGACGAGCCGGTGAGGAGGAGCTCCGTTGCGACGTCTACGGAGTGAAGATTGGTGGTCAGGGTCCGCGTCCAGACCGACGAGGCAAAGTAGTCCAGTGTCCCTCGGACGGAGCGGGGAAAAGAAGGGTAGCCAAAGGAGTGATGGGTGTACCAGCCCTGCACAAAGTCACGTATGGCAAGGGGGGCCAGCTGGTCCATTGCGTCTTTGAGATGCGGAGGTAGAGGGGTCAGGGAGCTTCTCTCATCGCTCGAGGCTCTGCTACTAGCGCCCCTGGTTGTCTGCCCGACTTCTGAGCTTTCCTTCCCTGCCTCACCATCCTGCCCGGCTGACCGAAAGGAAAAGGCAGTGAAGTACTTGGCTGGGTCCCAGGATCCGAACCTCCCCTCTCTTCCGTCGCCCTCTGAAGTCCGGCTTCCTTTGCCTTCGGCTCCAGTGATGCTAGGAAGGTCCAGAAATGTCCTCACATAGGGATTAAGGAGCAGCGTAGCGGATGTCGCAACGACGAGTATGACATTGAAGAAGCCTGTGCGGAGGAGGATGAGAGCTAGAAGAACCGCAATGGCCGTCGTGATGTGGCTCAGCGAGAGACCTTCCTCTGACGCAGCTGCTGGAGTAGGAGATGAGGATGGGCTGTCTGAAGGAGTGATGGTCACCAGTGGCTCATCGGATGCTGTCTCCTTGGACTCGGCTGGCGGAGGAGGTGTTGCCTGTTGGGGCGACGAAGGGACGGAGGAGGCCATGGTGGGTCGCGTAATAAGGAAGCTCGGAGGAGGCTGAGCGTGGTGAATCCGGGGTATCTCAAGACTACGGCATTAGAGGAGAGTGATAGAGTGCTTCAGGTCAGAGGTGGGATGATGGGATGACCTCTCAGGCAGGCCAAGTAGTCTAGGCAGGAAGCTCGGGAGGAAGGGAAGGTATAGACACGACGTGTGGAGCGGAAAGCGAGGCCCCGCTTGGACTGACCCTCGTGCCGAACCAGCGCGGGAGCCCGGCTGAGCGAGCCCATCGTACAAGTGCTCCATGACGGATTCTCTCACGCAGAGGTAGAGGACAAGTAGACATGGTGAAGTATTAAAACCACTACAACAGAAGACAACAAAGCAGACGACGACACTGGAGGAGGAGTTGAGGGCGAGAACATAGATGGGGGGCAAAGGAGAGAAGAGAGTGACGATGCTTGACGATAACATCAAAGGAGGGAAGCCGAAATGGCCTCCAGCCAACAAAGCAGAGTAGAGAGGATCCTATCATGGAAGCTTCTCTGTGGGTATGGACAAATCTTCTCCAGAGACCAGGGTGCTGTCGCAAGAGCAAGGAAGCGTCCAGAGACATTGGCAGAAGGAAGGACTGCTACATCTTCCGGCCCTCGCGGTTCGGCTATGAGCACTCAGAAGAAGAAGCCTTGCATAGCACTGAGACCCTGCTGTAGCAGTTGCTGTGCCACATCCACTTGTCCGCCAGTGAACCAGGCCAGAGCACCCACTCCAGCGGCTGCAGCCACACTGAGAGCACCAGCGCTCGTGGCGATCGGCCTCCTTCGAGCCACCCTTGTGCCTCTGCGAATGGATCGCGAGACAAAGTTGACACTGGAGTCATCCTCCAGTGGGTCCAGATCGGCAGTCGGACGCTGGTTCGACGCACGCCGCTTACGAGACTTTGCGGCAGCGGCATTTGGCGATGCCTTTGTCGACTGGACTTCCTTGGCCAGCTCCCTGCTCTTCTTGATCTGCTCATCGATCTCATCCTGTGTCATGCCAACAGCAGGCTCGATGGTAGTGGTCGTCTTGGTGACAGTAGTCTCCTCTGTTCCATCGGCCTTGACAGCGCGCTTCGTGCGAGTGCGGGAAGCCTTGCCAGGGGTAGAGGTGGCAGTCTCTTCGGCTCCACTCTCCTCAGCAGCAGCGGCCTTTGTAGTGCGTGCACGCTTTCGAGTGCTGCCTGGGGTACCTGGAGTCTTGGTCTCGGCTGGGGCAGAGGGAGTGGCCGCGACGGCAGCAGGGGCATTGGGGTCTACAAGCTGAATCGATTCACCAACCATGATGGCTTGCGACTCGATGAGGGGCTTGGCGTAAAGGGTGAGACCATACTCCTCGGCGATGGGCAGAGCATCTTCGCATGGCAGCCAGGTACCTTGAAGTCGTACGCCCGTGCTGCCCTCGGGCAACACCTTGCCAGGTGGGGTAGCAGTCTCCTCTTCTCCCTCCTTTGCCTTCTTGGGGCGTCCCCTCTTTGGCTTCGCGGCGACGAGACCGCCGTTAGCTCGGTCGGTGTCAAAGCGTCGGTCGAGGTAGGCCATTTCCACTCGCTCTGCCTCTCCATCTGCGTATGGGAAGGCTAGGCGGAACATGGAAGATGCTGCAATGGCGTTGGTGTCGAAGCTGTAAGGGTGGGCGGGGAGTGTGGTAGGTGATGTGAGGGATATGGCCAGGGTGAGCATCGTGGGTAGGGACAGGGAGCTCGGGGCATTGACTACTCACCGCTTGAGGAGGAAGCCATGGTCGCTTCCGTTGACAGTGTCTAGCTTGACTCGACCAATGATGATGTCCCTGGAAGCGAGGCAGATGTGACGAAGGAGCGTCCGTCAGTATCTGCAGGCGCAAACGAGTTGAGCGGTACACGTCTAAATTCTGCTTCCGCAATCCCCGAGCAGTTGAAGGTATCGGCGCAGGCCGGCAAGCAGCCGTGTCGGGGTAATGGAGAAGCAATGGATGTGTAGAGGACGCAGTCACAGCAATCTCAGGACTTTGATCGGTGTCAAGCATTCCTTCGACGCCTTTGCCATAGCCTCTGGGCGTGTCTGGACGTCCAGCTGGGGCTCCGCCTGCCTTGGCCCCGCATGGACTGCATAATCACAGCTGTGCTTGGTTGCGTACTCACTGTTGTTCCCTCCTGATGGTCTGCAACTTGACTTGTACCGGCTCTCCGGGCAGCTTGGGGTTCCTCTCCGTGGGCAACGCGGGTCTGTCGGCGTCTGACTTCTTGGACTTGCGAGCTCGCGTGGAAGATACGGACGCGTTGGATGCTACCGAGCTGGAGCGCGCCCGGCGCGAAGGGGTAGATCGTCGTGGGGTGCCAGGCATCGTGGAAGTCTGAGGAGTGGCTCTCTCAGATGGTCGTGCGGGGTGGGGAGCGGTACGTGACAGTCCACCTGGGGTTGAGGTGTTTGTGCTGAGGTGAGATCAGACGATTGATATGGCAAAACACGATGGCAAAGGATCACAGGCGACTTGGCGGGGCGGGGCAGCCACGGCCTCGCTCCTGTCCCTCAGGCGGGCGGGGCGAGGCGAGGCGCACAGCGTAGATCAAGACCAACAGCGCGTTCAAGCCACACCCGTTCCGGTCACGCTGGCAACACGTGTCCCGCTCACGACCGTACACGCCATGCTTTGCTTGACGCTCAAACCCCTTCATTGACACCTGAGCAAGCACCTCCCTCCACCGGTCGTACGGTGTGAGAGTTGAGCTGACAGCGCGCAAAGGATGGCACAGAAAGCGGTCCGCGCGAGACGTGAGCTTCCCATCAGACGTTCTAGAGCATCTGCAAGCATGTAGTGCTACCCAGAGATAGTCAATACGCGGCGCTCTCGCTGGGCTCTCCTCTCTCTCTCACTTTGATGGATATACTGTGACGAGTCGGGCAATGGCAGAGGCGGCGGCGGGCGGCAGGCGGCGGCTGTGCCATTCCACTGTCCATCTCTCGATCAGTCGTCGTCGCTTAGGACCTCGTCGTATTCCATCTCCGCGGGCGCCGACTTTTTTGACCCTTGTCCTGAGCGGGCGAGTGACGTCGGCTGCAGATTTTTTTGATTTGATCCAAGACAGGAGACGGAAGTGGCGTGCGGCATGCGGGTCTGCCTGCCTGCCTCGCCCTGCCTGCCTCTTTCGGTGTATCCCGGCCAAGCTTTGGTCCGCCGCCTGTCCAAGGGGCTCCTTCACTTGAAGAGTCTGGCCCAAGTCATGGTCCCACTCGTGCATTCAGAGGCCGATTACGTAGGAGTTCCCACGACGGGCGTAGGCATCCGGTATATAATCTAGCGAAGGGCAAAAATGGTGGTCCGGTACACGCCCCCCTTCTCCCATCATTGCATCCGCATCTTAATCTTGCCAGTCACCCGCGTTTCCATCAACTAACATGGCCACTCAGACTGTAAGTGCTTGGATGCAGCCTCTCCGTCGTGATCGCGCTCGAAGCTCTGTCTTACCTTTTTTGCATTTGCTATCGCTCCTTTCCACGCTAGGCTCCCACCACCAATGGCGTAGACGCCGGCCAGGCATACCCTACCTACGACCAGAGCGCCGCTCCTGCCGCTTCGGCTCCACACGAATCGGCCGCACCTGCCGCAACCGAGCACACTACTGCCTCGAATGTTGCGCCCACCACCAATGGCTCTGCTCAGCACTCCGGTGCGTCCGCTGCACCTGCTGCTGCCGCCGCTCCCGCTGCTGCCCCTGAAATGTCAGCCAGCGAAAAGAAGAAGTATGAGAAGCTGATGAAGAAGGAGCAAAAGGACGAGGAAAAGTCAATGTCGCATGCTCTGAGTGATGCCAAGTCGTCTGAAAAGGCTGCTGCCAAGGCCAAGAAGGCCGAGCAGCAAGCGCTCAAGGTGAGTTAGCGCATCGAGTTGGCCTGGACTCGAGTCTCGGCAGGATCGCCTTGGTATCGCCTATTCTGATCGCTGATCCGATCGCCTTCCTCTCTGCCCCTTCGACAGCGCCTGAACAAGTGCACCAAGGAGGAGCACAAGGCAAACAAGAAGTTTGAGCGTGCCCAGACTGCTCACCAAAAGGTCCTTGCTGACAAGGAGCGCCTTACCAAGGAGCTGGAAATCAAGAAGAACAACACCCAGGCTACTTCCCAGACCTACGAAAAGGCAAAGCTCAACGTCGACTCTACACGAAAGACGAATGCTTCGCACGCTCAGACCCGTGCTCAGAAGCAGTCCGAGATGGGCGTGTAAAGCTGAGGAGCTCAGTGACTTAGCATCCAAGAGTTGACGGCGCATCGTCTCTCTACATTGGCACTCACAAAGATACCGTAAAGGGGGGCTTCGATGCAGCCGGAACCCTCCTTGACTATACCCCCATTCGCATCGCGCAGGACAAAGAGAGTTGCACCGTTGAGTAGGCTTTTCTCGCAGGAGTCTCGTCTCGCTGCTTTTAGTGTTCTTCATCCCCTCTCTGCTGTTTGCAAGGATTGGATCCCCTTTCTTCCTTTCCCCGTAGCCCTCGTAAACCAATACATCTTTCATTACCTCGATGATATCCTTGAGTGACCTGACTTCGATTCTCAGCCTTCACCTCCGCTTGCCCCTTTCCGTCCGTAGGCTGTGGGTGTGTGTGACGCCTCGCGACTGGGCGTGTGCGTTGGGCCGTGCGGAGAAGACGGACACCTGACCGACGTCACCACGCTGCACCGCCGAGCCCATTCTTCGCGATCAAGCAAGACCCGGCAGGAAGGACCTGGACGGACAGTTGGTTGCATTCGATTCTAGGCAGTCGTGGAGTGGTGACTTAACAACGTCCATCACCACTACGAGATGGCTCCCATTCTTCGAGACTAGCAGGTTCCAGAAAGTAGCGAACGACCTGAAGTGAGCCAAGAGGCGCGCTCTATACCACCATGCCTTCCGAATTGGCTGATCGGACCAAGGCCAAGACCGATGCGGTGAGTGTAGGGAGTACAGGGCAAAGAGGTAGCGGCAGAGGTCCTGATTTGCCCTTTCCCCCTCACCTCAGACTGGGTATCACATGGCCAAGAACCCCATTGAGACGATTCGCAATAGATACAAGGGCGTTCACGAAGGCGGTGCCCAGCAAAACGATTCACGAGACGGTAATCACCATGTCGGTAGCGCTCAAGACGCCCCGTCCCAGGACATGACGCACGGCGGCTCAGCCCCTCAGCACTCCAGCGATCCCGATCGCTCAAGGGCAGAAGCCGTCACCTCTGAATTCCTCGGTCGCTCGACCTCGGCCAGGACGGTGAGAGATCCAGTGACGCATGGCCTATTGGAGAACGTTCGGGACGTTACAGAGGAAGAGTACGAAGGAGGGCTTGAAGAGGCAGAAGAGATTGGTTCTTACGTTCCCAGGTCTGGAGAAAGGCGGAAAGACCACGCTGCCGAGGAGAAGCGGCAGGAGCTGGGTGGGAATCAGGGCATCTATCAGGGCAAGCGATCAGGCACAAGTGCTATCCCCGCTTTCCCCTTTCACGATCCCTTGCGGCCTCGCTATCAGGCCGCTCTGGATAGCAGTGCGCCGCGCATCCGCAAAGCTCTGCTCGTCGTTCTGGGGGTCTGGACCGCCATACTAGCGGCCTTGCTACCGAATCTCAAGTCGATTGCGCTCTTTGTCGTCTCGGCGCTGCTCTTCGGCGCCCTTCTACCTCAGCTGGTACAGAATAGACTACAAGATGCCCTCGAGGATTGCGATGCGGAAGGCGAGGAGCAAAGAGGGGAGAAGATTGCCGCTAGTCACTGGCCCGAATCGGCGGAATGGGCCAACAAGATCCTTGGTGAGATCTGGCCCGCTCTAGAACCCGAGTTCTTCGACTCGCTCAAGGATACGCTGGAGGACATGCTGCAGGCCAATCTGCCCTCCTTTCTCACCGAGTGTAAAGTAGCAGACTTTACACAGGGAGCGAACCCTCTGAGGATCTTGTCTGCCACGCTCCTGCCCGACACGGAGTGGGAGAACGATCAGGGACAATCGAACTCTAGTGGGAGCACGGAAAAGGAAAAGGAAGAGGGAGGATCTGGCAAGGACGAGCTCTCCAGCGAGATTGGCGCCGCTCGCGAACAGCACGCAAAGGAGACGGACCCTGAAGCGGCCATGCTGCGTGAACAGCACGACCCAAACGACCGCTACGTGAACCTCAGTGTCAGCTTTGCCTATCGAGGTCGACAGAAGAAGGAACGGCAAGAATTCGGCATGGCGGAAGATGTGCAGATGCTGCTGTACCTCATGGCCAAGCTGGGACCTGTAGCAGCTATGCTACCGGTCAAGGTGCATCTGAAAGGTCTGGTAGGCACAGTCCGGCTACGAATCCACCTCATCTCCTCGCCCCCATTCCTCGGCCAGACATTGATCAGCTTCACAAGTCTACCGAGGCTCACCATCAACGTCCTGCCCTTGAAACTGGTGTCCTTGAATGACTTTAAACCACTTGCGGACTTTATTCAGACGTCCATCGATAGCTCGCTGGCTGCTCTGACGGCCCCCAAATCCATGACACTAGACCTGGCAGACCTCATTGCAAGCGATGGAGTCCAGCGCAAGATTCTGGCGTTGGGTGTGGTGGTCGTGACAATTCACAGTATCAAGGGATTGGAGAGGGCGGATCTGATGGGTTCCAGCGATGCTTATGCCATTGTGACATGGTCGAGGTCGGGGAAGCCAATGTACAGCACGAGGGTGCTGGTGGATGAGCTCAATCCTCGCTTCAACGAGTCGGCGGCTCTACTCGTGCCCCAGGAGGTGGTCAAGGCAGAAGAGCGCGTGGGGATTGAGCTGTACGACTCGGACGTGGGTCAAGACGACTTTCTGGGCTTTGTCGGCATCGAGCTGAGCGAATTGTTGAGCAGACCTGGCGAGGAGGTGAAGAGGCATGAGCAGCTGGGCGGTGTCAGGCCGGGAACGCAGAGGGGTGGAATGGTGGAATGGTCAGCTCGCTTCCTTCCAAAGGTGGCTTTGCAAAAGGAGCCTACGGCGAGGAAAGATCCGGGGGAGAAAAGGGACGACGCTCAGGCAGGAGACGCCGATGACGAGTCAAAGGACCAGCAGCAGAAGCAAGAAAAGGACTCGAAGCGTCCGGCGGTAGAGTACATAACTCCGTCGCAAGCCCACCCGTCGGGCATCCTCTCTGTACAAATCCACGAGGTCTCTGCTCTGTCCAACAAGTCTACAGTGGCTCCCAAGGGCTCTACCCTCAAGATGTCCAAACGCACACCCCTCTCTGGCCGTTCCATCCCAGACGAAGACACAATGGACGATCAGGCCTTTGACGAGGCGCCGTCTTCCTACGTAGAAGTGATCCTCGAAGGTAAGCTCGTCTACCGTACAAGGACAAAGGTGTCCGACTACCGCCCCATCTTCAATGCCTGCACGGAAAAGGTCATCCTCAATGTCTTTACCGCACGTATGCTGCTCGTAGTCAGGGAGAAGAAGCTAGACGAGGACGATCCGATTTTGGGTGTGGTGCCAATCAAGCTGTCGGAGGTATTTGACGGCAAGAGTTTGAGCGCTGGTTGGTACCCTATTGCGGGTGGAGGTGGAAGTGGTAGAATCAAGGTCTCGATGCTCTTCCGCTCGGTAGACGGAGGAGAGGCGCAGCAGCAGCAGCAGCAGCAGCAGCAAGGAGAGGTACAGGAGCAGGGGCGATCCGTAAGTGTGCCTAGAGGCGGACCGGGCGTGCCCGTCTCTCCACTCGAGATTGGCGTCGTGCACATCAAGAATATCCAGATTGGGATAAGGGATGGCAGAGTGTCGCACTATGCGGGCTGCCCACTGGTGATCAAGACTCTCTCCTCTCGCGCCAAGCTGCACTCCAAGCACGGCGAGACCGAGGGTGAAGGAACGCTATCGTACACGCAGCGTCTAGCGTCCAATCCTGTGCGCATTCCCGTCTTCAAGAGGGGCTCCTCACCGTTGCTGATCCGACTAGACGGTAAGGACAAGCTGGGTCGCAAGAGGACTCGAGCATTGGGCGTCTGCTGGCTGCGGGATGTAGTCGATGGTCGTGCTCAAGAACTGGAGCTACCGCTCTGGGACGGGGAAGAGGAGCGCAAGGTCGTCTCTTGGCTTTCGCAGCAGTACCTCCCCTTTGAAAATCAGGAAGCACTGCTCAAGGAGCACTGTACCTGGCCTACGACGCGGCTGGGTACGATCCGTATCAAGCTGGCTCTAGTGACGGGGGTGAGCACGCTGCATAGCAAGATTACCGACACGGGTGGCTCTTTGCCTCAGGTCTGTCAGGCTTGGAGACTGGCTGTGAGCAAGGGTTTGGTGGTGGAGGGAGAGGGGGAGGCCGAAGAGGGGAGTGGGAATAGAGGTGCTGGGCGACGAGATGAGCTCGATGGCGGAGACGGAGATGGGGTTGGGGGAGGGGACGATAGCGATAGCTCTCCATCGTCATCTTCGGACGATGGTGGAGAGGGTGAGGACGGTGTTGACGGGGCTGGCCATCCTGGCAACGGCGATGCCCGCCTCCACCGCTCCTCTTCCCGCTCCTCTTCTTCCTCCTCTTCCCTCCGTCAGAAGCTACGCCGTGTTCCCTCTGACCCAGAAAAGGCTCCCGCCCACTCCTCTGGCTCCCCCCTCGACCTAGTTCGTCGTGCCCAACGACACGTCTCTCAATCTCGTCATCCACTCAGCAACCTCACTTCTACCAATGCTGGTGGGGCAAATCTCGCTGGGGAAGATGATCCAAAGGTGGTGAGGGTGATGGATAGCGCATTGGGTCAATTGAGGGGACGAGGGGAGAAGTTGATGAACAAGTTTGATGTAAAGAAGTCGCAAAAGGGTGGGGAAGGGGTGGAGATGGAGGTGTGAAGAAGTGGAGGTGTGAGGAGATGCACTTGTATCATATCATATCATACATACGCAAGACGTTCTAGTACACTTCCAGCATGTGCGTTGCATTGCATCACCTACTCGAGGCCGGTATGGCAAGCGTATACTACAACTTCACGCCTGTCCATGTGTCCGGCTCGGCTCGGATCGCCCGGCAAGGACACTTGTGTCTGGTATAGCCGACGCGGCAGGGTGTGCATGCCCCGCGAGTTGTGCGGTCGTGGGAGATCGTGGGCGAGTTTGCTGCAAGGAGTAGGGCGAAGGGGAAAGGAGGAGGGGAATGGGGGGCCCCGGAGGCAGCGCGGAGTCCTTGGCGGTATCCCCGCACTCGCCCTCTTGTGCCGGTAGTGCGGGGTAGAGGGAAGCGGACTGTAGTGTCTGTCCCCTCGGTTGGGCGCAGAGTCGAGTGAAGTGATGTGTGTGTCTCGTCAGCTTCTTGCTCAGCTCTGCTCTGCTGCGAAAGGCGGCCCCCCTCCCTTGTGATTTTCACACTTGCGGGGGAAGGACCCACAGTGCCACTGCCCAGGCACTGCACCAGTGTGTTTCTTTCCACCGGCTCGGGCGACGCGCGTGTCGGGGAGGCTGCACCTTCAGCCGGAACAGCGGAGGCGGGAGGCGCATACCGCACAGCTTGGCTACACCACGCCCAGACGCTCTTGATTGCCAATCCCCCGCCCCCCTCTCTCTTCCTTTTTGCCAACAGACATCTTCGTCCCTTGTTGAACTCCTACCCATTGATATACTCACTGTTGAGCAAGCATAGAACAGCTTAGCCATATCAGTCGATCTCTCATCGCATCCTAACCACACACCTTTATCCGCACCGACCACCCTCCCCTCTCACCCATCACAATGTCGCAGCAACAGCAGTCCGCCCAAAACAAGCCCGTGGAGCGCAAGCAAATCGAGGCCAGCGAAGTCGAAAAGCACAACAAGAAGGGAGACCTCTGGATTGTCATCGATTCGCTCATCTACGACGTATCCAAGTTTGCCGCCTTGCACCCTGGTGGAGAGACGGTCCTCTGCGACCCCGAAGTGGCTGGACAGGACGCCACAGAGGTCTTCTTTGGACTGCACAAGCATGAGATTCTCATGAAGCCTCAATACAAGAGGCTCATCATTGGACAGGTCTCTGGTGAGGAGGAGCAGATTGTGGTGAGTATCTGAGCCGGCGAGCGAGGGAGTGAGAAAAGTGGCAAAGGCGGAAGTGCGGATATGGGGTGTATGTAGGCGGGAGAGCTGGTAGAGAGCTCAAAGAGAGGTAGAGGGGCTCAGACAAAGGTCACTGGCTCTGTCAGGCCTCTCACACCACAGTTGCATCGCTGTGCTGCCCAGAGTCGCCCCCGGAGGTGGCGCCGTTCCGCTTTGACCCTTGCGCGAATCGCGAGCTGATATCCGCATCCTCGTACCATCGCGTCCCCGCCCCCGGTCCCCTCTCCCTTCTCTTTCCCCACCTCTAGCCACCTCCTGCTGGCTCGCCTTCCAAGGTCCCCTACGCCGAGCCCACCTGGCTCACCGAAAAGTTCCACAGCCCCTACTTCCAGGACCACCACCGCCACCTGCAGCGCGAGATCCGCAAGTACGTCGACGAGCGCGTCCGCGAAGTAGCACAACGCTGCGAAGCCAATGGCAAGCGACCTGATGTTGACCTCATCCAAGAGATGGGCAAGAATGGTCTCAATGCCATGCGAATGGGTCCAGGAGATCACCTCAAGGGACGAAAGCTCTTTGCCGATATCAAGCCGGAGCAGTTTGACTACTTCTGCGAGATGATCATCACCCAGGAGCTCGTACGGATGGGTGCCCGAGGCTTTGGGGACGGTCTTCAAGGTGGTATGGTCATAGGGCTCCCGCCCGTCATGAAGTTTGGAAATGCTGAGACTCAGAAAGAGATCATCGAGCCGGTTCTAGCAGGAGAGAAGTTCATCTGCCTTGCTATCACGGAGGCGTTCGCCGGATCGGACATTGTGGGCGGTCTCAAGACCTTTGCAAAGAAGTCTGAAGATGGGTCGCACTACATCGTCAATGGAACCAAGAAGTGGATCACCAACGGAGTGTGAGTTCGTCAACGTCGTTCGTGGACATCGATCGCCTCAGTGACAGCTACTGACATGCTACCTTCTACCGCGCCCGCGTGACGCCAGATTCGCTGACTATTTCACCACTGCCGTCAAGACCGATGAGGGTTTCGCTGTCCTCTGCATTCCTCGCTCCGTTGGTGGTGTTGAGACGAAGCAGATCAAGACTAGCTACTCGACTACGGCAGGAACTGCCTACGTCATGTTTGACGACTGCAAGGTGCCCGCCAAGTACCTTCTCGGCGAAGATGGAGCTGGTATCCCCGTCATTCTGTCCAACTTCAACCACGAGCGATGGGTTATGTGCTGCTCCACCATCCGCTCTGCTCGTGCCATTACCGCTCAGTGCATGATGTGGTCCCACCAGCGCAAGGCGTTCGGCAAGCCCATTATCTCCCAGCCAGTGGTGCGACAGACGCTCGCTTCTCTCATTTCTCAGTGCGAGGCTGCTCAGGCTTGGCTCGAGAATGTCACACATCAGATGAACAAGATGGACTACTACGAAGTTGCAACTCATCTCGCTGGACAGATTGCCTTGCTCAAGTCCTGGTCCACTAGGGTCTCACACGATGTCGCTGACCATGCTGTCAAGTGAGTACCCCATGATGGCGCGCTCCTGCCTAATCAAGAGCTTAGATTGACCTCTCTCTCTTCCTTTCCTCACTATCCAGCATCCTGGGAGGTCGTGGATTGACAAAGGGTGGTATGGGAGGCTTCGTAGAGGAGTTCCACCGCACCTACAAGTTCGATGCTGTGAGTATAGGACTCCTACCTGAACATCTGATCATTTCCTGACCCTCTTCTCTGCTCCTCTATCGCAAATCCAGGTTCTCGGAGGTTCTGAGGAGATCCTTGCCGACCTGGGAGTGAGGCAAGCACTCAGGAACTACCCTGTTAACGAGAAGCTATGATCTGGGAGGTGCTGGAGGATCCGGGACGCGTATGAGTCGGCGCGACGCGAGTGGCGCCCTTGCCATCCGCTTGATGGTCCCTATTGACCTTGTATCTTGCCTTTTGACACACTATGGAACTACTCATTACCCTTCATTTCTGGATCTTGGCGTGCAGTGGCGGTGTGAAGATGCGGCGAAGATGCTACAGTGGGACGCGCTGTATGGGGAGAGGCGCTCCCGGTCCCGCAAGCTTCTGACGCGGGAATCTCACGCCGCTTGGCGATTTAGCTCTTCACTGAGTGCGCATCTCATCCTGAAGTACTCGCTCAGGCTCCTTCTTCCTCAGCTCTACATACTCCTTCAACACTCGAGACAAGCTCGCACCATAGCCAAGGCACAGTATGACGCCCGCGAGCGGCAAGCTCCCTTCCGCTCACGCACGCGTCACGCTTCCGCCGCCTCAACGGAAGAAGCCGGCACATCCGTTATACCATTGCTCTCGGGTCTTGTTTCTGGGTCGGGGCGGGGCGGGTCAACCCTGCTGAGTCGCTACCTTATAAGGTCCTCTTGCGAGAAAAGCTGAGCAGATCTTTCTTCCCTTTCTTTCCATCACTCCTATCCTCCTTACTCATACTCGACTTAGCTTTGCTCAGGCGGACACCCTCTCGACCTACCATAGACCACTGCAAGTATTGGCACAGCAGAGAGCAGGTCTTGCACAGAAGGTAAGTCAGTTGAGAGACTACGGAGGCTGTCAGTCCTTGATGCTCACCATCACCACTCGCACGCAGGACTTATATGCACTCGTACTCAGCTGGACATCTCATAGGACAACAACGATCAAGCTGGTCACTAGCACCGTCGACAGTACACCCTACTCGAGCAGGATACCAAGCACGATGCTGCCTTGACTCTATCAGGCCTACGACATCACTATGTCAGCTCAGGGCTACCAAGCACTCAGTACACCGATGCTTATGCATACATAAGCTGCAAGGGTAACATCAACATCGATGCAGCAAGCATGCCATCTAAGAGCTGTGAAGCACACCTTCACATCACCTGACATCGACATCATCAACTCATACAAGTCAAGCAACAAGCAAAGACAAGACACACTCCTTCGATGTCCTTGTCATCGTGTCAGCGCAGACATACCAACCTTCAACAAGCATGCTCGCTCGACCTTGGTGACAAGTAAGAACGAGGCCTTTGTCGGCGCTGTCAAGCACATAGACGAAATCTTGATGCGTGTGCCGATATCCACTCCTCAAACCCGACAAACAGCACACGCTGACTTTGCCAAGAAGTGCTATCGAGGATTGCTCGTCTGAGTTCCACACTTTGCCATGCAGAGCCTCATACATCGTCCCACCAAGAGCTTACACACACAGCTCTGCGCAATTCTCAACACCCACAAGTCGTAAGTGTCTCTGCGATGTTCGACTCGCATCTCACAGCCATTCACTGATCACTACCTTGTGCTGGTGCCAGATTTGCCATCGTGATCCCTTTTGGAGCTCTCGGACTATCATTGGCTAATGCTCAAGACACGAAGACGCGAGAGAGATCCTAGAGCGCTGTGCAGATCTACAGGAATCTGATACCGCTGGTAAGTCACCCTATCCAAGATTTGAGAGAGATTCAGACGGCTGATTGTGCTTACTTGCTGCTATCACTTCGACTCAGAGGACGAGTGTACTTCGCGACGCATGACGGAAGAAGGCCTCTAAGATAGGGTACTGGAGGATATTCAATTGCATCAGACATCGTAGACCTTTGAGATCGAGGAGGTCTTGAGGAGTAGCCCTGCCTTGCTTTAGTCAATCATCTGCGGGAGAGATACCGACGTGCACCAAGCATCGTCTCCAGATGGACATTCCAGAAGCAGTAGCAGAGTCTCTCCTGCCTGACGCTGGCGCCTATCTGATCATTGGCTTCGACACGGCTGGGAGGTCCACACACGTACATTGGCAAAACGGTACGGATGTCTGTCAGGACTGTGACACACGCCGTACGCTACGAGAAGGACACCAAGGGAGGTCCTGCGCTATACCATCTCGCCAAGCAGGCAGGTTGCTCATCATCTCCCGTTGCTGCGGATCGAGGACCATGAAGACACCAACGAAATCCTTGCGGCTATGAGACCGATTTGGTCTCTTGCCCTGGGGGCGTAACAGCGAAGTCCTGACTGGCTGAAGTGCAGGCGAGAGGGTAATTTGGCCAACTTTGATGACTCCGTCGCCAGCGCCAACGGTAAGTGTCTTGCGTCCGACTTCCACTGGTATACTGTTGTGCTGACGCTTGCAGAACATCGTAACTCCAGGGACCAAGTGCTTCGAGGGGCCCGAAAAGCGGCACCGACGGAGTCAGGCAGTAGGAGCTCTGGACCCAACTTACCGGGCCTGGATGAAGATGCTGCGATATCTCGGCTATATGGAAGTATGGTGCAGGAGCAAAGGCCAACCTCCCAGAGCAGAGAGCTACCAGGCAATGAGCGACATTCGTGGCCTGCTCATGAGGCACGTCGGAGGGCCCCTCGACGCAGGTGATCTACCGTGTCGCCCGTTTGAGACCTGTGGTGGCTATGCATTCTTCGACTACACGATTACAGACGGCACGATTCTGAGAGCTTTGGATGGACAGGATTGCCTCTTTGGCCTCGTCGTCGGGGAGCCTAGCATCGGCCTTGACACTTTCGTGGGCTGTGACCCCGTACAGCGGCACCTCTTCGCAGGCATCTCCTTTCAGATCAAGCCTGTGGCACCGTCCACGCCTTCCTCAACTTTTTCCCCTCCGCCCACCGACGACTGGACCCCGTTGCAGCTGAAGCAGAAAGGCCTCAGCAGCAAAAGGGCTCGGGACTTGGCTGAAGTCCTGCTGCGATGTCTGCCTGCGGAGGAGCAGACGCGGCGTCGACAGAGGACGGCCGCCGAGGCCTGGGTCGCACGGAGCAGAAGACATCAGCTGCTCGAGGACTACGAGAGCCTCTCGCGCGCAGCTCAGCAAGCCTTCGACGGTGACGCGTCCCTCTGGTCTGGACAGAATCTGCTTCTCGGCGGAAAGATGTGTCGTCGTCTTCAAGGCGACCACGTCAGAGACGACGAACGGCTGGCAATTCTACAGGCTTTGGGATACCCAGACATGGGTGCGCCGGTCCCGGTCCGCTTCGTTGTCAAGACCGACAATCTGGCGGGGTCCTTCAAGACTCTTCAAGACTGGGAGGTACCGGATCGTTCCGCTCGGAGCAACTGCAGAGGCTCACTCCTTCCACGGCTCCTGGCAACCTCCACCGTTCACCATCAAGACAGACCGGTCCGCGGGATCGTTCAAGACTGAAAGGTACCGGATTGTTCCTCTCGATTCAATTATGGAGGCCTACTCCTTCGCAGGCTCCTGGATGCCTGTGCCTTTCGTCATCGCTGGCATGCACGCTGCATATGCCAACGACAAGTCGCAGCTCGGCCGGGTCGTTGCCGTAATTCGTGAAATCGGCAAGGTCACGACTGACCTCGTGATCGACTCGGAAGACACCACGCCGATTTTCTTCCACCCGTACCAATACAAGGTTGACCGTACTGGCAAGGCACGAGGCGGGAACTTCCTGTTGTCGGTGAATCCCACACCATACACCACCATTACAATGCCGGCTGACACGATGCGCCGAGTCTGGGGGGGGGGGGGGGGGGGGGGGGGGGGGGGGGGGGGGGGGGGGGGACTCGGGCGTCGAGCCCAAGCAGATGCGAGACGCATGGGTACATATTCGGGGCAGTGGGGTGAGAAAGTTTACAGATTTGAGCTTCTGCCTGAGCAGAGACCAAAACGGGCACTGGGTGGAGAGGGTGCTGGAGCACGGGGGGGGGAAATGAAAGGGCTGACCGAGCGGGAGGTCAAGTGCCGCATCTGGATAAAATCCGCACAGCTCGCGCCCAGGACGAGGCGACGACAGGGAAGCCTCGGTCGGACGGGGTGTGGTCGCACGAGATGGAGACAACGATGTCACCGAGGGATCTACATGCGTTGCAACTAGTGAGTGCTTCCTTACCTTGATGTAGTTCCACTGGTTTTGATGTATGCAATGTGCGACCGACGTCCTTGCATTCATTGATCATTTCACACAGCACAACGATGATAATGAGGAACAAGACGAGCTCGAGCACGAAGCTGACGCTCAGGAAAGAGGCAACGACGAGGAATGACTCTTTGCCGCGCCCTCAAGAGTCTGGCTGGATAGCCAGGTCGGGCTCGTTCCGAGATGGTGTCCCCGAACTGACATCACTCGCCACACCCTTGGCGCACGCCATCATTACGGCGCTCGAACGCGATCCCACCTCACTGAGCACCAGAGCTTTCTGAGAGCCGCGTCTTGCAACTTGCCTCTTGACGAGGTTCCGGATGCGCTTCAGCGTCCCAGCGTCGGAAGCGGAGAGCCTGCCTGTACAAGACGCAGGTATTTACCTCGTCTTGGGCTTCGATGCGGGTGACGAAGTGCTGTTCATGTACGTGGGCAAGTCAACTCGGATGACACTGCGAACCATGCAGCACACGCATCGGTACGAGAGCCAAAGGACGCCGGTCACTGGAACAAGAAGTACTTTCCCAGTCATAGAGTAGGACGACAAGCCACGTTTCGCTTGACGAAGCAGCAGTCCTGATGTTGCCGATCTCATCTCCTGGCTATCTTCACAATGCACCTAGCAGGTATTTGAGAGCAAGGTCCACACTGTTGGCGCATGAGACCCAGTCGTCAGGGTACGGTAGACCATGCCTTCGTCTTGCAGCGAGCCAGGCAGCGTTTTCTTGGCAGGAGTCGAGTGGAAAGTGACAGCCGGTAACAGAGCGTGAGCTTCTTGTGATGAGTTGTATATTCTCAAAGCAGGAGTAAGGCTGCATGAATAGACTATGGTGTTGTGTATCGATAGTGAAATTGCGTCGGCCGCAACTTCGTAATCATGATGGCTGATGGGAACCTCTTCGTCTGAGTCCTCCTCTTGAGCTTCCGAGGAGTCATTCCCGTGCCCTTGCCGTTGATCTGGTCCTTGACGCATCTGAGTCAGAAGCCGGGGTCTGCCTGCGCTTGGCGCGACAATACCTCGAGGGAGGAGGTGAGGGAGAGGCGGAGGCGGCAGACTCGTCGCTGTTGCTGACAATGGCATCGTCCTGAGGATCAAGGTCCTCGAAGTACTCAGCGCGACGATGTATCGCGAGGGGAGGTGAGGGCGACGAGGCAGCAGAGGACTCGTCACTGCTGATAATGATCGTGAAACGATTGGGAGGATAGTACACATGTATCCCATCGAGAAGAGAATACATTGTCCGCGATAGTATCAATACCATACATTGCTTCTCCCCAACCGCTGTCGTGTGATCTCCTGCCTCGCTTTGTCTTCTGTAGTGCAGTCTGTATGCGGTATTATCGCTATGCCTTCATCTGATCTCGACTCTACAGTCCGTACGTGGGTAGATCTCCAACGTCCGTCTCCTGTTCATGCCAATCTCCTCCTCGCCTCCCATCTCCTCTACGCTACGCTACGCTACACCTCAAACTCCATCCTTCCCTCCTGTCCCTCAAATCCAGCCCCTGGCACTCCCGCTCCCGCAAGTACATTCTGCTCCGTGAGTGCGCTCATCCTCATCCTCGTCTCCGTATTGGCCGATCCAATATGCGGAAGGAGGAAGACCTTGTCCTTCACGTCTGGATCTGCGATCAGTGGGTGGTCAGCAGGGATTGCTGGTTCTCCTTCGAGGACGTCTAGAGCTGCTCCTGCGAGTTTGCCCTCTTTGAGCGCAGATACGAGGGCGGAAGTGTCCACGAGTGGGCCGCGGGAGACGTTGATGAGGTGTGCGGAGGACTTCATCTGCTCGAAGAAAGAGGAGCCAATTGCGTGCTTTGTCGAGGGAGAGAGGGAAGCGAGGACAACGACAATGTCGCTCTCCCTTGCTAGAGCGTCGAGTGAGCTCACACTGCCCACTTCAATCCGCTCCTTTCCACACTTTTGTCGCAGCGTCTGTCTCTCTTCCCAATGTGCCTTTCCAAATTCCCCAAAGTACTCGTCCGAGGAGTCGAATTTGCGCTCTCGAGAAGTCTTGTAGAGGATACGAGCCACGTCGAAGTTGGCTAGCTGTAGAGCGAGGGTCTGTGCAATTCCGCCGAAGCCAAAGAAGCCGATGGTTTTGCCCTTGAGTGAGGGTCCAGTAAAGGCCATTGGACTGATGGGCGTATCCTTCCATCTTCCTTCGCGTACCACACGCGTGGCAGCGGGAGCTTGCCGGGTGATGGCTAGGATCAGCAGGAGGGAGAGGTCGGAGACGGCTTCGTTCAGAACAGAAGGGGTGTTGCCGACGCGGATGTTGCGCTCTTTGCAGAGGCGGACGTCGATGTGATCGTAGCCCACCGAGAGTGTAGAGATGCACTTGAGAGAGGAGCCGGCCGCGGAGAGGAGTTCTTCGTCGACCTAGAGGAGAGCGTTGGAGGAATGGCGAGGAGGCAGGGAGAGGAGGTGTCAGTATCCTCGCATTCCCCAGCTTCTCCCCGTTCACTACGCGCCCACCTTCTCAGTCATGGTGATGGCGATTCCCGCTGCTCCCTTTGCATTTTCCAGCACCCATTTGCGATCCGCCGGCTTCTCCTTGTGAGGCCAAGAGACGAGTTCGATCTTGCCGTCCTTTTCCGCCTCTGCGAGGAGCGAAGTGGGGAAGGAGCGGGTGAGGAGGATCTTGGGCTTGGACATGGCGTGTGCGGCAGAGGTAGTGAGGAAGGAGGGGGAGGGGGAGAAGCGAGGGACAAGGGGGAGGTGGGAGTGCTTGGCGGCGCGAGTGGGGAGGAGGAGGAGAGAGGGCGAGAGGTGCACGAGTGGCATGCGAGGTAGGGGCGAGGGGGTGTTGACAGTGATGATCGTGTAGATACTGACTCCTCTATTTGTAGCGGCTTCTTCCTTATCCTTTCTTCCTTTTCTTGTGTGCGCCTCGCCTCTTCCTGGCGACCAGTCCGGCTGAAATCGCCGAGATAGCCGCCTCTGCGCTTGGGCCATCTCTGCGTCCAATTTGGTGCCTGAGCCCTTTTCTCCGCTCCGCCCCGGTCCGCTGCGTCTGTCCGCCCGCCCAAACTTGCTCTGCTCTGCTCCACCATACCGACCGTGTCCCGCTCAAGTCATCGAGCAAGACAGCGCTGCTAAGGGGGGGCTGCTGAGCTCAAGATGACCACGGCAACGTCCGCCGCAGCGCCGTCTGCTTCCACTTCGACCGCCTCGTCCAAGGCCGCCACGCCAGCGCCGACATCCGCTGCGTCTGGGTCTGTCCGCCCCGTGCCCCTCTTCACCCACACTTCCCAACACACTTCCTACCACTATCCTCGTCTGCCCTCTTCCAATGGCAGCACTTCTTTCCCCCTCGATGACTCCTCTGCTGCTCTCCTCCAGTCGTACTACCTCTCGCGCTTGCCCCTCCTGGTAAAGGCGTTTGGTTTCCATGAACGGGTACTAGCTACGGCCATGAGCTACTTTAAGCGCTTCTGGCTCCCACAGACGGGCAGGACAGTCGCACGGCCACTGAGGGGCGCAAAGGGACGGTCACTTGTAGGTGGAAAGGGAGTGAAGGTGATCATGTGAGTGGGCACGCGAGCGAAAGCGAGGGGCTGAGTGCTGCCTGTGATGTCGAGTCTTTTATTGTCCCTTACCTCTTCGCTATGCGCTCGCAGGCTCATCTCCCTCTTCCTAGCAACCAAGACGCACTCCACTCCCATCTCCCTCGCCCAATTTGCCAGCCGTGTCACTCCTTCTGCTCCCTCTTCTTCCTCTTCAAGCAGCAGTAGTAAAGCGCAAGAAGAGCGCCAGGCAGCCATTGCCGAAACGTCTTCCTCTATTCTGGACAATGAATTTGAAGTAGCCAGCGTCCTCGGTTGGCACTTTCGCGTAACGCACGGCTTTGAGGGTGTTCGAGGACTGGCAATAGATCTGCAGAGGGTGATGAGCAGAGCGGGAGGTGTGGCGCAGGATGTTGGCAATCGCACAATCGAAGGGACAGAGGAAGGGCTGGCGCCGGAGCTCCTCGAGAGGATAAAGGTACTGCTGGATATCGCCTCGCAGCAACTCCGACTTACGGCGGCCGAATTCCTCTACACACCTTCGCAGCTCGCACTTGGTACTTGGTCGAGCCTGACGGAGGAGGGAGGAGAGGGCAAGAGCGGTGTTTCTGCTTCTCCCTCCACACTCACATCCGAGGAGCGCTCCATGCTCCGCAATGTCCTACAGCGCTGGATCGACGAAAGGGAGCCTCTCCTTTCCTCCTCCTCCTCTTCAAGCACTCTCCCTCTCTCACTGAGAGATGTCGCGCAGCAAATCGCCACGTACGTCCGCCAAGGTGCCTCCCTTCAAGAGGAGCTCCGCTCTCCCAGCTGCGTGGAGCGGGTCAAATCGATTGATCTTGCATTACGTGAGCGGGCCGAGGAGGAGGAGTGCGACCGGGGCGAAGGTGGAATTGAGGAGGCGATGGCGGCAGAGGAAGAAGAGGAGGAAGAGGAGGAAGAGGATGCAAAAAGGGTGGGAGCTGTACTCGATGGTGGTGGTGCCTCAACAAAGAAGCGCAAAAGCGGGCCTGGAACGGAGGTGCAGCAAAAGGAAGGAGGGAGATCACCCGCTGCTGCTGCTGCTGCTGCTGCTGCTGATGGTGGTGGCGGTGAGGGAAGTACGACCGCCGGGGGTGGAGCTCCGAAGCGGATCAAGGTCGTGCGGCAGGCCGATTGAGACTCGCATCAGGTGAAGGGGAAAAAAGTGCCTGACGACTGCTACTGCTACTGCTGCTACTACTACCACTGTTGCTACCAGAGCAGTGTAGAGCAGAGCAGGTAGGCCGGCACCAGTGGGGTATATATTGAAGCCGCATCGCAAGGGTTTGTCCTCCCCACTAAATACAATAGGCTGATCCATGGGCGCTCTGAGTGCGTCCGATCCCCCTCGGCATCGCATCACATCGCATCGCATTGCGTTACTCATTTGCCATGGCTGTGCTTACTACCACTTGTATCCCCTTCCTCATTCTCTGCTTCTACCGCTCCTGCTCCTGCTCCTTGTCCTCCTCCCCCTCCTCCTCCATCTTGTGATCGCTGCATCGTCACCCCATTCACAGAATCCATCGACGTCCCACCACTACCACTGACGACACTACCGACGCCGACGGTCTCGTGTAGACTCTTGCGCTTCTCCTCGTCGGTGATCGCTTCGTCGTCGATGATCGATAGGGCTTTCTTGAGTCTGTACCCCAATCCGGCTACGCCTCTTGCGCTGCCGCTTGTTGACACGCGAGGTTTTGCACTGGAGGAGGAGGAGCCAGGAGGAGGAGCCGTTGTAGACGAGGCGGACCTGGAGCCAGTGACGGTGGATGTGGAGTTGGTAGAGGGGAGGGGAGGACGATAAGAGGCTCCTCCGGCCGTCAATCCAGATCCCTCCCCTTCACCCTCTTCCTCACCCTGCCCCGCCTCGTCAATCAGAATTTCCTCTGCCTCATCTGCATCACGTCGCACCACCAAGGGCTGCAGATCATCATCCTCCTCCTCCTCGCTCTCCGCCCCGTTTCGACCTTGACCGTCACTCCCATCTTCACTCCCAAAGAGGGGAGAGCCAATACTGCTCGTCCCTCCACCTACGCCAGACGTCTGTGGGTGAGTGGCAGAAGTGAGGCCGAGGGCAGCAAAGGAGAATTCGCCACTGGGACCTGTACCGCCACTAGAGGATGCAGTAGTGGTGTTGTTTGTGGTAGTGGGAGGTGCTGCACTTCCGCTTCCACTTCCTAGGACAGAAGGAGCTGCAGCGAATGCATCTTCCTCTCTCTTCACGGGCGTCGCTGCCACTGCTGCTGCTGCTTGACCTGGGAGTACACGCTTGTTAGACGGTGATCCCCACGCCGAAGATCCAGCGCGAGGGAGTCCAGTAGACGGAGTTCGAGGACTGAGGAGTCCGGCAGGGGTAAGCGTCTCGCTTCCGCTGCCCCACCCATCGTGATTGAAGTGGTCCATTGCGGCCACGCTGCTGACCCCTGCTGCTGGGTGACTACCACCAAGTGTACCAGAGTGCTGTAAGACGCTAAAGATTTCTCCTGCACCGTCACCGTGGTGGATCGAAGAGGAGGAGGAAGAGGCATGGGCATTGCCATTGGGGGCGTAGGCATAGGCGTTGAATGGGTCTGGGATGGCGGAGAGCATGGGTTCGAGGATGGGGTCGGAGAGGGGCTTAGAGGAGAGACGGTCGTGGACCTCGACTTGTAGCCGGAGGATGTGTGAGAGCTGTGAGCAGCAATGGAAGTAAAGCCCAAAGTCAGTCCACGCTGTTCGCTATAGCCTTCCCTTCCTGCTTCAGCTCACCTTACTGGCCACCCTATCCCACTCCTCTTCCTCTGCCGCCAAAACCTCGACGTAATGTCCCGCCCTCTCCTCGTCCAATCCATCCACGAGCCTCTGCAACTCCTCCAATGCCCTTCTGAAACTTCCCAAATCCCTATCGAGACCCCTCTTTCCCTTTCCCTTTGCTCCACCTCCTCGCAAGTTCTGCTCCTCACACTCCTTGAGATGTCGGGACTTTTCCGCCATGACTTTTGCGTGGTTCAGCTCCCGTTCCGCTGTAGCTCTGCGATGCTCATCGAATGCCTCTAGGAGAGGGATGGAGAAGTCTTTCCAGAATCCATCGGCTAGGAGCTTAGCATGCGAGGCGACGAGGTACTCCAGTCCACTTGCCGCGTGAAGCTGACTGCCGACTTGATGAGCGCCCTTCAAGCGAGCGCACTCCTGTAGTGCATGGGCAAAGTGGGTAGAAGCACCAGAGAGGGCTAGGAGGGCTTGAGTGTAGGATTTGGAAGCGCCAAGGAGGATTTCGTAGGCGGTTAGGGAGGCGGCTTGGTCTTTGCGGGTGACTAGGACCGAGGGACGGAGGTGTGGGGGGAGATGAGGTGGGAGGACATTTGAGGAGGAAGTCGTCGAGGGAGCTGGCGACATCGGGCGCGGCATCACGGCGATATGGACGCTCGTCAGCGATGTTACGAAAGGAGTTGATGGTAAAGCTGCGCAGGACGTCGGGGACGGCTACGACTTCAAAGGAGATGCTTGGCACGCTTCGCAGCACCGGTGACCAGGCTGTGCTTCAAGAAGGAGCGAGCGGAGGAGGAACACAGAGAGAGTGAGACTGAGAGAGCGAAATGCTGAGTCGTACGACAAAGGAGCGTCCGAGTGAAGATACGGTACGTTGTAATGTGCTGCTCCTCTTCGTCGTATTCGTCGTCGTTACCAGCAGCGTCCAAGTCGTGAGGTTGGGTTTTGTTCAGGAGTCGCACCTCGGCTCCTTTCCTCGTCCGGACGCCAAAACAATCAGCCACACACGCCGACGTAGCATTCAAGCTCCGACCAACCTGTCAATTCCCAAAAGTCAGGGGGCGCGCCGGGTACGGATAGAGGATCTTCGGGCGAAGGGACCATCGTCGGGGGGAGAGGTGGTATTGGAAAGGCGACAGAGTAACGAGTGTTCATTGGATGGTGTGTTGTAATGGACACGATACGAGAGCAGTAGATACGGCAACGGGACACCGACTAAGAAACGCACGCAAAAGAAACAGTAGTGTCCATACGACCAACCTTCCCCTGCCCTCTGACCATTGTCTCCTTCTCTCCTATTTACAACAACAAGACCCCTCCCACCACTGCCATCAAGCTACTCAGACCCGCCAGAAGCACGCCAGCGCCAAGATGCCTGCTCGAGGCAGCGGCCGAGGTGCCTGCAGAGGCAGTGGCCTGTGCAGCCGAGGACGTCGAGGCAGCAGCGGCGCTACTAGAGGAGTCGCTTGCACTCGTTGGAGCTGCCGTTGTACCGCTACTTGTGCTGCTACCACTGCTGCTGGAGGCGCTGGAGCTCACTGCCTCTCCCACGACCGTAGGCGCGGTGTAGGTGCCGGTGAAAGAGCTACCTGATCCGGACTTGTCTGTGGATGTGGGAACACCAGAGATGGCGACGGTAGAGAGAGCAAAGTCTCCACTTGCTGCTTGAATCTGGATGAAGTCGGTGTAGGACTCGACGGACTCGTCGCCTTCCAGGTAGGCACGGACGGAGTCTGTGAGGTTGCGTAGCGTTGGAGCGGGGCAAAGGGGCGTCTGCGTCAGCCTCTGCCTTCCAACACCTGCATTACCACTGCTGCTGCTGATGCTGATGTCGCCGCCAGCTTCTCCCCCTCCCCCCGTCGTACTCACAGTTGTAGTTGGTCTTCCACTCAGAGGGCACAATGAACTCAAATCTTCCACATTGAGTTCCCTGAACCACAACGCCCAATCCGTCTCCCGCATCACAGTATCCAGGCTGACTAGGGCTGGCCGCCGATCCAATCTCAAATGCCAATGTCTGATTGGTATCACTGTAATCGTTCATCAGCTGCAGCTTGACTGTTCCATAGGGGGCATTCTGCCAATTGATGTAGGCCGGCTGACCCTGTGTCCAGTCCTTGAAGATGCACCGGTAGTAGCCACAAGCGGGGTAGTCTACCACTAGCTCCGAGTTGGGATCTTGGTACTCTGTGCGAGCGGAGAGGGAGTGAATGGAGCGGGCAGAGGTAGGGGTGACGCTGGTGGCGAGGAGGAGGGAGGCGAGGGTGCTGAAGAGCGTGGTGGCGAGCATGGCGGGTGTGGAAGCTGAGGTCTCGGAGGGTCAGGAGTGGAGAGTGTTGGAGTGGTTGAGTCAGTCAGAAGATGTGATGGTGGAAGATGAATGACGAGTTGAGGAGATATATACAATCAGAAGCCAGGAACCCTCTGCCCCCTTTCCTGGAAGCCAATTGTAGAGGCAAGCAGCTGACCGTTCCTGGTTGGTGCTGGTGCTGCCCTCCTGTCAGCCGGCGCCCCCGGCTCTGTCAGCCCCCCCTTGCGTAGAGGTCGAGGCTTTTCTTCCTGTTTCCGTGCCGACGCACGCCTATGCCCGCGCCGCGTGTCTCGCGCCTCTTGCCGGAACTGCCATCGTGTGGCGTTGGGCGCGGGGAAGACTAACACACACACACGCACACGCAGGGCAGCTTCTGGAGGACATGACACCTGCCATGCCAGACGCCTGACTTTGCTGGTCAAGCTTCATTTGGTTCGTCTTCGGAATGCAAATAGCTGCACGCCAACGTTGTTAACTTCCCGAGGTGCAGAGATGTGTGTGTGTGAGAGTGTGTGTCACAATGGCAGGGCTTGGATCAAGAGCTGATCAGCCCTCTAGCTTCCCGTGTCATGCATGTGTATTTGTGAGATTAGCTGTCACGCCAGTCTTGCGTACGGGATCCGCTCCGGTGAGTTCTCTGCTGCTAGGAATGTCACGGCGTCTTTCAGGGCTGGAGTCCTCGCATGAGTTCGCCATGCGACGACTGCATTGCTCGAGGGAGAGGTGACTTCTTCCCCGACAAGAAACCCGAGACGGGGAGGTGTTTACGCTGACCGCCCCGTCTTCCACTGATGGACACTGCCCGACACTACGTCGAGATGCAAGCCTCTCTGTACCTCTCTGTCAATGACACGGAACTCCTGAGACCATCTCAACAGTAAAAGACGCCATTGGGCCGCGGGCGGTCTTCTTCTCCTTCCGCTCCGTCTTTCTCGAAAGTCGAGTCGTGGCTTAGCCAGCGGTGTCAAGGCGCCAGAAAGGTGTCACATGAAGGAAGCACAGTCAAAGACCGGCCGGCCGTTGTTTGTAAATCTCACCTCATCTCCTCGAGCGTGCGTGAGCGAAGCAGGCAGCCGAATCGCCGAAAGTGACATTCCGTCCGAGGGCAGGCAGGGATGGCAGGCTTCTTCTGACAGGCGACGCGCCCTGATGCTGCGCTTTCAACCCCCCCTTTCTTTGCTCACCTCACCTCGCCAGCCCTGTCTGTCCCCTGCAGCTTTTCCGCGCGCCCCTCAGCCGGACGGGTCCCCGTCGGGACGGCATTGGCTGCTCGCTGCTCCTTCCGTGCGCTCACTCAGGGAATGTGCCCAATGCCTGAAACCACTTCGGCCTCTTGTCTGATAGCTGACGATAATATTCGGCTTGCTTTGCAAGAAAAGAGGAAAAAAAGTCAGCTCCGGATCGCCTTGGCCGAGGCGTTTGCACCGAGTGTGGAGTGGATGCTTATGACTATGCTCTCCAGCTTCGACCCCAGCTCCTTCACGGGGCGGATTATGTCAAGAGGAAGACGGTAGGTGTATTGCAAATTGCAAATCTGGGTGTGACGCTAAGCGAAGTGAGGCAAGGCAGTGAGGCAAGGCAGTGGCGATTTTTCGATCATTTTTCAATTGACCTCACCGGTATCACGCACGGCTGTGGAGTGATGATCATCATCGGCACCCTTCAGGTTCCGAAGGGGGGGAAAAGAGGAGCAGAGCAGAGCAGGAAAAGGCAGGCGAGAATAGACCTGACTTGAATTGCCGTCGGCAAGGCCAGGGATTGAATGGACATGGCGGAACCCGGGCGGCTGCAGCCAAGCACCAAGGTGTACCACAGCAACCCCGGTAGTCCCCTTGAATGACCCATCACTACGATCTAATGAATATTACCCTTCTTCCACTTGCAACCTCGTCGAACCTCCTTCCCTGCACTCCCCTTCGCTCCTCCTCGCTTTATACCCACGGTAGAGTAGAAAAGTGACGCAGGCATGGTCACCGCCACTGCCCCCGTCACACCTCCCTCCACTCCCTTCTCGGCGGGCGAGAGGCACGAGTCTGCCTCTCTCCCCATCTCCTCTCCCGAGCGACTAGTGTATGGCCGCAAGCACATCACGCCCGATGGCGTCTACTCCCTGGTGCTCAACAGACCACGAGAGCACAATGCCCTCTCGAGGGAGATGCTCCTTCAGATGGAGGAGGTCCTAGATGATCTATCTGGCTCTGTAGCTCTCCCTCAGGTAGGCAGAAGACCCTCCCACTTCGACACGCCCCCTTCTTCGACGCTCTCCCTCCACTCCACGCGGGCCTCTTCTCCCGCTGCTATCAAGGACGGACACGGGCCTTCTCAAGAACAGGGGCAAGGACAGGAAGACGTTCAGCCCGTACCGGCTTCAACCGCCCTCACTCCTTCACCCCTCCGAGCACTCATCGTTGAATCCTCTTCTCCAGGCAAATTCTGCGCAGGTGCAGATCTCAAGGAGCGCAAGACGATGACTGAAGAGCAAGTCGTGGCTTTCCTACAGCTACTCAGAACAGTCTTTGATAAGGTGGCGGCCTTTCCTGCGCCGACGATTGCTGCCCTCGATGGACCTACGTTGGGAGGGGGGCTGGAGTTGGCGATTGCTTGTGACTTTAGAGTGGCAAGTGAGTATTGAGGCGGAAGGATCAATGGAGTTGCTGCTGCTGGTAGAGCTCGGTGCTTAATATCATTCCTCCTCTTCCCTCTTCTTCCGCTCATAAGACCGCACCGTCAAGCGCATCGGCTTCCCAGAATCAGGCCTGGGTATCATCCCAGGCGCAGGAGGGACCCAGCGTGCACCGCGTCTTCTAGGTCTCACAAAGGCAAAAGAGCTCATTTACACCGGGAGATCTCTAAGTGCCACCGAGGCACTCGAATGGGGTCTGGTAGACTACCTGACTGACGAAGTCCCTCGGGCAAGTGAGGAAACATCCATCGAGACTGGCGAGCAAGACGCCCCAATTCCTCAGAGCGCCCCCGCCCGCTCTCTCCTCCTCGCAGCGACCATGTCCAATTCAGCTCCTCTGGCTCTGCGCGCAGCCAAATTGTCCATTTCAAAGGGAGCAGAGATGGAGTTGGACGACGCACTGAAGTGGGAAGTGCAATGCTACGAGGATTTGCTGCCTACGCAGGATAGAAGAGAAGCTCTGGAGGCGTTTGCTGAGAAGAGGAAGCCGAACTTTGTTGGTGCTTGAGAAAAGGGGAGAGATCGAGGGACGGAGGGACGGAGGGAAGGAGGGAGGATGTAGACGATAGAGATGGAAGACAATCAAAAGCCTATTCGGAAGGCAGACTCTGTACAAACATACCCAACGAGCCACAGGCTCTGCAGAATGCGCACTAGATCAACGCAAATGACATTTAAAATGACCCCGCGACTGATGCGTTGTAAAAGAACCACGTTGTGGTGGCCTTGCGAGTCTCGACCTGAACTTCATTGGAGCATCAATGCAGTGGAAACGACGCCTGCTTGCAAGCTGTGTGAGTTCCCTTCGTCCCCTTTTGGCAAATGTACACTTTTGTGGCCTCTCTCTCCATGCACTCTTCCAAGAGTCTAGTAGAAGAGCCCTTCTAAGAAGAATCGCTCCCTTCGCAGCACAAAGAAGACTGCCCTTTTATGGGGCAGCTCCACCTCCTTCACAAGGTCCTGTGGCAGGTAAGCCTTGAGCAGCGGAATGATGCTCAAGTCGAATCGGGGCTCTCCGATGACGACCTCTGTGCGTGGCTCGCGCAGGAAGCAGAGGTGCTTCATCGAGACCATAATCGAGGCGAAGCGATGTCTCCCACGGAACTTCTCCTCACCAACGAGGAGATGCGTACCCTGATCGTACGGCCCGCACCCGCCTACAAAGGCCGCCATTCCATCTTCCTGATTCCAATTGCACTCGCCGTACCCCGCCGGCTCGCCATTCCAGCTGACCAGGTATCCCATCTTGTGTGGGTCTGCAAGAGACTCGGAGAGGTACCGCCGGTGGTGTTCTGCATCGCCCTTTTCCCTCCAGCCTACATTGACACGGTCCGAGTTCTGCCAGCGGGTATAGGCATCAAAGTGCGTCTTGTTCGAGGCGTCGATGTGCGTCAGCTCGAGCAGCTCTCCCACAGAAGGGATGAATCGGGCGTAGACTACTGAGCCTGGAGAAGGCTTGGCGGGTCGCAGAGGGTGGGTGGTGAGCACGGGAGGGGCGGTCCGCTGGGTGAAGGAGAGGACAGAGGGGAAGGAGGTGCTTTGCAGATGTGCATTGAAGGGCGAAGGCGGGGTACGTAGCCAAGAGAGGGAAGTGGGAGCACCAGCGCCTGGCCGGAGCAAGGGACAGGAGTTGATTTTGGCGTCAAAAGCGTGAGCAACGACGTCGCCTTGCGCCATCCTTCTAGGCTTCAAGCGCTAGACCGCACACTCACCTTGGTAGAAGGCGGCCTTGACGAGGAGCAGATTCCCCGGCTGCTTGGCTTCTGGCGCTGGGAAGGCAAGACCGGTGTGTACGAGGTACTCATGCACCAGCTTCCTTTGCGCCTCTCCTCCTCCTACTCGAATGGGCAACCGCTCGTACGGGTCTCTGCGCAGCCAGACTGGAGTAGAAGGGGAACAAGTGGGTAGCAAGGCGGCCCTTGTCAGTTTCTCCCTGATACCACCACCGCCCAGCGCTTCCTATGCCCACTCACAAGCATACACGGACACCCAGATATGCCTCATCAGGCCTTCAACAGCTTCTGCTCCGGATCCCACTGCTCCCTCTGCCTCGCCAAGGGTGAGCGTCCAGACATCCTCCCAAACAGCCCTGTGCTCCTGCACAACACCATGCAAACTCGTCTTCTCCTTGTCTCCCTTTCCATCCTCGCGATGCCACTCGGCAATGTGCTCCGCATCATCGTCATCGCTGTCTCTCTTGGCGGCGTTGGCTGTTGAGGCTGAAGGCAGAAAGACGTGGATGGAGTCGAAGGTGTCCACCTCTACCACGCGAGCTCGGGTGTGGTCTGGGAGAGTAAAGTCGAGGCTGAGGGGGCGGTCTGCGAGGGGGATCTCGGCTGACTTTGGTGTGAAGAGGGAGCGAGGGTTAGGCGGGTGAGGAGTGGCCATGCTGGAGGTAGGTGGTGCGCTGCGTGGTATCTTTGGAAGGACAGTAAGACCAGGCAGAAGCGATTCGATCAATTATATGGACAAGCAAGGGATGGAAGATGAGAAGGAAGAAGTTGTCATGCACTTCTGCGTCCCTTCTGTGCGCCTGCACACTCTGCCCACCAATTGTGACACCCACCCGGCCTCTGCATACAGTCATCTGATTATAGCACCACGATCTTTTATCCCCGCCTGCCGGTCTGTCCTTTTGAAAAAGAGGACCCTACTTTCTTCTCCCCTTTCCTCTCCTTCATCTTGCCCCGCTCTGCCTGCCCTCTGTTCCACTCCCGCCGGTCGGCATCGGCGTCCCAAGCAGAGACCAAAAAAATAATACCATCAAGGCAAGGCAAGGCGAGGCCAAGACCAAGTGGAGGCAGCCAGTCTCCGACATTGACATCCAGAAAAGCCAGAAGCGCAAAGGAAAGGAGGGGGCAGAGGGGGACCGTACCAGTCACGGCATCCTCTGCTCCTTAAGCGAGAGAGCCAGTGACGAAAACGACGAAGCGACGCCGGTTTGGTGAGGTAAGTGGGGCCTCGGCAAGTCCTACAGGAGCAATCACATTCCGTCGGTACCTGCAGCTAAGGTCAGGTCAGGTCAGGTCAGGCAAGGACTGGACTGACCAGACCGGACCGTCAACCCCGCCAAGGCCGGTGCTAAGGGAAGAGGTTGCGGGGGTCGAATCGCATTGGTGGTACACTGCTTGGAATTGCCCGAATGCTCAGAAGTAATGGTAATGCGAGGTATCATTTCATCATCTTCTCCTTCTTTTGTCCCTCCGCCTGCCCCCTTCTGCCCAGCCTGTAGTCTACAATCAGCCCTGCCAGAGGGGATTGATGATGAAGAGACAGAGAAGCTAGGGTAGAGGATAGGCAAATATCAAAAAGTGGTAACAGCACGAAAGGTGGAAGGAGGGAATGGGTGACACTGAGGGGGATTCAGCGCCCAGAGCCAGAGTTATGCTCCGGATGAGACTGCCGGAGAAGAAAGAAGAAAGAGCAGAAAGACCGGAAGAGGAGAGGGGAGGGACGTGACCGATTTGGCTCGCAGCTTGACTGGGTCGGTGGAGAGGTCCGCGAACGCTCTTGAGGTAGAGCCAAGCTGTTGATGCTCTCCGCTGAGTCGATTGCCCTGCTGCCGACTGCGCGGAGCGGGCTGAAGGAGAGACCCACGAGCTCTGCCCTGCCCTCGCTCATTATCCACCCTGCCTCGCTCGCCCTTGCCCTTACAGTAATTGCATGTAGTTACTCGGCACAATGCCCGTCTCTCCTGTATCCTTCTTGGCCTGCCACCACTTGCCGCTATTGTCCACGATGTTCAGGATCTCTCCCTTGGCAAAGCCAATCTCCGTAGGATCGTCCGGGTTGGCGCTGTAGGCGTACAGGGCTCTTGCCTTGTAGCCATAGCCTGGTAGAGGATCAGCAGCCCCGACGGAAGGAGCATTGGTGGTGTAATGCGACGGCGAGCTGGCGCCGTCCCCTCCTGCGGCGCCACCAGCAGCCGCCAGGGCTGCCGAGGAATGTTGAGGGGTAAGGTTGCGATGTTGCGAAGCTGACCGGGCCGCAGTGTGCGCTCCTCCCATGTCTGAGCCCGCTTGGCTTCCGCCTCCGTTGCGCTGCGCCTTGTTACCGCCGGTCACATCGGCCGTGGACGGAGATTGCCCGTACGCAGGTTGGTATGCGGCACCACTTGAGCCATACCCTCCCCCAAAGGCCGATCCGTTGCCATTTGCTGAGTTGCTGTTGTTGCCCATTCTCATACCGCCTGGCCCTCCACGAACGCCGGTAGCGCCTCTGTTTCTCCGGCCTCCTCCGAAGCCCATGCCTCCACCACCTGACAGCTGCCCGCCACCGCCCCAGGAGTGGAAGAGGTTGAAGATTGGAGATCCTTCCTCCGATGTGAAGAAGAATAGCCAGATGATGTTGACGATTGTGAGGATAAAGTACCCTGCCGCCATGGCCTCGTAGGACGATGTAGATGAGTAGATGCCCTCATCGATGCCCAGAACAGCGAGTACGAGGGCGACGACGATCCAGGCGGTGAGCTGCAGTCTAGCCATGCCAATAGAATCAGAAGCAAGGGTGACTGCGACGCCTAGGATGACGAACAGTTGCACAAAGATGCCAAACCATACTCGTCCCAGAGGTGTGTCATTGTCTGCTTCTGCCGCTGCTTGGCCAATGAAGGCGACGAGCCATCCGATGGTTGCTAGGACAAGCGTCACAAAGAGGATCTTGTTGGCGAAAAGGAGGCTGAGAAAGGGTGAGGGGAAATAGAATATGACATTCGCCTGTCAGTTTGACTTGCCACCAAAGCGTCTTGTGGTCAGGCTCACTGAAGACTCACGAGAAGTCCATGATTCTGACCTATACGCAACGGTCTTGATGTTTCAATCCCTAGCTGTCGCAGTCTATGCGACACAGGTGATAGACAGGGCAGTCGCGCCTGCTAAAGATACTGGGGAGGTTCTGACCGCGCTGCGCGATTGCAAAGATGGAATGAACAGAGCTACAAGGAAGCCGTTGCAGGAAGTAGGCCCGCCGCCCTTGCTGAGATGACGAGGGAAGGCAACGAAGCCGCGCAATAGATGAAAGGGCGAGAGACCAGGTAGGCAAGCTTGGGGAGTGTGTTTTGCTCACTGCCGGCCAGCTGGGGTGGTCTGGGCGGGACAATGTAGGAGGCTGATGGCTGAGACTGAAGCGTTGTACCCTCTCGAGAAGAGTCGTGATATCGTCAAGACGTTTGTGATCGTGAATGTTCGTATTGGGTTGCTTGTGACCGGGAGTCGCGAGGGGCGGCGAGGGGCGAAGGTATGGATGCAAGCACCAAGGCAGGCGACCAGGCAGGAACACAGCCCCTGCCCTGCCGAGTCACGTGGCCTGCAGGGCGGAAACAGGGCTGAGCTGCTTGGGGGCGCCCGCCTTTCCGTCTGCAGCGTACCACTATCTCCACTACCGCGACCATCCACCACCTCCTGACACCAAGACCATCTCTTCTGTGCATGCCCATCGACACAAGCTTCCGCCGCCCATCTGCAGGCATGATGTTACCCTTGAAGCGTCCTCGAGACGCAGACACTGGCCCAGGCAGGCATGGGTCCGATGGACGTGGAGGGACACAGAGCGGGTCATCCTCTGCCTCTCCACATCAGCAGGCCAAGACCGACTCAGCATCACCTGCCTCGTCAGTACATCGTGCAGAAACGTCTGCTTTCTCTTGTGAGAGATGTGCAAAACGTAAGGTCAAGTGTGACAAGCTTCAGCCTCGCTGCTCCGCCTGTGTTCGGCAAGGAGCTGAATGCACGCCTTCACAGCCGACCTCTGCAGACAGACCTCGCAAGAAGCGCTTCCCAGAAGCCGAGCTGCTACACAGAATCGACGTATATGAGCGGGCACTTCGTCGCCTTGGACTCGACGTGGATGAGGTGAGGGAGGGCAAGGCGGACTTGTCGCTCGCAAGCGCTTCACCTGCTTCTCAGCAGCAGAGAGCCCGTCGTAATGGCACAACAACTCGCGACCCTTCGCCTGCAGAAGCGCACGAGGATTACAATCAGTTCAGTGCCCTCTTCAAAGATTGCGTGGACGGAAAGAAGACCGTCGATACAGACGAAGGCAAGAATCCGGAGCGTCACGTCCTCAAGTTTCTCGACGAGGTTTGGCAGGAGGATGGCTCTCTCTCTCTGCTGTATCCGCCGGGAGATGCTGCGGATGAAAGAGCAGCCGCTCCTGACCATCCATCACCTTTCCAGATACTCAATCTCTGGCAAGTCTATCTGGACAATGCTCATCCTGTCATCAAGGTGCTCCACGCGCCTACCATGCAGAAAAAGGTCGTTGACATGGTTGCCAAACTTAGCGAGCATGGCTCCAAAGACGACGTCGCCCCCAACGGCAGTGTCAATCACAGCAAGCCGTCTTTCACCGCATCGGATCAGGCACTCATCTTCGCCATGTACACTGCTGCCGTCTGCAATTGTCATCCCGAAGACTTCAAGTCAGCTATCGGTACTACCCGCTCAAGGGAGGAGTGGATGCAGCAAATGCGCAAGGCAACACGCTACTGGCTCTACAAGTGCAACATCTATCGCACTTCTGAATTGCAAGTGCTGCAAGCTCTCATACTCTTCCTGAGCGTTCTTGGTGCTGCAATGGACCCACGAACCCTTTGTTCCTTTACAGGACTGAGCGACAGGCTGGCTCGCAGGATCGGCCTTCACCGCGACCGTCCCGCAAAAAGCGACTCGGACCCCGTCGAAGTGGAAATGCGGCGCCGCATATGGTGGGAGGTAGTCTTGCTCGATCAGAGGGCACTTGAAAAGGCAGGACTTGGATCTAGCGGTCTCGACAATAACTGGAGAGTACGACTGCCTTCCGGAGTTGGGGACACCGATCTTGCTACCCATAACGGTCCTGCTACTCCGCGGGGAACGGCTAGTTCCGAAATGATCTTCTTCCTTGTGCGCTGCGAGATTGCATCTTTCCTCCATGAGATCCGTCTCAGTCAAGGCAGAGACGTTGGCTGGACTGAATTCTCGACTCCCCAGAGGTCACTGAAGGACAAGATCGCTCAGATCGACGAGCTTGAACAGCTGATGCAGGAAAGATACCTGGTTCACTGTGACCCAGTCCATGCTATACAGAGACTAGCGATTGTCTTCTGCCAAGGTCTCTTGAGCAAGATGCGGTTATCTGCCTACATCAGCGAGGAGTCACAACAAGCCAGAAGTGCTGGAGATGCTCAAAAAGGCTCGCAAGGCGCAAATGGTACCAGTGGCACGAGACCTGCCGGCTCTCAAGCGGCACACCGTTTGACTCCTTCCACGATTGCGCTGCGCACAGACATGATCACTCTATGTACCGACGCACTTTCCCTGGTGAACGAGCTGCTGTGCGATCCCGCGTTACGCAGATTCCACAGCTTCCTGCACGGCAACAAGCCCTTTGTGGCTGTGCTCCACCTGCTGAGACTGTTGAGGGACCATACTGAAGGCCCGCCGGTAGAGAGGGCATGGCAGGTCCTCAATGAAGCGCAATGGATGTTCAAAGGCACCACTTCGGCAAAGTGTCTGGACAAAGCACCGATGAGGGTGAGAACGCTCATATGTCCTCTACTGTTGACGGCATGGGAAGCTCGAAAAGCCGCAAAGGGGCAGAGTGGCAGGGAGGATCCTCCTTGGATCGCGAATATCCGGATGTACGCCGCCAGGGCATTCATGCCGGAGCAGCTCGATGCTCGTCCAGACGCAGCAGGAAGACAAGGAATTGGAGCAAGCAATGGCATCTCAACAGCACAAGCTGCCCCTCGGGAGCTGGCTGTAGCCCAGACGCTGGCTTCGCAAATGATCGACCAGAATAGCTTGTTTACAGACAGCGACGGCCAACCGCTCGATGTGGCAGCATCCGAAAGGCTGATCCTGCCTCTCGACGAGTCCCTCTCTGCCCCATCCATTGGCTTTTCATCGTCTACGGCATTGCTCGACAACGACTTTGACTGGGAGGAGTGGTTCCGTTCGTCTCTGCTGGGCGAAGCGTCTTTCATGAGTGGTGGTGTGGTGGTATAGAGGAGTCGTCTTGGACGCTGCTCTCGACGGAAGCGACAATGTCAACAATTAATGGACCAAAGACGAGGACGACGACGCGCCCTTTGGTGGATCTGGGGAAATGTCTACTACGACGATCCAGTGCAAAAGCAGCGAGCCGTCCAGATCACGCATCCTTTAGACGACCGACAGCTTCACTTCTGGCGATCGATCTTGGCACGCCATTTGCAATGCGGCAACCGCTAGCTCGACCTCCTGAGTACAGCCACGCAGCTCGTAACAGAACGTGCCAGGTTCACAGGATCTCGCGCACTGTGCATTGTGGTCATGGACGTGGGCGTGCGGGTCGTGCGAGTGGGTCGATGCTTGGCATGCTGCCAAGGCTGTGGATGTCATGCCAAGCAACTGTAATATTGGCGCCCCCTCGGAGCAAGGTCGCCAGGCACCGCACCCCACCACTCGCACCACACGCCAAGATCTCATCGTATTGGAACTCCGCTCCAGTTGCAGAAAGCCCCCGCATCTCGCCCTGGTGATGATCGAGAATCCCTGGCTACCCTCTTCGTACGCAGCCTGCGCTGCCCTCTGCTCCTCCTACGCACTTTGCTATCGTCCCTCACAGCCAATCTCGTGGCGAACGCACGTGCTCTTCAATCCAGTCAGGTCACCATAGCATGCAGACATCTGTCCCTGCAATGAGCACGGTCACATCTCCGACGAGTACACAGCCGACAGGAGGGTGGACTTGGCGAAGCTGAGAGCAAGCAAGCGGAGGACGCTAGAGGCGATGTTAGGACCTATGGTCCCTGCAGCAGATCAGTAGAGGCTGGCTATTCGGCCCCACACCCACCCCACGCTGTGCGGGCTGTCTGTGATCGGCCGCTCTTGGCATTGAGTTTGAGATTGCGTCTGCCACCCAGACCAGACGGCCAGAATTAGAGCAGGCCCTCCCAATTGGCGAGAGGCACCGAGACTATGACTCCGTCGGAGAGGGCATCCGCCTGAATCTCCACAGATGAGGGATGAGCACGTTCTCTCCTCTTTGCGAAGATCCTGGATCCCCGAATCAGGTACCAGCCGTGCACATTGCTCAACGGCAGGGAAGTGCTAGTGGCACTCTAGCCTCGAGTATTATCTGGCGACAGCTTTGATCGGCCAGCAGGGGCAACATCCTCAAGGAGAGGAAGCCTGGATCCGGGTATATAAGGCAACGACAATACGTGGGCGAGTTCTTGCCTCGCTCCTCGTCGTCGACCCCTTAAGCTCAACATTCTCTCGCCCTCAACTTTCCATCTGTGTCTCAGTCGTCGACAAGATGAAAGCTCCTCTCCAGCGTGACACCTTCTCTCCCGCCCAATGGCGCAACATCGGCTTCTACATCGTTGGCATCATGTTGTACAAGTTCGGTCTTGAGTGGTACAACGGAGCCTTCATCACCCTGGCCAACGAGCGCTTCAACAGCAGCAATCGATACACCAACATTGGTATCTTGACTGGTACGAATTATGCCGCTCAGGCCATCGGATCCATCCTCGTCGCTCCGCTGATCAAGCGCTACCCTACCCGAAGTGTTCTGGCCTGCGCCATCATGATCTTCGCCGTCATCTCTACCGTTCCGATGATCGCTGATGCTGCCACTGGTGGTCAGCCCAAGTTCAAGACTGCGAACAACGACGAGCGGTATGGGACTTGGAATCCCAATGGGCTCTTTCCCATCTACGTCGTCAGTGGACTCTCTTATGGTACCGTCGAGCTGATCCGACGTGTTATGCCGAGGGACATTGTCGGTAGCGACGTCGTCAAGCTGAAGAAGATGGACTCTCTCGTCCACGTCCTGTACGAAATTGCTGGTACCTCCGGTGCCTTTACCTCCACCGCCTTGATCGCCAAGTTCGGCTACAACTACTCTTCCCTCCTGACCCCTGTTTGCTTCACCTTTGCTTGCGCAGCCTGGTTCTGCGTTGCTCCCGTCGGAGAGGCCAGCAAGCGCAAGGAGACCGCCAAGCTGGCTGTGTTGGAGAACGAAATCTCTGCCAAGGAGCCTCTCGGCAAGGCCATGTTGGGTGCCTTCAAGGCGTTTGGCAAGGCATTCTACTACGGTGGCTACCTGGTCCTGACCGACAGACGCTTCATCTGGCTCGTTCCCGGCTATACCCTCGCCCTGTACGGACACCGATACCTCGAGAATGGTCTTGCTCCAATCTTTGCCAGGTCCGTCATCGGTCGATCCTCCTATTCGCAGATCATCGTAGGTGGTTCCAACTTCGGTGAGCTCCTCGGTGCTCTCACTGTCATGTGCTTCACCACCCAAGTGCCCACGCCTATGCCATGGCTGCGACTGGACGCTGTTCTCCTGATGCTCGTCTGGGTCATGCCATGGTTCCCGACTACTCGTAACAGCGTCGGATCGGCCTGGAGGCTCGCTGCGACCTTCATCCCCATCTCCTTTGGTTGGGCCGCGGGCGACGTCTCGCTCGCCGCTTACATCCAGTCGACACTGGACAAGGTTGAGTCTCGCGACCCCGACGTGTCCTCTCTGGGCGCAGTCATGAGCTTCCTCTATGTCCTCTATATCATCCTCTATTCGGTCATCAGCTCCACCCTCGGCAGATTTGTCGACAGTAGGCTGCGTGGCCTCACCGGTGCTGCGACGGAGCAACCTGCCCGCGATGTCCTTCGAATGGTCGCTGGCGTACACTTCACTGTGCTGTCCGCGATCATCATCGCCTCGACGTTCATTCCCAAGGGCTCTTTCGCACTCAACCCCAAGGCCATCGATGTCGTCCCCGGTGCGACGGATGAGGAGACCGATGGGGTTCAGAGGAGGGACATCGACGGTTTGGATGAGGATGAGGAGCTGAAGAAGACGGCGCCCGAGAATGAGAGACCCTCCGAGCTCGCAAAATGAAGATGCAGAAAAGTCTTGTTGGATCCGCAGTGCTACAAGCCCTGTTACTCGCCCCGTCATGACTCACTCTCGATATCCCTCTGTGTGCGTCGCCAGATGCCTGCTCTAATACATCTTCCGGTCCCTCGTCTCCCGTGTTCTCGATTGTTTCCAACGGTCACTATGTATTTCTTTCCCGACTTGATGCTTTTCAATAGTCTCAACGTCTATGTATAATTCTCTTGTATCTTACCAGTGCTCTGTGTTTGAGATGTGTTGCCCGTTGGCCTGCCTACCCTCGTCTTCTGTGCTGAAAACGACTACTTGGCGTCCCAAGGCCCTCCTTGCCTTGACCCGGCTGTACCCCAAAGCGCGAGAAGAGCCGGAGACGAAGCCGGCAGCCGGTCATGACTCCTCCTCTTTCCGCTAAGGTTGCTCCTGCGCTCCCTGCCTATACCGCACTTTTCTCACTGATCAGGATCTCCTCGTGAAGGTCAGGACCTTCTATCTGGTCACAGCCACTCCACCGCAGCGCAGCGCAACTTGCTTCCTTCTCCCGTCTCACAAGAACTACCCTAAGTACTTGGAAAGTGAAGGATGTCTGCGTCCACTCCCTCTCCCAGCGACGCACCTCAAAGTGATGTAGATGCCTTCCTCTCCATAGAGCTCATAGAGCCTCCTTCCCCTTCTTCCTCCTCCTCCTCATCTTCCTCGTCGTCAGTGGTGCCAACCTCGACGGACTATGCCGCTTCCTCTTCCACGCCAGTAAGGTGGTACCAGTCCGCACGCGCCCCACGGAGGATGGGGAACGCGGGGGATATGGGCTACGGAGGGTACACCATCTCCATTGCCGTCTATTCTGCCTGCGTACATGTCCTACCCTCTACACTACCGCCAGAAGAAGGATCGCCGAGGTTCCGAATCTACTCGGCTAGTGGAGTCTTCCTTCGACCTTCCTCTACCAAGAGTCGTTTTCTCACGAGGGTAGGACTGTTGAGGGATACGAGGACTTTCAAGACGTGCGAGGTGAGGGTTTATCAAGGGGATTGGAATGATCTGAGGTTGTGCATGACGGCCACTGTGGATTTCATGCTTGCCACGCCTACTGCCATCAAAGGTCAAAGTCAGGATCGATCCATTTTACAATACTCTACTCAGCCCTCGATGGATGTAACGCACTACTCTCAATTACAAGACGACTCGGAGACGTACGCTTCCCGATCTGACCTACCTCCAAAGGGACTCCAAGCCTTTAAAGAAATCTTTACTCCAGCTCACGCAAATATGCAAAGTAGATCTCCACCTCAAAGTCTCTGGTTGCAAAATGCATGGGGAATCCTAAAGCACAAGAAGACTACGCAGGATTCTCTCCCCTTGGTGGAAAAGCGAGGATATGATTGGATGCGTGCTAGAGAAAAGTATAATGGGTATGCCAAGCAAGCTGGAGCTTTAGCTTGGTTGATGGATGCGGCCATTTCTTTTGCTCCTCTTAGCTACTCGCACCGATTCTTGGACGATGCCGCTGCTGCTTCTACACTCAGCTTTAATATGGCTTATCATGAAGAGGAGATCCAACTGGATGAGAAGTGGCATTTGAGAGAGATTCGCACCACGGATGGGAGGTGGGAGAGGAGTACTGGGGAGGCAAAGATTTGGATTGAAGAGGAAGAGGAGGAGGGGAAGCAGAAGGGGAAGGGAGAGATGCGATGTGTGGCCACGATGACGCAGAGTTGTGTACTCAAGGCCAAACCGGCAGCGCCTGCGAGCAAGCTGTGAATAGAATAGAGCATGTAGACGGATCGCGACTTCAATCCAAGGGACACTCGTCAAACCTAAGGAGACGCACAAACGTGACGGTAACGATGACAATGATGGTGACGAAGATAGATGGGTTGCGAAGGAACAATGGGTATGCTAGATTCTCATTACAGCGCAGAAGTGATGATGACTCGAAAGTAGGGAAAGGAAAATCCTGGAGAGGGGATAGCGGAGAGTTGGAAGCGTCTCCCGCTTCCAGTGACGTAGGGCTGGTGTGCCGTACAAGGACGCCTATTCTCCTTGCACTGTCGTCCGCCATCTTTAGAGTGCAGTCGCGAACCTCTAGACATGGTATAGGGTATCTTGTCTGGTGAAGAAAGAGAGAGCTAGTAGAATCCGGTAAAGGGTCGAAACATTTTGGGACAAAGAGGAAGGTCGCGGCCACCAGTGTGATGAGGCTGCAACCAAGTAGAAATCGAAAGTAGTCGTCGCATGCCTTTCCTTTGAGAGAGTGACTTTGCTTTTGCGTGTGATGCTTAGCACTCAACGCTTCCCTCGCTATCGAGGTTGTTGGTGATCCAGCCATACTTGAGTCCATCCTGGTAGGACCACTCGCTAGCCGACTCGGTCTTCCAAGTCCAGTAAATCCAGCCAGATCCAGTCTCATAAACGTCCCTCTGGGTATCAAAGAGCTGCTTCAGCTGAGTCTTGAAGGCACTAGAGAAGTTGGCGCCATTGCCCGTCTTGCTCGAGCAGTTTCCGATTTTGGGACTGTTGTCGTACTGTCCCTCGTATCGGCTGCCTCGACCACGACCATTGAGCCACATTGCACAATCCGTGTTAGCCGAAGTCCACTCTCCTACAATGGTCCAAAGGTGAGACTGGGCGTTGGCCAACTTGGAGCGGTAAGTGCAGATGTCATTCAGCCTCGTGGTCTGGTTCCAGGCGACTTGAGTAGGGGTGAAGATGCTGTACTGGTGGTGGTCAAGGACGACATTCTGGTACGTAGGAGGCTGCAGCTCATTGTACCAGCGGGACAAGTCTTGGAAACCATCGTGGATCATCACGGCCTGGCTGGTGGGGCTCTTCTTGCCCTGAGCGTACCTGACCGACGAGTAGGCGCTCTCGTAGTAGTCGATTGTGAACTCGAGGGCACCTCCAATGTTGGCCGTGGTCAGAGGCTCATTGAGAAGCTCGATGGCAGAGACAGTATCGCCATAGGCAGAGGTGGAGAATTTCTTGGCCATTGTGGAGATGGCAGCCTGAGCTCGGTCAGCTCGGGACTGGACATTGAACCAACCAGGGCTGGTCCTGCGGTGACCGGAGTTGTCAAAGCCATTCTGAGAGGCGGGAGCACCGTGGAGGTCAATGACTACCTTGAGTCCGTACTTTTGCGCCCAGCCAACGGCCTTTGTGAGGTAGCTGAATTGACTGCCCTGGCAGTAAGGGGCATAGTCGCTGTCAAATGCCCAGTAGCCAATGGGGATACGAACGGTGTTCAGGCCTGCGGCACTGATGGCCTTGAAGTCGCTTTCTGTGATCCAGGTCTTCCAGTGTGAGGCAAGGAGGCTGCAGGCCTTCTTGGAGTATTGGCCAAAGGTGTACTCGTCGACGATTCGCGAGTCTCCGCCGGCTCTGAGGTAGGGTAGGGGATGAGAAGTGGGAGAAAGAAAAGGCAAGTCAGCCCAGAGCTTGCGTCGTCAATTGCCGACTGATTTGTACTCACTGGAACAAGCTGGGGGTGATGAAGGGCTCGGCGACGAGCCAGCCACCAATGTTGACTCCCCTGACCTTTGTGCTACCAAAGTTGAATCGCTTCTGCAACGAGGAGCTGTTGGAGGCTGCTTCACGAGCAAAGACGGCGTCAGGGGCGTGGCCAAAGGGGAGTGCGCGTGGGCCAGCAGCAGATACGAGGGGGAGCAAGATGCTGAGGAGGCAGGTGAGAGAGACGAGGCGCAACATCTTGAGAGGTAGGTAGTAGTGTGCGTAGTGCAGTGGTAGAGTGCTAGTGATAGAGGTTCTTGGAGAGAAGAAGGGTATGCAATTGCCTCGGTGCAGAGATCTATATGCTGTTCCGGAGGTGTTCGAGGGCTGAACAATGACGACGATGACACACAAAGAGGAGTAGCGGGGTCAGTACGGGGTTCCCTTGTTCTTGTCGATGCTTGGCTGTGTGCGGTAGTCTGCACCCGCCACTCGCAGGCACTTACGGCCCGAGACGAGGGAGTTCCGAGCGTGATCACTGCACGGCGGTTTGTGCCGAGGGTACTCACAAGCGTGCTAGGAGTGAGGCAGCCGTAACAATGGGGAGATAAGAGGGAGTGAGAGGAAGGGAGAGGAGGGAATGGAGAGGACTAAAGAGAAAGGAGGGGGACAGGGGGGGGACAAGACGATAAGGGAGAGTACTACTTTAGATATTGAGGGAGGGGATCCAACCGGAAAGGGGAGTATGGCCCTGGCGAGTCTTATAAGGGAAGGTGTACCTCCACCGCGGAAAGGTTCAAGCGAGGCGAGGTGCATCCATAGCACCAGCCAATGAATGAAGGACATTGTGATGGGTCCGAATGCCATGGTTCGGTGGTAGCCGAGGCAGCAGCGGGACTTCTTCGAGGCTTGATGACAAGGCTCCGACCGGCATCTCGATAAGAGGGGCAAGATGAGCCGGTATCCACCTGGGTGAGGAGCCTCAGGGGTACATTGCCAGGTGGTAGCCCTAGGGGCAGCAACGGCAGCACCCGCACCCACAGCACTTTCGGCCACCACCTCTGCCATCAGCAGCAGCAGGCTGTAAGACAACCGGCAGTGTAATGGTCTACCAGGAAGGTGTGTGTGTGGCTCGCGTCGCAGACCAATGGGAGGGACATATTGCACGTTCCAGTGTTTCCATGCCATGGCTTCCCTCGCGTAAGTTTCAGCTGTGCATCCTCACCTTTACGCTTGGGTGGAATCTCCCCTTTCCCCGCTTCAGCCCCCGAGGCGCAGCGCTATCTCTTCCCCCATCTGCACCCATTCCGCCTTGGCTCCCTCTACCCTGCCTGCCTACCTGCCTGCATCAAACCCCGACGCAACCCCCCAAGCAACACGCAGCACTCTACCACTGGGCCCCTCGCCCCATCTCTCCCTTTGCTCAGTCGGACTTGGGATACCCGACCGAAGCCCAGGTTAAACTCTCCCTCTCTTGTCTACCGACTACCTCAGATCTCCACTCCGACAAGCATCGTCTGGCTCGCCACTTTGCGCGCCAAGGAAAGACTAACGCTAAACTCCAGCAGCTGCGAGCGAGCGGCGACGGACGGACTGACTGACTGACTGACTTGTAATTTCGCGGTTGGACAGACGCGAGGAACGGAAGACCCTCATACACACATACACCTACGCTTAGCCTGACCCTTTCTTGTTACCGATGTTCAGAAGAAACAAGTCAGGAATGTCTAGCACTACACTCCACTCCACTCGAGCACCTTCACCAGTGGCCAAATTCCTCTCCTTTTCGAGGGCCGGAGCGCGGAGAGGACACACACACACATAGAAGTCATTTCGAAGGAGTTGTTTTCCAAAGAATGTCAAAACATACCACGACACCTTTACACTTTTCTCAGGTGTGTCCATTCCTTGCTGTGTGATAGCAGGAGGGGGGACCCTATTGCAATCGTTGATGTATCTACATGGCAAATCACAAGCACAGTCCATTGAGCCGCACACCTACCCTCCCTTTCCGGCACCCCACACTTCACGCTGTCCCGAAGTTGCCGCGTCGGCAGAGTGATCCGTCTGTGATCGAGGGGGAGGAGGAAAGGGAGGAGTCGTCCAGCTCCAGCTGCTGGGTGCGTACACGTGTGTGCAAAACAAAGGAGAGCAAAGGAAGGTCGTGCTTCTGGAGTGTCAAGCGGAAGAATCGATTTGGAGGGACAAGCAGGTATAGTACAACACGCGACTACCGCAACGAGGGCGTCTTGACGAAGCTGTCGAGTGAACATCGAACAATGGGCAGAAGGCATGCAGCATCAGCGTTTCCACTCTCCTCATCGCCAAAGTCCGCTCCCCCTTCTCCTCCCCCTTGTACTCACGTCGCATCAATCTGCGCCACCTGTGTCAGCGTCAGCATGATCTTTCTCCTGTACCCGCTCCCTTCCTTTCTCTGCACTGGATTGCCCTCGAGGTAAATCGTCTCTAGCTTTGGACAGCTCTTGGGTCCCAGTTGCTCTTCGAGGTTTTGAAAGGTGGAGATGAGATTGTCGTTTGCCTGGACAGTCAATGACGGTTGATGATGCACGGTTGTCAGTAAATGCCGAGGTTGGGAAGAGGGCGAGCTTCCCTCTCTCCTTCCCGGCCCACTCACCCAGAACTCCTCGAGTTCAGTCAAGCCCTCCAGTCCTCCAATCGCCTCGATCTTGTTTCCTCCCACATCCAACACCCGGAGTTTCTTGAGCTCCGACAGACCCTCGATGACTTTCAAACCATTATGAGAGACGTAGAGCTCCTCAAGACTTGTGAGGTGGTCGAGATTCTCCAGCTTTGTGATGCGGTTGGACTGGATTGAGAGGATGCGCAGGGAGCTGAATGGATCGAGGTTCTATTGAGGAGAGTGGAAAAGCGACGACGGCAATCAGATAGTCAGCTTTCCTCTACTGATGCTCCGCTCGAGCATCATACTCACCTCTAGCCTCTCGATCTTGTTCTTGCCCAACCACAACTCCTCCAATCTCGTCAATCTCTCCAGCCCTTCAATCTTCCTGAGCTTATTCCCTCCAAGCTCCAGACTTGTGAGAGTTTCAGCAATGGGCCCTTCAAAGTCTGTGTCTCTGACTTTGCTAATCTTGTTCTGGACAAAGTAGAGCGTCTTGAGTTTGCTCAGCTGTGCGAGATGGGAGATGTGTCGGATGGAGTTGAAGGAGTAGTCGAGTGTGTGTAGGTCTGGACAGCCATTCGTGAGAACCTCGCCGTAGGTCTTCTCGAGGGCATTGTCGTAGAGGTCTAACTCGGTCAGCTTGGATAGAGAGCCGATGTCTTGTGGGGAGAGCTTGGAGATGAGATTTTGGCGTAGGCAGATCGATTGTAGGTGTGAGGAGAACCGCGGGAGATTTAGATGCCGCAGATCCTTCGTCTTGAGAGACAGATGTGTGAGCTCGAGTGACTGATCAGGGATGCGGAGGATATCGCAGAGCCAGTCAGTGCCTGTGTCTCGTCCTGTTCGGTCTCCTGACATCAGTCCGCACTCACCTCCTCCCCGACTGCAAAGTTGGCGAGCAAGTCTACCAACTCCTCCTCCGTCTCCTTGTCTGCACCAGTACCACCATTGACTCCATTCTCAGCTACCTCGTCATCCGAGTCTACGTCATCTTCCTCCTCGGGCCGATCAGCATCGTCATCGCTGTGAGTGTCGTCCTTTGGAATGGGAGGGCCAGGAGGTGGGGCTCCTACCAGCTGTACTCTCCGCGCTGGGGCGGGATTAGAAGGTCCCGCCGTGGGAGACAAAGCCGATGAGGATGCTTGATGGCTGTCTGTCATAGCTAGCTCAGGATGATGTACTGTGTGACTGATAGGCTTGCGAAGGTCATGCGTACGGAAGAACTTGATTCGCAGGCGCGTTTCGCTCAGTCGGGCGACGGAAGCAGCGGGGGCCAGTGTTGCTCTCCAGTGGCCCAAGCTCACACCAGAAGCACAGCGGTAGGAGCATAGCATACACCTCCGCTCTGCTCCATGCTCACCACTCGCTCTCGTCTCAGCTCCAGCTCATTCTCGATCTCTCCTCCCGCACCTGAGGCTCTTGATGGCAACGGTCAAGATCGTCACCTTGCTCGTCCGCACCCTCGCCAAGCCCATTGCGACGCAGCTCCGCACCCAGGCAGCCCAGCATGACTCCTTTCGCAGGGTATGCATCGGAATCGCCCAGAGGCTACACAGGGTCGAGATGACACTACGGTGGGGATTGGTGCCCAAGGCGCCTCAGAGGGAGAACCACAACGATGGCAAAGGTGATGGTGGAGAGGGTGGAGAAGGCGGGGAGAAGGGTGGTGGAGAAGCACATCACCACGCCTCGACTATATCTCGGCCTAAAGTGCGGCCGCTGAACGAGGCAAAGGCCGTGGCTAACGGCGCCGTCTTCCTCTCTGAAGCGTTTCTCTTCATCATTGCTGCTGGTCTCATCCTAGGGGAGAGCTTGAGAAGCAGCGCAAAGAGTAGACAACAGAGGAATCGCACAGAGGAGAGGACAGAAGAGGTGGCTAGGGCCGTGGAGGCGCTAGGTCGTAGGCTCGGGGTGGATACGGGCTTGGCATTAGAGGAGCCAACGGAGCAGGAGGGAGCTAGTGGTGCAGTAGAGGAAGCAGGCTTAGAGACAGAGCCTCACACAAGAACATCGGTGCGGTCTCGCGAAGAAGACGAGGCAGTGCGGCTTCGCAAAGCAGTAGACGTCCTTCTACGCATGGCCATCAATGGCGGGCTAATTCAGGGTCAGGACGCTCTGGACCTCAATGGTATCATGCAAGGCAACGATACGCCATCGAATCCACAGCCAGAAGGTCAGGCACAGGGCGAACCTGTCAAGCCTGGTCAGACGGCGGCGACGCCGATCACTTCCTCGACGCCTCCTTCGCCGATCCTGCAGCAGCTGGCTGCCCATCGGGCGAAGCAGCTTGCGGAGCTGTCGAGGATACAAGCTTCATGAGAGGATGCACAGACGGGCAATTGCCTCCACGGACCGTCATTAAGAGCGTCAGCATATCTCGCAGCAGGAGCATCTCGTGTCACCTACACCCGCACCTTCCCTCACCACTTATGCACAGTAGTCATCCAGTCACTCAGACCCATCATGGCCTCATTTCAGTCTCCTCAATTCATACCAGCAGCTCTAAGCAGGCAAAAGCAATGCAATCATCACAGCTCTCCCATCACTCTTACTCTGCGTGCGAGCACTTTCGGGATGTATCTGTCTGCCTGTCTGTCTGTCGATCAATTGTGCGTGTGTGCGCTTTGCTTCTGCATCGTAGCAGCAACGGGAACCGGTGCCTGAGCGGCGTGGGAGCTCGACGAAGACAGGAAGATGGAAGACGGAAGATCTATGACGACGATTACATGTGCCCGCGTCGTGCGAGCAAAGCTGCGTCGTCTGTACTGACTGACTGACTGATTCCTCTGCATCTTTCATTCTCATCTACTACTGATACGACAGACTCCCTTCGCTCGAGAGACCTCTTCAGATGTCCGTTCCAGAGTCAGTCACACTTCCGGCTGTGGAATCTGAGGATGAGCTGGCGCAGTATACTGCAGAGAGCGAGCCTGAGCAGGAGGCTGATACGCTGGAGCCTCTTATCACCTCGGCATCGTCATGCGACAAGGATGGCTTTTCTGCGATTAGCACTCGCCAAGGAGACATGTCGCCAGACAAAGAGAAGATGGGAGTCCAAAGCCATTTGAATCTGCAACCTCGTTTGGATGCGGCAGAAGGCAGGACCACACCACAAAAGCCACATCACCCAGAGACAGAGCGGACCTTGCATCCCCTCCTTTCGGATGAGTCTCCCGACCGTCGTGAGGCCGCTCAGTTGTCGCAAAATCAGAGGAACATCACCCTATCTTCAAGTGATCCCCTTGTACAAAGCTCGGAGCCAACGACTGGATCACTCTTTCGTGGTCAGGATGACGACAGTGAAGATGATGAACAAGACAGTTTCCATCCCACACTGCAGATCCATGACACCCCGGGAGCCTCAGACTCGAAGTCGATCTCAATGTCGAGTCCCAAAGAGGAGATGTCACTTCATACCTATGGTCCCTCGTCCTTCACTCCAAAAAGACGCTTATTTGTCAACACGGTCAGCCGCAAGTACGGTAAGATCCGCGGCGTGGAGGATGATGAATGTGACGATAGCCCTGAAGACGTCAGAGCGCGAGCGAGGCTGGCTACGTCGCCGCCAACGCCGACAAGTCCAGTGATCGGCTCCGCTAGAACTACATTTGGCGACGCCTCTCAGAGGTCAAGCTCACCTTCCGAGCAAGTCGTCGCCCGTCGACTCCCTGTCAATGAAGACAAGCTTCCAAATACTGGCAAGTCAGAGCAGGTACGCAAACATTATCCTCCTGGCTCAGAATTCGAGATGACTGGCCAGCGCCGTGTCGGTCTCGGAGACGGCCATGCAAGCCCAAGCGCATCCCCTTCGCGCAAGCTGTGCGTAGCGACCAGAGGCATGGACCTCAATGAGGCTATTGAGATCTCTTCCACCTCTGAAGCCGACGCTGACTCCACCTCGGACTCGGAGGACTGCGTCGAGTGCGATGCTGAGGGAAACGTCCTCCTTCGAACACCTGCAGTGATCGCAGACGAGATCGAACGCAGAGCCCTCGCTGGTATGGCCCGAGTGGCGGAAGCGCAGAGGACACCGACCAAGTCTCGAAGCAGAGGCAAGCAGTCTCCCGTCAAATTCGAGCGTCGGTCCCCCCACAGTGCATCCAAGAGCCGCAAGCTAATGTACAACTCGTCTCAATCCACCAGCGAGATTAAGAAGCGCTACAACTCCTCCTCTTCGGATGAAGGCATGTTTCGAGACGCCGATGATGCTGACGACAAGTCTCGCCTCGCCGGACCCTCGACTCCCTCCAAACGTCGTCGACGGCCTCACGAGGGGCCCAAACGCGTTCTGCCCGAATGGCAGCAGTGGGAGGATCTCCTTATCACACACGAGGCAAGTGCGGGCAAGCTGGGCAGTGCTGGACATATCTTGGTGAAGATTAATGAGAAGAGGGAGACGCAGGGACTGGAGTTGCGCGAGGCGCAGGATGTTAGGAATCGATGGGCAAAGCTGAAGGCTACCATGCAGGTGAGTGTACACCTCCGTCAACGGGCAGCATACGTCAATGAGAGGGTGGGGCAAAAGTATGAGTCACTGAAGTCGGTTCTATGCGTATGGTTTTCTGCATCTCTCCCTTGCTCTCCATTCTGCAGAGTAGTGTCGTCGCCTTGCACCGAGGCTCCTGAGACCTTATAACAGACAGTCACGTCTCGCTCAGTTAGCGTCTGGTCTCATGCGGATGCTGCGCTGTAGACAGCGAAGGCTTCTTAGATTGCTATGCTCAATGCTACTCCTCTTCATCGCTATCGTCACTGCCGTATGCAGCCAAGCCGCCCAAACCAGCGCTCTTGCTCTTACCAGCCGGAGCAGGTGCTGTCTGCTGCTTGTTGGCAGGGGAAGAGGCTGCTTGTCCTTGCTGCTTTCGTAGTGCTTGGAGGTGGGCAAGCCCTCCAATCGCTTCAGTCGAGAAGAAGGCAGCGCCATTGCCTGACCCGTTCGACGCGGTCTTGCCATTGGCGGCTGTATCGACTTGCTGTTCTGACGCTGCTGCTTGTGACTGCGACACTTGCTGCTGCTGTTTCGCTGCCTCCTCTTGCCGCGCCATCTCCTCCCAGTTCCTCTGATTCTCTGCAATGAGGCGAGCCATCTCCTCATCCTCCTCAGCAGTAGTCCCGCCAGCGCCTTCGATTCTCATCCTCTTGTTGCCGTCTTCGCCTGCCTCTAGCTGCTCTCGCGCCTTCAGCACCTCCCACTCCTCAGGCGTCATGTTTTCGAGCACCCTCTTGCCGCCTTCAATTTCCATTCTTCTCTTTTCCCTTTGAATGGCACCAGGATTGGGATCCTCTGTTGACCAGCGGATATTGAGGATCTCATCGTGGTCGAGGGACTGGTTGGACATGGCCGCCTTTGCGAATTGAGCAGAGGCTTCCGACAGATAGGTCACGAATGCGCATCCACGATGATGTAGGACTTTGACTGTGAAGACGACGAGTCGGTAAAGAGGAGATGAGATCTCAATGGGTCAGGAACTGGGCCTCATCATGCCAGCGCTCTGCTCTTCAACGCCTACTCACCTCGCTCGATGGTACCCCATTCACCGAAGTGCCTCCTCAGGACCTTCTCAGTGTTGCTCATAACGAACGGCCCTTTGTGGGCCATACCGCCTTCCCTTCTCGCTTGACCAACGCTCTTACCGCCTTTCACTGTCCTACCTCCATCACGCCATGAGGGGCCGCCGGGCGTATTGGCGCCGCCCCCGTTAGAGATGCGTCTCAGATCGTCCTCTTCCTCGTGGATCCTGCCCACATACAGCGTCCGGTTGACTCGCTGGATAGAGCCGATACCGCCCATGTCATCCTTGTAGTCTCCCATCTTTTCCCGCCCAAAGACATCCCGCCCTTGGTCATTAGTGGCAGTATGAGCTTGAGCCATGCTAGCTTCACTAGCTGAAGGCGGGAGGCGATGCAGGTATGCGCAGTCCGTGCCGTTCGAGCAACGGCCCTTGGCAAAGGGAAGACAGATGATGGTAGCATTTAGGAAGTCTCCGCGGGTATAGCCGGCATCTCGAGCGATCGAACAGCGAGTCGGCGCCTTCTTCTGGACCGGGGCCTCACGGTCTCCGCCAGACCACTTGTTGTACCAGATGTTATACGAGACGCCGCTGTAAAGTGGGACAACAGATCTTATCGTCAGTTGCGGCACTGATTATCATCAGCTATACCCACAGTGTTTCACTCACGTCTGGGTTGACTTGTCTGCCTCTTGTCTGAGCTGTTCAGCTCTTTGAGGAGTGATCTGCCTCCGAGCCGGCCGGCTCTTGTAGGCAGAGGCTGTCCCGGTGGTAGAGGCAATGGCAGTGGATGACGACGAGACCGCGTCTAAGACTGGTGAGGCGGATGGTCCAGCTTCAGCGTCGCCTATGGCTGAAGGTCCTACGCCGGGCGCAGGAGTCGGAGCAGCGTTCATGCTTGGCTGATGTGAGGGGCAGGGGCAGGAAGCATGTACCTGGGAGTAGCGCCGGAAGGGGCTACCCAGCTTAGGCCTTTCCGTCCTTCCGTTCCGATGATGGTCGCGTTGCGCGGCCGAGGGCACCCGACAGTCGCATGGGTAGACTACAAGCCGGGATTTCGAAGCATTGAACCTCGTCTCACCCCTCACGCATATCACCCTTCCCGCCTCGCTACAATCATGATCCCATCGCAGCCTCTGAACAGTGGGATGCCTACGGGCAAGAAGTACGTGAGTATGACCTGCAGCGCCGCCGAGGCCGGGATGGTGAAGATCCAGGTGGCACATGCTCAGCTTTCTGACCCGCATACCGTTGCTTCGTCTTCTACCCGCCTCTTCCATCGACCTTGACCTAATCATATATGCGTCGCCGCTCTCAACGGTGTAAACTACTTCGACCTCTCTTCTCCCACGGACTCTAACTTCTACGCTTCCGCTGGACGGACGTTCGAACTGTCAGATGGGATGGTGGGGAGACATGGGAGGACCAAAGCAGAGGGGAATCGTTCAATACGGTGAGTCTCGTGGCAGCCTTGAAGGAAGCACACTGGGCTACAGGATGTCGTGAGAAGCAGTTGCTGTCGTTGAGGGACACTCCAACCCCTGATGGTTTCCGCTACGAGGCGGAGACTGTGCGACGTCTCATCTGGAAAAAGATGGGCCGTGGCAGCTGTTCCACGGGCGGCATGGCAAGATGTACTTCGATCAGGTGGGCCAAAGGTCTCTCACCTTGACCTGGGGTCCAGCTGGGGGACTCGTCCGAGATGTTCATCGGTCAAGATAGCAGCGGCCATCGATCGTAGAGGGACTTAACATTGCACTAGCCACTGTTCCGATTCGAGCAGTCGAATGTTCTCACGGCAGCATGCTCACCTACACTTCCTTCCACTCTGTTTGTGCTGCTGATGACAGGAATCTCGTCGAACCAGCAAGCGCCTATGCACGGAGCTCTGCGTCAGTACGTCTTCTACGGCTACAAGAGGCTCATGACCAAGCTTCCTTACTGGGGACCCATCCTTGCTGCCAGTGAGTCTCAGAGACATCGTTTGCGACTTAGCTCCAACCCACCGTACTGACGTTCCCTCCTTCGTGCCATTGCCTCTGCCCCTCGGCGTCGCAGCATACGGAGTCATCGCATGGGGATCGCACCGCAACCACTACCTCAATTCGAAGGCTGGCCATCTGGAGTTCGCCGAGCACGACGAGTAGAATGCTGGAGTAGGCGGTGAAATCAGGAACACGCGAGGTCGGCAGAGTCTGCCCTCGTTGCATTTGTCCCGTTCGACTTTCAATCAATCAGCCTTAAGATCAGTATATGCGTTGCTGCAGGTTGATCGGAACGGGTGGGCTAGGTACGGGTATTTGCCCGAAGCATGGAATGTCGCAGCGGAGACCTGATTGAAGACTGCTGCCAGTCGCTCTACTTCCGTCTCCTTGGTGTCTATGAGACGAGGCGAGGCGAGGGCTATGCAGGGTCGCTTACTGACAGGGCCAAATAGCCGCGCGAGTGTTGCGACCATGGGGTTGTGTTGCTCTGTCACTGCTATCCCTCGCCTTTCCGTGGTCGTACCAGAGCTGTGTGTGTCTCGTTGCTGCTGTGGTAGCCGAAGTATCTCCGCTGCTGCCACTGTCTGCAAGTGCTGTCGCTCTCTCTCTTTCACTATCAAGAGTACCTTGATGGTTTAAGACACGGATGGGATCTGTCGCGGAAAGCGAGGGGCGGTGGCCTGGCCTCAGTCCTGTTGGATTCGTGCTGCGTTCCCACGGTCGCAAGACGCTTTGTCTCCGAAGCCGATACTTGGGGTGAGCAAAGTTGTTTCCCTCGCGCCTATCTTGTCTATCAGGGCGAGGCGCTTTAGCTCAGCAAGTGGGGTCGCGGATTCCCATGATCCTTCTACGCCTTCACACGCAGGCAGGTAAGCACTTGTTGCGTGACTCGGGAGTGTCGTGAACAGATGAGGTATTCTAGCCCTGGATCCCCACGCGAGCATTCCTCTCTCTTTGAGACTCTGGCTGCATGGCGCGTTAGCTGCATTGCACGCTGGCTTGGCTCCATTTCCTCAGACTGTCTCTCCTCGCTCGGCCTTGTAGGCTTGGCAACCGGCGGAAATGAAGAGGTCCAAGTATGGAAGGCAGCAGGGCGAAGCGAATCAATCGGGGCCGGCGGGCCCGTTGGAGCGGCTAAGCGAAGCAGAGGGCGGAGGCACGGCGGCGGGCGCGTCTTCGTCAGCTTAGCGCTTGGAGTGGAACCCTTGGTGGTGCTGTTGGGTGGGTGCCGTTGGTGCAGGCGCAGGCGCAGGTGCAGGTGCTGCTGCTGCTGCTCTTCGCCCTTGTGTTTGTAGCTTGCTTGGGTTTCCGTGCCGCTCCACTGTCCTCTGCGTCGGAGAAGCGTGGCGCGGCAGGAGAAGCAACGCCCCCCAGGCACCTCGGCCCAGGGCCAGTCTTGGCGACCCACCACCGACGACGACAGACGACACCGACGGACGACGAACGGCCATTGGATGATGCGCCCCACCCCGCTCGCCCTTGAAACCCTGAAGGAGCAGCAGCAGCAGCAGCAGCAGCAGAGCAACCACGGCCCACTTCGGGCGAAGGGCCAAGCAAGTAGTGCTGCTCCCACACTCAAGGGGGCAATCATCCATATCGGTCATATTCCCACCTCGCTCTTCTCCTCTCTTCCACCCTCTCGCTCTCCTTGGCTTCCGTTTCTCACCCTCCTTCCTGCTTCCTCCTGCACTCTCTTTCCCCCCACCATCTACCTGGGACCTCTTCTTCACCCCGTCTCGCCCTTGGTGTTCGTGTCCTTTCGGTGCTCCCAGTGCCTCAAGTGCCTCAAGTGCCTCAAGTGCCTCAAGTGCCTCCTGCCTCCGTCTCATCGTAGCACTCGCATCGCTTGCCGTGCCCCCTACACACCGAATCGACTCGGCTTCGAACCCATCGTACACACGCGCTACCACCTGCTTGCTCAAAGTCATTCCTTTCTGCCTCGGGATTCTTCCTTTTTCTGGCTCAAGCAGCTCTAGTTAGCACCGGCCCTCACAGTGAGTACGCCCGAAACCTCAGCTCTTTGACGGAATCATCTGCGCGGCCAAGAGCATATCTGCTTCAGACTGCTGAGCACAGCACGTGGTGGCAGATGAGCCTGCATAGACGGAGATCTTTAATAGGAAGGTGGGGCAAGGCCGATCAGCACTTCATTGGCTCTATTGCCCCACCAAAAACTTCACGTGCTGTTACCGGGCACTAGCATCGCGGGCAGGGGGCTCGACCGTTCAACATATGCACCTTGGCAGGATCACCGGTAGCGATTGTACACAATACTGACGCTCCTCGACTCCTCCTTCCCACTCGCTGTTCTTTCACCCTCGCCGACCCTGCAATCTCACCCGCCTCTACTCGTTAATCCTCTGCAGCCTCTCACTACATTTGCCCCCTTCTCCATTCCAGCCATGTCACACCGCAAGTCCTCCTCGGGCCACGACCATGCCAGCCAGGAGTACTCAGATGGGTACTTCTCCTCACCACGTCGGGGGTCGTACGCTACCGGTCACAGCCGACCACCAGCAGACGAACCCTACGATCCCGTGCCGGAGCCACTGTCTCCTGGTCGCCGATCGTTCCGAGATTCGCGTGGTCCCACTGGAATGTCGCAGATGCCAAGCGGTGATCTGTCGCAATACCGGCGGGAGAGTGTCCATCAGTACGGCTCAGAATATTCCCCCCTGGCTTCTCCCGCATTCAATAGCGGATTCGAGTCTCAGGGCATGCTGTCCACTCCTCCCATGGCATCCTTCGGCGGCGGATCGAGATATTCCTTTGTGCCTAGCACGGAGGGAGACGAAGGCCTAATGCCTTCCGGCAGATCTACCCCTGCATGGCTCACTGCCAATCGCTTTTCCACTGCAGATAGCTACGCAGCCTTCAATGACCGACGGTCACGCATCAACTCATATGGTTCGTCTCAGATGCTCGGCAAGGACACCGACTCGATCGCTGGTCTCAATGTGCCAATGAACAAGTACGAAGATGGCGAGTGGGGCAGGTCGCCCACCCCTGGCGGTGGTGTTCCAGACGACGGATCACACACGCGAGAGAAGGTCCTGAGCAAGTATGGCGTTTCAAAGGGAGCCTCCAGGAAGAGGAAGTGTATCATCGCGACGGTCGTCATCGTGATCGTCTTCATCATCGCCGTTGCAGTCGCTGTGCCAGTCGGCCTCATCTTTGGGAATGGCGGATCCAGTTCCTCTGGTTCTGGTTCGGGTTCGGGTTCGGATGGTACAAAGTACAACAACTACGCCACTTCTGGAACCGACGGATCGACAGTTGTCCTCGCCAATGGAACTTCTGTCGTCTACCGAAATGCCTTCGGTGGAAGGTGGGCATCAGGTCTTACAGACGACTCGGCGCAGGCCCAAAACTACACAAAGCCTTTGTCTGAGGACTGGGATTGGGCAAATGACAAGATCTATGGTGTCAACCTGGGAGGATGGCTCGTCACTGAGCCATTCATTGCTCCTGCTCTGTACGAGCCCTATGCGAACACATCCTCGCCTGCCGTCGATGAGTACACTCTATCTGCCCTCTACCTTGCTGAAGGTGGCCAAGCCAACCTAGAGGCGCGGATGAGACAACATTACGACACTTTCATTACCGAGGCCGACTTTATGGAGATTGCAGCAGCAGGTCTCAACTGGGTCCGACTGCCTATTGGATTCTGGGCCATTGAGACCATCGAGGGGGAGACGTTCTTAGAAAAGGTGTCCTGGGAGTACGTCCTCAAGGCCATCGAATGGGCCCGCAAGTACGGAATTAGGATCAACCTCGATTTCCACGCCATGCCTGGAGGGCAGAATACGTACAACCACTCTGGACGATTGGGCTACATGTCTTTCCTGAATGGTGTGATGGGCATCGCCAATGCTCAACGAGCGTTGAACTACGTTCGAATCCTCACCGAATTCATCACGCAGCCCGAGATCCGCAAAGTGATCCCGATGTTCAGCGTCCTCAATGAGCCAAATCTGCCTTTCGGTATCGGTACCGAGCAGCTCAAGTCCTACTATGCCGAGGCGTACTTCACCGTACGAAACATTACCGGCTACGGAGCAGACAACGGCCCGATGATCGCCTTCCACGACGGCTTTGAAGGTTTGGACAACTTCAAGAACTTCCTTACCAACTCCGACCGTGTTGCCTACGACACTCACCCTTACGTCGCCTTTACACCACCTTTCACAAATTCGTATGATACTCAAATTGCTTACGTCTGCAACTCGTTCTCCCAGACGACCAGCAACGCTTTCAATCAGCACGGCCTGTACCTTGCCGGTGAATTCTCTCTTGCCATCAACGACTGCGGTCTGTATCTCAACAACGTCGGGCAGGGAGTCCGATACGACGGAACCTACCCCGGCCTCACCGAAGTGTACGGATCGTGTACCCCCTTTGATGACTGGACATCTTACAATGCCTCTCACATCCAGGACCTCCACAACTTCGCCATTGCTCAAATGAGCTCGTTGAGAAACTTCTTCTTCTGGACCTGGACTATTGGCGATTCGACCCTTACCAATGCCACTGTGAATCCTGCGTGGAACTACAAGCTAGGTCTGCAACAGGGCTGGCTGCCCACTGATCTCAATGCCGCATTGTCGGACCCGGTATGTCTGGATTTGGCCTCGACGATCACAACGGGCTCGATCACTGCTGCCTCGGCTACGACTTGGTCTGGAACTATGTCAGCATGGCAGACGGGTGCAGCTTCGTCTTATCCGGTCACGGTGGCTGCCTCGAATGCTTGGCCACCAGCGACGCTGGAGACGACGACGACGCAGAGCATGACGATTCCTGCCTCTTCGCTGCCAGCATACACAAAGACTGGAGCTGTGTCCTCGCTCCCAATGCCTTCGTTCACCGTCTCTCAAAAGGGCGAGGCTACACCAACGATTGGCAGCTGGTACAATGCGAGCGATACGAGCCCGATGTGGGTTGCCATTGCTGGCTGTGCCATGCCTGGTCCTTACTACAATGGCACGCTGCCCAGTGGTTTCCCTTGCCCTCCGGGAGCTGGCAGCGCACCCTCGAAGAGAGAAGTGGAAGTCATTGCAGCCAGGGCCACCTCTGCTCCTCGTCTGTACCGGAGATGAGAGGCGTTGCAAGCGTTTCCCGAGTCAAGTACTGCTGAGCAAAGACACATTCGACTTCCATTCACTTTGTACTACCCTCCTTGATGCGGTCATCTAGCCTCCTGCTGTCTTCTCCTTTTTCCCTCTTCTCTTACACATTTTCGGATCTCAAAGGACACTACTTTTGCCGCCCCCACCCATCTAAGCGCTGTGATGTTTGCATAATAGCTTCTGTACCTTTTTCGACCTTGCAGCATGCACTGCCTTCATCCAAAAGCGCTTGATTGCTTCTGTGTGTCTCTGTGTGTGAGTGCTCTTCACTTGTCTCACTGGCCATGAAAGCCTTTGCCCCCACAATTTTGGTCTTTCGTCTTTGCCTTTGTCAACTCGTGTGACAATGGTCAGCTTGCGCATGTGGGAGCGTGGGAGCAAGTCTGTTCCCTTTTGACATTGGGTCAGACTTGACCCCACTCGCCTGACCCCCGCCCTCTACTTCGCTTGCCCACCTTGGCGCAATAACGCGGAGTCCGGCCATGCCATGCCATGCCACGCCACGCCGAGGCTGCAGCTTGAAGATTGGTGGTGCGTGCGGGTAAACAGCAGCAGCAGGGTCAAGTGAGCAGGCAGCGCGCAATGCATGGCGGGACGCAGAGCAGCCATCTCGGCAGAGGAACCTCGACGTCGGAGCTTCATCCCCTCACCCCCCGCAATTCTGCTCTTCTTCTCTGCCTCTCGCTTTGCCGGGGCAGCACTACTCGCCCGCACCGGAGAATCGGACCGAGGCCAACCTCCGTCCGTCCGTGCGACCGGCAATCATGGCACAGACGAAGCAACACTTTGGCCCGGCGCCGAAGTAAGTGTGGGGTAGAACAGAGATCCCGGAGCGGGGCAGCCACAGGAAAGCCGAGCCGGAGACGGCAGGAGGGAGGGCAGGGCAAGCAGGCAGGCAGACAGACAGGCCAAGTAGCTAGTGTCGCCCAGCAGTTGCCACCCTTGGTACCCGCTTGGGCTTTGCACTGCGTTGCATTGCCTTGCCATCCCTTTCACCCTACCTTGTCCTCCCTCGCCCATCCCGCAGTCCTTCCTCTCTCCCTTCCCACCCGTGGACACGCCTCTCCCTCTACTCATCATGGCTCCTTCTCCCTTCTACCGCTCCACCTTTGGCCCCTCGACTGCTCTGCCGCCCTCTTCTCTCGCATCCCAAAAGGAAATCGACCGATTCCTCACTTCGCCCGATGTCGCTGGTGGCTTCTTCCAGGTGGAAGAGAAGACGATCAAGGGAAGAAAGATGAAGGTGTGGAGTGGAATGCCCTGGCCTACTTACCGGGCTTATTGGATCGAGAGGTCAAAAGTGAGTGGGGAACACTTACAAGAGGCATCGGGAGGACGTCGAGTACTTCCCAAGCTGACCACGACTACCACCTCTACTATTGCCTTCCTTCACATCCCGCAGACCTTTGCCTCATTGCCCTGCCTCACCTACACCAATGGCCCACAGCACACCTATACCCTCACCTATTCGCAAGCCTTTGACCTCTCCGCTCTCCTGGCCCACTCCCTCTGCACTCGCTTCGGTATAAAAAAGGGAGACCGCGTAGGAATTGCCATGAGGAACACAATCGAGCACACCATCTCCTGGTGGTCTGTTCACCTATGCGGGGGTGTAGCTGTATCCCTCAACGCCTTTGCCGACGAGGATACGTTGCGCTTTTGCACAAACGACGTGGGATGCTCCCTGGTCCTCACTGACGCAGAGAGGGTTGGTGCACTGGCCAGTCTGGTTGGACAGGAGGGCAAAGAGGGCGAGCCAGGACTGCGCGATCTGATCGTGGTACCGTATGGGAGGGGAAAGGGAAGGGGCAGACTGTCCGCAAAGGAGAGGGCAGAGTATCTCTCTGAGAGTAGACGGGTACACGACTTTGATGAGGTGGTCAAGAAAGCCAAGGACAGTGTGGGAGGGAAACAGGTGCCGCTGCCCTCGGTGGACTTGCAACCGGAAGACTATGCTACCATTATCTTCACCTCGGGTGAGTAGAGGCAGCAGCACTGTGTCGGAGAGGGGAGCATACTCATGTGATGGGCTCCTTTCATCATGCGTCAATATTCTCACACCTCCCCTTCTTGCTCTCAGGCACTACCGGTCGACCCAAAGGTGTTCTCGCAACGCAGCGTCAATCACTCCACAACCTCGGAGCCACACTCTACGTCGTTCCTCGCTGCTACCTACGTCGTAATCGACCCCTCCCTGACGCAGAAGAGTCTGCACAGCAACCACAGGTCAAGACGCTCATTGGCTACCCACTCTTCCATGCTGCAGGACTGCTGAGCACAATGACTACTGGAATGGCAAAGGGAGAAGAGATGATCTCGATGTATTCTTGGGATGTGCAGGAGGCGGTCAGACTTATTGGGGAGAGGGGACTGACCAGAGTCGGAGGTGAGTCTGAGGTGCAGAGCCGTCGACTTTTCGACGGGGTACTTGAGCTGATTCACTCATATCTGTGCTCGTTCCCTCGTCGCCCCTTTACAGCTACCGCGCACATGGTCCGCCAACTAGCAACGGCAGCTTCCGACCTGCCCACGCTCGCAGCCGTGACGCACGGAGGTGCCTCGCCTCCCTCTGAGCTCTCTGCCGAGCTACTGGCAAAGACGCAAGGCGGTCTCACCGGTACAGGGTATGGTGCCACAGAGACCAACTCGATGGCTACGGGATGCTATTGCGACGACTACGTCAATTGGCCCGACTCGGTAGGCTGGGCTCCCCCTACGATTACCATTCGGATTGTGGATCCGGAAACGAAAAAGGAAGTGAAGCGAGGTCAGCTGGGAGAAGTATGGATTCATGGAGCGGGAATTGCCGAAGGGTACTATAGGCGGCCGGAAGCTACTAGGGAGGCTTTCCTGCCTGATGGCACCTACCGTACGGGCGATGTGGGCATGATGAATGAAGATGGAGCGCTTTTCATCCGTGATCGAATCAAGGGTAAGTAAGAGAGTGTTGTCCATCTCGCCTCCTTGGCCTAGAGCCGAGACTGATAGATCCTTACTTTCTCCTCGTCACACAAAACAGATCTGATCATCCGCGGAGGGGAGAACATCTCCTGCACCGTCGTCGAAAAGGGAATCTACGCCCACCCAGCCATCTCCGAAGCGGCCGCTGTAGCCCTTCCGGACAAGAAGTGGGGGGAGCGAATTGCCGTCCTCTGTTGCGTCTCTCCCTCTTCCTCTTCCTCTTCTTCTTCCTCCTCGGGAGCACTCCCAAGCGAAGAGGAGCTAAAAGCCACCGCCCGCCGTATCCTCACCAATAGGCAAGAGTGGCCCGAGTTCATCCATGTACAGCGCGAGCCACTGGAGCGTAATCCGGCGGGTAAAGTGGACAAGAAGATGCTAAGGGCTAGAGTGTTGGAGATTGCAAAGGAGAAGGGGTGGGGGGATTATGCGGCTGCTGCTGCAGGCGCTGCGACTGGTAGTACGAGTAATGTGCAAGAAGGACAGAGGGAGAGCAAGTTGTAAGAGTGCCGCATGGAGATTCAGGCTCGATCTCATCCATACACGCCTTGTGCATGTCTTGCAGCCTTCTGAAATACGCATTGCAATGTACAGCCTGCCATCCTCAGCCTCCCCTCCAGTCTACGCCGCAGGGGGCCACTGCGTCCCGTCATCAATGCTGATCCCGCCGGTTGCACCAGGGCCTCTCCGTACAGGCTGTCCAGCTTGACCCTGCGCAGCGCCTTGGCCCATGTACTCCTCCTCATCCGGATCCAAAAGAGTGCCATTGCCGTCGTAGTCCTCTTCTCCACGCATCATGGCCGTCACTCTCGGATCTTCCTTGTCCTCATCCTCTGCCCTTGACCCACCACTGCCGCCGGCGGGGTTTCCCCCTTTGCCACCCACCCGCAGGTCCTTCATCATCCGCCGCACCTCTTCCTTCTTGCGAGCATTCTCCTTTTCCACGCGAGACTGGCGAAGACGCTCTAGCTCCGGACGGTACTCTGTGAGATACTCTTGCCGGGCGGCGGATATGGTAGAGAGGACATCGGACATGCCTTCGTGGGTCGTCGAGGAGACGCCGACGGCCTGGTGGAGAGGGACGGAGAGAGAGAGTGTGTGTGGTTGAAGTGAGAATGGTGAGAAAGAGTCTACAGGACTTGTGATGAGCTGCGCGCTTCTACCCACCCTAATATTGTTGTAGAACTCATCAAGAACCAATGCCATGGAGTTCATGAGACTGTTCATGTAGCTCCCACTGCCACTCCCATCTCCTGTACTCTTCCTTGCTCCGGACAAGTTTCCCGCAACATCGACGTTGTCTGTTGCGTTTCCCTTTTGGAGTGCTGCTTGGAACGTCTCAAAGTCGGACATCCACTCTAGAGCAAAGTCGTGAGTCTGCATGTCGATCTTGTTGAAGACGAGGATGAGGGGTAGCTTGGTCTTGTACATGATTGAGCAGGCGTAGAGCATGTTGCTCATAAAGGTCGCTGGGGCCGTCGTCTTTGGTGTGTCTACCACGTAGGCTACGCAAGTGGGCATGGCCGATGCTAGTGAGTCTGTGATGATGGTGCCTGATGCAGACCATGTGAAGATCTCGATCTGACCGGGCGTGTCGAGGATGATCTGACTGTCGAGGGGAAAATGGTGATGGTGAGTACCCCTAAAGCGGCACTGTAGCAGATGACCGGCCTTGACTCACTCCACTTCTGCTGCTCTCCTCTCCAAGATGCCCAATACCTGGTCGAATTTTGTTGTGAAGAGGTTGAGGCTGGTCAAGATTCCGCCATTGGGTCCCAGGTTGTACTCTTCCATGACCCGCTTGTAGTCGATGGTGTCCCTAATGTCCACCGATGGTTCGTAGTTGAGTGAATTGACTGCGGGGTCCAAGTTGACAATGTATGCTGGCGATGACTGCGGTGTTTCTTCTGTGACCTCAGCTGCCGCCGCTGGTTGCTGCTGGGCGGCCTGCTGGGATACATAGTCGGACAGTGCGCCTGCGAACGTCGACTTGCCAGAGCCTGCCATGCCGATGACCAGGACAGACGTGGCCCTTGGCACAGGAGGCAGCGTGGACGACGAAGGTCCAGCAGCCGCAGCAGACGACGAGGATGACGATGGTGTGGCCATGTCTGCTGAATGTATGGTCAGTGGATGAACGACGGGGAGGATCGTAGCCAACCATGACACTTCCTTGTCCCCCCCGCCATGCTACCACTCCCACTCGCACCACTGCCAGAAATTCTTGCTTGTGGAGCCGCGCGCCGACGGAAAGAGGCGGAGGCCAAAGAAGGCGCATCCAGGCCACCCGCATCGTCCCACGGGCTGGATATAGACCACTGCCACCTCTGCCAACGACGACGACGACGACGACGACGACGATCACAACCATGTCCAGACCAGTAACATGATCGCAAGCTGATCACCATCACAGCTGCGGATCACAACGCAGCGCAGGCCAAACCACCCCACCCCTCACCTCTCGCGGCTCGCCAAGATGGAGTCGCCTACTCTCTACCCTTCTTCCGCTTCCGCTTCCGCACCGTCGTACCATGCCTCGTCTTCTGAAATGGAGAGGCAGGATACCCTTCAGCCTCGCCCGAAGCGGATACTATCGCCCACCGACATCTTTCGGACGTCTCTACCTCTACCTCCGCTCATCCCACCGCTGCGCTTCAACCTATTGGCAGCCGGAGAGGCCTCTCGCACCGCACAGCTCTTCTCTTCCTCGCATCCCCTGCCACGCCATCTCCCCTTTCTCTCTCGACTGAAACTAAAGACGCTCTTGGCCCTCACGCCAAAGCATCCGACCAAGCAAGTTCCCGCCATTGAGCACTGGGCACAGACAGAGGCAGTGGAGATCAAGTGGATCAAAATCGAGGCCTGGAAAGATGCAGGAGCCAGCGCTATTACCAAGGACGTAGCAGAAGAGGCAACCTCCACGATCATTTCCTCCTCTGCATCTCCGCTCCTCATCGTGTCCCTCACTCCTGGACCAACAGCACTGATACTCGCCCTGCTGCGCCTCCTCCAAGGCTACCCACTCCAATCGATACATCCCGAGACCCATCGCTGTCTGCGCGCAGGGCTGGAGGGCGAAGCAGACGAGGACGACAAGCACGACTGCGAAAAGTGGATCACCGGCTGGGTAGGCAAAGAGATCAACCTCGCTGTACATCGTAGCCAGGTTCACGAGTGGACTTGGCCTCAGGGTACCACTCTTCGCTGGCTGCGCATAACAGACGGTCGTAACTCGAAGCAGGCCAATGGCGCTTCCCCCTCGGCTGCCAAAGACGGCTTCCTCTTCCCTCCCTCTACTGCTGCTGCCAGTGGGACTACTTCTTCCCTCGACTCCCCCTTTACCCCTCATCGTAGCACAAGCTCTGGTTCGGCTCACTCTCCAGCGCTGCTCCTTACAACACCGCAAGTCACCCATCCCTTCTTGAAGATCAGATTCCTTCCCGAGCCAGTGATACCACTCGCTCTTGACCCACCTGCACTTCAATCAAGTGCTGCACCTCCTCCACAACATGGCGCCGTTCCGCTGGTAAAGCCTTCGGGCCCTGCTGAAGGTCTTTCCACTCCATCTACGGCCCTCAAGATGCCAGTAGGTTTCAAGGGCCGGAAACGCAGCCTGACCATTTCGGAAGGACGTGGCGGAGGACCTGCAGCCGCTGCCGTCGCGGCCATGATGGAGGCTGCTGCCGCCGCTGCCATCAATGCCACCTCGCTCGACATTGATGGATCGAGTGGCATTGCGGGACACGTCCCAGCTGGTGTACATAGCGGCAGCGCTCCGCCTACGGCCGCTCCTTTTGCAGAAGCGCAACCTCCCCCGTGGTTGAAAGGCGATTATGGTCAACCCTCCTCTGCAAGTCACTGGCGGTGGGGCAACGAGACTAGTCAACGGCAACACCGCGAGTGTTTCCCTGGAGAATACGAGCAGGGTCAGCCAGCTCTGCACACGCCCATGACTCGAACCAGCTCGGGAGACGAAGAGGACGAGGACGAGGAGGAGAATAGCACGCCCAAGGCCAACAACACCCGCACTCAGTATCTTTTCGATGACTCCCAGCTGCCAGCTTCCGAAACAACACCGTCGCGAGCGCCTGACCAGACGCCCTTTGCTTCGCCGGGTCGACACTCGCCTGAGCAGTTCCTCCTCGCTCCCCGGCGTTTGAGCGAGGCTTCTCTCATGGCAGAGGGGGAAGGAGAGTCGACGCCTACAAAGGCCAGGAGCGTCTCGCGGAATCGAGCCAGCCTGGACCGCAGGTCAAGTCGGGGCGAAGCTGCTCGACCTATGCTCCTACCTGGGAGTGACGAGCGGGAAGGTGGTGTACAACCTCATCGACGCAGTGCTGAGCTCGGCGCCGCAAAGGCTCAACGCGACGAGGTGCAGGAAGAAGAGGAAGAAGACGAGGAGGAGGAGGACGAAGACGAAGACGACTACCACGAAGATTCGGAAGACGACTTTTCCGAAGGCCTCGAGGCCTTGGACCTGGCATGAACGCTCGCTCGCTACGCAGAGTGAGGTATATTACATTACGAAGACTTTTAGCGTGTACCGCCATCTCTATTCTTAGACTCGCTGTGGTCCTCTTCCTCAGCGCTACCCAACAGTCCCCGCCCAGCAAAGGAGGCATTGAACCTCAACAAGGTATTGATGTCCTTGACCCAATCGTCCTCTCCCCGATCCGGATTGGCTCCAATCGCTCGACTACCCTCGATCAATCGCGGCTCATTGTTGCGCTCCGCCTCCTGACCTGCACCTCGGCGATGAGGCTGTGCTGAAGAGGAAGCACGATTCACGCACGGGATCGGGAAGGGAGACATGCTGATCTGCAGATACTGGCCTGGCGTAAGCGTCTGGATCTCCCGACCATCGATGGTCAGCTCCGCTGCCGACCGCGAGTGGCGGGCAATCTGAGGGGATCAACAGTCATTGGTCACAAATGCAAACAAATTAGCGAAATGGAGGAAGACATCGCTTCGTCTGTTTCGACCTCTCACCTTCAGCTGGATGGTCGAGTCGCTGGGCAGCAACACAGGCCTGAAGCTCAACGATCGTGGGCAGATTGGCGTTAACAGGAGGGATTGGACTGAAGGATGCACAATCGGCCCGCCTGCCGACAGGGAGTATGCCGTCGACCCGGTTGGGGAGGCAATGATCAAGCCGTCTGACTGGAAGAAAGAGAAGGCGAAGTGGTGGAGATGTCATGTCAGTACCACTTTTGGTGTTCGCAAGCACAATCTTCAACACGACACTCACAATGGCTTGAGTGAGATGCCTCCCATCGACAAAGGCATCAATGGTCGTCATGTGAGGCTCACGCCCTCTATGGAGCGCGACCTCGTTCATCAAGTGGATCTCTCCTCCCTTTCCCACCTCCTCGCCGTCCGCCTGGTGGATACTCTGCCGTAGCCTCATCCGCAACAAGAGGGTCACCCTACTCTCGAGGAGATCCCGCAGAGCACTCTTGAAATCGTCGATGTGCCAAGGCAAGAGGAAACCAAGAGTGCCCATGGAGAAGGATAGCACGGGTGGTACGGGCGAGTGATCAAAAAGGGAAGAGGCATGCAGGATCGTTCCGTCACCGCCGAGGGTGATGACGATGTCCACTTTGCGACACAGGAGGTGTCGATCTGTGGAAGTCACCAGGGAGATCTTGTCTGCCCATGGTGTGGAGGTGAGAATGTGCGAATTGGCCTCTTCCAGGATTACATTCATAGATGGCTGCGTCGCAGCGCCGTACCTGCCAGCAGGGCGAGAGGAGAGCGTCTTGAGTCTCACCCTTCCCGATACACTCGGTAGCACGGACCCAACACCGCCACTCACTCAATGATCTTATGCATAGCCTGCTGCGTCTTCTCATCGTTCGTCTTCGTAATGATCAAGATGTTCCGAGGCGCCTCGACCCACTCGAGGGAATGATTGCCTCCGTAGCTACTGCCGACGCGCGTAGTCACGTCCTGCGATTCTCGAGGCGGTAGCACCTTGGCAAGTCTGTAGGCAGAACGTCGGGAATGAGATTGCATGATGATGATGAAAGTAGTGGTGGCAATTGAGGGTGTAGTGTCAATAATACATGTAATGCGACGTATATTCTTCTCGATCTCCACTGTCGTCCTTCCTTCCCCTACTGATTGGCCTCACCTCCCAGCTGGTCCTGTTCGAATCTTGACCTTGTCCGGCAAAGAAGCAAGATCTCCGCGTACTCGAGTGGTGGCCGAAAAGGATCGCATAGAATGAAACTGTGGCGATCGCCCTACGGCCGCTTTCTGTGAGCGAATGGCTGCACTTCGCGTCCTGCAGCTAGCCAGGGTGGCCATGCCCCTGACTCCAGCGCTCGAAGCCGAGACGGCAATTGGAGACGCTCCTCGAACGGCTTGAGCAGCAGAATAGGCCTGCTGAACTTTGTTCGCCAAACCTCCACTGCTCGGTACTCGCAGCGTCCCCCACAGAGCCAGCATCAGTGAGAGCAACACGACGGATCCTGCCTGATGAGCACTTGCGAGCGGAATGGGCACCAGGTAGATGAGCGTCGTGATGCCGAGCGATGCTTGGAGGGTAGCCATAGCCAAGGATGCGGTTGCTAGCCGAGGAATGGCTGGCGGTAGGACGATGGCGGACTTGGCCAGTGCCCTAGAGAGTGTCCTGGTCTTCCAGGAAAGAGCTACGATGTGTGCGAAGGTGGTGACCGCAAGGCATCGGTGGATGAACTGTACTGTGACTGGATTCTGCGTGAGATTGCCAATCACAAAGGACGACCGACCAGTGTCACCATTGGCGCTACTGCCGTGGTTACTTCGACCGTACCGCTCATCGAACATCTCGTCAAGGGGAGGCGCAATTCTTCCATCACCCATCGTGGGGAACTCATTGTAGACGAGTCCTGCATCCAAACCGGCTACCAAGGCGCCAGACATTGCAGTGACAAAGACCAAAGCCGTCACTCCGGCCGCAAACCTCTTGTATTTCTTCACCTCAGGTCGCGATAGTATCGAGATGAGGCGCTCGCGGACGCCTGGGCCCGTGGCGAGGCCGGAAGCGGTTCCGACGTTCTTGGCTACATTGTATTCTCGTAAGATCGAAAGACCTGTGCGTAACATTCCTGCGTAGACGATGAAGGCCAGACCTAGATGGGCAGCGAGGCGGAAGTGGCTCACTCGAGGCGTCCAGGAAGCCGGGGTGACAGGAGGGGCAAGGGCGCCTGAAGCATGTGCGTCGGGATCTTGAGCGACCTCTAATGTTCCCTGAGGAGCGGCTAGTCCACTCTTGACCATGTACCAGCCCATGGCTCCCTGCGCTCCAATACCGAGACCGATCAAGAGGAGCTTGGAGCGGAAAGGCGGCTTGACGTAGCCTCGTGCGATGAAGTACAGGGAAGGTAGGATGTAGGCGAGTCCGATGACCCTGCCAAGGATACGATGAGACCATTCCCACATGTAGATTGTCTTGAAATCATCGAGGGACATTCTTGCGTTCAATCTGAACGCAGCAAGCAAAGAGACGAGTCCCGTCAGCACCTTCTAGCGCTGGCCCCCGGCCAGGTCTCTTTGTGACTCACAGCTGGAACTCAGGCGTCTCCCTGTACTTTGCCCATTCTCCCTCCCACTCCTCGTCAGACGAAGGCAGCCACATGCCCTTCAATCCCGGATTCCATTCGGTGATGCTCAGTCCGGACTCTGTGAGACGTGTGAGCCCACCCACAAGGATGATAGCATATACGAGGAAGGCGAGGAAGAGGGAATGATATCCTACTATCCGTGGCGTGGGTGAAGATGGCGGAGGGCCCGAAGATGCATACGAGGACGAGGAGGCGGTAGAGGTAGAAGCATTACTAGTCGTGGACTGAGGCGAAGCACCTGCCGCTGACGAGGCGACCTCAGGCAGGCATCGCCTTGCTGACGAATGGAAGGAGGACACGAGGGAGAGAGCCAAGCCAGGCCGCTGCGAAGTCAAAGGTCGCCTCGTATGCGCAAGTAGCAAAGACGATACCGCTCCTGCAGATGGGACAACACAGGTGGTTGGAACAACCTTTGTCGAGGCAGCTCGGCTCAGCTGCCACGAGCTTCGCAAGGCGGAAGAAGCCTGTGCACAGCTGCCGAGTCTTGCCCCGCCCAGGAGCGAGCAAGTGGCCAGTCTCAGCGCCATGATACTCGTCTTCTTCGTCGTCGTCAGCGGCCGACAAAGGGCTGATGATCTCGCAGAGAGACAGTCAAAGGCGCGGCGATTGCAAGAGGAGTCGAAAGTGTGTGGTAGTCAGGAAAGATGGGCTTCGCCGGGCAATGTACGGCTTCGAGTCAGTCCGGACTCAAGAATTGACAATCAGTCGCCGTTCCGCTTTGCTCCGCCTCGCGCTTCGTCAGCCATGGCTCGATGCACCTCACTCGGTCGGCCAAGAGTTCAGACATCGAAGGCTACAATTGAGGGGGCCACAAGGCAAAGACTAGAGCGTGTACAGCATGGGGATGGGTATGACGGCAGCAAGGTCAACAAGCTCAAGGGTATCACAGCCACAGTCGTCCGTCCACAGCTCCGGCCCTTGCTCACGGCCCAGCCGTTTCGATCGAAGTCATCAGAGCTCCCTCCCCTACCTCGAGATTTTGCTGATCAAGTCTGCCCAAAATCCAGGATCGAAGCTCGTCTCTCCGCCTGCACCGGGCGCATTACCCTCGCCAGCGAGTCCTCCACCTGCAGCTGCGTTGCGTCCTGAATCATCCATTATGTCGCCAGTACCACCAGGTGGAAAGGCATTCTGAGAGTTGCCCACGGCAAAGGCAGGCTGTAGCTCTCCAGACGGACGAGGAACAGCGGTGCCACCGAGATAAGACGGGCCGCTGGCGCCACCGAAAGCGCCAACGCTCGCACTCGACGGCCCCTGCATGTTCGATGGCCAAGCATTGCCAACGTTGTTCCCCCAAGCAGGTTGGGGTAGGGTTGCCCACTGTACGTTGCCTTGACTCGAGGTGGAGCGCTGATTGCCGGCGCCAGTAAAGTCGGAATAAGGAGGATTATTCCCAGTCGCCGGGAATCCTCCACTGCCTCCAGCACCTGTGCCCAGAAGGGAGTTCAGTAGACTGCTGTCGCCACCTGCTCCTGGCCGAGAGCCGTCAGGAAGACCAAGATCGGTGAGGCTGTTGTCGACGAGAGAACCCCCCGCAAATTCTCTCTTGAACCAAGCATTGAGGTCCGCCTGAGCGTCATCAACCACACGAGACGAAGGAGAGTCTCCAGAGATGGTCGAGAGGCTGGACGAGAAGCCAGTCTGTTGTTGAGAGGAGGATGAAAGGGGGGGAGTGTCTGCACTGACGTGTGAGGGTAACCCAGAGGGGACGGGCGACGACGCCGATGGTCCCTTGGAGTTGTTAGTGGGTTTTCCCAAGTCCAGCAGAACATCAGCTGTTGCTTCCTCCCTCGTTACTGGCGCGGGCGATGATCCCTTGACGTCGTCGGCATCCAGTTGCTTGAGGTCGCCGCTGGCTTGCCCCTGAAGCCGCCTTTTTGTTGCACGGCTCTCTTCTATAGCTAAGGACCGCCGCTTCTTCGGCGCACTAGGCTCTCTCCCGCTACCTCTTTGTTGCTCCACCTTGTCGATGGCCTCCGAGAACATCTTGATGATGGAAGCCTCTCTGTCCCTCATATCATCCTTCATTTCTGCAGCTCGCGCGTCTGTCTGTCTCTTCTCGTACGTGCTGAGGAAGCGCTTGATTTGCTCCCTCAACGCTGGCAACTCTGGCATACTTGTTGGGTCGAGCAGCGCCGCGATGGAGGCGATGAGCAGGGAATTAAACCAAGAGTAGGAGCCGATCTGGACGTAGTAAGAAAGTGGTATTTTCCCCATGCCGTACTTCTTCCTCAAGCTCTCGACAAATTCGTCCCTCATCGCCAAATCCTGCATCGCGCTCTCGACACAAGCACGGCGCGAGGGCGCAAAGCGCCTACCGCCTGGGCCTTTGACTCCCGACCGCAAGAGATAGGAGCGATGTAGATTGATTCTGGTGTAGTTGATCTCCATGTGCATCAGAAAGCGATGCTCTACCAGGAAATCGAATGCTTCATCCAGACTGTCATCAAATGATACCTTTCCAGAGGGGCAGATTTTCGTTCTATAGTAGTGTGGCAGGTCTTCCTGCAGCTTGGCTATGTCTGCATCCAGCGCCGTTACGTCGGAGTAATGATGAGGCTCGATCTTTTGGTAGATCTCCACAATTCTGCTCACAATGCGAGCAAGATCGTTGCGATGCGCCGTGTACTGATGGATGCTCGGCAGCGGTATCCCAGGCTTGGCATTAGGATGGCTCGTGGGGCGTTGGAATTTCCACCAGTGGTCCATGCCTTCAGATGTAGGCTGCTGAGTATCGGAAAAGACGTTGCCGAGGTCTGAAATGGAGGGTCTCCCCAGGTTCATTGCCAAGGTGACATCACCGAACCGGACCGAATGCCAGATGCCTCGTCGTAGATCAGTCTCCATTTGCGGTAAGCCGAGCTTGCTGCCATCGCGATGCAAACCAATAGAATACGCGCTTTGGATGGCACTAGCTGAGCATCGCCAAGCTTCGTTGATCCTTCGGTCGATCATCAGGAATCTCCATGCAAGACCAAAGCTGAGGATCTGAACGACGTCGTCTCTACCCAGTACTTGACTCAGCATGAGAGCCTGCTGTCCAGCCCGCTCTAGCCGTCTGCCTGCCAAGCGTCGTGCGGCCGCTTCGCGAGGTAACCGGTCGTCCTCGATGCTCAGCGACGCAATGGCAAGCATGAGGGCCAGACATGCATAGACGTTGATGCTCGACGTCGTCAAGATTGGAGGAAACTCTCCGTTTGATCCCTTGCTGGAAAGGAACTCCTCAATCATGGGACGGACAAGTCCTTCGGGGAGAGGATGCCGTAGCCAATTGAGATCCTTCCAGAAGTGAGCAAGAAGGATCTCACAGACATCTGGGGCAGGCAACGCAGCCAGCAGAGGAGCACTGACGTTGTCTCCTGCTCCGTACTCCCACATCTTGGTGTTGAGACAGCCCGGCTCGACCTTACGCATGGGCATGCTGAGAACGGCATTATCGCTCACTTTGCCGCCAACGTCGCTAAGGATGGTGTCGATCTTCATTGCCATTGTGGCGCCGCTGCCGTGGAAAGTGCCCGCGGCGTTGAGCCCTGCTCCCTGGCTTGCCTCGTCCTCATCTGCAGTCTCGTTCCCGGACGTCGGATGGCGTGTCCGTACAGGCTGCGAAGATGTCACCTTCGACCCGGTGGGCGGCTGTAGTGAACGAGCCTGATCGTTCTGCTGGCGACTGAGCATGGCCATGATCCTGTCGAAGCCATCCTCAACGGTCCTCTCAAGCTTGTTGACCCTGCCGGTGAGGTCCATGGCCTCATCCTGGCCAGGCTGGAAGGTCTTGCATCTATCTGGCACTTTGCGAGCGATGCAGTGTTGGCATGGCGTCTGGCGATTGCACTTCTGCTTCCGACGATGACACTCGGTACAGGAGAAGTGGACCCGAGAACGCTTATTGGATGCAGAAGTGTTCCTCTTGGAGGGAGACTGCTTTCCTGAACCGGAGCGAAAATCCTCATCGTCGTCTTGCCCGGCGTCGTCGCCATGAGAACGATCTTCGCCTCGGGAGGAAACGACACTGGCTGCTGAAGGAGATGCAGCTGCCCAGCTGTTGTGTGCTTCGCCGTCGCGCGAGGCTCTGATGGGAGGCAGGTGGTGGTGCGAAGGATAGGGACCCTGTTGCGGAGGTCTAGACCAATGCGACCAGGGAGAAGAAGATGAGGAAGCGACAGCCAGTGGAGGGCCGCGAGAGGGAGTGGAGGAATTGGTGTAGGATGTGGATGTCTGATAGTCTTGGGCAGGGGTGGATACAGATGCAGCGGGAGGCGTAGGGGGTGCCATGGCGCAACGGTGACGACGCCGATGCGCGAGAGGAGATGGCTGTTGCCGTAGCTGGCTGCGTGCCTGATCGATGGTGCTTGCTTGCCCTTTGCCAGTGGCTGCGCTGAGGCGATGCTACCGTCCTGGATGTCGGATACAATCCAAGGACGAGCAATCTCGATCCTTCGTCGTCCGCCCTCCGGTCGCACCTCGGCTTTCGTCGGCCAGCCCTCGCGCGGGGAAGACAATGGCCCGGAGAGGAGAGATGAGCGCTTCCGAGGATGCAGGGACTGACTGAAGTTGATGGCATTACAATCACTCCCTCGCAGCCGCCACTGGCATCGCCGTCATGCCGCTGTCCCCTACCACTGGTCCCTACGACGTTTCTACACTCACTCTAGAGATACCACTGTCCTCACCTCGCGACTTCCACGCCGACTCATACCGCTCAAACCCCTCATCGTCGCACTCTGCGCCAGCTTTCCGGCTACAGACAGTCTTGCTCACCCTATTCTACCCCATCGATGGACCCAAGACCTCCGCTGGCCACCATGGGCTCGCCAAGGGTACACTGCCTTGGCTCACCACTCCCCGCTTGAAGAGCATCGAAGGTCTCCTCAAGTATGCCGGCGTGTCCAAGTACTTCGCTCTACCAGCGATTCTTCCAGCTTACCAGGTTCTTCTTGCGAAGCTCCCCTTCTACCAGAATGCACCTCTTGCAAAGGCCGAAAGCCCGCGCAAGTGGCCGACTGCTCTCTTCTCGCATGGACTTGGAGGTACTGCCGTGACATACTCTTCGTACCTTGCGTCCTTGGCATCTCAAGGCGTAGTCGTGGCAGCTGTAGAACACAGAGATGGCACCTGCCCCGCTACGTCCATTCGCACGCGAGCAGAGGATGGCAAAAAGGTACACGAGCACAGTCTACTGTACTTCAAGGATGAGGAAGTCAAGACGCCATCAGCTCCGGGTGGCAAGTGGGACTTCAGACAGGCCCAGCTCGAGTTCAGGCGAGCCGAGCTGCACGAGCTGCTGCGATTGGTCAAGGAGCTCAATTCCGGCCAAGGAGAAGCTCTTACCGCTGCCTCTACAAGGGGAGGCCCGGAACTTGCCAATGCTGATTTGTCCTCATGGCAGGGCAAGCTGGACGTAGACGATGGACTGTTGCTCCTGGGCCACTCCTTTGGTGGCGCCACAGTTCTGACCGATCAGCTGTCAACCGACGCAATCGAAGGTCCAGTCGATGGCTCTGGCACAAAGATCAAGGCCAAGCTAGCCATCTTGCTCGACCCTTGGCTTGAGCCTCTGCCCATCGCCCTCGACAACACGCCTGCATCGAATACTCGCACGCCGTTCCTCACCATCAATTCGCAGGGATTCACAGTCTGGAAGCCCCACTTTGACAGGCTGAAGAGGCTGATCGCATCCTCGACACCTACCTCGGCAGCTAAGCAAGACGCGGATCGCCCTTCCAGCACCCTCCTCACGCTGACTGGCTGCAAGCATACGGACTTTTCAGACTTCCCATTTCTGATCCCTCGCCTCTTTGCATCTAGTGTCGAGCCCTTGAGATGTCTCAGGATCTTCTCTGAGCTCAGTAGAAGAGCAATCGATGATGAGACCATCTGGGATGGTCAGTCAGTAGGTACTGTGAAGCTAAGCGAGGGTGAGGACGTCAATATTAGATGGGAAACGGACAGTGAGGCGGGAGGAAGCAAGGAAATGGGCGAGCCTGGAGTCTTGGTACAGCATCGCCTTTAGTGAGCAAGAGCAGCAAGAACGGGTGCGAAATACGCGCTGCATAGATAGCATACCATCATCAGACATCAGTAGACTTCATCAGACGAACAATGTACATTACGCATCATCATATCATCGACTCGTGCCGCGCCACTTTACAATGGTCTCATCCTACGCATGTACCATTTCTAATCTACAATGTGGATCTGCCACTCATGCGACGACTGCCTTCTTGTAGCCTTCGAAGTCATAGTCGATGCCAGCCTCCTTGAGAGCTTTCCGCTTCTTCTCTTGACGGGAGAGGAGCTGAGCTTGGACCTTTTCCTTTTGTTCTGCTGTCTTTGGCTGTAAAGGAGAATGGGTGAAGAGCGCAATCGATCAGCTATTCCGTCATTGTCATTTCGTTCGTTGAAAAGATCCTACTCACTCCATCGTGCTGTACCCTTGCTCTCCGGTCTCCAGGAACTTTTCTGAATGTCCTGTTTGCGCCGATCCAAAGCTTCGGGTGAATCTCTGACTTGTCCAGGATCTTGACTTTCAAGAGCTGTCCGAGGATGAGGTAATTGTCCATGGTCTCCTGCACAATCCTGCCCACCTCTTCGTCTGCAAACTCTACAAAGGCATAGTGCTTGGACGCGCCCGTCTTCTTGTTCCTCGAGAGCCTCAGGCGGCTGATGGTACCGAATTGGGAGAAGTACTGGCGCAGCGGCTGCTCTGTGAAGTGCTTGGGCAGATGTCCGACGTAAAGTACGGCTGCGTTGATGGTCTGAGAAGGCTGAGACTGACGCTGCTTGGAGACTTTCTCCAGTCGCCTCTGTACGGCCGCGTCGTCCTTGGAAGAGGGCAGACTCTTTGTGATGATGTCGGAGTGGCGCTTGAGAGCTGATGTGTCGTCTTCGTCGGACGAGTCGCCCTCGTCGTCTTCATCTGATGAGTCTGCTCCATCTTCCTCTTGCTCTTCGTCACTGGACAGGCCCTTGAGCATCTCTGCCTCCTCCTCCGAGTCGATGCTCTCACCCTCCTCGTCTACTTCGCTGTCCTCTTCAATGGGCTTGCTAGATGTCAGAGGTGACTTTGCAGGGGTGGGCACGGCCTTGCCCTTGCCCTTGCGAGCAGCGGGAGACAAAGATTGGGCAGCCTTGGCAACGGGTGATGCCTTGGAAGACTTAGCAGCTGGAGCGTCCTTCTTGGAGATGCTCTTGAGGGGTGCTTCCGACTGCTCCTTCTGCTTCTTGCTAGCCGAGGTTGCAGTGGCCTTCTCGACGGCGGGTGCCTTGCGCTTGCCCGCGCTTTTTGCGGAGGTTGCGGCAGCGGCTGATGTTACTTTCGGAGCCATGACGAGATACGATGAGGAATGGCGGGGATGAGCGGTGATGAGGCGGCGATGGTGAGATTGTGCTGCGCCTGGTGAGCTTCGTAACGACGTTTGCCTCGGCGGGCTGCCCTTCCTTGGCCCACGACTTTCTCAAATTTCCTTTGGCGGGCGGCTCAACCCTCGGCCCCACTGTCGCCTGTGCCTGCACGTGTTTCTACCCACCAGGCGCTCAATGGAAGATCGTGGATCCTTTTGTGGAGCAACGCAACGCAACGCAACGCACAGTGAAGGAAGATCTGCCTCGTATACTAAGTCGACCTCACCTCCTTGGCACAGACACTGGTATCCTCACCACCACTTCTACCCCAACACATACTTCCTCACATAGCATCGACATGTCTGGAACAACTGCATCTGCCCCTGCGGGCAAGTCCACTGCCGTCTCTGGCTCAGGACCCGTCGCACCCGAGATCCTCTGGGCCCAGCGAGCCAACGCAGACGAGGCTGAGAAGGTGAGTGAACACAGGGGTCATGAGCACCGGCGTACTCGTACAGCCCGACGGCGACGCAGCCAATGCTGACGAACATCCTCATCATTTCCTCATTTGCTGACTTTGCTTCTCTACAGAACGTGATTATGCTCACCATCAATGTACCCAACCTGCCCGCACCGCCTGCCACAAAGATCGACTTGACCTCTACTGGATTCGACTTTCACGCAAAGACGGGCGACAAGGACAAGGGAATCCCCGACAAGGAATGGTCTTTCAAGCTAGACTTCTTTGCAGAGATTGACCCAGAGGTGAGCGACTCTCTTTCGGCGAGGGCTCTTGCCGAGGTACTGAGCTGTATCGGCGGCAATGTACTGACACCCTCACAATCCACCTTCTGTTGGATGCTCCTCTCACAGGCCTCCAAGGTGTCACAAACATCCAAGTCTTTGTACCTCGTCCTGCGCAAGAAGGAGTCTAGCGAGGAGTACTGGCCACGGCTCAGCAAAGACAAGGTCCGCTTGCACAACGTCAAGACCGACTTTGCCAAGGTGAGTAACACGGATCCGCCGGATACAATCCCAAAACCCTACTGACACTCCTTTACTACCTCTGCAACGAACACAGTGGCGTGATGAGGATGAGCAGGATGACCTTGAGGACCTCGACGCCGGAATGGGAGGAATGGGTGGAATGGGTGGCATGGACCCTTCGATGATGATGGGTGGTGGAGGCGGTATGCCCGGCATGGGCGGCATGGGAGGAATGGGAGGTGCTGGCGGCATGGGCGGCATGGACATTCAGAGCATGCTCGCAAGCATGGGCGGCGGAGGCGCTGGTGGCATGCCAGACATGTCTGCCTTTGGTGGTGAAGGAGACGACGATGACGAGGGAGGCGATGACGACAAGGCAGAAGCCTTGAACGCCGCTGCTGAGGATGTTGAAGTCGCCGGATCAAGCTCCAAGATCGAAGAGACATCGTAAGAGTTTACCGCGGTAGAGCACTGTCATGAGTTGGCAAATATCAAAACATCACAAAGCCTGATTGTACTGTACACATTCGTCCGCGTTCCGCGTTCAACGCCCCACACCCACGCTCATCTCGCTGCGACACCGCTGATCAGATCGATCTGCCGGGCGTCCCGGGTCGCGAAAAGATCCTGAGACTGCCTTGCCTTGTCAGATTTCGTGCGCTACCTCGCAAGGCACGCTGAGTCTCCCGAGCAGGTATTCGGCCCACAGTTGCAGCTGCAGCCTTGATGAAGGGTATGACTGATGCTTCTTTGTCTCGCAAAGCATCATACGCCTTCATCAACGGCCACGATGTCTTGGTGGGAGAGTGGGAGGGTGTCGGCTGCGGAAGACCGAGAGCGTCTCTGTCTTCGTACAGAGTGTCTTCGCTCCGCTTGCCTGCCCTTGACTGCGCTCGATGTTGTCGGGACAGGGTGAGACTGTACGTGCGCTTCAAGAGACGTGATGCATTGCCATCGATCGAGCAAGCTTGGTGTAAGTGATCGCACTGCATGGTTTGAGATGACTTCTCCTCGGGCTCGATGATAGACAGCATGTCGACAAGACTCAGCAGGCCCTCTCTCTGGCCACCCTTGTCCTCGTGCACCCTCAAAGGGGGGTCTGTGTCGCATCCTCGAGGTCGAAGACCAACGGGCGTCCAACACTGTTCGCTGAGAGAAGTCGCTGAGCCAGATTGATGCCTTCTGTCCCGTACGGGTGATGTCGGGCCTTTTCGCGCCGGGGACCACAAGGAAGGAGACGGGAGCGGGGTGTCCGTATCGAATAGTGTCAGAGTTGGCGAGCAGACGGTATTGTTCTGAGACTTAGCGATAAGAGAAGCAGGCCTACTTGATGTTCCCCCCTCGAGATTGCTCGGCTGCACCTTCGAAGAGAGCGCTGCGGGAGTGTGCTTTTGACTTGTCAGAACCAGAGTGCTGATAGTACAGACGGGTCGTAGTGAAGTGACTGGCTTGATCTCCAGATCCACGCTGCTCTTTGTGCCAGCGTCCATCTGCCCGGGCCCGGCAGAGTGCAAGTTTGAGAGCGCTTGACCTTCCCGCTCGGCAAAGGCTGCCGATATTGCTGGAGACATCGCGCGCAAGCCAGTCCCTGCAGCAGATGGACGGACGATACTGTCAAAGGACGTCGCAGCGTCTCTAGCGGTGTGCGAGGAAGGGGCTTGGGACATCGAAGTCGGGTTGGAAAGAGGGGGATGGACCGCAGAAGACCGAGGCAAAAGTATGGCCAGACTCTGATCGCCGACACAGGCGCTTGACATCTCATTGGATGATCCCGGATGCATGAGTGTGTTCCAGAGCTCCCGGCTTGCCGCCTCGTATGACGCAGAGGCTGAAGGCGCATTCTTGTCGTCAGTTGTCATGCCTTGCTGAAGTGATGCAAAGTCGCATGTACCTGTCTCTAGGCATGATTGCCTTGCTTGACGATACATGATCAAATCGTGCTGAATCTTGCCCCATTGCTGCTCAAGCAGGGATGCATCACTGTCGCCAGAGGAACTGCCCTTGCCTACGGAACCGCGACGCACCGGCGCTTGATCTGAGGTGTCGACTGAGAGCCGGCTGTCTACAGAAGGATCAGCAAGCACATCTTTCAGCCACTACTTTCAGAAACGGCCGATCAATCTCGGTACAGTCCGTCTTACGTACCATCAAATGGGGATTCTGCCAGCTCTTCGCGCAAGGTCGCAGCGGCTCGACATTGGGACTCCCCCAAATCAAGAAGAGTTGACCATGTCGGGGATGCTGGCGTTGGAGGCAGATCACCAAGGGCATCAGTCATCTGACTAGAGCGAGTTCAAAATGAATCAGCGAGGGAAGAATGAGTGAAGGAGTGATCACAATAAGAGGGGGACATCGCGTGGACTCCCCGAGACCCATGATCTACATCAATGAGTCAATGCACATTGCCCACATCGAGAGTGTTCTCATCGCGAGCCCGCTCGGATCCAGCTTAGGCGCCGCTTCGCGTACCTTGCGCTGGGGCGGTCAAAGCTCGATAGCTGTATGTTGCTCTCTGGTACTGAAGCTCGGACCCCGGGGCGGGTTCGTCCTTGCCCCTGTTGGACACTGCCATCCTCTTGATTTCCGTTGCTGTGCCAAAAGATGTGCCGACAGTCATTCCCGGACCGGCCTGGCAAGCCACCTCGAACGGAGCGCCGACAGAGTCTGGATGTAATCAACGAGCGCTATGCTCTCCAACTGTATTGCGAAACAGACTCAACAGGAACAAGCGCAGCGAACCTGCCTTTCTACCCTTCCGGAGCTCAGCGCGCAAACTGACTTCCCCTGCTAATACATCGCTCCCTTTGATTCTCTGATGGCCGTTCACAAGAAGTAGTCAGGTACTCTTCTCGAAACCAGTGGTTCGCCTGTCCTCGGTGCAGGGTCGAATTGCAAGAAGGTATACTTGAGGTTCTCGTCGATTTCCATGATAGCCGCTTGGTTGCCACAACGGTAGCAGTAGTTTGGCGCCGAGAAGATTGTCACAACATTGCGCTCTTGTGACCAATTGAACCCATCCATCACGAGCTATAACAGTGGAGTTGAGTGGAGGGTCAGCAGGCGACTCGTGACAGGACTCTTCACCACAATCTCGCTCTCACCTGATGTGCCCTTGCCACCAATGTCAGACCATTGTTGTGGTTGAATGCCTCCGAAATGTCCTGTCCGAAAGTATATCCCGCGCCACGCGGGCTGATGCCCCATCCACAGCGATCATCGGGATCAGACCAGAGGAGATCGCACATGGGACCTTCGTGCGGAACTTCTTGAATGCGGTCGATTGACCGAATATGGTCAAGGGTATCGATGGAGGGGGACAGACCTCCATGCAAGCAGAAGATCTAAAGGAGAGCAGGGGTCGGAGAATGGGTCAGTGCTTGCTATCAGGCGTCGCGACACTAGCTGCATTCCACTGCGCTCACCTGGTCGTCAATCAAAGCCGTCAGAGGAAGATAGTCGAACAAATCTGTAAAGTACTTCCAGACGTTGGCATTACCGTACTTCCTCAGACACTCGTCGTAGAATCCGTACACTTGCGTGATCTGCCTTGACTCGTGGTTGCCTCGCAGGATGGTCACACGATCCCTGTAGCGCACCTTCAAGGCAACGAGGAGGGTGACGGTCTCAACAGAGTAGTAACCTCTGTCTACGTAGTCGCCCATGAAGAGATAATTTGTGTCTGGAGAATTACCGCCGATGCGAAAGAGTTCCGAGAGATCGTGCTAAATTCGCAGAGGTCAATTGGGCATGTTAAGGTCAGGTCCACGGGATTGCGCGTCTCGTTCAAGGCGAGCAACTCACGAATTGCCCATGGATATCACCGCACACTGTCACCGGGCACCGCACTGGCTGGACATTGGATTCCTCAAGAAGGATTTCGCGAGCCTGTTGTCATCGTGTAGAGAGCGTCGCGTCAGTCGTTGCACTGGCTTAGCCTGAGATGGCTCTGCTAGCGCTGCCTCCTAATTCTGCTGCCCTGCAAATTCCTTGCCGTACCTCACTCCCGAACCAACATGACTTGCCCCCTTTTGACTGCCCGAGACCCCCAAACCCTCCCTTCGTGGCTCAATGCGAACTCACCTTGTCGCACAATCTCTTGATATCCGCCTCTGTGAGCTGCTTGCAATCGCTCAGATGAGAAATCCAATTATCCTGCTCCTGAACATCTACCATGACAGCAACGCAAAGAGTGAGGGTGTGAAGGGGATCTTGAGAGATTGATGAGGGTGGCGTGTTGTTCTGCTGCTTAGTCTTTCGGGTCAAGTCGTGTCGAGGGGTGGGACTTTGTTTGGGGGAGGCCTGTACGGAGATAGAGATCGCGCGAGCTGTGCAATCGCCGACTGTGGAGCGATTAATGCGTTGTCGTTGCTGTCGTCAGATGAGAAAGTGTATGAGAGAACCTAGCGACTCCGGTTGCGCTTTGCGTAGACGAGGAGGTCAAGGTGAGTTGATGCAGTGGGTGGAGAAGAGGAGAAGCTCTGGGTCCACACCTTGGCGTGAGGCGTCTGTGCGATGATGGCCAGCGCTGCCGCCAAAACAGCCTCGGCTCCGGCCCCGCGTCCGGGCGGAGCCTCAGCCGCCCTCGGGCAGCCTTTGAAACGCCCCATATCCGTCCCCGTCCCATACTCACCCTGTCGTCTTCGCCAGCACCATGTCCGTCCTTCGCGCCCTCACGCCTCTTCGAGCAGCTCGCGGTGTAGCACTGCAGTCGGCTTCGGGCCGTACTGTCGCCCTCTCCCCTCGAGGCTTTGCGACTTCATCCTCGTCTCGTGCAGAAGAGAAGGACCCTCAATTGGGTGACTATCCCGACGTACCAGCAAAGTCCTATCAGAGCAGGAGATACGACAAGAGCTGGTGGGACCCACAGGAGAAAAGAAACTTTGGAGAGATCGTGAGTACAACTCAGGAGGTCTGAATGGCGTGGGCCACGGAGAGGGGCGGGTCGGGAATGCTTTGGCGCACTGGAAGCCAGAGCAGCCAATGAGTGATCATGGCTGTACCACGGGCCTCCCGGTACTACAGCGACAGATCCCAGATGTGGAGAGGGATGCAAACCTTGCGCCGAGAAAAACCACAGTCTGCTTCTTCTGTACTTACTCATCGGCCAATCCCCCTCACTCATCTCTCAGCCCGGAGAACAAGATGACGTCCTGTCTGTCTGGGCTCCCGATATCCATGCAGGTGTCAAGCCCTCGTTTGCTCTGAGACAATTGGGCATTGCGACACTAGGCTTCTGCTCCTTCTTCAGCGTGGTATATTACTTTGCGGCCGACAGCCCGGCCGAGCGAAGGGTGAGTCCGATAGAGCAGCAGCTGTGGAGCTTGTGTCTGGATCTCATGCCCAGCGATGGACGACAGAGCACCGTGTAGAAAGGATGGAGAATGCACAGGCTATCCCAACACTCTGCAGTCCGTCAGCATTGATTGTCAAGCTGACTCTCGCCATATCATCTTCCTCAGACATATCCCCGCGACGGACTAGCGGAGGAATTGGGCAACTCGCAAGTCGCTGCATACAAGGAGGGAGACTTTGATGCCAAGGAAGAGGACGAAGACGAGGATGACGAGTAGAGACGGGACTTAGCGCAGTAACTCGTCAAGGATACACTGGGTCAGATCAAACAATTAAGACCTTTGTCTCTATGTGATTGGGCCAGAGGCACCGCATCTACGTTTGTCCAGGGAGACTGAGCCCCCCGACAGCCCTGACCATGTCCCGCTTGCTGCTTCCCCACCTGCCTGAGCAAGCTTGTGACGAGCGAAGACCAGTGAGACTCACGCCAACTAGTCCCTCACAGCAAAGGGGGACGGTAGGTCATCCCCTCCACTCTTCTCTGTGATATCAGCTTTGTCGACTTGAGCGCCGGGAGGTCCTTTCTGCAGGAAAGATCGGCTGTGAAAGGCATCGCATCCAGGTAGCATGCGTCTGTATGAGCCCTCTTCTGCAGCATCTTCAGAGCCCTACACGAGCTCGGCACTCACAACTTCTGTAGACTGGAGGCATCCCCAGAGGCTTCGCCTTCTACGGCTTCATCTGCAGTGTTCCGCACCCATCCTCGCAGAGACTGATGGAGCGGGTGAGCAGAGAGACGATATCAGCCGCGCAGCACAAGAATCGAACAGTTTCAGCAGTTCCAGTCTTGGACTAGACACCCACGAGCTCCTTGGCTTTCGAAGCAGTCGAGGATCTACAGACGTGTCAATCGTTGGGGGCGGGGTAAGTGATAATTACGCAGGAAAGCGTGAGCCCCGGTGTATAGAGACTCACCTGAAGTTGACGCCCTGAACAAGGCCTGAGGATGATCAAAGGAAGCAGTCAGTCAGCCTTGTCACCCGCTGAAGCAACGCCCAATTTGGCAGTCTGTCTTCTCTGCAGGAGATAGCTTTGACCACTCACCTGTGACTGCTCGGGGAGCAAGATGGGAAGCATGAGCGAATGAGCATTGTGCATCTCGAGCGGTCGTCTCATCGAATCATCTTGGGGAACTCACTTCTGAATGCGATCATGGTGACGCTAGGATCAGTCAAGTCTTCTCGAACGAAGTCCAGGAGAGTTGGTAGAGGCAAGATGCAAAGGTGCCCTCCACTTGGCCAATGGACCCTGGAGGTCCCGCGCGTCTTTGCGCCTGCCACGATCTTCACGCCAGTCGTTGATGATTCTGGGTCATCGCATTCGGCGTAGGTGTACAACGCTACTTCCATTTCCAGATTTCAGCCGCATCTGCTGCGCTCCATCTTGGTAGATGACCACCAGATCAGCTTCCAACCGTCCGGTGCTGTGGGGCAAGCCTCCCACTGGTGCGCTTCTGTCCTCTGCCACGGCCATCGGCAGTGGTCCCTGTCGCAGCGGAGTTCGGAGTTCCTGCAACGCGCCACGCGATTTCCCCTGCCGTGGGGGATTCAGGCAGTGCTGCTGCAACAAACAGCCGCCCCTAATTCTTAGCCGCAAGTGTGTGTGTGTGTTGCATCGAGGCCCCCACAGCCAGCCCTGCTTCCTCTCCCTACGCTTCCCATTCGTCGTCGTTGTCGCAGCCCCTCTTCCTCGCCCTCGCACTCGCACTCGCTCCCCCTCCTTTCGCGGATCCTCGGCCAGTCAGCTCCATCTGTCTCGCCAACGCCCCTCTGCGGCTGACACACATCGGACAGACGGGTTCTGCCACCGGTGTTCATCGCTGCAGTCGGTGAGAAGGATCTCTGGCCCTGAGCCTGATCCCCATCGCAGACGGTGTCGACTGGTCAAATCTGACATCTGACAAGCCAGACATTACAGTCGCTGAGGTATAGTATCTCTTACACTGCATCGTCACGGCTGCTGTTGATCGGGAGTCGCATTGCATCCCTGCCGAGAAGGAGATCACAGGTCAACTTTAGCTAATCTCACAACTATAGAGACGCCATGGCGACTGCCAGTGCGACCGAATCGGCGGCGGCGAGCGCCTCTGCCAAAGCTGCCCTCTCTTCTCTGAGCGCCGTCATGGCTTCGGCTTCAGCAGCAATGGCTTCGGAGAGCACAGTCGAGAGCGGCGAGGCGCCTGCACCCAGCTACTACAAGTACATCGGTATTCTCTTGGCGGTGATGAGTGGTACGTGCAGTGTGTCAGGGACGACGGCAGATGCATCATGTCGATAAAAGCAGCTGATATGGTCCTACTGCTCCCACTTCCCAGGTGTGCTCATCGGCTCTTCCTTTGTCTTCAAGAAGAAGGGTCTGCTGTCCGCCCAGAAAAAGTATCAGACAACGGCTGGAGAAGGCTACTCGTACTTGAAGTCCCCTCTTTGGTGGATCGGTATGACAATCATGATCATCGGCGAGGTTTTCAATTTCGTGGCCTACGCATTCGCCCCGGCAATTCTAGTGACACCATTTGGTGCCTTGTCAGTGGTGCTCTGCGCCATTCTCAGCTCCATCTTTCTCAAGGAACGCCTGAGTAAGTAGCTCCCCGTGCAGGTGAGAGCTATCGGCGCCACATGCTAATGCCGATGCCTCCCCCTTTCCAACACGCCTCAGCTCTGTTTGGCAAGGTCGGATGCTTTCTTTGCGTAATTGGCAGCGTCATCATTGCTCTCAATGGCCCATCTGACGAATCAAGCGGCTCTATAGTAGAGTTCCGCAAGCTCTTCATCTCAGTAGGCTTCCTCATTTGGCTGGGCATCTGCGTTGTGGCTTCCTTGGTCTTGATATTCTGGGCAGCACCCCGCTATGGCAAGAAGAACATGCTGGTCTACATCGCGGTATGCTCGCTCCTTGGCGGGCTTAGCGTATCGACGACCTCGGGCCTGGGCTCCGCGATCCTTCTCTCCATCAGGGGTGACATGCAGCTCAAGAATTGGTTCTTTTACGTTCTCCTTGCATTCGTCGTTGTGACTCTCCTTTCGGAGATCGTCTTCCTCAACAAAGCTCTTGAGCTATTCAACACGAGCATGGTCACTCCGGCCTACTTTGTCACTTTCACATCCTGCTCGATCATATCCACGATCATCCTCTACAAGGGCCTGGCGGCTTCACCAGCGTCGATAGTGACGCTAGTCTTGGGCTTCTTTGTCATCTGCACTGGCATCGTACTACTGCAATTGAGCAAAATCGATCCAGAAGAACTCACAAAGGAGGAGACACCCCCAGGCCTCGATCGGAGATCAACGCTCCTTATGAGGGCCAGCCGATCGATGATCTCTACTCGTTCGGAGAAGCAGGATACCGAGCTCGGCTATCGCCCTACGTCGGTTGGAGACCACGGTGTGCACCTAGCAGGCAAAGGATCTACTGCGATAGAAGATCCTGGCATCGATACAATGAGAGGCGCTGGCGGCATCATTGGCTCAATCGTCCGGGCAAGAAGCTCAAGACGCGTCAGAGCTAGTGCTGATTCCTACGCAAATCTAGAAGGAGTTGGTACCCGTAACGAGCATCATAGTATGGCTAGCCTGAACACCGCCCATCGCCATGACCTTGAAAGATTTCAATTACAAGATGGACCTGTCGCCAGGCAGCCGAGTACGATCAGCCGGGACGGGTACCTCTCTCCGATTTCCGCAGCTTTCCCTCAGAACAGGGGCTCTGCAATGCCTAAACGGGGCGCATCCATGGTTAGCTTCACCGAAGACGCCCTCGGCCCTCACGGCCATCATGATCAACATCAGCACTCTGCCACGGAACGAAGCGACCACCATCATCATCATCCGCCTACTGCCAGTCATAGCGGCATACTTTCAACAGGCCTACATGCTCCGTATCTGTCAGATATCGTTGAAGTCAGGTCCTCCCGCGACGATGGTCTAGACGATGCGCATGCACGAAGCATCGGTCGAGGGAGCGTCTGGAAGGACAGCTACATCGAGGCGTATGCTACGATGCCCAACCGTCCCGGTAGTTTTGCCACGACCGCTCCTGGTACACCGCAACCGGGTGACGCAGAGCGGCGAAGCGGCGAGAACTACGACGGCAATGGCGACAGCACATTCGAGTACGAGCTCGATGACGGCGCTTCTGTAGATAGAGGTCTACAAGGACCCTACCAAGTCGAAAGCGTTGTCGGTTCCGGGGAGGACCTCCCAAGCATTGACACAAGTGATTCCTCCAATGCTGACCCCTCGTCCGGCATCCCCCGAATGCGCACCGACAAGCATTTCCCTGGCGGACGCAGCGGTAGAGAGGGCCTCGAAGAGGAGGAGCTGCTAAGTCCCAAGCTCAATGGAGGGATCGCGTTCGAGGCGCCACAGAAGACTTCGCGGAGAGCGACGTCTTCCAGATTCCATAAATCGGGGGTAATTTAGGGGAAGAAGATGCTCGGAATAAATTGAAGACACTCTTGTAAGCCCACTAGATGGCAATCTTGTACATAAGTTAGCAGACGATATTTAGCGATGCGTAATGTAGACTATCCTCCCTGTCATCTTGGGCGGCGGATCAGGTGTGCAGACTGCTGATGCAATGCGATGTGGGCAACCGTATTGCTGGGTCTTGAACATTCGTTGCTACAGAATAAAAGCTACAGTCGCATACCCAGTGACGGCCAAGATCGAGTGCCAGCACATCGACAAGAGCTACAGGCTCAGTCTCTTGCGATTTTGAGCTTGAGCAACGTTTCGGCATGGCGGTAGGCAATCCCTTCGAGCTCATCCTTTGTGAGGAGGCCGCTTTTCTGCATCTTGACCAAAAAGTCGCGCCCCAGCTGGTTCTCGGAGAAAGGGTAGTCCACACTGAACAGGATTCGCCCGATCTTTGTCGTCTGTAGCAGACAGCTGAGCGGTGCCAAGCTAAAGATGCCGGACGTTGTGACCCATACATTTTCGTTCCACACCTCCTCGAGCGACCGCTGCCGCCCCCAGCGTGCTGCAGCCTTGTAGATGCGATCCAAGAAGAAGGGCAACCCCTCTCCCATGTGCCCCAGAACAACCTTGATGCGAGGAAACTCCTCGAAGAGGCCCGCCGCAAACATCTTCAGGAAGGCGAGGGCCGTCTCCGAGTGCCAGCCCAGCCCGAAGGCGCCCAGCGCCATCGCAACGTCCTTTCCATAATTGCCCTCGTAGTGCTCTGCCCAGGCGCCCTCCGCAGGGAAGGCGGGATGCACGTAGACGACACAATCGAGCGACTGAGCCGCCTCGAACACAGGCCAATAATCTTTGTCGTCGTAGGTACGGCCGCGATGATGTGCATCGACGAGAGCGCCCGCGAAGCCCAAGGTCTGCACACAGCGCTTCAGTTCGTCGGCGGCGGCGTGGGGATCGCACAGCGGCAGGGTTGCAAAGCCGGCGAAGCGAGTGGGATGAGCAGCTATCGCAGCAGCCAAGCGGTCATTTGTGGCCCCAGCGACTTCAGGCGTCGGGTCAAGTGGAACGTGGCTCAGGACCTGAAGTGCGACACCGGCGCTGGACATAGAGGCGAGGCGAGTAGAGCCAAGGCTGCCAAGCTTGTCCATGGTGGGAGCCGGAAAGTTAGCAAAGTGGTCGGGGCCGGTTTGAGAGTTGCGAGTGACAGGATCGAGGAAATGCTCCTCAAGAGAGAGGATGGGAATGTCGGCCATATCGAGTGCGGAGGAAGTTGTAAGAGAATGGCGATGTATACACAAAGGTTGCGACAGATTGCGAAATGAGGGGTAGGAGATAGGACGCTCGGCCTACTGGAAGTTCCCACTTATGGCGTCGGGCGGCGGACCTCCTCCGCAAACCGGACTCCTTGCCGACTCAGCAGTACCGGCTGAGCACATCTGTATCTCCGAGGGTCGCGTCCATGAGACGGAAGGGCGCACAGACCTCCACATAGCACTTGTTCCTCTTTGGTCTGTCCTTCTTGGGATGTTCCTTTTCTTTTGAGGAGTAGCGAGGGTCTAGTATCGGGTGGCTC